CTAACCCCCTAATAAACCCTAATTAATAAACCCTAAACCCTAAACCCTAAACCCTAAACCCTAACCCTAATTGCGTTGTTAAGAGACCCTACTGAAATTAAGATTATCTTTTATTAAGACTTTATACTACTCAGGAGCGTATATATAACTTATATAATTCTCGCAAATAGATCTATTCGCGAGAGAAATCTAGAAAGGAAGCTATCGATCACACTTTAAGCCATACATCCTATATCTTGACTTTGCGATAGATATATCTTCGGACTTTCTCACACTATCTCAAATCTTACCCTCTATATCATGCGGTATAAGAAGCTCCCTTGAAGGGATCAAACATACAGCATCATCCCCCTTTTCTTTCTTACTCAAACCCAAGCTGGATGCCCTATGTGCCAAAGACAGAGAAAAGAGAAAAGAGAAGGGTCCCAACAGAGAGATGGCTGGCTTGATCTACTGCGTACGGAGTACGATAATACGGGAGACGGGGCGGCATGATAGATCCCTAGATTACCATACCGGATCATACCGGGCGGTGCCACCCACCGCCGCCCAGCCGTTCTCTGTCTTCATCGTCGTCGTCTTCTCCTCCCTCGTCTCCTCCCTCGTCTCCTCCCTCCTCCGTCTCCAGCCTCGTTCGTTTCCCCCGCATGGCCAGATCGCCGCCATGCCCCCTCGTCGTCGCACTGCCGCCGCCTGTCTGTTCTGTCGCGAGAAAAAGGTGATCCCTTTCCAATTGACCCGGTCCCCCACCGCTCCGCTGACGAATCCCGTGGGTGTCCGGTAACTAGCTGAGATGTGACGCGATCGAGCCCACGTGTGGGAATTGCGCCGCGAAGGGACGGACGTGCCAACCCGGCCTGGTGCTGCCCAAGCAGAGGTCTGTACCTAGTCTCTATCCGTCCGTCTACTCCTCCCCTCTCACAACATAGACCCACGAACCAGCGCATCGCCCAGCTGGAGCACGAAAACCACGCGCTGCGCGCCCATCTGCGCCAGCGCCAGGCCACCGCCGCCACCGCCGCCGCCGCGGACGAGGCCCCCCGGGTCAGTCCGCCCGCCACCCCCGGCGCCGTCGCCCATCCCGAGGCCCGCGATGCCCCCCGGGCAACCAGCCCTCCCCCTACCACGGGCCCACCAGCACCGCCTACGATGATGACTCCCTCCCCCTCGTGCCCCCCGAGAACCCGATCCAAGACGGGCCTCGCGCGGAGGAGTGCGCGCGCCAGTCTCTCTTCGCCGCCGCCGCGAGACAGAGTACGTGCAATCCACGCCGATGCCGCAAGAAAACCCCCCCCCCCCCCGTTAACCGTGGATACCACCCCCCAGGGCAACTGGAACGGCTGGACCTGGCCGCAGGCCGACTCGACTTCGATGGCGTGGACCCGGCCCTCGGGATGCACCTGCTGGCCATCTACTGGAGCCGCCAGCTGTACACGGCCCAGATCATCTACCGCCCCGCGTTCATGCGCGACATGGCCCGCGGCGGGCCCTACTTCTCCCGCCTGCTGCTGAACGCCATCCTGTTCGTCGTCTCCAAGCACGATCCCCGTCCCGAGCTCTGCTCCGACCCCCGCGACATCACCACCGCCGGCGCGCGCTTCCGCCAGCGCTTCACCGAGCTGCTGCGCTTCCAGTTCGACCGCAGCGAGATCACCACCCTGCAGGCCCTGCTGATCATGTCCAACGCCCTCTTCTCGCGCTGCGACGAGCGCAGCCGCTCGTGGCTCTACGCGGGCAACTCCCTGAACATGCTGATCGACCTGGGCCTCCACGTCCTGCCGTCGGACGTCACCCGCATGCCCCCCGAGGAGCTGGAGATCCGGAAGCGCGTGCTGTGGGGCGCCTATCGTGCGTGCTGGCCCTTCCCCTATCATTTCTCTGGTGATCCGGACGTCTGAGCAGCTCACCTCCGCGCCAGTCATCGATAAGATCCAGTGCCTCTTCCAAGGCCGACACCCGCTGCTGCGGCAGGTCGACTTCAACACCCCGCTCAGCTTCTGGGACGAGTATGATGAGCTGGAGGAATTCCAGGCCATCACCTACACCCCGACCGCGGGCCCTCCCGGGATGCCCGCCCGGAATGTCACGCTCCTCACCCACCTCTGCGAGCTGGCGCGCATCATCGAGCGGGTTGTGGGCGAGCTGTATTCGGTCTCGACGCGGGACCGCCCCGGGGACTCGCGCCGGCAGGTGGCCGACACCATCCATGCCGACCTCGCGCGTTGGCGACGGGCGTTGTCGCCGGCCATTGACTACCTCGCCGGCCCCAGCCCCGTGCCGATGCCCGTGCCGATGCCCGTGCCGATGCCCGTGCCGATGCCCGTGTCGATGCCCATGTCGATGCCCGTGCCGCTGCCGCAGTCCTGCTGTCTCCTGTAAGTGCTCCCGTGCACCCTCCCCCCGGACACCCCGCTGACCTTGGGATCGGGGCCCAGGGCTCTCTACAATGTGCTGGTCATTCTCTCCAACCCCCCGCTCGTGGCCGACCGCGCGGGGGGATCGAGTCGGGCCCGCCCGGCGCAGGAGTGCGTGGCCGCCTGCACAGGCGCTGCGAACCAGATCGTGCAGATTCTGCGGGACTACTGCCACCACTACGCCATCTCCAGTGCCCCCTACATGCTGTCCTACGCCACCTACATCGCCGCCACCATCCACGCCCGCATCGCTGCCCAGACCGGTCCCGACTCTGGGGCCGCCCAGTCGCTGGGGTTCTGTCGCCGCATCCTGACGGCGCACACCACCCTGTACGCGGCCGCCGGCAAGGCGCGGGCGAACCTGGACAAGCTCCTCGAGCGCCTCCGCGTGGAGATCCCCGACGAGCCCCCCGGGGCGGTCCTCATCGGGGACGGGAGTCTGCTCGGGCCCCCCCTCGCCGTGGCCTCCGTCGACCGACTGGACGCCATCGATCCGGCGCTGGGACGGGTCGACGGGGCCGGCCTGGACCGGGACCTGTCGGACCTGGATCTGGAGGCGATCGCAGAGGGGTTCCTCGTCGATGGTGACCTGCACGATTGGATGCAGACGCTGTCCGGGGTGTGCCAGTGAGGCAGCACCACCCCTCCTTACTATGCATCGGTTATCATAGTCTCCTCCACCAGGCTCCTGACCTGCCGCGATACCTACAATCTACCGCTTCGTGCCCCAGACCAAAGGATGCGCCTGCCGTTCGTTCATGCCTGGATTGATTCATTTAACTGCCGTATGGGCCGCGGGTCTCCGGGCCCAAGGGGTGCGTACCCGTCACGGTCGCCCGCTCGCGCGTCAACGAGGCCGCCAGCGCCCCGACATCCGTCAGCACGTTGACCAGGTCAAATCCCAGATCCGCATAGTGCCTCGCCTGGGTTCCATCCCCGCAGTAGATGCCCGCCTTCTTGCCCGCGGCATGGGCCGCCCGCAGGACCGTCCCGATGGCCGCCTCCAGCGTCGCATCGATCTCGCCGTCCTGCACCGGGTGGCCGATGCTGTTGCCCAGATCGAAGGGCCCCACGAACAGCAGGTCCAGCCCCTCCACCGCGGCGATGGCGTCCGCGGCGTCCAACGCCTCGCGCGTCTCGATCTGCACCGCCAGCAGGAGGGTCGCGTTGGCCTGCGCCAGGTACTGCGAGGCGGTCAGGCCCACGGCGAACCGGTCCATGGCGAAGGGGGAGCCGAAGCCGCGTCGCCCCTGCGGGGGGAACCGGGCGGCGTCCACGAAAGCCCGCACGTCGGCGACGCTGCGGACGAGGGGCGCCAGGACGCCGTGGGCACCGGCGTCGAGGGCGCCTATCCGGGCCAGGATGCGTTAGCGTCTAGCGTCCACGACAGGTCCCGGGTGGGTGCCGGGAGGGCGATACGCACGCTTGATCATCCAGCTCTGGAAGTCGGGGACGCGAACAATCGGGCTGACCCCGTACGAGGCCACGGCGGCCACGGACTCGTGCATGGCGGCATCTGCCTCACCCGGTTAGCCTGGCCCGTCCGGGGGTGCCGCCGGGGGCGGAAGAGGACTCCATCCTACCGTCGATGTTTCCATGCTCACAGTCCACCAGGACCCAGTCGTAGCCCGCGCGGGCCAGGATGCGCGCCAGGTTGCTCCCCGGCAGCAACTGCCAGACGCCCAGCGCCACCCGGGTGCCCTGGGCAAGGACCTGCTTCACGCGGCTGGTTCCGTCCATGGTGGATGCCGTCGGGGGAGAAGACATGGGGGTGGAAGAATTAGATGAGGACGGAGTGGCGGTTCAGATGGTGCAGGTGCAGGGATGGTGTGGTGGTGTGGGAGTACTTATATATATATCCGGGGTGGGGGAAAGGAGGAGCCAGCATCCACCGCTGAAGGAAGCACACGGGTGCAGTCTGGATGGAGGCAGGCATATCGTGTAGATGACGGGGTTTCCCGGATGCTTCCCGGATGCTTCTCGGATGCTTCTCGGATGCTTCCCACCCGGTCGGCCGCTCTCCTTCCGAGGACCCCCGCACCCGATTGGCGCCGTGGGCCAATTTCCCCCCCTTCGACATGCCAATCGGATGGTTTCAAACGGTCCCCTCAACATCGCAGGGCTCGCCATGGCATCTTCCATCCCCCGCCTCCCCCACGCCGCATAAGACGGGCTGCCCTGTCCTCGTCCAATCTCGCCTTCCACCAGCCTTTTCCTGTCGCGCCATCCCTCCTCCCCTACGATCCTGCCGCCGCTATGCCCTGTGGTGCCGCCAACACTTGCCAGGGCTGCTCCTGTGCCACCACCACCACCACCAACAACAACGAGGGTCCACCCCCTGTCGTCAACATCGAGGACTGCCTCAAAGAACTCGAATTGCTCCGTCAGCGGAACGGCGAGCTGGAGCGCACCTTGGCCGCCCGCACAGAACCCCCGCCCCAGGCCCCCATCGGTCCCCCTCCCCCCCCTCGCCGACCGCTGCGCTCGTCCAAATGGTTCAACTGCCGTGATGATCCCGGCATGACGGCCATCTACATGGAGCGCTACTTCAACTTCGGCATCACCCGCGAGGAGCTGATGGCCGGTAAGCCCATCATCGGCATCGCCCAGTCGGGCTCGGACCTGGCCCCCTGCAACCGACACCACCTGGAACTGGCCAAGCGCGTCCGCGAGGGCATTCGCAGCGCGGGGGCCATCGCCATCGAGTTCCCCACCCATCCCATCCAGGAGACCTCCCGGCGCCCGACGGCGACGCTGGATCGCAACCTGGCCTACCTGTCGCTGGTGGAGATCCTCACGGGGTACTTCCTCGATGGCGTGGTCCTACTGACAGGCTGTGACAAGACGACACCCGCTTGCCTCATGGCTGCGGCCACGGTGGTAGGCCATCCATCCATACCATCCATTACACCGTGCACGGGCGGTGCCCCCGATGCAGCACGATGCTGACCACGCAACAGAACATCCCGGCCATCTGCATGAACGTGGGCCCGATGCTGAACGGGTATTCCCGGACCCAGCTCACGGGGGCGGGGTCCGTCCTCTGGAAGGGCCGGGAGAGGTACGCGTCCGGGGAGATCGACGAGAATGAGTTTATGGACTACATCGCACGGGGGTACGTATCCCCGATCAAGGCCGTACATAATAAATCGGACACTGACTGGGCGCCGGCAGGACCCCCTCGGTCGGGCATTGCAACACCATGGGCACCGCATCCACCATGAACGCGCTGGCCGAGGCTCTGGGCATGGCCCTCCCGGGCTCCGCGGCCATCCCGGCGCCCTACCGGGAGCGCGGGCAGTGCGCCTACGAGACGGGCTGTCGCATCGTGGAAATGGTCGAGGCCGACCGGAAGCCGAGCGACCTGATGACCCGCGAGGCCTTCGAGAATGCCATCGTGGTCAACGCCGCCATCGGCGGCAGCACCAACGCCCCCATCCACCTCAACGCGATCGCCCAGCACATGGGGGTGGCGGTGACCATGGACGATTGGGACCGCCTCGGCTCCGAGATCCCCCTGCTGCTGAACATGCAGCCGTCCGGGGAGTACCTGGGGGAGGAGTATCATCGCGCGGGCGGCCTGCCCGCGATCCTGGCCGAGCTGCTCGACGCCGGCAAGATCCACGCGCACCCGCTGACGTGCAACGGTCGGACGCTGGGGGAGAACATCCGCGGCCGGCACTCGTGGGACCGGCGGGTGATCCGTCCCTTCGACGACCCGCTGATGGCCCACGCCGGCTTCATCCACCTCTCCGGCACGCTCTTCGACTCGGCGATCATGAAGATCTGCGCGGTCTCGCCGGCCTTCCGCCAGCGATACCTGTCCGACCCGGCCGACCCGGACGCCTTCGAGGGCGCCGTGGCCGTGTTCGACGGGCCCGAGGACTACCACCGGCGGCTGGAGCACCAGGCCCAGATCGACGAGCGGACGATCCTCGTCATGCGCGGCGTGGGCCCGCGCGGGTACCCGGGGGCGGCGGAGGTGGTCAACATGCACCCGCCCAGCCGGCTGTTGAAGCAGGGCATCGACGCGCTGTTCTGCATCGGGGACGGGCGGCAGTCGGGCACGTCGGCTTGCCCCTCGATCCTCAACGCCACCCCGGAGGCGGCCGTGGGCGGGAACCTGGCCCTCCTGCGGGACGGGGATCGACTGCGCATCGACCTGGGCCGGCGGCGCGTGGACCTGCTGGTGGCCGCGGAGGAGGTGCTGCGGCGTCGGCAGGCGCTGGAGGCGCAGGGCGGATACCCGATCGTGGCCAGCGGGACGCCGTGGCAGGAGATCTACCGGCAGGAGACCGACCAGCTGGGGAACGGCATGGTGTTGCGGCGGGCTGTCAAGTACCAGCAGCTTGCGCAGCGGGGGGATGGGCCACGGCATAACCATTGAGTAGTCATTTTACCCGGCATTTATCCATTTATCATCCATCCATCTCCGTAGAATCTCGACCCGGTGGGCCGCCGGGAAGTCATTATCCGGCCAGTGGAGAAGCCAAGCCGCCTCGGTCCGAGCGAAGCCCTGCCTGGCTTCCCCGTTCCATCCGCTTCTCCTCATCTGCCCTCATCTGCCCTCCTCTGCCCTCACCTGCCCTCCAGACCAAGAACATGGCCAAGCGAATCGTCGTCACCGGTGGCTCCGGCACCGCGGGCCAACACGTCGTCTCGTACCTGCTGGACCAGGGCCACGACATCCTCAACATCGACCTGGTGCCCTTCCCCGACGCCCGCCTGGCGGACCGCGTGCACACCCTCAGGGCCGATCTCACCGACAGCGGCCAGGTCTACAACGCCCTGTGCTCCCACTTCCACCTGACCGAGCCCTTCCGCGAGCCCCTGCGCCAGCTCCCTGACGCCGTGGTGCACCTGGCCGGGTATGCGCGCAACATGATGGTGCCCGACAACGAGACCTTCCGGGGCAACGCCCTGTCCATGTACAACATCGTCGAGGCCGCCTCCCGCCTGGGCATCCCCAAGGTCGTCCTCGCCAGCTCCATCACCGTTTACGGGGTCAGCTTCGCCGAGGGCGAGGTCGACTACCCCGCCTTCCCCGTCGACGAGGAGGTGGACGCCAACCCCATGGACACCTATGCCATCTCCAAGGTCTGCGGCGAGCGTGTCGCCCGGGGCTTTGCCCGCCGGTTCGGGTCGGACATCTACGTCCTGCGCCTGGGGCGTGTCGTCGCGCCGCACGAGTACACCGAGGCCATGTTCCGCTCCTACGTCCGGGAGCCCCGGCGGTGGCGCGCCCACGGCTGGTCCTATATCGACGCCCGCGACCTCGGCCAGATGTTCGACCTGGCCGTCCGGAAGGACGGGCTGGGGTTCCAGATCTTCAACGCCGTCAATGACACCATCACCAACAACGCCTCGCCGACCGCCGAGTTCTTGAAGAGCGTCTGTCCCGACACCCCCATCACGCGCGACATGGGCCCCGACGAGGCCCCCATCAGCAACCGGAAGATCCGGGAGTTGCTCGGGTTCCGGGAGAATCACCCGTGGCGGAAGTACTATCCATCTTAAGGAAGATGCCCAGTTGCTATCTTGGGGTCGTCTGCCCGCCACGCTGTGTATATATTTCTGTAGGCGACGCATCGGACCCGGTTATATTCATCCAGGCAAATACCCACCAACGAATAGAAGCACGGAAACCGTAGCATCTAAATCCTCATCACATGCAGAATTGAGGGCAGATCGAGTCCATAATGATTCTATATAATACGCCTAAAACCCGCCGATGCTGTCGAATGCCTGCTTGCTGGCTGATGGTATTGGTCTAGATCGCAGACCAACAGCGGAGGACCAGTGGAAAGCGCAGACGGTGTGCTGTGCGATATCCATATATCTGCCCGTTGGATTGCCAACGGAGTGGGGTTTCCAACCAGACCAGTGGTCTGTGCCTGCTGACGCCTGGTACGAAGCTGTGTGGTTTGCATGCCCACCGGAGCAAACATGTCATTAATGCGCCGAAGGAAGCATAACCACGGTGGCGTATTCGATACGTTGCTGCTGCTGCTGCCATGCCGTTCTCGCCAGGTTACACCGTCATGTCCCATCCTACGATGTCTGACTAGCCGGGAACTCGGGGAGAGTTGAGGACGACTGAAGGTTTGGGCGATGATGATGGGCCCATTGACCTCATAAACTCCCTTGAAGATACAGAAAAGTCTCCCCTCCGACGCATGGTGACGGCTTCGCTTCCGGTGCCCGTAGACAAACCCAGCCAGCCTGATCTCCTTCCTGTTCCAGTGTGTATGGGTTCGTTCATTGAAGCACTTGGCATTGGCGGTCTGCAGTTTGGACTCGAGTGACCGGGTGATCTGTCCCTTTGTGTCGATCTGCTCCATTCGGATCTCGATATGACCCATCCCACTGCAGTTCCCTCACCGAGCGCCTTGCCAGAAGACGGTCTGACGAGCTGCCTCGTTTTTGTTTCCGTCTGGCCTACTTCCTGCCTGCCTCGACAGTTATATACTCCGTAGGCTGTCTTCAATCCCTGCAACAGCACAGACTCCCACCTATCTGACCCTACCTCTCTCTGCGAGCGCCTCGTATTTCTGACTCCGCTGGATAGTTCCTAGCCAATGGAGGACCAATCATAATGCCGATCGCCTGTGTTTGACCTTGCCGTGCCTTCAGGTAGCTGCATCACCTTTATCGCTGGGCTACAACGGGCCGGGTAGGCCGCGTGAGCAGTGTAGTATTTGAAAAAGGGACCAGGCCGACGGGGGGAAGAGAGGTTCGGGCGCCCGTCCTTCACCTAGCCGCCGGAGTCCGTTATTTATCATCCATTTACGATCGATACATGATCGACCCCTTTCCAGAGCACAGAAAGATCCACGCCTCTTGGGTGCAGAGGCTATCCTGTGCACAATGAGCTCCATCTCCATCTCGGAAATGGGGACGAGGGCACTCGCGCTTTGCACCATTCGCAACGCCCCCCTATCGGTCGTAGGCTTTGTGGCTCTTCGATTCCTCTATCAGATCATCCATTACCGGTTCTTTCACCCGCTGAGACGCTACCCCGGTCCCTTCTGGGCCAGTGTCACCCGGCTTTGGCAGGCCTGGCACCTTTTCTGGGGCAGCGACCTCGAGGTACACTGGAAGGCAGTCCAGAAATATGGTTTGCTCCTCTGCCATGTCCCGTCGAGAGCTGGCCCTGATCCATGACATAGGTCCGGTTGTTCGCGTCTCACCGACAATGCTCCTGGTGGCAGATAGCACGCTGCTTCCCACGGTGTATCACCGTCGGGACACCAAGTCTCGGTTCTACTTGTCGGACTACTGGGAGAGTAAAGGTAGCGTCATGATACGGGACCCCGCCCAGCATGCGGCCCATCGCCGTCTGGTTGGGGCCACCTACTCGATGTCGAATATCCAACGAATGGAAAGCTTGCTGGATAAGCATATCCTGCGATGGTTCGACAAGATAGACCGGACCTACGTCCAGCAGCAGATGCCCGTCGACTTCGCGGAGTGGACGACTTTTCTCTCCTACGACACGCTCACCGATGTGGGATTTCGCAACCCGCAGGGATTTATTGAAGCCGGGTCCGATGTCGGCGGGATGATCAAGGCGTTCCGCCTAGGGACGCTCGCGTTTACTACCGCCGGCCGTCTCTATCCGTTTTTTGGATGGCTCCCCCACACCTGGTTGAGGAGATTCCTCGTGGTGCGGCCTGGCCAGAAACTGGGGTTCGGGGTGGTCATGGAGCGGGCCAAGAAGATCCTAGATGAGCGGACGCAAGCCCTCGCAGAGGGGCGAGCGATCAAACCCGAGAAAGGGGACGGCTCGTACGACTTTCTCCAGGCGTAAGCATCACAGTGCCCTCTTCCTTTCTTCGGCCCCGCTGACAAGAGTACGCGGTGGAAGCTTCATGGACACACGCACCCCCGAAGGCGAGCCCCTGAGTTCCGAGAACATCCAGACCGAGATCTTTGTGCTGCTGGGTGCGGGCGTCGACGGGTTCACTGCGATGTGCTCGGCCTTGCTGGCCGAGGTTCTGTCGCGGCCCCCAATATTCACGCGCCTGATGGAAGAGATCAAAGGCGCGGTGGTCGCCGGCGAGCTTTCCCAGCCCGTACCCACCTACGCCGAGGTCGCCCGCAGTCTCCCCTTCTTTGTGGCTTGTGTTCGCGAGACTCTGCGAGTTCATCCTGTCGGGTCGACAGCGCTCCCGCGCGTGGTCACTGCCGACGGTCCGGAGCTGTTCCTGGCGGGATCCAGAGTGCCTCCGGGCACGGAAGTAGGTGCCAGCCCGTGGATCTGTCACCGGGACCGCGCCATCTATGGCGCCGATGCCGAGGTCTTCAACCCGGACCGGTGGCTGGGCGATCCGGCGCAGGTCCGGCTGTATGAGAAGCACAATTTCGCCTGGGGCTACGGCTCCCGGGTGTGTCTCGGCAAACATTTCGCGACAATGTTGTTGTACAAAGCCCCCATCGCGGTAAGCCTGTCCCCACTCACGGTTGGCCCCCGCTCGTGTCTCATTTGTCCTGACCCCTGTACTGATCCTCCTGTTTCGGTGTCTAGCTTTTCCTGACGTTTGAGGCGGCGCTGTGCCCGGAGACGTTGGAAACGCCCAAGCCCCAGGTCGGGTGCAGCGGTCCCAGTCTGCGCTGGAGGGATGTCTGGGTCAACTTGAGGAAGCGCAAGCCTTGGGTCGCGCAGGAAGGGACAGAAACGCGCGTTGATGGCAAGACAGCCGGGAAGGGGGCATGAGATCCTCGTTGGGATCCGGCTGGCAACATCTGCCTGTGGCATGCAGCGTTGTCGGGGTTCTGACGGTTCTGACGAATAGCTAGAAACCCGCTTGCGGGGGGATCCATTTGTCTGGCCGTGAACTTGTTCTCCCGTAGTGTGTTGCTTGCATCAGACAGAAGACACGCACAGAGTACATCAATCAACATCCCACTCGCTTAGGGTGTCTAGACAGCTCTGGACGCGAGTGGTTCGAGTGGTATTGCCGTCTAACAGCTTGGGCGCCCCCTAAAAGGCAGTCCGATATCTCTTTCCTCTTTCGAGTGGCAGTCAGTAGAAGGAGTGGAATGCAATCTCCGCGGATCTTCGTGCGGGGGGAGACGAGAGACGATCCCACGACGGTCCCCCCACTCTTGTCTATCTGGACCCCCGTCCGAGTTCCGGCACCGTGTGATAGTTAGGGCTTTGCTTTCTAGAACACGGGGACAACGTGGAGAGGGCTGGAACCTGTTACACTCGACGCTGGGCACCAGAGGCACCAGACTGGGGTTGGGGCATGGCCGATGATTTATGAATGCCAGTCAATGGCGTTGCCAGTCCTCGGTGGAGAGCTTATCATCGGGTCCGAGCTGGACGGACCCCCATCCTTGGTCTCAACTTTGACGCCCCACTCAGTTGATAGTGGTCTCAGGGCTAGATATATGAACACCATCGGAGGAGGGCCATGCTGTCCGTGAGCAACCCATCCATCATCCATCCTCCCACCCACCTGCAACATGTGGCGATTGTTTGGCCGCGCGTCCGAGGCCCCCGAGAAGGCCACTCCGCCACGCAGTCTGCCAGCGTCGTGGTATCGATCCGAGGCGATGTACCAGCTGGAGCGACGGGCCATCTTCTCGCGGCGCTGGATGTTGCTGACCCACGCCAGTCGGTTCGCCAAACCGGGCGACTTCCTGTCCTTCACCGTCGCCAACTTCGCCTTCTTCCTGACCAAGGACCGCGACGGCCACATCAACGGCTTCCACAACATCTGCCGCCACCGGGCTTACCCCGTCGTGCAGGCGCGATCCGGCACCGCGTCGATCCTCAGCTGCAAGTACCACGGGTGGTCCTACGGGCTCAAGGGCAACCTGTCCAAGGCCCCGCGCTTCGAGACCGTCCCGGCTTTCGAGCCCCGCCAGCAGGGGCTGCTGCCCGTCCACGTCCACGTCGACCGGGCCGGCTTCGTCTGGGTGAACCTGCAGGCGGGCGAGCCGGAGGTGCGGTGGCAGGATGACTTCCAGCGCGTCGACGAGCAGCCCCGGATGCAGGACTTCGACTTTGGCGGCGAATACACCTTCGATCACTACTGGGAGATGGATCTCGACGCCAACTGGAAGCTGCTGATCGAGAACTACAACGAATGCTACCACTGCGCCACCTCCCACCCGCTCATCAGCGGCGTCTCCGACCTGCCGCGGTACCGCGTGGAGCCCACGGCCGGCTACATGGAGCACCACATCTTCAACAAGGACCACGTCGACGCCCAGTTTCGACGGGCCATCACCTACTTTGAGCCGACCACCTCCGTCACCGTCACGTAGGTCACTGACGCCCGCGGAGCCGTGCCGTTCGCTGACCGGACCAGGGACAAATTCTTCTACATCCAACGCATGATCCCCGTGAGCGCGACCACAAGCAAGATCGAGAACGAGGTCTATCGGCATCGAGACGCCACGGACGAGGAGTTCGACAACATCAACGCCTTCTACCGGCAGGTTCTGGACGAGGACAAGGAGCTGTGCGTTGGCGCGCAGGGGAATCTGAGTGCGGGGGTCTTTATCAACGGCGAGCTGCATCCCAGTAAGGAGAAGGTGGGTCGGACTCGCTCCTGGTCGGATCGTCCACACTGACAGAACCAGGGACCGATTCATTTCCAGGATAACTTGAGGAAGATGGCCATGGAGCATCGGCAGAAAGAGGAAGCCCAAGGGGGCGCAGAGATCTGGCCGGCGATACCCAAGGTGACCGGGGACATGCGGACGGGTAAGCTGGCGGAAGAGGAACGGTTCTGCTCTCAGTTGGAGGCGGCCAGCTGCATGGCCAAACCGGAGCTCGCGTGGTAGGGAGCTGGATCTGCCCGAGCAGCACAGGAGACGAACTATGTAAATATCTAGACCCACTGCATGAGACATGCCACCATTCCTACTCGGGGAGATTGTCCCACTACCAGGGCGTAACCTTCCTGGCCTGGCATTCCCTTTTTGAAGCCTGTGCCTGATCCTGTTTTCCTTTTGTGAAGCCACTCCTACCCGGTTCGCGACCGGTGTCTTGACGCCTCGGACATGGACGATGCGGTGCTGCCGTGCATACCGCGACTCCAGATTTTTCCGTCCTCCCATCCTATCCTCCTTTTCGTCGTCATTGTGCTCTTTGTAGCCCCACTGAAGCCAGTGTGTTCCCGATCCAAGCCCCCATCACGTCAGACGGTGCGTCGTTTCATGATCGCGAGCATCTCGAATGGCATCAACCCCACCTCGTCCGGGAGCGTCACGTCCGAGAAGGAGGAGTGGCGAAAGCACGGCTCGTAGTCCGCCCAGTCGGCCCGGGGGCCCAGCCACAGGATGGTCTCGACGGCTCCCTGGTCGCCGTAGGACTCGATGTACTTGGCGATCAACTTGGGTTCCCGGGGGTAGACAAACATCCAGGCTCCGGCGTGCGGCGCGCTGGCGTGAAGGTCCCAGGTCCCGCCCACGACGTCCAGATCCGGCTCCGCGATGTACCGGTTCACGGACGAGGCCACCTCGATCCCCCTGATGGGGACCTCCGGGTGGCGATGGGCGAGGAGCGCTTCGAGGAGGCCGGATCCGCAGCCGACGGAGAGGGTGAACTGGGGTCTCGGGGGCAGACGCGACGCGAGATGGGCGATCAGGGTGCTGGAGAGGCCGAGGCAGCAATCGGGGAAGGCTTGCGGGGCGGGCGAGAGTTGGTCGGAGATTGCAGGGATGTCCATGTTGGGTGTGTTGATGAGAGGTGGTATTTGGGGGAGGGGGGAGGGAGAAGATGAAAGATGGAAGATGGAAGGTGGAAGGAAGATGGACGATGGACAAGCAAAGTCCCCGACCGCCCGACCGCCCGACCGACCTCGGACTTACGATACTCCGACCAGCCACAACAGTACAGAAGGTCGGCCTGCAAAGTGTTTCAACTTCCTTACGCGCGTTGCATTTCCTCTCGCTCGAGGAGGTTACTCGGTATCCACTACCCCCGCGCACGACACGGGTCATATATGGGGTCTACAGACAGCCCATCCACCCCATCCGCCTGGACTGTGACCACGCGCCCGGCCTTCAGCAGGCCCACCAGGCTCTGCTGGATCCGGTCCAGCACCCCGATGTCCTCCAACGGGTTCGCGTTCAGGATGAGCAGGTCGGCGATGCTGCCCTCCCGGAGACTCCCCAGCTGCCCCGCCATGCCGAGGGACCGGGCGGCATTCACCGTGGCGGACTGCAGGATCTCCCCGGCACTCAGGGCGGCGGCGCGGATGGAGAATTCCTGGTTCTGCAGGGGATGCATCCCCGCGAGCAGGTCGGAGCCGTAGCAGATGAGGGCGCCGGCGTCCCGGAGGACCGTCAAGGCCCGGAGGCCGCCCCGGAGGACCTCCTGGTTCTTGCGCTGGCTGAACTCGTCGAGGAAGCCCGCGAAGGCGGGCTGCGTCATGCCGTGGTAGGTGACCAGGGTGGGGGTGAACACGACGCCCCTGGCCTGGCAGTATTCGGCCGTCTCGCGGTCGATGAAGTTGCCGTGCTCGATGCCGCGCACCCCGTTGTCGACGGCATGGCGGATGGCCTCGACGGTGTAGGCATGGGCCGTGACGTACTTGCCCGAGTAGGCGGCGGTGGTCGTGATGGCACGGATCTCCTCCGGGGTGAACTGCAGCATGTCCAGGGCGTCGGTGGGCGTGGCCACGCCGCCACCGCACATGATCTTGATGAAGTCGGCCCCCTGGCGCAGCTCGTCCCGGACGGCGGCCAGGCAGGCGGGCACCCCGTCGCAGACGCGGGCCAGCGACGCATGCTGGCCCCCGCAGCACTTGAACGCCTCCCCCTGGTAGCTGGCTCGGAAGTCGCCGTGGCCCCCGGTCTGCGAGAGGGCGTGGCCTGCGATGAACAGGCGCGGACCCGGGAGCAAGCCGTCGGCGATGGCCTCCCGCAGCGCGGCATCGGCGCCCCCGGTATCGCGCACGGTGGTAAACCCGCGCAGGAGCATCTCGCGGGCCACGTAGGCGGTGCGGTAGGCGAGGGCGTTGGGGCTGGCGGCGAAGAGCTCACGCAGCGAGACGCCGCCGGGGGTCGCGGTGAGGTGCACGTGGCAGTCGATGAGGCCGGGGCAGAGGTAGTGCCGCTGCGCCAGGTCGACCAGCTGCGATCCGGGCGCCAGGGACGCGGTCGTCCCATGGGGGGTCACGCTGACGATGCGGCCCTCTCGGACGCGGACGGTGGCGTCCCGGATGACGGAGCTGGTCTCGACATCGACGACGTGGGCGTGGATGAAGGTGAGGTCAGGGGGGGGGGTCTGGGGCGACCACGGCTTGGTGGTGGTGGTGGTGGTGGGGGTGGGGGTGTTGGTGTTGGTGGACATGGTGAGCGTGATGGAGTTTCGGGGGGGGGAGTGAGGAGGGGAAGTAGTAGAGGAGAAGTAGTGGAGGAGAAGTAGTGGAGGAGAAGCAGTGGAGGGGAAGTAGTGGAGGAAATCCCCAGGCATTGCTAATGTCATCGTGCCTCCCCTCAACCCCGCACTGGAGCGGAGATACGGAGATACGAAGAACCCCCCACTATACCCGTAGCTGTGGCCACGCCGCCTTCCCCCTTGGGATCTCCATGGCAGAATCAAGCCCACGTGATAGGAGGCGGTCAGAGCGGCATTCTGTCCGATCCCGGCTGTCGGTCACTCTACTCCTATCTCCATGGATCCATCTGGCACCGTTGGAAAAAAAAAAAAAAAGAAAGAAAGAAAGAAAGATACGGGCGTCGTCACGGATTGCATTTAAAACCCTCGGTTCAATTCTTCTCCAATGCTCGTCTCTCTGCGCTGTGAGAGTTTGTAGGGTCACAGCAGGAAGGCGCCGGTCGGGTCCGTGCAAGAATATATTGTTTCACCTTTGACAACAGGGACCAGGGACAGACGATGATCCCATCATGGGTGAAGAGCCAAATGTAAACCCTGGTACATCCAAGATTCCTGTCCGACAAAATGAATTTATAAAATCCCTACTTTTACCGGACGGGGAGTTCACTTTTTGCTGCAGGTGCCGAAAAGTACTCCAAAGAAATTGAAGGAAAAAAAAAAAAGGAAAAAAAAAAGAGCTCTAGCGGCAGACATTGAGGTTGGAAGCAGGAGGGATGGATGGGCTGTCGGCGATTTACCGGCAGGACAGGGAATTACCAGCTACGAAACCCGGTCCTGCCATTACAGGGGCACATAGGGTAGGGTTGGATCAATAGGAGGGAGAAAGTCGCCCCCAACGGCCCATAGGCCCATACATTATATCGGACCAGTTCCAGCCTGGATCCGCGTCATCTACTTCCAATACAGCTCAATACAGCTTCACACGGGCATTATTGCCCTTGGGAGGCGTGCCGATAAGTCCCCCCCCCACCCAGCTCGAGATCAGAGCCTTCGACATCGTGGAGGTTCAGGATCAGCTGCCGGGCCTCCTGCTGGCGGAGACCATACCAGAGCAGCACCCAGCCGTTATGGTAGAACCGGCCGGTGGCGCGCGTGGAGAGCCAGTCCAGCCGGGGGTCAGTCTCCGGCACCGTCCACATCAGCCGGGGGAAATCCTTGGTGATGCGCAGGAACATGTCCTCCGCGGCCGCACGGGCCGTGAGACTGGGGAAGGTGAGCAGCTGAGGCAGCCCATGGGTCGAGAACGACACCATCGCCAGCGACTCCAGGGACGGGTCGTCGTAGTACACCCTGAACGGCCGCGTTCGCATCTCCTGGACGCAAAAGCTCGCATCCGGGCCTTGCTGCCGGCGCACCACCTGCTCCAGCTTGGCCAGGTTCGTGCATTCCGCGGAGGTGATGCTGGAGATCCTCGTGCCCCGTTCGATGACGGTGCCAGCCCCGGAGGCGGCGAGGATCTCTCGCTGCAGGTCCATCGGGTGGACGATGGAGACGCTGGAGGTGCTGGGCAGATCGCTGAGCAGCTCCTGGGCGGCCCGGACCTTCAGTCGTGTCCCGTGTCGCAGCCAGGGCTGGGACATGAGGTGGTCATACTCCTCGCTCAGGTTGATCCGCGCGATCCTCGTGCCCGTCTGGTCATGGAAGAGCCCGCCCGTCTCGGCCAGGTAGACCACCTTCGTCGGCTGCAGCGCCCGGGCGAGGGCACTCGCCGCCAGATCGGCATTGACGCTGAGCACCTGCCCGTCGGCGGTCTCGGCCATCGAGGTGAGGATGGGCAGGCAGGCCGCGCGGAGGGCCGACAGGATGGGGGACTTCTCGACGGTGTTGATTCTCCCGACCAGGTTATACTTCGTCCGGTCCAGGTAGTCGGCCTGGAACACCCCCGCGGTCAGGGGCCGAGCCGACACGCCCAGCGCCTCCAGGGCCTGCACCAGCCGGTGGTTCTCCTCCAGGAAGAGCTGGCGGGCCAGCGCCAGGGTCTTGCCGTCGGTCACCCGGATGCCATCTGCGAAACGCGGCTCCACCCCGGCGTGCTCGAGGATCTGGTTCAACTGGGGCCCGGCGCCGTGGACGATAACCGGATAGAGGCCCACACGGCTGAAGAAGGCCAGCGCGGAGGCCAGCGTCGGCAGGTGGTCGCGGATGATGGCGCCGCCGACCTTGATGACCGCAAACGGTTGGATCGCAGTGGTGGTCGCGGTGAAGTGGGAGAGATACTGCTCGGCCGTGCGCCGCGAGTCGATGTGTCCCAGCAGCTGGACGAGGGTCGATCGCGTGGCAGCCAACTGGTGATCCTGCGAGGGGGAGTAGTGTCGCACCTGTCGTAACGGCAGCAGGACGGACGGTGCCACACCCCGCCGACTCACAGCCTGCCCCGGGGCAGAGACCGCCGAGCGAAGCAGAGACATCAAGTCTCACGGGGGGGAAGTGGGGAGGGGTTTAAAAAAGGGAAGGGGGGGGGGGTGCCGGCTGAGATGGGTGGTGATGGTGATGGTGATGTTCGAGGGGAGGTTGCGCCTTTATATCCATCCGGTGAGAACGCCCATGAGATGGGAATCACCATGAATAGTCCATTCCCCCGTCATTCGACGAGGAGATTGCTCTAGTCATCGTGACCGTCGACTATGCATAGTGGTCTCAAGGGGCACGAGATGGAGCTGGACGAACTACTCATGGGACCGCGGAAGACCAGCACATCGCGCCCAACGGTGCAGAGGGGTTTGTTTCAGGCAGGAAGCCCCGAGTGCCCTGCTCGAGACGTGTTACAAACCTTCCACCCTTCTCCCTGTCGGGTTTCTGCATCGCCTGCATGAAGATGTGCCCCCGTCCACCAATGAGGCCCGTTCCTGGCGCTGCCCATCCCCTCCGAGCAGATCGGGCACGCACACGTGAAGGAGCACTGCTCTCCTGAAGTCCCATGTCGCGCTTGCGAGAAAAAAAAAAAAAAAAAGGGGGGGGGGGGGGGAGGGTATAGACAGATCAAAGCAGGATGTGTAGCAACTCATCACCGAGCGAGGTGTGGTGGTCATGCCATGGCCAGAGTCGTCGTCGGCTGGATAGATAGATCACCTCCCTGATGACCCGAGATGAGCCTGGCACAGTCTGGTTCGTGGCAGCGCAGGCGGAGGCATTTGCTCGAGTTCGATCAGTCGAACCACGACCAAGCCGCGTCGTTTACGGCGGTAGATTCCTGGATTCAGCAGCTGGGGGAACTTCTGTTGGTCTGGGGCCAAGCCCGGATAGACTTGTTATCTCGTCCGCAGTCCGGAGGGCCTCAAGGCCCTCCACGTCGAGGGTTATCGAGAGCATTACTCGGTGCTGGCACAAATGGCCGACTGGCAGGAAGGCTGCCCTCCTGAACAGCCGGAAACTACTGGTGCGCCCGATATTGGTGTGTGCAACGTTGGGGAGGGGGATGGATAGATCAAGGCTCCAGAGGGAGGAACCTCGTGGGCTGGCCGTCGACTCTTTATATAGACGATCGGGATAGGATACTCGCCCTCACGCGACCCACGGTCCCCACGGTTTGGATCGGACGGACGCACGCATGATGGTTCGAGGCCAATTAATCCCCTCAGGGGCCTGCCTGCTTGTGGCTTTCCGTTATTTGATGATTGCACCACAACCAAGCCGCGGGACTTCCCGGAGACCCCGCGGCAGGGCATCCCATCCCAGCCCTGACTCGACTGACCTTCTCTGAATGTCTTCCCTCACCCGACGGCATCTCCAACAGCAACCGCACCATTGCTCTTGTCCTGGCGATCGGAACCGGCCCAGGGGGCGGCGTCCATGTCCCACGTCTCAACTCCCAACGGCGTCGAGTGGATCCGATCGGACAATCCGAGGCTCCGAGGACGGGCTGCACCGACAGAGTGGGCCACACCAGGTAGTTAACCAAACCCCCCTCTTCCTGCCAGTCAGGACTGTCAGATGGGGTGAGGAGGGGCTCCCGCCCGCGGAATGTCGGCATCCCTGCGGAATCGAGTTTGGCGCCGGTTTCGCGCGTGAGGAGTCAAGGTTGTCTTTCTTGACGCTGGATCTTTCCCCCCCCCTCCTCCCTCTTCCTCTCCCCCTTGTCATCCTTCGCACAGTCTCCTTCCCCCCCTTCCCTCGCGTCATGACGGCCGCATCTGCACAACCCCTCCCCCTCCGGCTCGAGTTCGCCACGGTCGAGGATGCCCCCGAGCTGACGCGGCTGTGGTACAACGCCTTCAACACCCCCGCCCTGCTGGCCATCTGGCCCGACACCCCCGGCGTGCGCCAGTGGTGGGAGGAGACCATGCGCCACGACATGCAGCACCAGCCGCGTGAACGGTACCTCAAGGTGGTCGACCCCCAGAGCGGACGCATCGCGGCCTTTGCCAAGTGGTCGCTGCAGTCGGCGGAGGAACGAGGCCCCCGCTGGCCCGCCTGGCATCCCGACATGGACCCTGCCCGCTGCGATGCCTTCCTCCAGAACCTCGAGGCGAACCGCGCCCGTCTCGTCGGCGATGCACGACGCAACTTCTGTATGCCCCCGCCTCCTGCTGAACCGCCCGCACTCGCGGCTGTCTGACCCTGCCCGCTAGATCTCGATATGCTGGCGACCCACACCGACTTCCGGCGGAGGGGCGCCGCCCGCCTGCTGCTGGAATGGGGTTGTCAGGAGGCCGACCAGGCCAATGTCCCCGCCTACATCGACGCGAGCGACGAGGGCCGGGTGGTGTATGAGCTGTACGGGTTCGTGGCGCTGGCCACGCAGCCGGGGATCGCCTCCATGGTGAGGGAACCCCGACCGAAGGAGGTTTGACCCGGTCTGTATATAGAGTCTCCGAACATAGCCGACAAATGCAGCCATGAAGGTCTCAACCACGGTCTCTGCCTCTCTGTATCCTGTATGTATAAGATGCGTGAACACTTGGCCAGTGCCTTTGCCGCATATGATCAATCACTTGTGGCGCTGCGTTGTAGTGGTGCTGACAGGGGCCCTTGACTCGCGAGCATCGCCACTGACTCGCGATGCAGGATGTCAGGCAAACCTGCAGGCGACAACGCATCCGGCGTTGGCCCGTGGCAGGCATGAGTCTGTTCTCTGCAGGATGACGACGATCAGCCCCCCCCCCCCCATCCGGATGGACTACATGAGGTGAAAGGCGGGGTTATCAATCGATTCCCCCTCCTCCTGCCAGCTCTGGCAGGTTCCTTGTACACCGGAGGGCGAAGAGATGCGAGCGATAAACGTCCGAAAGTATGACCGGTCCGCACAAAGGCACCCGGACCTGTTTTTGAGGCCGCAGGGGGTCAGCAGCCTTGTTGAAGAGGAAGAGGGGAGGCAATGAGTATTGTCACGACAGAATGTTGGCAGAAACCGGGTGTTGCCCCAATGATGCCGGATGAAGGCGTGGTATTTTCCCCGGGTTGCCTTCAAATGAAGAGCGATCGCTGTGAGATTCGGACGAGTCCTGGAATCAACCCTAGGGAGAGTGAGGGGGAGTGATGGGGAATCATGGGGAGGTGTTGCTGGGAGAATTCACTGCCGTGGACATCATCCCTTCCCAGCCTTCCAGCATCCGGATATCCGGGTTTATGGACCTTGGTACTGGCCCTCCATCCGCCAATGGGCATGGTATCGACTGCTGCCTTCGGGCTATCATTTCCATTTCCACCGGTGGATTTCCCTTTCGCTTACAACGACCGACAGCAACGCCCACCGAGAGGGCCTCGCTCCGTGGCCACCCCACTCTCAATCCGAAGTCCATGGCGAGTCAGCAAACCCCGAGGATGGGCAGCAGTCCAACAAGGTTTGCCCTAAGCCCGAATCCTTTGTCTGACGCCTGCCGTCCCGAAGCCTCGGAAAATAACTAGACCATATCAGACATTCCATATCAGCCCATGCCAGGGCGGGCAGTGGGTCCTTCCTGCAGCCCACTCCCGGGACCCAGGGAGGCCAAATGCCGTGCACGCACCCGTCCTGTCACGATAACGTGCCGTCGGCCCTGCGTCTGAATGGCCCTGCGGCCAGATCCTGCCAGCACTGCACGAGTGGAGGTCCTCGACCGGTCTTGATCGCAGGATGGCGTGTGCGGGCGTCTGACTGGACGGGTGTAAGAGCCGTCTCTGGCAGGGATTGTCATAGGCTGCACTGCGGATCCTGCGAGATGGGGATACGCGGCATGGACAGACTTCGCAGAGTGAGAACCAGCCGAAGACCTCGGTGTGCTCGCGTGCCATGAGGTCAGCGTATCGGCGGGGCCTCGTTTCGCGGTGAAGGCGTATCGTGGTCAAGGGATGGCTCGTATTTATATCACCGCGGATCCTCGAGCAAAATGTGAGAAACTGCCCAGTATATCCCCTACCTGATCGACATCATGTTCCAAACTCTTGCCCGTGAGATCCAGCTTTGCTATGGCTTTGTGCGTCGAGACCTGGGAACGGGGCTGCTCCCCGTCCCAGGCTTCACTCTGGCTTCTCTCCTCTACCGCAAGGCCTCGGGGGAGGAAATGATCCCCGCCATTGGACGTATGGTGCCCTTTCCTCCATAGATATGTTCATGCTCAGTGGATGTCCTGGCAGATGCCTTCCTATATGGCTTCCTGTATCTCTACACCTTCGTCGTCTCCAATCAGATCACGGGCGTGCACGAGGACAAGGTCAACAAGCCGGACCGTCCCATTGCATCCGGGGCTGAGTCCGTCTCAGCGGCCACGATCCGATACTGGACCCTCACCACTCTGTATCTTGCCTACGGATACTCGCTGGGGGTCTGGGAATGGGCCCTCCTCTGGATCGTCACCACCATCGCCCACAACCCCCTGGGCTTCTCCAACTTCGGTCCCACCAAGGACCTCTGCATGGGGCTGGGATGCATTGCCCAGCTCAAGGCAGCGTGGGCCCTCGGGGGCTCTCCACCCCAGATGGGATGGGAGTGGATCAAGATAATCACCCTGTACATGCTGTGGCCCATTCCCCTGCAGGACCTCCGCGATGTTCCGGGGGATCTGGCTGCAGGACGCCGCACGACGCCGATATTGCTGGGAGACGTGCCTGGTAAGCGGGCCCCCACAATTCCTGTCCGGAGTTATCACTGATGCCTTTCAGCTCGTGTCTACATCTCTGCTGGCATTATCGTGTCACAGGTGAGGGTATGTAAACTACCGAAGACATATATCACTAACAGATCACAGTTCCTCCTGATCAAATACCGCATCCTGGAGTACCGCTACGACACCTCCACCCTCGCCCTCTCCGCCGCGCTGGTGCTGATGACCGCCGGCTGTATCTTCCGGCTGTTCGCCTTTCGGTCCCTGACCAGCGATCGATTCTCGTACTGGCTGTACACGGTTATCTACGTGTTTCAACCGTTGTCAGCGGCGATTACGCTGCGCTAGTGGTCAGTATTGGAAGTGGTGGGCAATAGGGCTCATGGAGGTTGCAATGTGGATATATATATCAGGGGGGGGGCGAAGGCAGAGGGCACGGGACCATCAGAGATGTATGTTTTCTATGGGTAGGATTTATATTGGTAGTCTTTTCAACCCGGAATCTTCACCTCGAGCACTCCCGCGTGCAGAACATTCTCTGTCTCAAGCTTCACCTTCAGCGGTACCAGCTGCCTGGTCTGGGTCAGATTGGCACTCGCATGTCTGAGATGGGCAGCGAATGTGCCCGGCTGGATATCCCGGTCCTCGTACTGGGGCTCGTCCCACAGATCGGCCCGGGCATCCAGCTCCCCCGGTGGACCATGGGACAGCTTCATTCGCGCTGAGTTGGCCAGCATGCTGTCCTCAATCTCCTCCGCCCGAGCATACGCCAGGTCGTGGACCGCCCCTTCCCCGTCGCGCTGTAGGCGCAGAAGTCCAAACTGCTCGCCACCATTCCATCCTGTGCGCTTCTGGAAGTAGTACATCTCGTCCAGCGCCGGCAGAACATAGATCTTGCCAGTGTAGTAAGCGGGACCATTGAAGCCGTCGGTGGGATCGACCAGTTTGCGCAGTCGCTCGAAACAATGCATCTGGGCGATGTAGTCGGTGACTCTTCCCATGGCCCCCTCGCGGTCCGGATCGATGTGGCATCCGGTCATCTCGTACGGGGTCGCCGGGTCCGCGAGGACGCGCCAGCAGATGAAGAGGAGCGTGCCGACGTCCATCCAGACGCCCCCGTAGCGATACAGCAGCGGCAGGCGAATCAGATCCGCCGTGTGAGGCCCGGCGCTGGGCCCATCCATGGTTCGCTGGTTGACGGCGCCGGGGAGGACCGCCGCATCAAGGAAGAGGCGAAGGTTGGCCTCGTCCAGCACGCGGACGGTCCATTGCGGGCCCAGGCGACGCACCCAGGCGATGACGTTGCGCAACGATCTCGGCGTCGGATCGCGGGTCGCGCTGGGCCTGGGCCGCGGGGATGGTGATCAGACCGGGGGGATTCGACCTGGACAGGTTGGACTTTGGAGTCGTCAATGGCCTTGCTCTTCTGTCTGCCTGCTACATGTTGAGTGACTCAAGTTATGTACCGCGGGCCAGCCTTGCCAGACTTGGCTCCCTTCCTTCGCAAAGCCGCATACGGAGTAGGGTCGACCCTCACTGCTGGATCTAGTGTGCATGAGATCCTGCAGGGAAGGACCGGGGGGAGGTTTGCCCCGTGGGAATGTCGCGTGGGTGAGGGGTTAGGGCTCGAGATAGAAAGATAGGCCGGAGATATGCGGGCGTCCGAGAGACCCAAAAAACTCAGCCCAGGATTTTAGCCCCCGAATCCTGACTCGTATCTGCTGCTGACATGGCCGGAGTCCCCGACTGGCTGGCCCACGTGCGGTGATAAGCCGTTCAGAGAGAGAGAGAGAGAAAGAGTGGAGGACAGTGGATGTGCTATTGACTGGTATACACCCCACCATCTGTTTGCAGAATGCCGTTGAATGACACGCCCCAGCATCTCGTCCCACCATGCTGTCCGAGTTGGTCGCGCAGGTCCCGAGCGTATGATAGTTCTTCTGCACCGTGGGGCTGCTCCTCCCCGTGGCCGCCTCCACCCTAGTGTTCTATCGATCGTCTGTACTCCAGTCCCTTGGCTGGTATGCTGTGACTTGTGTGGAATCAGGATGTTAAGTCGACGATAGCGGCCACCTCGCTGTTCCACGACCACCACGACGTGGTCCGCGACGGTCAATATGTCTGGGTCATTCGCGACATGCATGAGGAATACGGTCTGTCTCCACTTTTGCCACCCATACTTCCTCACACCTCGGATGGTCGACGGTGACAGGCCCCGTCGTGCGAATCCGCCCCGACGCCGGGCGGCCCTCAGCCCGTTCTTCAGCAAGCAATCCGTACGAAAGCTGGAAGTATCACTCGAGAATACCATGCGCAAGGTCATCGAGCGGGCGGAACGAAACCAAATCGTCAATCTCAACGTGCTCTACGGCTCCATGGCCAGCGACATCGTCACCGGGTACGCCCTCGGCGAGAGCTGGGGGGATCTCGACATGCCCGACCTGAACGAGCGAGCGCCTGGGGGATTCCACTTCAGTACGTTCGTCCCGTCCATGGGCACGGTCTTGCGCAAGTTACCCTGGTGGATCATGGTCCGACTGCTCGATGTCAGCTTCTTCGCGAACATGGTGCGGAACGTGTCCGCATGGCTGGAGGTGATTCGGGCGTCCATCCGGGAGGAGAAGGAGAAATCCAGGTCAGCATCGCAGCGGGAGTGGCAGCAGATAATATCTTCTACACGATGATCACGTCCGAACATCTCCCCGAGGCCGAGAAGACGACCAAGCGACTGATCGATGAATCGCGCATCGTCATCGCCGCGGGCACGGATACAACCGCCCAGGCGTTGAAGGGGGTCACGTATGAGCTTCTTGCCAATCCACAGATCTTGAGGAAACTGAAGAAGAAACTGGGGTTTATTCCGCTGTCTGATGATGGAGAACCACCTCGGGTAGCGGATTTGGAAGAGCTACCGTATCTGGTGAGGTTAAATCTGTCCCTGTGGAAATACAGACTGATATTGTCCAGTTGGCAGTGATCGAAGAGGCCTATCGACAGGAACGTGTCTCCCCCGATGAAGACACGGTTCTTAACACCACCTCCGAGGGAAAATCAATCTCATACATAGTTCCAGCGGGGGTAAGTGGCATTCTTCATGCGATTCACATTTCACCCGCTGATTTACATGGCAGACCTCCGTCTCAATGACAGCCCCCATCCCCCACCGGCATAAGGCCCCCCAGTGGCGCACAACGCCCGCCAGACACTGCGCGTCCGCCAGCGGATGGCCGATACGCAGGCCCACGGCCATCCCTCCGCCGTGGAATCGAGTGACCTGCACCGCCAGGTTGGGCAGAGAGGCCACGCCCACGGTCGTGATCGACAGCGCCCAGCCCGGCAGCACGTCGGCCAGCTCGCTGTCGGTCCCCAGTCGCAGCTGCAGGCGTCCCGGGGCGGCTCAGGACCCGCTGCAGCCGGCCGTACCATTGCGGATACAGGTCCAGGGTCCGCACCAGGCCCGCCTGGAGGGCCAGCGAGGTGGGGGGCGGGGGACCGTCGGCCGTCGGGCACGATAAGGAGGAGTTGTAGTCAAGTCAGTTCATGGCCGGGACAACCATACCAGTGAGCAGGAGGGGAGGGATACATTTGCTGAAGGAGGCGAAACGATCCGGACTGGCGCCGTGGTGGCGGGTCGCTGAGGGGGCCGGCGCGACCCGGCAGTGGATAGTGTCTGTATAGTATCAGTAACTATAGTATCACTATACGATTATCTATATCTATCTCCTATCAGTCCCGGCCTGTTGGATCGCGGTCCGGACTCGGGCCTGGTTGCTTATCTGCATTTAACCGCGCAGGATTCTCCGCGCTGCGTCGTGTCGTGGGGATCGCTCCATCGCATGTGATGCCCCCCGGAGAGATAGCGGGATTTCCTTTTCCTCCCGGGTACAACGGGTCATGACTAGTATTAAGCAATAAGGTAGGGGGCAGATAGTAAGTACATTTTGAACAGCCGGATCCGGACTGGGGTCCCGCCACATCGATCACGTCACGGTCTTCGCCTCATCAGGTCGTCGTCATTCATCGCACCTCCTCCGTCTCGGCCGGCACGTCCACGATGCCCATGCTCGTGGTGTCGTAGCCCTGCTCCTCGAGGTAGGCGCGGAACCGGGCATCCTCGTGGGTGATGGTGTCCTACCCGTGGATTAGCATGATCTCCAAACCGGTCCGGCGGTCTGCTTACCTGGTTGATCTTGGGCAGGAAGAAGAAGGCCAGGAAGGCGCTGAAGATGCACAGGGCGCTGGACACGTAGAAGGGGTCCTGGCCCTGGCGGATCTTGTTGGGCGCGTTCTTCACGATGATGGGGAAAACGTAGGTGCCCACGAAGGCCCCGACCTTGCCCATGGCGGCGGCGGTGCCGTAGTACTGCCCGCGGATGGGGGTGGCGCACGTCTTGGCCGCGCAGAGACCGATGTTGTCCCCGGGGCCCACTTCACCCAGGGCGAGGAAGATCCTGGAGATGGTTAGAACCCGACCGGCAGACTGAGACTGACAGGGGACAGCAGGGAACTCACCCATAGACCACCACGAAGGCGCCGACGTACTGGTTGGTGTCCAGGTACGGGTAGCAGCCGGTCATGATCAGGCCGACCGCGCCCTGGAGGAAGACGCCAACCGCGAGGGTGTTACGGGGACCGAACCAGTCACTGCAGAAGGCGCCGATGAGGGAGCCGGGCAGGTAGAAGACGTTGATGACGGTGTTCCAGCCCAGGGTGACCCACAGGGGCGAGCTGTCGCCGATGATGATCTCCAGCCACTGGGAGGAGTAGATGCTGAACGAGTAGGTCGAGAAGTCGTACATGAACCAGATCAGGGCGACCACGCACTACATCCAGTCAGTCAGTCAGTCAGTCCGTCCGTCCGCTGTCCTTGTATGTTGTCCGGCAGATCGGGGAGGGAAATCTTACCCAACGCATCCAGTAAAACCTAGGTCCCGATTAGCATCGTCCGATCCCGCAGGCGAAGGAGGAAAAGGGGGGGAGCACTCACTTGATGATCAGCCAGATGGGGAACTTGTGCATCTTCTCGCGCCTGTACTCCTCGGGCTCCTTGAGCTTCATCCGCAGGTAGATCAGACTCAGCGGGGGGATGACACCCAGTCCCAGGCAGATGCGCCAGGCGGCGCGCAGGTGGTCCTCGCCGGTGGCCAGCACGACAATCATGGGGACGAGGGAGGAGGCGACGGAGGCCAGATCGAGCTGGAAGTTGGTGAACAGGATGAACCAGCGATGGCGGGTGCCCTCCTCCATCTCGCCACTGCTCTCGGCGGCGGCCACGGAGCCCGCCGGGTATTCGCCGCCCACGCCCAGGCCGAGGAAGAAGCGGTAGACGGTGAGGGCGTTGAACATGCCGGTGAGGCTGCCGTCCTTGCCGTAGGCGCCGGCGCAGAGGGCACCGAAGACGAAGAGGATGACGGTGGAGACCATCAGGGTGTTGGTGCGCGACCAGTGGTCGGACAGGTAGCCGAAGCCCAGCATGCCCACGACGGTGCCGGCGAAGGCGACGGACGAGACATTCTGGCTGTAGACCGAGCCGTCGTAGACCTTGGGGTAGAGCTTATCGAAGATGGTGTTGACGGTACCGATGACCTGGGTTGGCGACACACGGTCAGCAGGGGGGGGGGGGATAGGAACAAGCAATTCAGGGTTCTCCAGCGACTCACGTATTGCAGGTAACCGTCGGACCACAGGCCGGCACCACAGGCGAAGGTGGGCCAACTGCGCTCCCAGAAGGTCTTCTGGGTTTCGGCCAGAGGATCCTCATCGATGTGGGAGTCGTGCGGAGGGTAGACGGTCAGCTCCGACTTTTTCTCATCGCGGGGGTCCATCTTGGTGGTGGTAGATTGGGGGGGGGGGGGGATATTTTGAGATAGACGAGCAGGAGGAGAAGCAGGACAGGGCAGACAGGCAGAGAGACAACACAGCCGGCGCGGGGAAGAGCAGTCGGTGGCACGACGAGACCGGCAGGGACCGCTCAGCTGGTCGTCGACGAGGGGAGGGGGGGCAATGAGACACAAAGAGAGGCTGCAACTGGCATGCGAGGGGGGGGGGGACGCGCTTTTATACGATCATCGGCCGCAGGCCCTTGCTGGAGTTTGAAGGGAGAAAAAAAGATAAAAAAGATAAAAAGGAAAAAAAGGAAAAAAAAAAAAAAAAAGGAAAAAAAGAAAAAAGAGAAAAGGCTAAGACGAACGATGCAGCCAACGCGACCAGGATCACGCCGGCGAAGGCAAAGGCCGGGGTGGAGGCGACGTATAGGGCTTGAGAGCTGGAGAGCTGGAGAGCTTGAGAGGTGGCCGGTACCAGGCAGGTACCTGCTCAACGCATGTGACAGCCGCGACGGTTGGGGTACCCGCTGGGTAGCCGGACAACTCGTGCGCCTGGGACTGGATCGGGACTGGTTCGGGCAGCCCGACCCGCTTCCACTCTTCCACTCTTCCCCCACTTCCCCCTCGCCACCAATGGCAGCCCTCCATCGCCCCCCACGTGCTGCCCCGTGCCCTCCTCACTGGCAGCGGTCACTCAGTCACTCTCTCACTCAGTCACTCTCGGTTACGCAGGGACCAGGATTGCTGGCCGGTTTCCAGAATGCCCGGCAGAAGTACTACGACTAGTAGTAGTCAGTTAGTCATATCGAGGCTGCAGAGCCATCCGCCACGATGGCCGATCGTCATGCAGCTCTCCAGATGCCGCAGAGGCAGATGGACCAGAGATACCGGATCGACGATGATAGGGCTCGTTTCTCCCAGAAGATACTATCTAGATACTAGATAGATACGAGGACCGCGTAGTGTCCCACCGAGATAAGATAGAAGAGAAGAAACGAGACAGATAAATCCGCTCGCGCTGATTCGCGCCCCGCGACCTCAGGCCGTCAGGCCGGACTCCCGCTGGCCGACCAACCGCCCCATCCATTCTTCCCTTCCGCCCACCCACGTGCCGACGTCTCGGAGGCAGGCTGGCTGCCGTTTCTTCCCTGTTCCATTTCTGATTCACTCACTCGTCGCTCCATCTTGCCACGGCCATCGGCCGGTGTCACGCAATCCGTTCCCACTGCACGAAAGGAGCAGAGGTTCGCAGGGGGCTACTGCGGGGGGGGGAGAACAAATGCTTGTTTCTCGACGGCTCCACCACTGGTCACGTGCTGGTGAGCCGTGTCGGGACATGTTATATGTATATGTATATGTATATGTATATATTAGTATATGCACTGTGTGTTTGGTTTCTGTCCCGCGTGACCTCTCGCTGCACTGCCTCAGGCAGAGTCTCTGCCTGAGGTGACCAACCATTAGTATTGGTTGTATAGCCTTCAGCATGGCTGGGACCCTGCTCGTCCGGAGAACCACGACGATCGCCTGCTGCAGTGGTTCCTGGCCCAGGGGTAAGTCTTCATCGAATGGGGTGAGTGTCATACAGGGTCCTCTGTGTGACTAGTATCGGCCTACCCGATCGTGAATCCCACTTGCAGAAAATGGGAGATTGTTCTCTATCTATCTTTTATATCTATCGTGTCCATTCTGTCTCTGCCTCGTATGCACATCGATCATACCAGCACATCCTTCTTCAACCATTCATGGGCCTCGTGGTAGATCTGCTCGCACTGTTGCTTCTTCTTCGCCTTCTCCACCGGATCCTTGCCATAGCCATGGGTGAACCCGTGCGCGCATCCCATCGCCAAGGTCCACTTATAGGGTCCCTTTTCGAACGGCGCCTCCTGATCCTCCTTCTCGTCCAGTCCGGCCAGGCGATGGATCATCTGCTGGGCTTCCAAGCGAAGCATATCCCACTGCGCCGAGACCATGTAGATTTTCGGGGGCAGATCCTCCGGCTGTGCATAGCACGGACTCAGCACCGGATCGCGGCGGTTCTGTCCCACGCAGACATAGCCCCAGTCCAGATACCACCCGGCCTCGCCCAGGTTGTCCTTCGGCCCGTCTGCGTACGGCCGCGACTCCATCTTCTCGTTGGGCGGGTGGCTGAAATCGACAATGGGGTAATACACGATCGCAGCCTGGACGAGACCCTTCAATGGCGCCACCTGCGCCGCCGACAGCGCCAGATGGCCACCCGCACTGAAGCCCCCGATGACCACCTTGGCCCGATCGATCGGCAAAGACTCGTCCTGCAGGACCTCCGCCACCTGCGCCGCGATATCCTCCGTCCCCCTGGGGAAGGGATACCGGGGCACCTTGCGATAATCCAGACTCACGACCAGCATGCCCGTGCGTTTCGCCCAGGCGACGCAGAAGCGGTCATCGACCCCGGCGTCGCAGACCGCGAACCCCCCGCCGTGGATGTTGATATACAGGGGCAAGAGGTTCCCGGGTTGATGGCCGGGCGGGAAGAAGATGCGGGTCGTCAACATCGGTCGACATCTGTACCGCTTCACCAGGGTGGGTTTGGTCCAAGACGGTGGGGGGCGGAACACCCGAAGATAGAGGAAGTAGACACTGGCGAGAGATTTGAGGATCCAGAGGCGAAGGAAGCAGTTCAATCGGTGGGAGAAAGGCAGCCGCACTTTGAGCAGGGGGGGCGGCGTGTCCGTGAGGATTGTCTCGCCCAGGTGGTCCATGGGGGGGGGGGGGGTGGTGGTGGTGGTGGTGTTGTTGTTGTTGTTCTTGTCAGGGACAATGGGGGATTGGGGGCAGACAGGGCGGGAATATAAGGACTCTGCAGTCGGGCTGTTGATTAATCAACTATGCAGTGCAGGCACACAGCCACGATGAGGCAGGGATTTTACGTCAGTAGTCTGACTCTATCGTGAAGGTTGAGAGGCCCATGGGCTAGTAGTTTCGACGGATCTAGGGCTGACTCGCGTGTCTGTACTCTGTCCTCTGTACTCTGTTGACTGTCTTCTTCGGGGATCTCTCAGATGGACGACGACTCCGGAGTCGTACTAGACCCGATCATGGGGCATGTAGCTGGTGGGGATGATGCGTCTCCAGGATAGAAGAATCGCATGTGATCAGCCCACTTCTTCCCCTTTCTCCCTTTCTGTTCTGGGCTTTTGTAACGAATAATTCTCTGATCCTTCTCAACAATTCCCTCCGCGCCTTGCCGCTTGGGGTCTAGCGGCAGGGCTGCCGCTTCCCAACTACACGTGACCGATTGCTTGCCCTGGACGGGGGGTGTCGATGTGTATAGTAGATGACATCGGTCTCAAAATGATGGACGTGGAGTAGGTAGAATTCCCTGGGTTCTCGTTGTCAGAAGAGAAATTAAAGATATACATGGAAATGGGAAGGGAAAATCAAATAACAAGGCTGACTACCTACAAACAGTGAAGATATATTTTTCTCACGAGGCAGTACTAGTCTGGCTGAAGCAGGGGGACTTCAATACAATTTCCATCGACCAGGTGAGAAAGTGGTTCAACGATGTTACAAGAAGGGATTGTGATGTTGCCAACTTACTATTATCAATCCAACCAGAGTAACGTTGATGGACACAAGCGCATAGTGGTGAGATTTGTGGTTTGGATAGTCCGCAGGATGGTTCAGCTAAATTGTCCCTGTTCAGGCGACTATTTTTGACGATATAAGGGGCCATATCCAGGGCTGGCGTTACCACCATTGAGGATCCATTTCAGTATTGAGAGAAACATAGATGGCAGGCATATCAAAGGCACCGTTCCAGTACGTATACATGTGTCGGCTGTAACATGTGTCCCGATCTGGTCTGATTGGCCGCCTGAGGCCTGTGGCCCAGAGCGGCCTGGGGCATGACCGGCTGTAAATCGGGCATCCCCCCATCCGGGGGAAGATGACTCAGCCCTGACTCATCCTCAATGGCGTCATCGCACTCTCTCCTCTCTCCTTCTCTCCACGTCTCGTCTCTTCTTCTTGTCTCTTCTCGTCAGGTCGCGCCCTCGACAACTCTCCGTCCTGTGCGTCTGAGACTCCCTCTGCCTCCCTCCCCCCCCTCGCATTCATCTCCTCAAATCCCCCAGGCTGCAGAATGCGAGACCAGCTAGACCCTGACCGCGCCTGGTCTGCACCCTCAACATCGGTACGCGATCCGACCTCGGGCATGGCCACTTGATGTCATGATGGCATCATCCCCGAGGAACTTCCTCGCCTACCAACCCCCCCAACTACTCAGGCACCACTCACCACCCATCATCCTCCCACTCTTCTCCGCCGCGCGCTGTGCGATGAAATCACATCAATGACTGGCCACCCCCTACACCACCAACCCACACCATGGCGACCCGGAGAAAGAAATCCGACGATGGCCTTCGCGCCCCTGGTATCCCGACCCGGGGAGAAGAACGGTCGACCGAGCTCCAGCAGCAACAGCAGCTCCAGCAGCAGCAACAGCAGCAACAGCAGCAATCGGCTGCCGGATACGCCATGAACACCGCCAACTACCACGAGGACTTGCTCCATGACCTGTTCCAGGTCGTGCGCGCCACCGACTCGGACCATGTTGAGACCCTGGTGGCCATGATTCGCAGCCACGCCTCCCTCGAGGAGGTGCGCCTCTACCTCGACCAAACCCTGGCAGGCACCCGGGTCGTCGTGCACGACCAGCAGGCGCGACGGAATCTGGAGGGACTGCGACAGGGAATTGAAGTCATCAGTGAACCGCCTCGATTTCGCCCGCAGATTATGGACATTCGTTACCTGTGTGGGAGCGCCCCCATCCGCGTGCCCGCCAAACCCTGGACCTCCGTCACGGACGATGATGACCTGGTGTCGCATCTCGTCTCCCTTTATCTGGTTTGGGACTACCCCTTCTACGCCTTCTTCGACCGCCGCAGCTTTGTCAGGGACATGGCCCGGGGGAATATCGAGTCCGACTTTTGCAGCCCCCTCCTGGTAAACGCGTTGCTGGCCAACGCTTGCGTAAGTCCTCCTGCCGCCTACTGCGGATCCTGAAGCGAGACGACTGATGCGGATTGCATGGCGCAGTACTTTTCCCAGTATACCGAAGCCTATAGCGTGCCGGGAGATGTCCGGACCAAGGGCGCCGACTTTTTGGCCGAGGCGGAGAGACATATGCAGTCCCACCAGTTCGAAAAGGGGGGGGACACTCGTCTGGCGTCCCTGCAGGCCACTCTGTTGCTATATGAGAGATATTCTCTGTCCGGCACCGACGACTGGGGGTACACCATGTTACATCGGGCGACCGACATGGCCCAGTCGATGGGCATCGTGAACAGCTCCGCATTGCATCTCCGCCCATCCCAGATGTCCGAAGCCATGATCGTCTCCATCAAGCGGACCGCATGGGGCTTGTTCCAAGCCGATACGTAGGTTCTCAGCCGCCATGGGATTCCTGCAGCCACTAACGCCGACAGGGTGGTCCATACCAACTTCCTCCGCCCGAGTCGTGTGCGGGGGGTGAGCGTCAGCCGCATCACGGCGAAGGAGACGGGCGCAGACGACCTGTGGGCCCCGTATCCCATTGACAATACCACGTGCCCGTCGTACATGGCCCTCTATTTCGATGAGGCATGCGAACTGTCCTTCATCGCCCGGGACATCTCCTATAACCTGTCGCGGAGGGAGGCATCCGGAGTGCGTCCGGACGAGCGCAAGCAGGAGCTCTACAACCGGCTGCGTGATTGGGAAACAAATCTCTCGGATCCGTTAGAACTGGCGAGCCACTCTCCCCCTCACATCGCCCTCCTCAGGTGAGTGCGATCGCCCTGACCCGCTCTGGATGGAGCTGAAGAGTGCAATAGGATGCGCTACCACACCCTGGTTATTAATCTGTGCTGTGACCGGCTCGGGGCCCGTAGACCCCGGAGCGAGTCTGACGAGCGGCCCCCGACCCAAGATGGGTTTCGTGCGGCGGATATCGCGATGTCCTCGGCGCGAGCCATCGCGAGCCTGACACAGATCATGCGCGCGGAGTGGGGGATGGAGCACGCCCATCCATTCGCCATGTATGCCATCAATCTCGCCTTGTTCACGCTCCTCGACCAGGACACGTTCGACATTCTCGATCGGGACTTCCTGAGCTTGACCAGTGCCATGTCCATCGTTGCCTGTCGCTCGCAACTCGGACGGAGCGTCTTTCACGTCTTCAAACTATCGGTACGGTCGCGGAATCAGGGCGACCGGGTGCAGTCGTCGGATGAGGTGCCTCCGGGCATCAAGGAACTCTTTCAAGTCCGGCAGGCCCAGGCCCCAGACCGCTGGGATTACTATGTGGAGGGCATCGCCGACGTCGATAAAGACGCCACTCATGTCAATACATTGTCTGATGGCCTCCAATCGTCTGCCACCACCGGCCTACAGGACATGCTGCAGCGATACGAGCGGCTCAGCGTTGGCAAGGGAGACTACACCTGGCGCCGTCGGCGGCCAAAGGAGACGACATCCCTTTAGATCAGCGCTGGTGGATTCGATTGCATTATTAGAAAGCCGGCCGCAGATAGACGACATCTTCATTATGTACGAGCGTACGACTGTATATACTTTGCGTACAATAAACGACATCATTTCAACGTCCTACTCACCATTGGTTCCCAGTAGACTTGCAAGGCATTACGCGTTTGTGGTAGGTTTCTCAAAACAAGGTTGGCTATGTGACGTTTCAATAGATGGGCTACCATTCATTGTATTCGACTCCTTTTGAATACCTTATGCCCGCCCTTCCATCCGTGATACTATGCAGGTTCCAATAACTCCCAAACAACACCCACTGCTCCTTACAGGTGCAGGCCACCCTCCAGCGTCTCCAACACCTGCGATGCACTGCCGATCAAATGCAGGCTGCCCGTGATGAGCACCAGCGGAGAATTCTGCTCTCCGTTCGACAACACAGTGCCGACGGCCCCGGCGCAGCGCACCGCCTCTTCCACCGTCCGAACCATTGTGATCCCCGTCATCTCTTCGCCCGGAATCCCCCGCCGATGAGCGCCTAACTGTGTCTGCTGGCTCGGAATTTCCGGACCCCGAGTTATCACAGAAAGTCATCAATACCTGTTCCATGTCCGCGACCTCGTTGCGCTCCTAAGGCGTATTGGCGCAGACGATTACATGGTGGAACGGGACAGCACGGATTGAGCCCACCGCCGACCGGCGAATGCTGTCTCTCGAGCGCCGGACCAGTGTGAAGGCATCTCGGGTGGACTGATTGAAGATGAGGACGCGATTCGAAGAGACTTGTTGTGCCGCCTTTCTCGCAAACCAGGGGCCCACCAGGTCCACGCTGTCGACCCTTTCTTGAAGGAATACATGCAGTGCCAGTAGGTAGGTGAGGAAGCGAGCGAACGGGGGTCCGCCTTCGGTACATTCCTCAGTCAAACCCAGTCTCTCCCAGATATCGTTGAAATACGTGACAAATTGCTTCTCTGACAGGGGGGTTTGATGGAAGGCCATGGAATTCGCTCTCGAGCCGTGCGCAGATAGGGAGCCGTATAGAGACACAACTTCTGGGTCGGGTTCTTGGTTGCATTAGATGCAACCCTTCAGGGGAACAATGCACTGCTTACGTGCGGGCCTTGGTATTCGGACAAAATGGCAGCGATAACCGCCGAGGTGGAGCCTTTGCCTCTGCTTCCGGCAATATGCACGGTATTCAGAGGATCAAAGTCGGGACTCTGCACCTCTGTCGGAACTGCGCTTAGAGGGCATACTTGACTGCATACCTGGTACCCAACTGTGCGACACCACTTCAGCATATCCTCGATCATGCCCATTTTGTCTGTAGTTTTTATCGCTTTCTGCCAATCCGCAAAGTTTGTATCCAACAGGTTCAGTTTCCGCAGTGCATCCTTGCCGGAGGTTAAGAATCGCCGACAGAGCCCAGGGATAGCTTTCTGCAACGAACAGTCGCGACTTGCGTGGGTGTCTTCGCTATGTAAATCGCTCATTGCCTCCCCGTGAAGGGATGGGAGAAGTCATATAAAGACGAACTCTGCGAGGGTATCCAAACCCAGACCCAGGGTCAGGACAGCAAGCCCAGCTCCCCGTCCCCTGCATCTATACCTCTCTCCATGGTCGGTATTGGCAAACAGCACGGGACTGACGCGTGTTGGCAGTTGGCTGGAGGGGATTACTAGGAAAAGGAGGGTTTGACGTGGATTTGTTCCGCATGAAGGTAACCGGCGTTGGGAGTGGGAATATATTCCCGTATCCGGCACCGCGGTCACATCTGCGGTGTTACTCCCCTGGCAGTCCTCGGGATTTTCAGCAAGGTCCGTCATCATAGATCCGGAAATGAAGGCCCTGTCTGCTCCGATGTGGTTTTCATTGCATGGCAGTGAATGCCAACCTCAGTGATGCTCATTGCTCGCCTCAGGCACCAAGGCAGGCAACGAGCGTTCGGAACCGACCGGGTGGGCGAGGGGGCGGACCCGGCCCGCCCCGAGTCGCGCTCTCTCTCCCTTTGGGGGGTTAGTCTGGATGCCCATCCTCATAAATCGGGGTTGTCTGGTTATTTTCTCATTTTGTCGCCTCGCAAGAGCAGTCACGACTGCAGCTCGGATAAAGGAGCCGGAACGGTGGACTTGGCCCCCGATGCGCCCGTGGATCACCAGGTACAGCCCCGAGTGGCGTCGTGGGATGACCACATCGTCTTGATCTCGTCCATCTCATGAAGGAGCATGCGTCGCCATGATGTTATACAACCCTCCTGATGGACACGAAAGGGCAGATTGGTACGTAGTTGTGGCAAGCCTTGAGTCGGATGCTGCGGAACGGTGTTATCAGGTTCGCGTGAGACAATGATGTCATGGCCAACATCCATTTAAAATCAGTAATTTAGGAGTGCGACTGACTATGGTGATTGACCTGACCTGAAAAAGACATCTCATAAGAAATCTCTGTTCCACAACAGCACACACTATCTGCGGTACATCAGGGTTCAGCACCATGGTCTACAACATCACCGAGAAAGAGACCCAACCGACGGTATGGAGCCACATCAACGGCCCCGAGTCGGCCATGCTGGACCGCTACTGCGTGTCCGAGCTGTGCAAGGGCTGGCCCGTGTACCGCGACGCCTCGGAATGGAACCACTACCGCGATCTATTCGTCAAGGACGGCGCGTTCGTCTTCACCAGTGTGTCCCCACTCGTCCCCCAACCTCATCCATCCATCCATCCCGACTCTAGCTGACCCATCCAGCCTGGAGCGGCGGCCTCCCAATCGACGACTTCATCTCCGTATCCATCAAAGGCCGCGCAAACGGCGACCACATCATGCACCGCGAGAACGGCACGCTGGTCGACCTCAACCCCTCCACGGGGCGGGCGATCGGCAAAATGAAGGCCACAATCACCCAGCGTTTCTCCTGGGACGGCGTCGAGTTCGACGTGGACTGCGACTGCCGTTTCATCAACTTCTGCGTCAAGCAAAACGGCGAATGGAAGGTGGTGTACATCAAGCTATTCTACGAGAAGGACCGAGTGGCGCCCGCGGACGGACACACGGTGCCGACGTTCGACGCGGCCGAGCTGGAGAGGTACCCCAAGGGGTATCAGTATCTGGCGGTGGCGCAGGCGCGACTGGGACATCCGATCCTGGGGGACCTGCCGACGATGGATAATGAGGCGTTCTTTGCGCTGTATCGGGCGATGGATGCGTGGCTGGAGGGGAGGGCTGTGGGGGATTTGTTGGGGATTCCCAGGGACGCGGAGCCGAGGTATTGAACCGATTATGGGACATGGGGTATGGGAGATGGGATCTGGTACGCTTAATGAGAATTGAGACTGGATTTGATAGGATGATACAGAGTATAGGACATAATGTTGATTATTGCTCGGGAGGGTGTCACGAGAAGGGATAACGTGTAGTCATGATTCATGCACAGAATTGGAAGCAGACAATACTCGTCACCAGGGTCAGATCAACCCCAGATGCGGAAAGGAATGGACGAGTTGTAGCACCCCCCATCCAGCCAGTCGCCCGTGATGGTGTGCACCGGATCCCCCTTGCCGAACTCGAGGATCTCGCCCCCGTTCGGGCCCTCGGGATCGAAGGCAGGCCAGCCCACGGTGGTGTTGACCGTGTTGGGATCCTTCAAGAACGCCAGGAAGTGATCCTGCATGGACTCGGAGGTGTCCACCTCCAGCTGGGGAATATCGCCCGCCTGGTCGCGGTACGTGCCGAAGATCAGCAGCAGGTCGGACCAGTGGTAGGCCCCGAGCCAGCCGACGGGGCTGATGTTGGAGAAGTTGCCCCCCCAGAAGTAGCGGTACGTGTCCAGCCCGATGGACCGACGCAGGGCAGTATCCATCGCGGCCCGGCAGTCCCATTCGCCTTCGCTGATCATCACGGAGGTGGTGTTGTCCGAGGCATCCTCGCGGGCCGCGTCAGAGCGAATGGAGGGTCCGCGGGCGACCTGTCCGGTGGCGTAGCGCTCGGATTCGTTGGAGAAGATGTATTTCTCGTCGGCTGGGCAGCATGGTCAGCGACAGCATCCGAGAGACGGGGGCAGACAACTCACGGATATAGTTGGTGAAGGCGATGGACGGCGACCCCGAGTAGCGGTTGATGTACTCCTCGATCTGCACCCAGGAGACCAGGCGCATGCACTCGAGCTCAGCCTCAGCATCGTCGCCATAGTTGCAGCCCAGCGCCTTGGCGACGATGTCGAAGTCCTCGTACACGTCGCCCGCGGTGTCCAGGTCGATGGTCACGGAGGGGGGCTGCGAGATGACGCCGAACTTGACGGCCAGCGGGTCGTCGGGGAAGGCGAGGGTGTACAGGTGCGTCAGGGCGGCACCTTGCGATTGGCCCCAGAGCTGTCGACAGTTAGGTTTGGATATTGGAACCTGGAACCTGGTTACGCGAGGGAGTACCGACCATAATGTTCTCGTCATCACCGCCGAATGCTTCGATGTTTTCCTTCACCCATTCGACCGCCGCCCGCACGTCCAGCAGGGTCAGCGAGGTTTCCTTGAGGGCGCGGGATTTCGGGTCTGCGAGGCACGGGTTAGACGGAGAATAGGGACATCGGAAGGGAAACGGAGCCATACTGCCAAAGATGTTGCTGCGGTAGTTGATGGTCACCACGATGTGCTCCTGCGAGCGCGAAACCCACGGCGGGGGCAGCTGCGAGGGGATATCGATGCCCCCGGTGATGCCTCCTCCACCAGTCACAAACAGCGCGACGGGGAGCTTGGAGGTGCGGTTGGCATACGCAGGGGTCCAGACGGCCAGCGAGAGGCAGTCCTCGGAGGTCGACCACGCCACGGAGCCCTGGTTGAGGTCCTCGCCCAGACTGAGCAGCAAGTTGGACGGCGCATACTCATTCCACATGGAGGTTGGCGCGGTCACATACTGGGGGCATCCTGCGGGAAGGACGGGTCAGCGAGTGACGGAGAGTCGAGCATCTGGAGGCACATACCCGGTCCATATCGGGTGGAGTCGTACTTGCGGCTAGACGGATCCAGCTTCTGCGGCGGCATCCAGCGCAGGTCTCCGGTGGGAGGCTAGAGGAGGTCAGGATGGGATGCCAGAGTCGATGGATGGATGACTGCGAACCTTGGCATACGGAACGTGCAGGAACTGGCGCACGTTGGGGAAGGTATCGTTCAGGAAGCCGATGAAGGTGCCCGTCTGGGTCTCGACGGTCAGGTTGGACCAGTTGGACAGGGTGCGCGGGGGCTCCCAGGTCAGGTTGGCATAGTAGGGGGGCTCGTATAGAGCCAGGGCGAGAGGCGCCCCCAGCAAGAGAGATCCGAGGAGCTTCATGGTGAAGATGCTCTCTATCCTGTGTATCTTGTCCTGTGTTGTAGCTCTGTCCTCTCACTCAAGCCGGGGGGTACCGGACACCCTCTTATATACCTCATCCCCGGACGCAGAGGAGGGCTTTTCATCCACCCCAAATGGTTGGGCTGAGGTGAAGAAGATTCAACATGCCAAGTTCCAGTTACGTCAGTAGACGAGCAGCCCAGACCCTAGCCTGTGCCCTAGTCTCCGACTGACCCTCTCCCCTCGACGGCGATTCGATGGCCGGTCCGCACCATGTCTGGGGATCTCCACTCCGGGGTCTCCGCGGGTATGATTTATCCCGGCCCTGGGCTTGCAGGATTCGGTTCCCCCACGGGTCTAAGCAGAAAGCAGTGATGTCGAATAATGCGGGGGGGGGGTTGAGGGGAGAATGCTGCCATTGTTGTCGCTTTTCCCTGCTGACGGCTCTGGCCGCGGTTGCGGGGGATGAAAACCCTTTCCCTCTCCCCATTCACCCACCCACAGGACCATCCGGAAATGAGACACGGGCTGGTCTTACAATCTGATACGATAGCCCCCAGAGTGAAAAAGAAAACAAAAAAAAACACTTCACATATCGGTCCCACAGCCGAGCTGCTCTCCATTGTCGGCCACAACAGGCCACCGGGTCACATCCGAGCCTCCAGCCCGATGATTTCCCACCCCAGATCGGTTGGGGTATGATTCTCTAGCGCACCACTCGTCTGCTTTTTGCCCGACGGCGATTTATCATCGAAGCCAGTCAAAGGGATGCCGCACGACCCGTCTGCCCCGCAGTCGAGGTTCGACCACGACCGGATCATACGTGTCGCTTGTCGTCCCACGCAATTCCGAGTCAGCGATATCCGGCGGCTGCACGTCGCCCGGGTCCTCCGCAGGATACGGAAGACCGAGGAAGGTAACGCGACGTGACGTTGCGGACGGTCGACAGGTCGAGTTGGCAATGTCAAAGCCGTCCGGGTTGTTGGCTGGGTTGTCTGACCCGTCGTTAAGCGGGTTCTTCGGTTGCAGCCCGGATACCTCGGTGGTGCTGCCACCGTTGATGCACGGCAGGGTCGGACGAGAGTAGAATCAGTTTCGGGTAAGAGGTCCTCCCTCGAACTGAGGTTAGCCCAGAGTGAAGTTTCTCCAAGAGGTGGAGACCCAATATGCAGATATGGTCATCAACCCCCCCCCCCCCCCCCCAGGACCCCGTCCCAAACAGCCTGATGTCGTCTAGCCCCTCCAACTGACCGCTTCGCTGGTGAATTTGCGCAGTTCGTTGACCTGGATGTCGCAGTTGACGTGACCCCCGGGATTGATTGAAGACACTGTTCAGGCACTACAGAGTACCCTCCCTTCCCACGCCAGGAGTGAGCTATTCGCAGCAGCCAGTCCCTCGTTTCGAGAACGGTGTCCACCGAGAACCTCTGATCTCGGCTGAACCCACCCCGACGCAGCGGGAAAAGCCGGTCGCTTGAGCTTAGACGGAGAAGTTCCCCCCTTGCACATCGTCGGACTGTCAACAGAGTCGCGGCATCCATAGGTTTTCTCCCGGATGAAGTCGGTTATATCGACTCGAGAGCGCTGTCGGGCCGCGCCTTGTCGGAAAGCAATCCGTGACGAATCGGATCTCTGTACCCAGCAGGCCTGACAGGACGAGCATGTGCCTTGACCTTGACAGCCTTGGTAAGGGAGCTAATGCACGAGTTGTCGATCCGGTTAACCGGGGGCCGAGATGTAACCTGGACACATTACCGGCCTGTGCCCTGATGGTGATTTGCCACCACTGTGTCATCCTTTTTGGAAGAGGCCTCTGCGTGCCCCCGTGACTGATGGGAGACACTGGAGTGAGGTGACCCATGCCAGAATATGCCTCCAGAATGGTATCAGGCAGGTCCCTGCCGGGATAACGTGCAAGGGCATCTCATGTCCAATGCTTGGTCATTGCTTCGACTCGGTTCGAGGCTCGTCTGTCAAGTATGAGAAGCCACGCGCCGAGGCCCTCGCTTGCAAGTACAATATTTCTGCTAGCCGCCGAAAACTGGTGATCACAGTTCCTTTTGTCGAAATCGCCATTCATGCAGCAAGATGGTCTGGGCGTCCCGGGGAACGTCTGCACGGCGTACTACCATATTGCCCCGACTGCATGGTTGGCAGACGCTGCCGGTTGCAACTTTGGTGACGCCGGTGTCTGCTTCGGCAGATGCGACTGCGACATCGTTCCCAACACATGGACGATGGTGGAAGGCGTCACCCCACGGCACTATGAGTACAAGACAATCGCCTCGGAGCGACAGTGGACGAGACAAAGTCCAATGGATGAGCTTGTGCCTGGTTCGCAGTTAGGTTAGCCCTAAAATCGAGACAAGCACCTCATCGGCCAGCCGATGAGGCCATCGGCGATCACCCGCTCTCGCCCGAGAGCCATGCACGCTCCGTCGGCCTAGAGCAGCTCCATTGTTGTCCGGACCAGACCTCTGGCGGCAATAAGCGTCTCTGGTCGGAACCTGCATGGCGGCCTCTGCTCGTCCATGGTCTCTGTCGATCCCGAGCAGACCCCCGCCGACCTTCTCCCGCGCACGGCTCGTCACAACAACCCCGGATGGTGCCATCGGGGGCCTGGGATCTGGGGGATCTGGTCAGGAGATAATTAAGCCGGGGATTGTCTTCGCTTGCGAAATCCCGGTCAACGGGCTGAAGATACGATCTCCGCAACTCTTGCAGACAGCCATCACCCGCAGCCACAATGTCTCCTCCCGCAGTCGCAGACGGCACGATAGGCACGAAGAATGTCTCGGACAACATCGACATCGAGCGCCAGGGCTCCGTTGCAACCGTGGCGATACCCCCCAAGTCGCTTGGGGCAGGGGTAAGCTGTTCACCACCATCCGGTGGTCCCATTGCTAACGCCGCCAGTCCGCGTTGGCGCTGGGCGCATTCGGCACCACGTTGACGACGCTGTCCCTCAGCCTGATGGAATGGCGCGGGGTGACGGTGGACAACGTCTTCGTGGGGAACTTTTTCTTCATCGCGGCCTTTGGGCTGGTGGTGACTGCGCAGTGGGAACTGTCCATCGGAAACGGCTTTGCGTACACCGTCTTTAGTGCATTCGGTGTGTCCCGTCTCTTCCATCTCCCTCCTTCTTCCCCAGCCATTGGCAACATCCCTAACACCATCCCAGGCCTCTTCTACGCCGGATACGGCGCCATCCTCACCCCCGCCTTCGGGGTGTCCCAAGCCTACGGCAACGACACGACGCAGTACAACAACGCGCTGGGATTCTTCATGATACTGTGGACGGTCTTCGTGTTCACCTTCCTGATTGCCTCCCTGCCGAGCAACTTGGCCTACATTCTAGTCTTCTTCCTCGTGGACCTGGGCTTCCTGACCGTGGCGGCGAGCTACTTCGCCGAAGCGGACGGACATGCCGCGTCGGCCGTGGCGCTGCGCAAGTCCGGGGGCGTGTTCTGTTTCGTGGCGGGGCTGATCGGATGGTATATTGTGTTTCATCTCCTGTTGAAGGATAGTCTGGTGGATCTGCCTCTGGGGGACACGTCGCGGTACTTTGCGCGGAGGAAGAAGACGGCAGAGTAAAGGAGGATGGGGAGCTGAGCTGTCGCGTAGTTGCCTTCTTTCGGTCGATATAATACACTCGGAGCCACGGGGGGTAGTAGCGAATCATTAGTTAAGTTACTGGGGGAATATAGAGGGGTTGTTTGGTGGGGGAATGGACCATCGAGTTTAGTGCAGTTCATCCAACTAAGGTTATGGGGTAGCGTAGCCCTACTAGACCACTATAGTATACTTCTTTGTAACCCCCCTCCCCCCCCCTCCTCCCACCAGCCCCTCCAGAATCGCAGTCGCCGCTTGTGGATTGTTGTATTGTGTCATATGCGGCGCGATAACGACATTCCCCTGGGGCATTGACGAATTGGAGATGCGACCGGGACCATTCGTGCATGGGTGGTGGGATGGTTCCCTCGGGGCTGCAGATGGCGTGCTTCCCGCGCGTCATTTCTAAGCTTCATGCGCCATCGCATAATTTTGAGACACCGCATCGCATCCGATCACGTATACCACCGCCCTGTCGGCCGAGATGCGCGTCGCTGCGATCATATATACCCCCTCCCCGCTGCATACCAGTTGGGCATTCACTTCTATCTGCCAATCCACTCTCCCATCATGACCCAAGACGTCCCCGCCACCGACCCCGCCGTCTACGACGCCTACCAGGCCCAGTGGGCGGCCCTCCCCGACTCCCCCCAGGCCTGGCTGGCACGGGCGCGGGAAGTCGCCGCGGTTCTGGGGCAGGATGCAGCCCAGCGCGACCAGGAGAACAAATCGCCGCGGGCGGAGGTGGTGTTGCTGAAACACTCGGGGCTGCTGAAGCTGCTCGGCCCCAAGAGGTACGGCGGCGGCGAGCAGCCCTGGTCGGTGGGCTATCAGGCCATCCGCGAGGTGGCCAAGGGTGATGGGTATGATGAACCACCCCCCCCCCTGGCTGTGGGATGAGTACAATGATGGATGCTAATTATCAATGATCGGACCACAGCTCCATCGGCATGCTCCTCGGCTACCATCTCCTCTGGTCCACCACCGCCAACGTCGTCGGCACACCCGAACAGGCCGAGCGCATCCAGGAATGGATCCTCACCAACAACTACTTCGTCGGGGGGGCCGTCAATCCGCGCGACAGCGACCTGAGGATCACCTCCGAAGGGGACCACATCGTCTTCAACGGGGCCAAGTTCTTCAACACGGGCGGCGTCGTGTCGGATGTGACGGTGCTGGAGGGCGTCCTGGCCGGCACGGACGAGCATATCTTCGCGCTGGTGGAGACTCGCCAGCCGGGCATCCAGTTCGCGCATAACTGGCATAACATCGGGCTGCGGTTGACCGAGTCGGGGGGCGTCAAGATCGACAATGTGCGCGCGCCGTGGACCGATGCCCTGGGATGGGATGCCAGCTCCCAGACACCCCGCGAGGAGGTGCTGAAGATTCCCTTTGCAGGGTTGCTGCTCCCCACGTGAGTCCAACGCCTTCTTGTAAGATTCAGTATCATCCACTGACACCCTCCAGCATCCAACTCGTCTTCAGCAACTTCTACCTCGGCATCGCGCAGGGCGCGCTGGACTTCGCCTCCAAATACACCGTCTCCTCGACCCGCGCCTGGCCCTTCGGAGGCGACAACAAGGCCTCCGCGACCGACGAGTTCTACATCCTGGAGCGCTACGGCAACTTCTTCGCGCACCTGCGCGCCGCCGAAGCCCTGGCCGACCGGGCGGGCGACCACCTCACAGCCCTCTACCGGGACCACTCGGCCAACCGCCCGGCCCTGACGCCGCAGCACCGCGGCGAGGTCGCCGAATGGATCGCCAGCGTCAAGGTCGTCACCACCGACGTCGGGCTGCGGGTCACGGCGGGCGTCTTCGAGGTGACGGGGGCGCGGGCGACCTCGTTGAAGGTGGGCTTGGATCGGTTCTGGAGGGATATTCGCACGCATACCCTGCATGACCCCGTCGCGTATAAGAATCGCGAGTTGGGGCGGTATGCCCTCCTAGGGGAGGTGCCGGAGGTGACGTGGTATACTTAGTTGGTTTGAGCATGTTCCTCGCAGTTGTTTGTAATAAGTATATACGAATTGATGGTCCTGAGCCTTTGGTATTCACTGCCTTTCCATTAGCTTCCCCCCCCCCCCCACGTAACATTCTCCACAGCACCTAGACCTCCTTCGCGTAACTTGAGGAAACACATCCAAGTCGTTGAGGTGTCGATTGGATTGCTGTGATGTGCAATGCGTGTGGACCTCGAATCAGTCCCAACTCACCACCACGTTCCCCTGTCTTTGGTACTTATTGTCCTCTTCGCGGTAGACCCCCGTGTCACTGTTGTTTCGCGCTTGAAGGCCTCTGTTCCTTTTTTGTCATCCTTTTTGACAAGACGACCATTGAGGTCAAAATGCGAACTTCCTGCTTAGGTCAATCCTGGGAAAGGCAGACACCTCTCCTCCATGTTTCTGGTATCACGCCAGCGCGTCATATCATGTCACTATTTCTTCCGGTTCTCACCCCCAGGGCTTAATTGACAGCTGCGATCCCGAGGGTCCATCCGCCTTGTTTTTGTCGACAATAGCAATCAGGCATACTGATCGGCGGGCCCGATCAGACTGTGAGCACGAGATGGAGGTACAGATTATCCACGAGGTGATGGTGGCATGGTCACCCCCAGCACCACCTCCTCTGACGCCGAGCCACCAGGCAACAAGACACTCTCCAGCACGACCGAGTGTATCCACTCTCGATCCACTCGCAGAGCTCGTGCGGGGATTTCCCCCGCGAGACTCCGCCGGAGCACCGTCCATGAACCTCAATTATCATGAGCGTCACTTATCTATCGATCCGGGAAGACCGGCTGTCGCTATCACGAACGATGGGAACTTCATATGTCTCACCCTCGCAAGTGCCGGAAGATACGTAAGACAGTTCCACAGATCCCTTCTCTTCCAGGAGGATCAGAACTTTGACGGTTGGCTTCATGCATGCGTGACTGCTGGCCCCAGCTAGGGTCGTCGAGCTTCGATCCTTTGGAGCGGTCCTGCGATGCAGGTTCGCAGCATTGCACCAAGGGGATCTTGGCAACGACGCAGGTAATCCAGCCGTGCATCCTTCGAGAATACGAAGCATGCCAGAACCGTTCTGCATGCTCATGTCTTATCATTCGTTCCATCGGGCCTCCGGTCCTATCCCGGTGGCAGGACGGGTCAACACGCCGCGGCGAATGGTCGTGGCCGATAACGAGCGACTAGCTGAAGCGACAGGGCTAGCGCTGGCATGGCGCAATTAGCGGGCAGATAAGCTGCCTTCAAGCCGGGTCTGCGTCGCCCCGTCCAGCCCTAGCGCGAAGCTATCCACGGCGTATCCGCCATCATTGGAGCAGCCGCTGAGTCCCCCCGCAACAACCTGATGACCGCCTGGCAACCCGCATATCCAGCATTCCAGGCACCATCACGGCATCCTCCAATCGGACTACGGCTGGTAGATTGCTGTCGGCGGTGTGGTGGTGAGTCGTATGTCGCAATCAGCCCTCACATCCGCAGCTGCAAGGGCCCACTCCGGACGGACCTGCTGCGAGACTGCGTCTGGTATTTAACTCTCCCACCCCGCCGATCCCTCGTCGTGTCGGTCGGAAGTCGCAAGCAAGCCATCAACGCAGTCGTCACGATGTTGGTCCGTCAGCTCGCCGTGGCCTTGGCCATCGCCGCCGTCTCCGAGGCCGTCCCGACCTCCGTCAAGCATGTCCTGCACGAGAAGCGTCACCAGCCCGCGTCCGACTGGGTGAAGGGCGCTCGCGTCGAGAGTGATGCCATCCTGCCCATTCGCATTGGTCTCGCCCAGAACAACCTGGACAAGGGTGACGAGTTCTTGATGGAAGTGTAAGTAGGACATGTGTCTACTCCGTATATCTGGGGACAGTCCTTGCGTTCCTTGCGAGTGATCGTCTTGTCGAGACAAAGCTGACGATTGACAGCTCGGACCCAACCTCCACCAAATACGGCCAGTACTGGTCCTCCGACGAGGTGCATGACATGTTTGCGCCGTCCCAGGAGGCCGTCGAGGCCGTCCGCGAGTGGCTCATCGCCTCGGGCATCGAGTCGTCGCGCGTGGTCCACTCCGACAACAAGGGCTGGCTCGCCTTCGATGCCTACGCGCACGAGGCCGAGCGGCTGCTGCTGGCCGAGTTCCACGAGCACGAGAATGCGGCCAGTGCTCGCATCCGGGTGGGCTGTGACGAGTGAGTGCACCCATCATCCTGATGGGCAGTGGCAGCTGACCGGCCAGGTACCACCTTCCCCAGCACATCCAGAAGCACGTCGACTACATCACCCCCGGCGTGAAGATGACCCAGGTGGTGAAGAGAAGCAAGAAGGTCAAGCGGGCCTCGCAGTTGGGACACTCCAGCAAGGCCAAGACGGCTGCCCTGGACAAGCACCCCCAGCCTCTGCCCCCCCAGGCCAAGTTCCTGCCCGACGATCTCAAAGCCTGTGGCTACAACATCACCCCGTCGTGCATCAAGGCCCTGTACCACATCCCCGACGCCGACAAGGCCACCCCGGGCAACAGCCTCGGCCTGTACGAGCAGGGCGACTACTTCGCCAAGTCCGACCTGGACCTCTTCTACCAGGAGTATGCCCCCTGGGTTCCCCAGGGCACGTACCCCATCCCGGCTATGATCGATGGTGCCGAGTACGGCGTGGCGTCGAACAGCTCTCTCAACACCGGTGAATCGGATATTGACATTGACATGGCGTAAGTCGGCCGATATTCGATATTCCTGGGGTGCATTCATGATACTGACCAGTTAGCTTCTCGCTGCTGTACCCTCAGTCGGTCACCCTGTACCAGGTGGACGACAACCTGTATGAGCCCGTCGAGGTCGAAACCACCAACTTGTTCAACACCTTCCTCGATGCTCTTGATGGGGTCTGTCTTCCACTCCCTGGCACACTTTTCCTCCTGGCTAACAGCCACAGTCCTACTGCAGCTACACCGCGTACGGTGAGACCGGAGACGACCCAGCCATCGACCCTGTGTACCCTGACAACCGCCCCGGTGGCTACAACGGTCAAGACACCCCCCCCCCCCCCCGGACCAGCCTGAGCAAGACTGACCCCTTGCAGGAAAGCTTCAGTGCGGAGTCTACAAGCCCACCAACGTGATCAGCGCCTCGTACGGCCAGGCCGAAGCCGATCTCCCCGTCGGATACACCAAGCGGCAGTGCAACGAGTTCATGAAGCTCGCTCTGCAGGGCCACTCCATCCTGTTCGCGTCCGGGGACTACGGCGTGGGATCCTTCGCGGGTGACGGCGACGAGAACGGCTGCCTGGGCCCCGATGGCCTGATCTTCAACCCACAGTACCCGTCCAACTGCCCGTACGTGACCTCGGTGGGCGGCACGATGCTGTACGGCTACCAGACGGTGAACGACAGCGAGAGTGTGATGCACGCCAACCTGGGTGGCACAGCCTCCAACTTCAGCACGGCCGGTGGTTTCTCCAACTACTTCCCCCAGCCGTCGTACCAGAAGGCCGCGGTGGAGAAGTACTTCGAGACGGCCAACCTGACGTACCCCTACTACTCCGAGTTCGAGGTCGACGTCAACACGACCAAGGGCCGCTTCAACCGTCTGGGCCGTGGATACCCGGACGTCGCGGCCAACGGCGCCAACTTCCGCGCCTACATGGACAGCTATGACTACCACTGGTACGGATCCAGTCTGGCGTCCCCTCTGTTCGCCTCCGTCCTGACTCTGGTGAGTGTTCTCCTTGCCCTGTCCGCCTCCGTCTGGACGCCCTGCTGACCAAGTCGATATGAATCTAGATCAACGAGGAACGCTTCGCCATCGGCAAGGGCCCCGTCGGCTTCGTCAACCCGACCCTGTACGCGCACCCGGAGGTTCTCAACGACATCACCAACGGCACCAACGCCGGTTGCGGCACCTACGGCTTCAGCGCCATCAAGGGGTGAGCATCCTCTTCCATTATTCCCCTCTACCCAGTCCGTATGGAGAACGACAGGCTAACAATGCATAGATGGGACCCCGCCAGTGGTCTGGGAACTCCCAACTTCCCCAAGATGAAGGAGCTGTTCCTGTCTCTGCCTTAGATGGGAGTCGGGAGCCGGCAGAGGGTTGTATATGGAGGAATGGTGGCAGCCGCGGCGCTGCAGTCTTGTATTATAATATACATCATTTGTTGGTCGGTTGGTGTTCATGAGATCAGGACTATGTATGAATGCAGATATGATTTTTTTCGGATTTCTTTCAACTTCAGCGACACCTATAGACCGAAAGGATGTCACGAGAACATTGTAAGTGGGAGGGTCACCTTGTCTGTCTTGATGCTTCGTCTATCTGGCCTAGACGAGATCTCGTCCCACGGGTGTCGATGTGGAGTCGAACCATTAAGGCCTGTTCACAGCCTCGAGTCATTCCTTGCCAAGATACAACTCCCAGCATATTCTCTCTCTTTCTCTCCCGGAAAACCGGAAAGCCGATTTAGATGAATCCGACGAAGCAGGGATACGGGTTTTGTCTTGCGCAAATGATAGTTATCGAGGGTACTGCTTTTATAATTTCGGGCCTAAACACACAGTATGTTGACCCTTGTCCATCCTTGTTGATCCTCTGCCGTGGCCCTACTTTTTGGCTATGCACACCCAGTCGGCCATGAAACTCGTTTCGGTGTAGATACCTCACGCTCGCTCCCAAGGATGACACAGAATACTATCGAACGCCTAAGGCCACGTGGTGTCTACCTACGTCCCCGTATGATTTGGACCGCGGAGAATTCCCTATCGCGTCCGTGCCAAATAACAATTCACCCAGAACCGGATTTCAAGGACACCATGACTCGACGTCGGCCCCGACCTGCAACCTTCGCCGGCAGCCAAAGTCGGCCGAAGCATTAACTTCCCCGCGGATGGCTGTGCCCACCACCGACCATGCCGTCAGTGTCACGACTCACTCGACAAGTCAGACACTCGACAGGAGCCAAGCTGACAAAACCGGATCACGCGGTCGACCCAGCCAGCGCTCCCCATCGTCACCGAGGCCTGGCCAGCGACCTCTTTGCCACTGCCTGCGCCATGCGCCACCATGACTCGCGCACCGAAGGTTGGGGGATTGGGGCGGGGATGCAGGAAGCAGAAACAAGCAGTAGCCGAGAGGAGCTAGGGCCGGGCCAGTTTTTTGGCACAGGTGCCGTAGCTACCAGCATCGGATGGATGAGCGTGCGCCTTTCCCAGCTGACAGACCGGTCTTATCATTCCTTTCGACATGGCAGCGATACCGGTGACCGTGCTGCGACGCAGGGATATTGTGGATGAAGTCTGTCCCATATCAAAGGCGAGAAAAAAAAATGGTGGGTGGTGGTGGAGCCGGTTGTGTTCCGTGACTGGGCACGAAAAGAGAACGGATAAATGTCGGGCGTCTGATCTGTTCAGGCGGGGGCTGCATGACGAAACACCATACACAAGCGCAGTCCTGTCTGGATATAGGGGGCATGAGGAGATACCGTGCCTGTGGCATACTCCGTGGAGACTGGGTGTCTCTCGGGCGCAATCTCACGATGGAGCCCGATCTCACCTCCTATCAACCCTGGTCGGAGATGCCAGATCGGCCAAGGCATCGAGAATTGGTTGATTTGTTTATCAGCCGGCAGCGAGGAGAAGGTCCTGCTCCTTATATTATTTATCCGCCCAGGCAGCTATTTTTGGGGGGATCGCCCGCCGGTTGTCCGGAAGGAGGAGGGCTCGGTGATCCACCGAGGCCGTTATGGCTCTACGGCTGCACGGCTGCACGGCTGCACGGCTGCGGTTCCCCGAGGTCGAGCGTCGACGGTATGACAAGGGGGGTGGGGGAAAGGAGAGATGTCAGTCCGTTGAAGATCGGGCCATGTGCAGTGCTGTCAGTCGGGATGGATGGCAGGAGCAGAATTCGTGAGGAAGATGGGGGCAATGGGGGAGATGCCAGACAAGCCGGGTATCAGACAGTCAGACCGACAGTCAAGTACCGAGGCACCCATGCCCCTGGCAGCCTGGCTGCCCAGGCACCCACGAGCCGTGGGAATTTGCAGGCCGCCCTTCCCACGTGGCCACTAGGCCGGGATGGGCTTAGCGGGTCGGCAGTTAGGGCTTACCCCTGCCTCCACTGGCCGGGACAGGCAGGCGGTGAGATCCCTCCCATTCAATCCCAAACGAGCCGGTGCTTGGCACGCTAAAGGTAAGCTTATTAGTTTATTCCTCCCAGTCGATGATTGGATATATGATTGTTCCAGAACCACCTCTCCGTACCCCTCCGGTCTCCGGAGCTGCCCATCCCACGGACCACCACCACCACCACCAACAACTACTACTAACTTGACTTGTCTAGATAAACGCTGTCTGCCTCTCGGTCTGCTGCCGCCCCCCGCGCGCGACACCACGATGGACTAGTGCCGGACTGTCCCCCATGAAAGAGGCAGGTGCGATGCCCTGTTGCCCGGGTCGGTCTGGTCCCCCCGATGGCGTGGATCCAGGCAGGTACTTACTTTTCCGGCTCCTCTGCAAGGCTGAGGCGCGTTTTTCAGTCGCGGCGGCGTCAGGCCTGGGGCGGGAGACGCACAGGGTCGTCGGGGCTGCCGACTAAGGACTTGAGGAAAAACGGCATCTGCAACCTAGCCTGCGAAGCCGCGCCCGCTGATTGGGCCCGGCGAGCCAGGCGTCGGTGGATATTCCCAACTCGTGCGTCAGATCCGAGCAGCAGTGGGGCACCCAAGAATTCTCCAAGGAACCGTCGCGCCAAGATTATTATTATTATTGGGAAAGATTGGGACGCTGCCCAGTGGCCGATCACCGACCCATGGCTGCGCTCGCGGATTGGCCGTGGTAAACGCCGGTGTCTCACGCAATCCACGGTGCAAAACCACAATCCAACGCCCACTCACGCAGTAGATACTATCCTATCTTGATACACACTGCGATGCATCGTGCCCTCCCGGACTGCAGCCAGCCTGAGCCTGCCTAAACTTGACTAAACTCGGCACCTCCCCCTCCCCCCCCCGGAGACCGTCACCGAATGAGTCGCCGTCCCCCATTCCCACATGCGTCCCGTTTAGACGATACGCCGGGAGTTGTCCATCCATGATCGACGGGAGGAGATCTGGACCACTGTGGTGGGAACCGGGCCCAGGTGAAAAGCTTGCTCCTGACGAAGGTCGACTGCCGTTTCAGATCCGCGTGGAGATTGGCCACGAGCCCGCCCGGCTTATAAAGGGTGGAGGGTGGATGGGACCAATCCTCTGCCCCAGCCCCTCGATTCTCCGACTCTTTTACTGCCCTGGGATGCTGCTCGTTGGAGTTGCATCCCCCCCCCCCCCTCCTCTCTCTCCGACCATGAAGCTCCCCTCGTGCCTGCTCGCCATCCTGGTGACCCTTGCGGTCACCGTCTCCGCGACTTCCAACACCACCGCCTTCCCTGACTGTGCCGTGAGTTGGACCGCTGCCGCCTGGAGCCTGCAGCCTGCAGCCTGGAGCCTGGAGCCTGCCCGGAATCCAATTCCGCTGCTGACCTTCCTTCAGATCGCCTGTCAGGAGAGCATCTCCTCCACCTGCGCGATCACGGATGCTTCCTGTCTCTGCACGGATTCGCTCGCCTCCTCGGACCTCGTCTTGTGCGCGTCGACGAACTGCACCACCCCCGACTACTACAGTGAGTCGCCCGGACGGCAGCCCCGACTGCCCGCCGACTAACCCCCCCCCGACAGTCACCAAGCATGCGTTCGAACTGTTCTGCGACCTGCACATCAAGCCGGCCCCCCTGGTCGTGGATCCCGCCACCCTCGTCCCGCTCATCCTCGCCTCGATCTTCTTCTTCATCCGCCTGGCGGCCAAGGTGGGCAAACTGGCCGGGGGCTGGGGCCCGGACGACACCACGATCTCGATTGCCTGGGTAAGACCGAGACCGAGACCAGGACCGTCCCTGGTCCCGCGCACGCGACGAGTCCGCTAACCGCGGCTATCTAGGTCCTCGGACTCGCCGTCTACATCGTCAATGCCCACATGGTCTCCCTCGGCTTCGGCCAGAACATCTGGGACATCTCCGCCGGCAACATCACCCTGATCCTGAAATACTTCGAGGGCCTGGCCATGATGTACAAGTTCCAGATCTCGCTGTCCAAGATCTCCGTCCTGCTCTTCCTCCTCCGCATCTTCCAGTCCCGCACCTTCCGGACCCTCGCCCATGCCCTCATCGCCATCAACGCCGCCATCGGGATCACCTTCGCCATCGTGGATCTGCTGCGCTGCACCCCGGTGCACCTGGACTGGGATGGATGGACGGACCTCTACCCGGGCACGTGCATCCAGTTCAACGACGCCGTGCTGGTCCACTGCCTGGTCAACATCTTCGTCGACGTCGTCATCGTGTGCCTGCCGGTCTACGAAGTCAGCAAGCTGCAGCTGCCCACGATGAAGAAGGTCACCGTGGCGATGATGTTCATGATGGGTCTCGTGTAAGCCCCTTCCTCTCCCACCCCCGCTCTCGGCATATCTGACGCGAACAGGTTGACCATCATCGCCATCATCCGAACCGTCGTGTTCTGGGACAACCGCATGGGCGCCAACGAGACCGCCGGTCTCGAGCCCCTCATCCACTGGTCCGTCATCGAAACCCAGATCGCCGTCCTGACCACCTGCCTTCCCGCCGCGCGCGCCCTGTTCGCCCGGTGTGTACCGGGGATGTCCGGCAGCGACAACGCCCACACGTACGGGCGCAACACCTACGAGCGCGGGCAGTCCGGGGCCAAAACCAAGATCTCCAAGTCGGTCAACATCTCGGTGGACTACACGACGCGGTCGCAGCGCGACTCGACCAGTGAGGTGCACCTGGTGGAGATGGGCGGACGGTACGAACGGTTCTAACGGAGTTTGGTTTTGGGTGGCTCTCTCTGTTTTCCTTTGTTTCTTTCATGGATTCTTTTTTTTTTTTTTTTTTTTTTCCCCTTATTTTCGGTGGCGCATGTTAGAGAACGTTATACCACGGAATCTTGGTTATGGGTAGATTATATACTAAGTAATTGATCAATATCTGGATACGTTTTTTTTTTTAGTGTCGGGGGGACTGGATTGGGATCCTGTACATCCTCGAGAACTGCAGTGGTTAGACACTTGTTGATAGATACCGATAAATGGTCCAGGCATTGATGTCGCGGGGGAGGTGGAATATGTCGCTTTGTCTTGTTCATTTTCTTACCTTTGCTTTTTCCCCCAGCGGAGTCATTCCGATCTATAGTAGTAATTCAGGAGGGCTCCTTTGATCTTTTGAAGACGGTCAAGGTAAGATCCGCACTCGAGTGAAGCAGAACTCAACAATATATAGATATAGATGCCGCCCTCCGCCTTCCGGTCCACTGTTCAGTCTCACCTCTACAGTTTTGCGACAATATTTTTCCTGATACCATACATTCTCCTCGATCTACTCCGTACAATGCCCCCCCCACCAATGAACGGCGCCTGCGACGGCCGCCTTAGTCAGCCGTCCCTCTTGCGCCCGCCAACCCTCCGGCAATCCAACAGCCCGAATCATCCAAACCCCAACCACCACCACCACCACCATGATGCCCCTGCCATGACAGACCTGCTCAAATCTCGCTGGGCGCCTGGTCCAGGCGCCCCCAAACTGACCAGGACCCCGATCCCGACCCCGACCCCCATCTCCACCCCCTCCAACACCAGACGACACCCCTCGCGATCCCCTGTGCGATCGCCCGTCCGCCGTGCGCCCACACCCTCACCCCCCCCACCACCACCACCACCACCACCACCACCAACACCACTCTTCCCCACCCCCCTCCTCCTCCTCCTCCTCCTCCCCTCCCACCGACCTCACCCGCTTCATGAAGATCGTCGCTCGCCTGAAATGGAAGCTGCCCTTCCTGGCCGAAGGCTACCGCCTGGCGACGCTCTCCCCCGCTCACGGCGCCATCGACGTCTCCCACGCCGAAATCATGTTCAAGATCGACTTCCACGAGTACTACGCTCTGCTCGAACGCGCCATCGTGCACCTCCTCAGCGTCTTCGGCACCACCATCTCCTCCGCCTGCCGGGCCTCCACCCCGGCCCCGAACGTCGGCCTCGCCGCCACCCACCGCTACCACGCCAACGTCCTGGAAGCCCTCCAGGACCCCGCCAGCCCGCTCCACCCCGTGCTGGGCCACGGGGAAGTCCACGAACAACTCCACAAGGCCAAGGAACTGCGCAATCGCTGGAAGGGCGCGGATATGACGAAGGCGGAACGGGAGGCGGAGCGGGAGATGTGGAAGCGGAGGAAGAACCGCGAGAACGGAGTGGCCCCGTTGGCGAGCTATAATTTCGAGCGCATCCTGACGGTGATCTTCCAGGGGCTGGAGGAGGCGTATCTCGTGGCGAGGGCGCATCTGGATGGGATGGAGGGGGTGGTTGGGATGGACGAAGGGGATGGGGAGAACACCGGCGAGGGGGAGACGGGCGGTGGGGAGGAGGACTGGGATTTCATCGTCGATGCCATGGACTGGGAGGCCATTTAATCCCCTTGATTGTATATATCAGTGCGATGGTCTGTTTTTTTCCATGTCAGGCGATTGGGGGGGGGGGCGGCGTTGATGGAGTTTGGGTTGATAGTATGCCCTTCTGGGGCTTATTAGGGTTTTTGGATTACATAGATTCTGTCTTTTAGATGTTAGATTGAGTGCTTGGTGCGGGTGGATGCGTGGCAGCTAACGTGATAGACTGTCTGGAATGTGGGCTATCGCCACCACCACATGCCTTCACTCGCCAATCACAATCATAACTTTGGGTTACACTGCCTACGATATGTTCTGATTGACTACGGCTACTGACACACCATCTCAGCTTGAGACGTGCGATCATTGACATAAGATTGATTTTACCAGGTATACAAGTACTACGACCAGAACATGACCGGATACCCGGTGGGGACGCTTCCCCTCGTCCGACCTCAAGCTGGAGGCGTACGCGACGGTGGGATCGGACTCCGCGCGGGTGCTGGCAGGCGTGCGGGGGTGAACACGGAGACGTGGGAGCTGGAGCTGAATGACCTCTCGTCGCTGGGGCAAGATACTTACATGCCTGGCATTGCGCCCTCGTGGGTATCTCCCTTGACAGTACACCGTTGCATCCGGCCCAGTGGTTTCTGTTATTTTCACAATAGGATTGGTTATATCAATAGCGTTGGATCGGTCTCAGCCCAATGGGACATAAGATGAAGGTGGAAAACACGGATATGGAGACGGATACAGGGACAGCACGCACAACTGGCGGACATACTCCTCTTCGACGGCCAGCATCTGCTGCAGGATGGCCCAGGAGACGTCTCTCGCCTGCGCCGTCACGCGCGGGTGCTGCACCACGGACCGGAACTGCTCTTTCCAACCCACCCAGCGCTCCTGACTCCACATCTGCGTGGGGTTGTCCACCGTCTCGCGCCGCAGACACTGCTCGAAGACGTATCGCCCCATTCCCGGACGGAGGATCCACTCGGCGCTAGCCAGCACATCCCCACTGATGGCATGGGCCCAGTCGATCTCCTCGTTCCTGATATCGGGATAGCGGGGACTCGTCGGGACGAGGTACTCGAGGGCACAGACGGAGCGACAGTCGAGGAGACCCGCGGCGGTGATGCGCGCCACGGCGGATTGGAGGTACCGCCAGCGGAGCTGTTTCTCGCTGCCGGGGATGGCGAAGTCGGGGCCGCAGTGACAGTTTTCTAATAGTCCGTCAGCCAGCCGTTCCAGTACGTTTCATGGAGGCAGAGGGGTGCGGTAGAGTCGCCACATACCCCTCCCGACAGACTCGAAGCCCTCCACCGCGATCTCGCCCAGCCAAGTGCACTCAAACGCCCACAACCAGACGCGATGATGCGGCTTCGCCGGATCCTCGGGGGGCGGACCGTCCAACACCCCATGCACGGGCAAGGCCTTCAACGCCGCCACAAAGGCCACCAGCCTCTCCTGGGCTGGACACCACGGGGGAACCGACGAGCAATACGTCGCGACGAAATCCAACAACAAGACCGCGGAGGCGATCGGATCGGGCCCGATCTCGAGGGGTTTCGAGATCCGGGCCGGCGTGGGGTCCGGACGGTGGGCGAGGGGGCGGGTCCGCGCGTCCTTCAGCCGGGCAGCGAGGGCCTCGTGGCGCTGGTTGGCGGCGGCGGTGATGCAGGCGTCGAAGTCGAGGGCCGCGTCGAGGGGGGTGATGTCGCCGGCGACGAGGCGGTCGAGTTTGCGGCGGAAGAAGGCGAATTGTTTGATTTTGCGGGAGATGGGGACGGGGAGGGTGGGGAGGGGGAGGATGGGTTCTTCGGGGTCGTTGAGGAGGTGGGAGTAATCTGTTGTTGAGGTGGGGAGGTTCATGTTGTATCTTAAGTTGTTTTTTGGGGGGGGTGGTTTAAGGGCTTGGTGGTGGTGGTGGTGGTGATGGTGGTGATGGATGGATAGGGGGGGGATCGGGGGTCAGACAGGGCATTTAAAGCTGGCTGAACTGGAGGCCAGACAGGCCATTGCCATTGTGCCAACGGCCTCATGCATCCTGCAGTAGCCCGGGGTTGGCGGGGCGCTTCGTTCGGGCTGGCCGGGCGTCTCCCGTCCCAGCATTAGCCGGCGTGGTCAGATCGAGCGTCTAGCAGACAGGGTCAAGGGGCCAATCGGCGGGTCGAAGGGGATGCAAATGATTTGATCGATAATCAGACTGAGAGGACCTGAGTGGGAGACTCTGGATGGTGGTGAGATGGGGGTTCGTGATGCCCTAATGCCGGTGGGTCCCAGAACAACCACCACCTCGACCTACCCAGCATCCCGACCCTGGCAGCTCCATCAGGTCTTGATTTATGGAAAGAGGGAGCGTCATCCGAACCTACCAAACATAGATACTCCCACCTGTGTGACGAAGATGAATGAAGCCTTACGCTCGGTTTAGTGGGGACCCTCGATAGCGGCACGCGGGAGGCCGTGAATGTTGCGCCGACCCGCTGTCAGAAACCCCATCTCCATCCCCATCACAATCATCATCATCACACTGGGGAATGTTAAGGGTATGATTGGTGCGAAAGGGGGCAGTGCTAAGCGCTAACTGCCGGTCGGACGGATAATGGAGCCCATTATTGGACTATGCGATATCCCGGTCCTGCAAAAGGGCCGGTTTGACACGAACGCTGGCGTTGTTGCGTCCGTAGCAGAGACAGTAAGCGCCGTTGGATCCAGAAGGTGAGGGATCGAGGCCAGAGGCAGGGAATCCACCGGTCGGAAGAATTTCGATCGATTGCGGTGTTATCGTCATACAGCGGATACACGACCAGGCCAGTCATCGATGCATCGAAGATCGATACTTAGCACGGATTGTGCACCATCAGTTATCCCCTGCCGATGCATGCTTGACTCAGCCAGTCTCTGTGTGTTAAAGTTAACTATGCACAACTATGCATCGGGCGGGGCAGCGGGAAAAACTCGCCCGCGTCGTCTTCCTTCCTCCTACCTCTCCCAGTCTCTCTCCTCCTCATCCCTCTCGCCCTTCTGTTGGATCCCCCATCTGACATGGATCCATCGTTAGCGTCCAATGCTCCCACCCCATCGCGACGCGTTTCCCAGCGCCAGCCGCTAGCCTGCCGAGGTGAGTCCACCCGCGTCGCGAGGCAGTCGGCCTGGCTGGACTGACCGACCGACCATCCAGAGTGCACCAAAAGTAAGCGCAAATGCAGCAAAACCATTCCATGCACCCGCTGTCGCAGGTTAAACCTCACCTGCTCGAGGGAGATCGTCCAGCTGCGGCGAAACACCGCCCCCCACGGCGCGGAGATCGACTTCCTCCACTCCCTGGTTGCCGACCTGGATCTCCTCGTCGCCTCCACCCCCGCGACCTCCCCGCTCCCGGGCATAATATCCAGGGTCCGGTCCAGAATCGCCCATCTGCGGACCGACGATGGTGCCCCTCGACAACAACTGGTGAACACGCCGACACCGACCCCAATGCCAATGCCAATGCCAATGCCAACGCCGCCCTCTGGCCGCAATGAAGGCGGTCATCTCGAAAGGAACCCATCCTTGCTGACCGCCATTGAGCATCTGGCATGGGGCCGGGACTCGGCGGGGTGCTTCCCCCATCTCCGGTGCGGATGTCAGTACGGCAGCAGTGATGCTGCACACCAGTTGGCCCTCCATGGAAGCCTGCCGATCACGGCGACCGGATACGTGCCAAATGCCCCCCGGGTCGATATGGCCAGTGCGGAGAAGCTCATCCGCTTTCACCTATGCCACATGGCATGGCACCACAATTGCGTCCATACGCCCACCTTTCTCGAACAATGTGAGATATTCTGGAAGACAGGCCGGCCAGTCCACCCTCTGTGGATGGCCCTCTACTTTTCCATCCTCAGCTCGACTGTCTTTGCCATACGGATTAGCGCCAGGGCCCAGGCCTCCGCGGATGTCGACTTGGACCTGGTGCCCCCAGCGGACGAGTTGATGACCGCCATGGTGGAAGCCCTCCACACCCACCACTTCCTTGAAGATATGTCCCTCTACTCGGTGCAGGCCATTGTGATCTCCACGGAAGTGGCGCATAATCTGGGCCGCAGCCAGTTGAACGCTACCCTCTTCAATGCTGCCGTGCGCATCGCCGAATGCCTCGGGCTGCATCGCATCAAGGACTCTTCCGACAAGTCTATCCCCACGGAGGAAATCTGGATCGAGACGGTGCAGCGTGAAGTCGGGAAGAGAGTCTGGTGTCAGATGGTCATCCAGGACAACTTCGCCATCCCTTTCACCGACACCTACAGCATCTCGCCCATGCAGTACTCCACCGTGCCGCACCTGAATGCAGATGACTACGACCTCCTTGAGATGCCGCGGACAGTGCCAACGGTCAGCACCTATACCTGGGTGCTGCGAGACATTGCAGTCCTGATGCCGTCGCTGGCTGATGGACTAGGCCCAATGAGCCAGCCGCGGTCACGTCGCGAACAGTACGAGCATGTGCTTTCCGTCGACAACAGAATGCGGTCCGTGGTCAAACAAATCCCCTCCTTTCTGCTGGGCCGGGATGCGGAGAAGGAGGCAGAAATCCCCTGGCTGGGGATTGCCCGGCGCAGTCTCGCCATCACCGCCGCAGAGAAGATCATCATGATCCACCGCCCGTTCCTGTTTCTCTCCTTTCAGTCCCCCTCCTACGAGTACACGAGGCGGACGTGTGTCGCGGCGGCGATAACTATCCTCCGTGAGCATGAGATGATTATCAACGAAGGTGACTTTTTCGTCTGGACCCATTCGGCCTTCTGTGTCACGGCGGCCATCATCCTCTGCTTCCAGGTTAGTGCCTCGAGCAGCACGGATCCCGCGACCAACGAGTTCAGATTAGCCATCTGGGCGGCGCGCAACCGGCTCGCGGCTCAGACGAACGATGTTCTCGCCCAGCGCGGGGTTGCCCTGATCGATGCCATCTTCTCGTCCGAAGCAAACCCGGACCTGGATTTCTATCGTGCCGTCGCCGAGTTTCTACGCCTCAGTCAGTCTACGCCCAAGACATCCGAAACTACCCCGGTGTTTGCGGACTTGTCGGACCCTCATGCGATTGGAACAGATGTGGGGCCTGCTCTACCGATCCGTTTGGACCGAAGCTTGGACGATGATGATTTTGAGACGTGGTTCAACAATATTTTCTATCAAATAAGCGGTGAACAGACACTCTAACCTCACACCTTCACAAACCCACTCCCGTTGACCCCGGGATACTCCCTGAACGGCTGCGGCGGAGTCTTGCTCGTCATCGTGCACTGCCAGAGAATTCTCTTCTTGTCCTCGTCTTCTCGGTACTGGGACAGCTGCCCCGTAATGCTGTGCATGACGCCGCGGTTGTGGAAGATCACCACGTCGCCCTCCTCCCATCGATGGGCGTAGATGTTTTCTGGCGCATAGATCTTCTTCTGCATGTTGTATACAATCTTGCGCACCTCCTCCACATCGTCGATGACTGTCGTGCTTCCAGTTTGGGGGTCGCGGGTGGTCAGCTTGAAAACACAGCAGCCGTGGACCTGCAGGAAGGGCCGGTCGGGATTCATGGGGCTGCGCCACACCATCTGCCCCGGAATGAATCAGAGGATGCGAAATATGTTTCTTGTCGGGGCCACCACTTACGGGATGTTCGGCCACATTTTCCCACGTCCACGCTGACAACCTGTCCACCGGGACTTCCCGACCCCAGCATGGAACCGTCAGCCCGTCATCCGAGCCCTTGCAGTGACGGATAAACTCGTATGCCTGGGGCGCATATGTGACTGTCGTATTCAAGGCGAACTCCCGTTCTTCGGGAGTCAGGAGCGAGAAGGCACGGGCACCCGAGAAGACTGGAAGGTCAGTGACTGGAGATCCAAGCGGACCTCATGAACTTACATGCTGTCGCACCGGCTGCGACCTCCTTGTGCTTGCCCTCGGGGAACTGGAGCTTTTGGTCCGGTAGGTTTGGTACGCGGACAGAATGCAGGATGGTGACCTCGCCAGGGAGGCGCTCATAAAATGGAGTGTCCATGTGCCACCGGTACGGGCGAGTGTATCCCTGACTCAGTTCCTCCGGCCCCAGCGGTGTTTCATGGAACATGGTGTGGTCCTGTATTCTCCTGGTTAGACAGGATATCACTCAAACCAGGGAGTACATACCAGATGAATAACCTCCAGCTCATCGAGACCCTCATAATCCTGGAACTTGCCCGACCCGATAATCCCGACCTGAGGAGCACGGGGAATTCTCCCAGCCTTGTACGCAGACAAGATGTTCTTGGGGTCGCTCACGGCCTTTTCGCCCGCGGAGTGGATGTTGGATGCCGTCGAGTCGAACACTCTTGCTAGCTGGGGGAGGACGGTGGGGTCTATTCCCTTCTGGTTCTTGATCACGACAACCTGGTTCTCGAAGAGAGCCTGTCGAAGGCTCTCCTTGTCTGTTTCTGTGAGACGGTCGAGATCGAGCATGGACATGCCCTCTGGGAGATGGATCTCTGCGCCAATGGCAGAGTCCTGTCTGATCTCCGGACGGAGGAGCTCGAAATTTAAACCGGCCATTGTGTTGTTTTGTTGTTTGATTGATTGATTGAGTTGTGTCTGAATTGACTTGGATTCCGGACGATGAGGCCTTAAATAAGGGAGGGCAGAGGCGGCGGGTGAGTTCCGCAGCCCGGCCGCAGCGTCGAACCCATCCGCTCCCACCACGGAGATCTGGGGAGATCGGGGAGAATCAGGGGAATTGGGGGGTCAAGCAAGGGGGGCGGGTGAGATCGAACCTCTTCCGCATCTATATTCTCGCCCGCATCAGATGCCTCGCCAATGCATTCGTCATGGGCCGTTGTCGTTCGGACCTCTATAAAGCAGCCACACTCCTTCGCCTATGAAGCTCCATCTGTCTGCCTCTATCTATTGCCTCAACCCATCAGGTCTTCCTCCTAATCCAACTCTTCTCATCCAGCACAATGGCAATCACCTGCCACCCCATCCCCAAAGCCCCCGAGTCCGAAGTCGACTTCGGGGTCGAAGTCCGCGGCCTCGACCTGGAAAACCTTAGTGGTAAGCACCACATCAGCCTCTCTCACGACCTCCCACTCACGAACAGCCAGACACCGACTTCCAATCCCTCCGCACGATCCTCTACACCCACCAAGTGGTCGTGATCAAGAACCAAAAAAGGCTCTCTCCCTCCGCCCAATTCTCGCTCACCCGCCGCTTCGACCCATCCGCGGGGGTCTACAGCCACGGCACGAAGATCTCGAACCGCAGCGTGCTGCACCGAGACCTCACCACCATCCCTTCGCAACCGCAAGTGCAAGTCATCGGGCATGGCCACATCCCGTCCTACGAGGGCCTCACCGACCTGCACCTGCAACATCCCCACCACCGCACCTTCCACAAGGACCCCATTCCAGCGGACCAAGACCACGACTTCACGCACTTCTACCGCTGGCACATCGACTCCGCAATGTACGACCTCGACCCGCCCCTCGTCACCTCTCTCCTCGCCATCAAAACCCCCCCGAAGCGACACCAAACACTCCTCTACGACGACAACACCTCCACGACCCTACGTGTCCCCCTCGGCACAACCGCCTTCTTCAGCGGCTCACGCCTCTTCTCCCTCCTCACCCCCTCCGAACAAACCTTCATCCTAACCAGCAAAGTCGAATACGCCCCACACCCATACATCTGGATGAGCGAAGCGAAATCCCGCTCCAACGGCCTGGGCCTCCTCTCCGAAAACCTCGAACTCCCCCTCACCTCCCTCCCACCCATCGACCCCTCCAAAATAAAAGTCTACCCCATGGCCTGGAAAAACCCGGTAACCGGCACCCTCGCAATGATGGTATACCCGACCTGCGTGCGCAAGATCCACCTCGCGGACGGGACGGTCATGGACGATCTGCGTGAGATCCGTGAGATGCTGTACAAGTTCCAGAGACGGGCGATTGATCCGCAGTTCGTGTATCCGCATGATTGGGAGGAGGGCGATCTGGTATTGTTTAATAACCACGGGGTGATGCATTCGATTGTGGGGTCGTTTGCGGAGGGGGAGGTGAGATTGTTCAGGCAGTGTAATATGGCAGGGAGTCGGGGCCGTTGGGGCCGGGGGATGATGTGGTGGTTTAGGATGGGTAGGAGGGGATTTAGTGAGTTGTGCTGGGTTGGGTATGGTTGTTATTGGTTGAATGGTTCCTCTGGTCGGGATTGGACGTAGTGTAATACCTTCCATGTATGTTCAATATGATAGAAATGAAAAGTATCCATGTTCCATGGGGTGTTCTGGTCCGAGGCGCAATGGGTATGCATCTTGGATGAATATGCCAGTCTCGTGCAGGGTATCGCCAGTGGACTTTCAATGATGTCGAAAACACCAGCTATCCGCTCAGAGTATCACAACTATCATGATAAGGAGGGGGGCTTCACGTCTGGAGCTCTCGCGATAAAGAGGCGGTGCAGCCGTAGCTAGCGGGCGGCAACGTACATTTCTGTTTCTATCTTTGACCGGGTTGCGTCGAAGGCCAAATTCTGATTTTGCGACGAAATCGAACAATCTTCTCTGTGAATCCGCAGCCACTGACTGAGTGGTTCTAGGCAATCATACGCAATTATATCTCCCTCCCTATAGAAGAAACATGAATACAACACAATTAAATTTTCATATATACTAGACATCCAGATATATCTCAACAGAACGGAACACGTGTCTCCATCACACATCAACATGCAGATATGAAATCTACAGAATTAAGGATAGCTAAGCAACCTCTATCCAACAGGCGGAAGTGGCTCTTGGAGCAAGAGCCACGGGTATCGAGTGGGGTATCCATCGCACATTCGTGCGTCAGCAGCAGCAGCAGCAACAACAGCCGCATAGCCTCGTCTCGTCTCCTCTCGCAGGGGAGTCGAGTCGAGTCGAGTCGAGTTTGAGTCAAGTCAGGTGAGTATCTAGTGGAAGGTCTCGGACTCGGTGAACTTCTCGACAGTACCGCCCTTATTCGAGGAGGTGGTGCGGTAGAAGTAGTCGTGAACGGAGCCCTCGAAGAGATGCTCATCGACAAGGACCTCAAAGTCTTCATCGTTCTTGGTCTCCTCGTTGCGACGGGACATGATGGTCTCCCACTCGGAGCGGTACTCCTGGAGACGCTGCTGGTAGTCGAGCTCGGGGTCATAGTACTTGCCGGCGCCACGGAAGCGCTCCCACACGGAGAGATGCTTAGGGTGGACGGCGACGCCGTGGTACTCGTGCTCACGACCGTCACGGAGATAGCGCCAGCGGCGTTCCTGCTCCTTCAGATCCAGGCCGGTGGTGTCGGGGAGGAAGAAATAGGTGAGGAACATGCCGAGCAGGCCGAACCAGGGGACGAAGTAGAACTTGGTCTGGGTGTCGATGTAGTTGAAGAGCACGGCGGCGACGAGGGCACCCAGCTTACCGCAGCCGGCGGAGATGCCGTGGGCGGTGGCGCGGATGGGGGTGGGGAAGACCTCGGCGGCGACGAGGAAGGTGATACAGTTAGGGCCGAACTGGTTGAAGAAGCTGCCCAGGAAGTACATGGCCTGGAAGGAGTGGATGTGGGCGGCCTCGGTGTAGTACTTGTACTTGAAGGCGGGGACGACGTAGACGATGAAGCAGAGCAGGAAGCCCATGATCTGCATCCACTTGCGTCCGTACAGCTTGTTGTCGACGAAGAGGATGGCGGCGTAGTAGCCCGCCAGGGTGACGACGCAGTTGATGAAGCTCCACTCCCAGGAGGTGAAGATGGACTTGGAGTCGGGGCTGATGACGGCGATGAAGTCGCTGGAGAAGAGCTTGGCGCCGTAGAAGAAGATGTCGTTGGCGAACCAACCGCCCGCGGTCGCCAGGAGACGGGGGGTGAAGTACTTGAAGGTGAGGCTGAGGGACTGCGTGTCGTATCCGGTGACGGAGGAGCGCTTCTTGGTGGCAGCCAGCTGCTTGCTGGCGGCCTTCATGTGGTAGGCACGGTAGTAGATGAGCCAGAAGGTGCCGATCATGGGGATGACGAAGGAAATGCGGTAGGTCCACTGGGCGTTGGTCTGGCTGATGGGCTCGAGACCACTGCCGGCGTTGAAGATGAGCAGCAGGATCATGAGGGCGCCCTGGTTGATGACCTGACCCCAGCCCTGCATGGAGAAGATGCTGACGATCTTGGCTCCACGGTGCAGACGATCCTCGCGGGTGGACAGCTTGCCGGAGCCGACGGCGTTTTCCATACCGCTGGTGGCGGTCATGGGGTATTCACCACCTGGAGGGGGGTTAGTTGAGGGCTGTGGTGGGAGGGGGGGCAGACTCACCAACACCGAAGCCGTAGATGAAGAGGGACCAGGCATAGCAAATGACCCAGCCGTTCTGGGTGACACCCCAGGCGCAGGTCAACATGACCAGACCCAGGAACATGATCCAGGCATCCTGGAGCAGACCCCAACGACGACCGATCCAGTCACCCACGAAGCCCACTGTGACCTGTCCGAAGATGATACCGATGATCTCGAGGTAGGTGATGGCGTCGATCCAGTCGGCGTTACAGATCTCGTATTTGTCCCAGCAGGACTCGAAGGACTTCTCGAAGAGGGTGGAGATGTTTCCGATGGACAGGAGGACGTAACTAGCAGAGAGTTTAGCATGAGATAGGGTTGGAGAGGGGAGATGGGGAGCGGCATAACATACCCCTCAAGACCAATACCGAAACCGGGGATGATGGAGTTGTGGACGTAGTCCCGGATAGGGCTCAGGGGATCGGCCTTGATATCGGCCCAGAGCTCGGAGAACTGACGGCTGGTCTCCTTGCGGTCGACGGAGGTGACGAACTTGACGCGCTGGCCCATGGGCAGGTCGGCCCAGTAGACCCCCTCGGGGGTGTAGCTGTCGTCGGGGCGCAGCAGGCGAGTGAAGCCCTCCTTCTCGCCGGCCGTCATGTCGGGGAAGTCGTGCTTGGCGGCCATTTCGGGGGTGGACGAGCCGGGGTCAGAGTCGGCCATGATGAGGGTGGGATCCTCGAGGAGGAGGATGTGTGCAAACTGCAGGGGAGGATGGATGAGAGGCAGGCAGAGAGCAGGCAAGAAAAAAAAATAAACCGGCGATGAGGGCCGGCGAGGCAGGCCTTCAAGTACTACCCGGACGGGCAGCAGGGCACGATGCAGCCATGCCTCCGATGTCAGCCTGTCAAACCACCTTCCCCCTTCCAGCGCAGGCTGCCTGCCTCGCATGCACGAGTACTGCGCAGCGCTGAGCAGCACTGAGCAGCACTGAGCAGGAGGCCTCCGGCCACGTTCCTGAGATATAGATTGTGGTTGGTAGGTGCTCGGGTGGAGTCGAGACACGCGACAGGCCTAGCGGCAGCGTTAGTTGCAGCCCTAGCCTGGTGGTGGAGCTGCGATGGAGGTACCGCAGAGCCAATGATGGCATCGCCCGAATCCTGCTCGTCAGCACGTTCCGGCCCCAGCCAATGCGCGGGCAGCGTTGCGTTCGCATCCCGAGGGAGAAGTTTGGGTGGCCCCGTCGGAGGAGAGACTCCACTCCTCATCTCCACCCTCACGGGAGGGTGCAACTATCGCCAGCATCGCCAACGCCCATCGGCATGCATCCCCTGGGCCCTGGGATTGGATCCTCGCCGCAAAAGGCACACGCGACCAGGGCCGGCCACGGCGCATGGATCGTTCCATCCCATTGTGCCCGCGGCCGAGTGGGCGGCCTCCAGATCGCGGGCAGTGGTTCTCCGGGCGTGGGTAAGCGGAGCCAGGGCGAGGGCGTGCTCAAGCTTCGCGCCATGAGAGGGCAAGACGAGACAAGACCAGACAAGACCAGACAAGCCATGACAAGCCCTACAAGCTTTGTCGACCACACGTGCCTCGGCCAGTCGCGGGTTGGCCGACCGCGTGCCTGATAGGCTCCGGTTGTCTCCCCGACGCTGCTTGCCAACTGTGCATGTTGGGTCCCTCATCGTCGGCTGTCCCTGGGATTTCGACTCATCTCCGGTGGTCAGACCGTGGTGAACCCTGTCCATCCACTGCTGGTCCTGCTGGTCCTGCTGGTACTCTTGATGGGGTCCACTCGGGGAGATGCTGGAAGTCTTCCTGCTCTGCCGTGCTGAACCGTCCGCGGTTGCAGGTGCCGTCAGCTCTTAGGGCACGGGCGTGATTGGCAGGCCACGGTCTGTCGTGGTCGGAGGATGAGGATGCTGTCAGGGTCTCGATCGGAGAGGAGAGAACGAGCGATGAACAGTTCGTACGGAGCATCTGGTGCTGGCAACCTCGGTCTTCGAAAGGATGACTAGCTGAATCTGCAGCACCATTCACCAGCATCCATTGCGGAATGTGCGTGCAGCAGCCACGCCCAGCAGGCCACCGCGTTAGCTCCTCCCTAGTATCTAGCTTCCTCTGCAGTGGATGAAATCTTCTTTGTCCTTTGTCCTCGAGGGCGGACCACGAACTTGCCACGGATGGACCAGGGGGCTAGTGATCCTCTCATGCCATGCGGCTGGAATAGCTTGGCCCTTCGGTAGAACAATCCATCTGCAGCGTCATCTCCGAGATCCAATCCTCGTCCACCGCATGAATCATGTGAGACACTCCTGCCTGGAGGCCCCGAGTGGAAATTCCGAGTCGAGGGTGCCTAATTCGTGCGGTGACACGGCCTCTCCGTCCCTGTTGATCGGGATCTACTCATGAACCTAAAGTAGAGACTCTCTCATGCCGCAGATAGAAACAGCATCCGCCTCTTCGTATCCAGCACTCCGTTCATGTAACGCGGAGAACCAGCTCTCTGGCACAAAAGCCCCGTTTCAGGGACCTCGGGTACGAAGACACGAAGATCACAATCAATTCCCTTCCATTCCACCCTGGGAAACTTACGTCAGTGTCACCCTACTGTGGATCTCGAGATCATAACACCGTTGGCTATTACTATTATGCGATGGAAACCATTCAAACTCTAAAGAAACTGCCAAACGGGTCTCTCCGTTTCGGTTTATGGCACTCTCCGGCGCGGCCTCCCCCGAAAGTCTGCTCCTGCATACCGACTGTCCTGCCTTTCTCCACCAGACAGCCTTCCTAATCCACTCGGATGTCGCACATCGGATGCCCGAACTTCCATCGCCACCGTTAGAAGAGCCCTCCAAGACGATCATATGTCCCTTCCAGACCACGGTATCCAGCATGTATCTTGTAACGCCTCACGCTGCGCTCCATTCCAAAGTGGTTCGCCACTATTCCCACTCCCCCTCCTCCTCCCGCCTCGCATGAGCTCCATCCACGCCCCCTCCCCCATAGCCCAGGGACTCAAGTCACTAACCCTACCCACTCACTATTACCCACCTGACATGCATGTCCTAGGGGCGTCTGCAGTGCGTCGGATCCTTAAGCCAGATCACCAATCAGACAAGACTCCCCTTTTAGCTGCGTCCGGTCGAGACGCATGAGGGTGGCCCAGATGCAGCCTTGGCCCTCGGGGCGAAGACGCCTTCCGGCTTTCGAGCCTGATTGCCGCTCGACCCGTCTCAGTTCTTTGGACGGACGAGCATCAGGGATGTTCCCTGCGGCGATGTCACGCGTGGCGAGTGGTGATCGTTCGGATCGGAGCTGAGGTGGCTGGCTCTGTTTGTGGATATCCTGGTGTGGAAGTTCGATGGAAGATTTGATGGAGGGGAAGGGAGCTGATCGCAGGCTATTTTGCCACATGTAAAGGATCTGATGGGTAGAAGTGTCAGTACGGCCCCCGTTGGTCAAATAAAATACTTTGAATAGGGGCTACAGCTAAGGATATCTCTCTGCCTGGACTTGCTGCGCGGAGGCTGTGGGTGTATATAGTGGTCATGAGGTTATGTAAGTCAATCGATTTGACCATCGTTGTAGGAACCAATCACGTTGCTGGCTGGCTGTTTATGCGAAGTATTGGTCTCATTGATATGATGTAGAATCAACACTGTACTGTTCATGGGAAATATCTGCATTCATTCACTATTGTATCTTGAATTCGAAAGTTTTCGGTATAATCGCGATTGAATTTCAAGCGACGAGCATTTCGAAAGAGAGCCGGTAGTATTCTAAAATACTGTGAAAACCCCCAGTGGAACTATTCGCCCCAGACATGTGTTGTTGGCCCGGAAGATGTTCGAAAATATATGATGTATCCGGAACGCGAACCTCAACACCATCAGCCAAAATCGATCTTTTCCTTCCATGTTTCGTATAGAGAGCTAATGTTAGATTGTGCGGAATAGGTATAATGGTATACAAAAGAAACGATGAATTATTGGAGACAGTCTAGACACAACCTTGGGAAGACCTTACGGACTACCCAGGATCGCATAAATCGGTCACAACATGACTAAGCCTTTCCACAACAGGGATAAAGTCCTAAAAGGGACAAGGGCAACAACAACGTGCTGCGATGCCAGCCAACCGGAATTGACCCGCAGCGAGGCAGCCGCGGTTCTTTTCCCCAATCATTTTCCCCCCAGAGAACAACAAGCCAGAGAACCACAACTTTGCACTGATCCCATCAAACCCCGGACTTTGTTGTCAGGGAGAAGAGGATAAGTCGGAAACTCATTCTTTCCTCAGTCGCGATACCACTGACGCGCAAACTGGACACTAGGCCCCGCCCCAATCATCTCATCACCACGCGCCCACTTCACCGTAACCTCATCCGTGAACTCCTCCACTTCTTATCCTTCTTATTATCATCCGGATCGGGGGCCTCGCGATGCAAGTCCGTCCCGACAGTGGGGGGCGCGATCTCAACGACATGGATATTAGACCCAGCCCTCGCCAGAGCCGCCCTTAGATTCATTGTCCAGAGATGCACCCAGCCCTTCGTGCCATTATACACCGGATTAACGAGCCGAAAGGGGACGAACGCCACAATGGAAGACAGATTAACAATCATAGCGTGGGGTTTCCAGCGCAGATGCGACAGGAGCCGTTGAGTTAAGTTCCTGGTTCCCCGAACATTGATGTCGATTTCCTGGTCGGCTCGGGAGAGGAAATCATCCACGTCGCCGTGGACGATGTCCAGATGGCGCTGGACCCCCGCGTTGTTGACCAGACAGTCGAGGTCGGGGTGCTCCGTGACGAGGCGCTGCACGAAGGGCGCGATGTCGCCGGGGATCCCCACGTCGAGGACGCCGTAAGCGCTCGCGCCGATCTCGCGGGCGGTTGCAACGAGGTTGGCTTCGGTGCGGCCGGCTAGGATTACTTTCTTGCCGCGCGTGATGAGGTATCTCGCGATGGCTTTGCCGATGCCACCGCCTGCGCCTGTTACGAGGGCGCAGGAGATGTTGTTGACTGGGTCGGAGGACATGGTTGGGTAGCGAGGATGGAGGGCGAGGGGTGGAGTGAAGATGGTTTGGGTGGGATGGTAGGATTTTCTGCTGGGGGGATATATGGCGTTGTCCAATGTGGGGAGCTGTTAAGGTGACGTCAACTTCTGCAATAAGGCCCCGAGTGGATATCCTCCGGAGTGAAGCTCCAACATGCTCGTACTACCATGCGTTCGGCATCATTGGTCAGAGTCGTGAAGAAGCTCCTTGTCACAGTTGACAAGCCGCGGACCGTTCCCCCATTGGATAGCGCTGTAACATCTTGAGCTGCAGCAGAGACGGGGGTCTGATGCTTAATGCAAGGGTCAAGCTTGATGCTTGTGTTGGCTATCGATGGATTTCTCCGCGCATATACGCTGGCTAACAAGTCCCGAAAGAAAATTAAATGTACAAAAAAGGTGCCGCGGACAAGGATCGATCAAGGGGTTTCGCTGCCTGTCCGTTGCAGCATGAGAGGCTCCACCAGTTCCTCGGGGAACGTTGAATAACGCGCTGCAATGCGTCGTCGAACGACCGAATACAGCGCGATGGAAAGCAGAATCAACGTACCGGCACCCAGAACAGTGGCAGAGATCCCGATCCACAGCGATTCCCACGGACGGGGCTGTCGAACAGCAGGGGGAAAGAGCAAGACAGCTGGATCATCAGCCATGGGCAACTCAGCGCCCTCAGGCCAGTAGCTGGGCGGAGTAGTTCTCAGCATAGACGAAACACCCAGAGATTTGTTATGCGCGTCAACAGCCTCCACCACCACCCGATCCATATAACCCCGGGCGACGAAAGTCGTCTCGAACCCCTTCTTCGGAACCGTTCCGATCATCACCCTCTCGCTCGTCGAGTTGAATTGCGCCCAGAACCGCCAGAATTCGACATCCGTCGCGCCGTTCCAACTGACATGGAACTGAGTTGACAGTTCGGACCCATTGGTCCCATGCACAGACGCCACAAGGGTAGGTGGCTCCGCAGGACGAGCAGACCACGGATACTTGTAGGCGCGGTAGTTACTGAAGCGGTCGCTGGCGAAGCGGGCCTCCATGAGAACACGTCCATCGTGAGCAAACTCGCTGATATAGCCATCGTCACTCCAGGAGATAAACACGTTGGTATTCGGAAGGAGCTGGGTGTTTCCGCGCTTCCGGGTGAAATTGCCATCGGGGCGATCGTAGCGATTCAAGACCGTCGCTTCGCGCGTGATCAGGTTCAAGTCGACGATCAGTCCGGTGGAAACGTACTCATCGGTGATATCGTCATCGGAGGCGTTATCCAAGAACGACATGATCATGTGTTGTCGGCTGTGGCTGATGATCCGGGCGTGATGTTGCTTCGAAAAGGTGAAATCCTTCTTGAAGGAATTCCTCTTCCCGCCCAGTCGCCACATGATGGTCCCATCTCGGCCTGAGATGAGATATATAGTGTTGGAATGACGACACGACATAAGATAATCGCCATGCTTGGTCTTCTCCACCGAGTTCGCATGCAGATAGTCCGCCGGATCATCAGCCGGGCCCGCCTCCACCGCAATGACCGATTCATCCAGCGGGACCTTACCCTGGGAGTCCCATTCAAAGAGCACGCGACCCGTCGTGATGTCGACATCTTGAAACCCGTGGAACTTCACGAGCCTGAATACCCCCGGCAGTCCGATCTCCCACAGATCGACGGCCTCCCGTCGGTGGTGAATCGCCAGGGCCCGTCCGGGCGCGTAGACGTAGAACTCGTGCTTGTCGTTGACAGGTATACTCCCGGTGACCTGGTACCGGTTATTCAGGACCGTTCCATTTGCATCTTCGAGGGCGAGACCGATGCCCGTCTGAACCATCATGGAGAGCTGTGGCTTGCCGGGTTGGTTTTCGATGACGCGGAGATCAAAGGCGTTGCGGTTGTTGGTGAATTCGGCGCCCGTCCAGACAAGTTCCTAGAAATATACCATATCAGTACATGTCAAAATATGATTTCGGACCGAATAGCTGGTACGCACGCCATCCTGATCGAAAATATGCGGACCGACTTGATAGGGCATCCACCGGTTCGTGTAGGGCTCGCCGACGGTGACCCAGTACGGGGCGACGAACCAGTATCCCGGGGCGACGGCGTGGCGGTCATGGTAGGTGATGTTCCATTTGATGATGCGGTGGTTGGGGAGCTAATGCGAGACGGAGATCAGTTGCTGCCCACCTGGGATGAAGGCAGTGGCATGTACTCACCGTGACATAGGATCGCATGTCATCGTCATCGGACGCTGTAAAAGTCGTAGCGGCGGAGAGACGAAGAGTGAAAGAGGACAGAAATGCCAATTGGGCTATTATTCTTAGGCTGAGGCTGAGGCTGAGGCCCGAGCGAAAAGAGCGAAGGGGTATCATGATAGCAGACATTAAAGATAGCCAAAAAAAAAAAAAAGAAAAAAAAAAAAAGAAAAAAAAAAAAAGAAAAAAAGAGGAAGGGAGTGGGTGATTCGACTCGAAGATACGAAGTCGAAGAGCCAGTCAGATAAGTAAGTTAGGTCTAGTTCATAGCGAAAGCGAAAGTCAGAAAGACCCAACGAGGGGAAGGGATGGGTGGGAAAGAAAGGAACGAATGAATGGAAATACGTTCCTGTTGAAGTTCCAGGAGAAATAAAGAGAAAGAGAGAAGAGAAAAGAAAATTTCCCCTGAGGGCCAGAATACGAGGACGGGGCCGAACGAAGATAAATAAGCTGGACTTGTCGCGTCGGTTGGATTTACCCCGGATAAGCAGGTGGATCTCTCCAGCCGGGCCTAGATGCGGATCTATCCACTTGGCAGCCGGGAAGGAAGGGTTTCTATCTATGCAGCAAGGTGTGATATAGGTGCTGTTGTCCATAGACTTCCATTTGTATGCAACTCGGTGAATGGAGGCTTCTTGTAGAGCAATGGTGAATTGTAATGTATCCTGGCATCGAATAAATGCCAGCGCATTTCGCACACCAGGAATAGATGATCCATTGACGATGTTCTACTCCTTCCTGACAGTTTCTAATTCGGATCATCCTACCCAGTTACCTGGTACAAACTCAAACGTTTTACAATATCGTCAATCGTATCCTAAATTATGAACTCGGCACAGAAAAGAGCCGTGGTATACTCCAGAGTCCCGAGCCTGCGGACTAACCCCCCGTGGGCCACACGATACCCTTCCTTGCACCTAGCAAGGCTGCACCGCTCGCAGATAGAAGAGTGGCAATCCTTCTATGGTGACGTACGACAGGCAACAACAAACGCCATTGGAGCCCCGCCGGCTACCGCAGCCCAGGCAGCGGGTCCGATGGAATACTACATGACTGGGAACGAACTTGGGGTCACGGGAAGATTCGGAGAACACGTCTTAAGCCGTCTGGGTCCGGTCATTGAGAGCCCGGTGCCGCGTGTGGTCATTGGCGATGTCCACTGCGCAGAAAACGCGCACCCCATTCTCCATGACCTGCCAGACTGTGTAGTGCTGAATATCCGTCAAGGCCATACAACGGTGGGTAGCGTCATTGAGCTCAAGACACCCTGGACCATCGACCTGAGCAATCGGAGGACCTACAAGTTCTACCGCGTTCTGGGTAAGGCTGAGAAACTGGTATGATATTCAGTATTGGGCTAAGATTATATATAGGGCAGCTCGCCCAGTATATGGACACCTATTCCTGCCGATATGGCCTGGTTTCCACCTATAACCAGAGTATTGTGGTTCGTCGTGTGAGCAATTATCGCTTTGCGCTGAGCCCAGTGGTTACCCATCGACAGGAATCGTCCCAGGTGCCAGTGAGGGTCTCATTGAAGGAGTGCGTCTTGTTCCTTTCGTTGAAGGTGAAAGGGAATGACTGGCGCTGGGGCGGACCGGTTATCGGAAGACCCCTGGTAATTTGTCCACGAAAGCTTCTGTCTCAGAAGGTCAAGTCTTGGCTAACCTTGATATATAGATCAATGGGACATACACTGGTTAGGAGGGGATTTGGATGGTATGGATGACACTGCGTGCACGTGATTGTTTTTCACACGGAGACAGGGGGCGACGAACCTATTTGAGATGTGAATTAAGTTACCCATAGGTTATCCAGGTACATGCGAAGTACGATCTTGCGTTTTGCCAAGCGTAGCCTTGTTCGAGGAGATATTGAACATGACCAAAGGAGCATGGTAGCTGACAGACAGAGAGACCTTGTATAGTTAGGGTGTTACTAGCAAGCCGGCGCCCTTACTGCCTATAGATAGACGAGACTCGGAAGACTGGTAATACTTAGGTGAATCGTAGATAGTAAGTCACTTGAAGCTCTTGTCATTTCCATTCACTGACCCGGTGGCGAAAGCTCTCCGTCATTCCTCGGAGAGAGATTCCGACCTCGACACATTGCCTCACCTTTGCCTGCCCCCCGCTTTGCTAATTTTCCCCCCTATTCCTCATTCTTGCTGCAAAGTTTGCCTTCCCTACCCCAAGAGGAAGATATTCTTTCAGGATGAACGATTACAGGTACCCAAATGGGATGATGATGATCGCCCAAGTTGGGAGGGAAATGGTAATCAGCAATCACCGGTACACCATCACGAAAGTCCTCTCCGAAAAGCCAAAAAGGGAATTACACGAGTACTGGGTCGTGTATGAAGCTACGGCGGTTGGAACGACCCAAAGGTTTGCTTTGAAGGTCCGGTACCAGTAAGTAGTCGAGGCCAAAAGTGTGTGTGCTCGTTGTTTATTTGTTTGAAAAGGCTAGTGGCCCCATCCCTGAGCGAGAGAGACCTTGAGTCCGAGGGGAGAATGGCCGAAGATTGTTTTAACGAGGAGCATCGGGCTCTGAGGGAGTGCGAGGGCTCTGGGCATACACCGCGTTACTTTGGGCATGGCGAGCTTCCCCAAGGCGCCAATCCTCACTACCCCGCGGGGTATGCCCGAGTGATTGCTATGTCGTTGGTCCGGGGCACCAGTGTCGTTGAAATCGAGGATCTCCGCTTCAGGGACCAGGTTCGAGCGGCAATTCGGGAGAAACTGACTGAGACCCTGGAGTGAGTTTGCCCGAGTCTGTATGTTTTCACTTTTAGAACCGGTTGCGCTAACCATGAGCCTGTCACGGATAGATACATTCGCCTCAAGGGATGGACATTCTTCGAGCCAGAAACCGAGCAAATCTTCTACGACTCTTCCACAAAGAAGATGTATGTTTGACATCCGTCCGAATCGCTACATCTACTAATGCACCTGCAGCTGCCTGGTGGGTTTCTCGCGAGCTGGAAAAGAAGATTATGATCCGAAGGAGGAGGAGCCTTTCACCAAAAATTCCATGGACGTTCTCGCTTTTGGCTTGGGATGGCGCGTGGAATGAGCAGTCTTCCTGGCGTCCCCTTCTCCTCACACAGGTTCCGTTTGTTCTCCTCGCGTGCCGTTGACGGAAAGTCAGGGAAGCGTCCACTTTCATTTAACAGATTTCGTTATTTTCCTCGACTGTCGCCCATGGAGACGTCGGGAAGGCGTCTATTTTCAACAATTAGACTGCCCATTTGGATTTATCGCGTCGTGGGTCTATCTTGACAACTTCAACAGCTTGCTCTAGATAGCCTCATTGCTTAATTTCAACTTCCATTTCAATATCTAAACATGATAGACTCGTTTTGGTAGAACTTAGCCAGGCCCTCGTATTTCTCTGGATTGCAGGTTGTTCTTCCATGTCCAGCTCCAATCAGGGAGTAAACCTTCATTCTTATGTGCTAGAAGGACTTATTAGAATAAATGTTTTTGAGCACCGGGAAATCATAAGGAATTGCCCTTTCTTTGTCCAGAAAGCTGAAACTAAACGATCCCCTCCGAGTCAAATGCCCTATTCATCCTTGCAAAGTCATACACCTGATCCCAATCTCGACACTGATGAACCACACCCCATCCGTCGGTGTCCTTCTGCACGGTATTGTTTACAACTCGAGCTTTCTCAAGGGTGGTATCTGCTGCGCACATGATAGCCTGCCCGATTCAAGTATGTGTTAAGCAATAAAAACCAGAGTCTCTTGAAAAAGGAAGAGAGGTGAAATTTGATAAGGGTAGCTTACTTGTCTGAGATAGTCCACGCAGTGGGCTACATGGGCACTGCCGTGTGCATGCATATGTGTATTCTCTCTAGTGGTGCTGTGCATGTCCGAGGAAGTAGACGAAGAGCCCGTCTGGTCTAATTCAAGTATGTTCCGATGGAGAAGGGCCTATGCTGTCAGCGACCCTTTTGCTATTCCGCCCAGATTGCCAGGGAACAGGATAAAACACACCAAACAATGAAGCTGGTGAAAGACAGAGAGACTGTATCCCTCACTGTCCCCTCCAGGAATGGGAAATCCCCCTGACAAGCCATGTGACTGGGGGTTGTCAACGGAGATGAACCCTTTGCCCGCTTTTCCGGGAATCAGCGGGTTTTGAGGTTTTGCTGGGTGTAGGAGGTTCAAACGTACGCGGTATCAAAGATCCCCATGACGAGTCCGAGATATCAGTGTATCGGGGGTCAGGGGCGAAGAGAACTGGTTTCATGGAGACTGGGTAGTGTCTATTTAGATTGGAAGTAGACGGTAGAAATTAAGAGAAGACACACACTCGTGACCCAAAAGATTGAGATGATTAGAGGATGCCCCTCGCAATGTGATAGCATACATGACTGTTACGATCAATGCATATACCCATAATAGGTTGGGCGCCAGGATCTTGAGGCGGCCGACGTGAGGTTTTGGCGATAATGGGGGGTGTGCGCCCTCCTCGTCCATGTCAAGGGGGATATATTGGACGGGGTCTTTGTGCTTGAACATGTTGGATATCCTGGCAGGTGTTCCTGCGGGGAGGGAATCGCTTTCCCAGCCCGGTAGGTGTAGACGGAAAAAATCACAACACTGCGGCCACCAAATAAGACAAGAAGGTAGAGAAGAGGGGGCGTGTGTGGACTTTGTGTGGTAGACATGATTGTGTAACGAAATCCTTGGGCTTTATTCCGTGAATTAACGGAGATATCTTTACCAATGAGAGATTACGCCAAGAACAATGTCATTATAGCCGAAAGAAGAAGGAGTCTCTGATCCGAACTGTATTGATAATAGCCATGGTGTCATATCTGCAGTAATCTATATATATCATCCTCGTATTCGAGGTTGGGGCCAAAACCAACGGCGCTCCGGGGGATGTCCGAGATGATCCCTAGTAATCAGTTGGGCCGTTAGCGCTTAATCTTAATGCTAAGATAAGATCTCCGAGGAAAAGCCACGCAAGGCTGGTAAATGACATTACCAACCTTACAAGTTGAAATGAAACGAAAATCTAGGATGTGCTATTTAAGATACCGGATAGTTGAATCTCCAGAAGTGTGCTCGCGTAGCTTCTTTCGCCGAGAAAATCATAATACCAGTTTTCAAATGGCACTCAAAGAGGCAATCCGTGGTGGTGACGATGGCGAGGTGCAAGAACCTTTCCTCCCTGACGACAATGAGGGAGAGGATGCTCGCACCGTCGCGTTGCAACGATATCAACGTCTTGTTCGATATCAAATGATTGCCATCGGAGGGCTGTGCTGCCTGCTACTGATTCTGCCCCTTTTCCTGTTGCGTCATGTCGGTTGGCAGAGGCAGAATATCGAGACCCAAGTGTACTGTCAGTAGTCGCTTCTCGAGTTGGGATGAAAGCCATCAGGACTGACCAACGTATCTCAGCCCCCGTGGACCACCTCGTGACCTACAAGGACGTGGTCTTCACAAGTGGACTACTGGAAGGCCGCACATCTTACCAAGGACCCCCCACTCCGGAACGAGACGCTGCCTGGGAAGACCTGTACAGCTGTAAGCCCGTACCTGCCCGAGATTGACTACTCGAGCACGTTACACCATGCTGACTCTTTACCAACAACACCTAGTCGGTGCCAGCCGCATCCCCCAATCCTCGGCGCGGAAGCTTGCCAACCAAACCCTTCCCATCCCGGACGATCCGGGCTATTACATTGTTGAGCTGAACGTATTTCATCAGCTACACTGCCTGGTAAGTAGCGGCCCACTGTGAAGTAGCAAACGAGTGAACAAGGTAGCTAACATGGACAGAACATGTTACGACTGCGCTTGTACTCCACCGAGGAATATGAAATGGACCACCCGACTATGGGCAGCCAGCATCTGGAACACTGCATGGACGCCATCCGGCAGAGTCTGATGTGCTCAGCGGATACGGCACCACACTCGTGGGCCTGGGACGAATCGACACAGCGAGCGAAGGTCGTAGCCGGAGTGCTGCACACATGCAAGGATTTCGACGCGATTCGGGACTGGGCGCGACAGAACGAGGCGGGATATTTCAATACGAGTCGGCGGGGAGATGATGTGATTTGATCCGATAGATTAAAGACAAGCAGAATTGCAATCAAGCGCCGACCCTGTAGAACTCAATTCATTCCCTTCTTGGGCCCTCCGGTATGGTAAAGCTCTTTTCGTCCCCAACCACCCGATACCAGCCTGGGACCCTCTCCCTCTCTTTCTCCGCCCATATCGCCGGCCCACACAAGACATACTTTACAAATATATACGTATCCACCGCTTGCAACCCATGTGAGCCATTGTTGGCGTGGGGCTGCTGCAACAACATTCGCCCACAGTGCTCCGTGTGCGCCATGTCGGCGATATACCCATCCACCGAGTCCCGGCCCTCGCCGAACAAGACCGCGCGGTGCATCTTCCGCCACATGTACGTGCAATGCATCAGATGGTATTCGCGCGTCACGTACAGCATCTCGTACTCCCCGGCCAGGACGCGCGCGCGTGGGACAGCCTGCTGGCCAGCCGGGTCCAGGAACCACTGCCAGTCACGCTGGGCAAGGAAGTCATGCGTCAGGGGCGCATCGAAACAGGCGGACGGTAGCCAGGAGAAGGACATCGCATCGAACTGGCACCCGCGGGCGAGGGCTTCAGCGGCGGAGGTGCCGCAGTCTTGGACGGCAGATGATGGGGGATCTTGGGGATGCGATGGCGACAGGGCCCACCACCAAGCCCCCGTGGCGATGGAGATGCAAACGCCTAAGATGACGGCGAGGGAGAGAGCCCGTTTGCGTTGGTGTTGTGGGAAACATGCGGATGCGCGTGCAGGAGGCTGAAGAGGGTGCGGGGTGGAACCGAAGAGGGGGTCTTCTTCTTCGTCAAACTGATGAAATTGGTCCTCGAAGTTTGCGTTAGCCATGGCTTTGAGTGGGGGGGAAAACGGATGCTGTAAAGGCGATGACAAGGAAAGCACTGAGGTTTTCCACAGAAGGATTTGCAATTTATGGCTGCATGACCTGATTCATCAGACATCATCCCCGAGGCTTCGGTCGGCGGTTCGGACGATGACCGGTTTTTTTTTTTTTTTTTTTATTTGCTTCAATGGTCAGACTGGTATAATGTGGTGTATCAAGGCGAAGATTCCTGATCCCAGTGGATCGTGCTGTATTTTCCGAGGATAAGAATTCGTCATTCTGCAGTCACTTCCGTTATCGGCTAGGCAAGTATGGTGCCAGATACATCCATTCCTCATGTGAACTAGTGTGAAGAAGACGGGAATTTAATTCCTCGTCTACTACTTCATATCGGGCCAGAATCCTTCAAGCTAGAAAGATAAGCCACGTGGATTGCAGGGTGAAGAGCGTGGGTGAAAGATGTCAGGGACCGCACTAGACTCGGTTGGGGGAAGCTTCACTGAGCATAAGTATGGAAGATAGATTAGCCGTCAAAAGTCTCCGCTTGATGAGACATTATCTGTGAAAAGGCTCCGCTTCATGTTGATGGGGCTATAGGCTTCAGATCGGAGTTTTGTTGCTAGTGTACGCAGTACTGCCGAGGCAAAAATCCTGCAAACCGGAAAGATAACAGGTATAGATTACGAACTAAATTGTTATTATTCTTCCATTCAACAGCTCGGCCAGATGATACTGTACCTACTAGCCTATGAACAGAGGTGTAAGATAGATACTTCTTATCTTCTGGTGGCGCGTTTGAATCATTGCAGCTGAGCTGTCTACTATCACCAAGTCACCAGATTTAGAGAAGCTGGAATGGGCTGTTGTCAGGGCCTAGTATAAAAGTAACCTCAAGAACCCGGAAACTGAATGATCCTGGCTCGATATAACTTTTCTTCTTTCCCTCAGTCTGAAAATACGTCTTGTTTGCTTCTTCTTTCTGCAGTCAAAATGAAGGTCTCTCTTATGCTCTGTCTGACCGCTCTGGCGGCTACTGTTTCAAGTGTGCCTGTGGCTCCAGCTGAGCGGGGAATTGACGACATGAATGCCATCGCTGCGTGGGGTGCCATCAAAAGAGGTGATGAAAAGGCCAGGGATATCGACGACATGAATGCCATCGCTGCGTGGGGTGCCATCAAGCGGGGCGATGAGAAGGCCAGGGATATCGACGACATGAATGCCATCGCTGCGTGGGGTGCCATCAAGCGAGGCGATGAGAAGGCCAGGGATATCGACGACATGAATGCCATCGCTGCGTGGGGTGCTATCTAAATGTGAGTATAATTGACACCCTCATGGATTATAAACTCACATTCAACAGTAGGGAGACCCTTGCGACGGTATGCCTTTGACTCGAGAGCAAACAAGATGTTCGACGGGACGGGGGCGATGGACTTGGGCAGTTCAGAAATTAGGTCCAAGAAAATGAGATGTCTTTATCAAAAGCAAGGTTCAATCAATGACTTTCTATCTACCATAGACTGTAAATGTTCCTATTTGAACCCAGCGCATTCATGTTGCCGGTGCGGTCATTAGGCCCATAGGTTGCTTCGTGGTGACTGGTATTCCACTCATACCAGGGCGAGGAAGAGCAATGATAAATTTTAGCACCAGGTTACCTTCCAGTCTTCTTGTAGACCAGTAATAAGGTGGGTGACAGGTGATGAAAGATCGAAGTTCCCGCCCATCTGTGCGGAGTGGACAAGATAGGATAGATCGAGGACAGTGGTACCAACATCTTCTGCTAAAAGGCGAGTCGGTACCCGACCAATCCCGTCTTTATCCGACTGATAACGATACCCCTGGTCAAGGAATCGACCGATGGTGATTGGGGTGTCGTGCAAAAAGCTGTCCGGACCAACCCTGCCAGAGAGGGATGCGTCCAGGAGTCCAATTGAGAATGATTCCCCCCGTCCAGATGCTCCCGACATATGGCCAGGCTGTGTCCGACATGGACGACAGCATCGCCCGTTTGTGGCAATACCCCGGCACAGCCCAGCGCCAGATATCCAATGCATAAATTGATGGGATGGCAAGTCAGAGCTACACAGGTTGGAACGGACGGGTCGAAGAGAAGCAAGGACGTGGGGCTGTGTGCTAGCTGACAGAAACAGGTAGGCTGTCGCAAAGAAGGGCCTGCAGCAGGTGATCTCACAGAGGATATATTGTCAAAGGGTCATCGGGTAAATAGACGCCTCCTGACTTGTCACAATGACTGTTGGATGTCGGTCAGTTGCATTCCAGTTGGCGATATCTTTCACATTTCCAGAAGCACAGGGGAGGACGGAAAAACAACATAAGGCTGCCAGATATGCTGCAATGGGACATACCGCTCAGCCTCGCGAGACGGATGTTCTAAAATTGGAAATAGATGGACTTGCATAGGTCAATTAGTCAGTATGTACTGTACTGTACTGTATACAGCTGACACCAAGGACGCAAGGGCTGTGACTTACAACATCAACTGTGATGCAGGTGAGACGGGGATTGCTTCGCCCTCCATGTCTTTGACGTTACCTTTCTCTATCTCTTGCCCTACTGGTCCCATTTAAGTCACCGCATATCTCCGATCTTCTCAGTTCCCATACCATCTAACAGATTCAACCACCATGATTCCCACAGTCAACACCATCCTCATCATCGGTGCCACCTCGGGCATCGGCGAAGCCTTTGCCCGCAAGTTCCATGCGGCCGGCAAGAAAGTGATCGTGACCGGTCGCCGCACCGCGCGGCTGCAGCAGCTGCAACAGGAGCTGGTCGGCCTGGAGACAGTGGAGTGGGACATCCGCGATATTCAGGGTCTGCCCGCGAAAGTCGCCCGGATTATAACCGCGTATCCCACCCTCGACACCGTCTTCATCAACGCGGGCATCCAGCGCTGCTTCAGCCTTTTGGAGGCGCCAACCACCAGCACAGTCACCGAGAATCAGTCCCTCGCCGACGAGATCCAAGTCAACCTGACAGCGCCAATCCTCCTAGCCCGGGCCTTCCTACCGCATCTCCTCGTCCGGGCCACAGCCAACCAGCCCGCGGCACTCCTGGTAACCAGCTCCTCGCTCGCGTTCCACCCACTGCCCTTCTATCCGGTTTACTGCGCCACCAAGGCCGCTATCCACGCGTTCCTAGTCACCCTGCGTGAGCAGCTGGGCTTTGCGCCAGCCAACATCCAACAGGCGCTCAGCGTCGTCGAGGTCGTCCCGCCCTACACGGATACCGAGCTGGATGCCGCGTCGCGGGCGCACACGGTCGCCATGCAGGGGGGTCCGGAGAAAGCGTTCGCGCCGATGCCGTTAGGGGAGTATATCGAGGCGGCTTGGGCGAGACTGAATGCCCCTGCTGAGGATGGGAAGCTGCCGAAGGAGGTGGGAGTTGGGTTCGGGGAGATGGGCGTCAGTGTGTGGCGTGATTCATTCGGGAAGAGTCTGGAGGGGATGGGGTTTGATGTTTGAGTTGGTCTTAGGAGGGATGACCAGATGTATAATCCATAATTGAATTTATATTCCACCAAGCTGAAGTGACCACGCTCCATGTCGGTGTATCTAGGTGCGTTCCCCTTTGCTGAGCAGTAGGAATTTTCCCGAGTGTCAGTACAGGGTCCATTTGTTGTAACCAACGAATGAGTCCATTCTATCTTTCTAAGCTTGGCTATTTGCCAGAACCTTCACCAGTACCCATGTATATCTTTCCACGTACAGATCTAAATTCAGCCAGGCAGGCATCCAGTCAAAAGTTCAATATCACCATATGAAATCCCTTGCTTTTCCTTTCCCATCCATCTTTATTCTACCATCACCCCATAGAATATAACCCCTTCACTGCCAACATCATCTAGCATTACACACCAGCCCATCCCAATCCCCATTCATTTCCGATGCCCAACACCATCCAACCACCGCCTCATCCGTTCCCGCCCCCCACGACCACCAGCGTCACCCTTCCGCATCTCCGCCAAAGGAATCCCTCTCGCCATCTCCACCTGACTGTAATCCCTCTTCTGGTGACTACTCTGCTTCAGAAGTGTGACGCCATCATCAGCAGTCGAGGACAGCGACAGAGTTGCACCCGCACTAGTAGCCGTCGTGGGCAAGTCGGTAGTCTGCGATGGCTGGGTGTTGGTAAAGTTGCTTCCCAGCCTAGACAGGGGCATCCATATAGACTGGAAGAGACTGTTGATCAGGGGACGGACCATGGGACCGCAGGCGGCGAGGATGAGGGCGCAGCCTTCGACGCTGTAGGGGAAGAAAGAGAGGGAGTGGTTAGTTCAACTGGCATCTATAAAAGGAAAGACCTGATTAAAATGGGAGGATAGACATAAAAAGTCTAGAGAACGAGAAAATGGAAGGGTTTGCCCGCGCGAGGAGTCATGCTCACCTATTCCAGACTTCGAGCGGCACGGTGGCCCCTAATTTGAATTAGTTACCACAAACACAGGCGGAGATCTTTGACTCATTACAGGGAGCTCGGGGAGTTGAAAAGTGTGGGGGTGAAGCAGGAGAGTCCAACGTACAGGTGGGGTCCAGGGTGTCATTGATTTGATGGATGGTGGTTAATTTGTAGACCGTGACAATCCCGCCTCTATAATTCGACGGAGTTTCCGAAGTTAGATTGGGGACACAATGATGATTGTAGGAGAGACAGAGGAGAAGAAAAGGAAGAAAGTCCATACAGGAACCCGAGACTCATCGACCCGGCAATCAAAGCCTTCCGACTGCGTTCCATCTGCAGGATCCGGATATGCAGAACTGCATACACTGTGTAGCCTGCGTCCAGGACCACAGAGTATGCTTCGTGATGTACCACTCGCATTAGAGCCATAAAGTTTCCAGAAAGAGTAGAGGCGGAACGTAAGCATACCTCCAGCCAGATACCCCAAATCCACATTAATGTCTCGATTCCAGCATTTGCCGTGGAGGGAAGTATCCCACTGGGCAGCCACGGGGGTACATTGGACAAATGTGGTGATGGTAATCACTGTAACCAAAACAATCAGAGCCAAGGCCGAGGCATACAAGGCGACTGCGTGCCGCGTGACTCGACCAAAGAGCCGGACGAGCAGCGCAACTACCGGCAGTTTTGGCACAGCGAACGTCCAGAGCCCGATCGCCTGCAGCACCACCAGCTCGTGCAGCAGATGGGTGACTTTCTCGGCGGGCTCATGCTCGAGTAGCTCCGGTAAATGTCGCCCGAAGCCGGCTTCAATGGAGATGGATAGGAGGATTGATCGGGCTAGATGAATAGCCTGATGAAGGAGGGTGAGCAGGAATAGTCCAGGGGGTGGGACGATTAGACATACAACTGCCAGAACAATGAGAAGGTCATCGACCCCCCAGTCATGCTTGTCGCGTAGCCGGTGGGAGAGTAGTCGGAGTATCACAGCAACTGTCGATCACAGCAGCCTGGTCAGCACAGGTCACTACAGAGGCCAAAAGAATCAACTGACCAAGAGAGAAGGCCTGGAGGATCCAGTTGAGGGTATTGAGGAAAGGCCCTCGATTGACATCTCCGCCATAGGACATTGTTGAGAGAGATTACGACTGTCATGGTGGTGGTCGTGCTGGTGCTATAATGGGGTTTAATATTCCAGTACCATGCCGCAAGGGGGGAGGATTTGATACAAGGCAGACTACCAAAATGGATGGATACATGCCACACAGCCTTGTCACTCCCCCCACCAGTGAACATGTCAGCTGTGCAGGGCATTATCCTCCTCTTTCTCTCATTCTTCTGTTTCTCCTCGCCAAACCCAACCCAACTTATCAGCCATGTCCGCTCACGTCTTCTCGCAGCTTCCAGCTCTCCAGGCTACTGTTGCCTCGGACTGCAGAATACTCCAAGACCCTGAGGATTCCGCCTTTCAGGAACGTCTGAGACGCTGGACTAATATTGGCCGACAGACTCCGACAGCGATCATCCTCCCTCGGACGGAAGAGGACTGCCTCGAAACCGTACGCGCGTCTCTACAGAATCCACGGATATATGCTGATGTTGGTCCAGGTCCGATGGGCTCTGCAACACTCCATTCCCCTGGTACCCTCGAGTGGGGGCCACAGTGCCTGGTCCACGATCGGTGAGGGAGGGGTGATCATTGACCTCAGTAACTACGTCGACATCCGGGTGGATGAGGAAGCAAAGACGGCCACCCTGGTCGGTGGAGTTCTGTCGAAGGAAGTCGGACTCCGCCTGGCAGAAGCAGGGCTCTTCACAGGTATATCCATACACTTTCCCACCGCCGATTGCTAATCTGAGTCCATAAGCTCTCGGAAACGGCAATACGGTCGGGGCGATTCCCTACTTCCTGGGCGGAGGCGCCTCCATCACCACCTCCATCACCGGCTTCGGGTCCGACCAGATCGTCTCCGCGCGGGTCATCACAGCCAGGAACGGCGGAGAGCTAGTGGAGGTGACCGCGACAGAGCATCCCGATCTTCTCTGGGCGCTGCGCGGCGCTGGGCAGTTCTTCGGCCTGGTCACCCAACTCACCATCCGCGCCCACCCAGTCTCCTTGCTCCGCAAGCAGCAGGGCCTGATCTGGGTCGGGGCATTCATCTTCCCTCTGGCCCGGACGGCGGAGGTCACCCGCGTGATGAAGACCCTCATGGCCGACACGCAACACGCGACCGCCGGCCTGATGATGATCATGGCGCCCCCGCCCACGCGCACCCCCTCGCTAGTCATCTCAGCGCGGTACACCGGGGACGAGGATCCACACGTGCCCTTCGGACCGCTATATGACCTCCAGCCCGTAGTGGCGACGGGAAACGAGGTTCCCGTGCAGAACGCAAGTGACGCGCGGGAGATACTGTGCGCCAAGGGCGACTTCAAGCAGTTCGGGGTGGTAGGGCTGCACGGATTCGACGCAGACGCATTCGTGCGCACGGTCGACATCTGGACGAAGATGGTGACCGAGTGTCCCGACGCGATCAATACGGCCTTCAATTTCCAGTGGGACGCGAGGCCCCCCCGAGCGCCCGAGGCGGATTCGGCCAGTTCCTTGCATGATATCCGGTACTGGCAGTACGTGTTCCTTTTTCTTTCTTTTTTCCGACACCCAGCCCAAATGACTGTCATGCTAACCATGGACGGGGTACGACAGGAATAACCTGATCTGGCATACCGACAGCGCCAATCGCGACAAGGTGGACAGATACAACGAGGCGTGCATCTCCGTCATGCGGGGGCCGGACGAGATGCGCTTCGTGGACTTCCAGAATGGAACGCGGACGGGGCCCATCGAACGACGGTACCGTGGGACGGCTCGACTGGCGAAACTACGGAGGCTGAAGCGGGAGTGGGATCCGCAAGGGGTGTTTACGACGCAGTTACTCGATTGAGTCCTGCCATGGAAGGGAATAAGCGTAATCAGGTAGTTAAATTGCTGTTATGTATGACAGTTGACTCTGATACTGCGCATGTTGTGCTTACAGCTGATATTGATTGGATGAATGGACAAGACGCCTCAGACATGCAGTAAACCCATTGAATGTGATAAACACCCCTTCCGGGGAATCACTCTCACATTGCGTCCGCTTACATGCAACCCAGGCACAATAAGGTATTTGATAGCGTTCACAGCCCCTGTCCACTCCACCGTCCAGTCCTATCGACAGACAGCCAAAAATACCCTCTCCCACCCGTCATTCCTCTCTCACTCAGCCCAGCATGGCCCCAACCCCCGGCCGCTGCCTCATTGCCTTATCCTCCCTCCTAACAGCAAGCGGGGGCTACATCGCCGACTGGAACGAAACGCACGTCTTCAACCCGCAATGGCCCCCACACGCGCGGTACCACAACGGCCAAACCATGACGACCGGGCTGCTGCTGGGGCTGAGCTCGTTGTTCTACCTCTGTCAGACGGGCCATCATTCCCGGCAGGCATTGTATACCGCGGCGTGGTTGCCGGCGCTGCATCTTCTGGCGATGCTGAGTGGGATTCTCTACCCCGGTGCACTGCCCGTTGATCCTGCCTTTGGGGAAGGGTTCCCGCAGTTGTATATCTGTGGGACGTTGTTGGGGATGATTGGGATTGGGGTGGGGTTGGAGGTGCGGAGGGTGGATTCGCTTGTTCATGTTGATACTGCGATTGGCGATGCTAGGCAGTGTAAGTCGGAGTGAAGTGAACGGAAGTAGGGAGTGAGGCTGAAAGAGGGGGGGAAAGTGCTGCGTGTCATGAGTCTCGGGAATGTGTGTCTGTGTCTGTGTCTGTGTGTGTGTGTGGTCTATCTAGGAAGGAAGGAGGGGTCTAGGCAAGTTATGCAAGGGGGTGATGGGCTCGTGTGTGTGTGACCATCAGTCAGTAATATACTGTACATGTATCAGAGGCTGTGTGATGGGCTGTGCTGAGGCTTCCATCACAATATGAGACACCTGTATAGAATCATCAGCATGATTATCCTCGGGGTATGGAATGGGATCAAAAATAGCCTTGCTCATGGCTCAGCGGCAAAAAAGAGTGATAGTCGCCCCGACTGTTCCCTTTTAAAAGGAGAAGGTAAGATATTCGAGTTTCATCATGTGTTTTGAATGTTATTCACATCCCATCTATCATACTCAGCATCTGTTCTTCTCGATCCCCTTCTCAATGCTTCCGAGGGCTCTTTCTCTACTGGGTCTGGCCGCCCTGACTCTGTCCCGCAGCTTCGTGCCACCACCCCCTCAATCGTTTGGCGTCATCGGAGAGAATGCGACGTTCGACTACGTGGTGATCGGTGGGGGTACCGCGGGTCTGGTGATGGCGGCGCGATTGTCTCAGGGCGGCCGGTCAGTTGCGATCGTCGAAGCTGGGGGGTTTTACGAGCAAGGGGCCGGCAACATCAGCACCATTCCCTCCAATTCGGTCTGGTATGCTGGTGCTGCCCCTAATGACACCGACCCCGCCATTGACTGGGGGTTTGTGACCGCCCCGCAAGCTGTAAGTTTGCCTAATACCTACTACTCCCATTATCCGGTGTAAGGGTGTGTCGCTAAGGCCCAGCGGCCAGGGGATGGCTAATCGCCGTCTACACTATGCCCGCGGGAAATGCCTCGGGGGGAGGTGAGCTCCAGCCTTTCTGTACGCTCGGTACCCAGCATTCTCCAGGCACTGATAAGCAAGCCACAGCTCGGCCCGTAATTATTTCACCTACATGCGGGCCACCCGCCAAGCGTACGAGCGATGGGCCAGGGAGGTCGACGACCCCGGCTACTCGCTCGACCAGTTTGCTCTATACATGCAGCGCTCGATACATTTCACTCCGGCCGACAACGAACAACGCGCCCCCAATGCCTCCGTCCCCGACGCTTCGGATGCGTTCTGCTCGAGCGACGGGCCTCTGCAGGTGTCCATCCCCCCGTGGGCCAACCCATTCTCGTCCTTCGTGAAACGCGCCTGGGAGCAGCTGGGGATTCCCCCGATTCGCGACTTCGTGACGGGCAGGCTGCAAGGTGTGCAGTACAACATGAATACCATCGACCCAGCCGACCAATCCCGGAGTTCGTCCGAAAGCGCCTTCCTGCAACTAGCCCTAACTGGCGGCTCCTCTCGCTTGTACAATCAGACCCTGGCCCATCGCATCCTCTTCGAGGGTACCACAGCCACTGCGGTGCTAGTGCAGACCGATGGCATTGAGTATGTTCTCTCCGCACGGAAAGAGGTCATTCTCTCTGCCGGTGCCGTAGGTTTTGATCCACCATCCCTCCCTTTTTGACGCCCATAGCTGACTGGAGTGGTTACCACAGTTCCAATCCCCTCAGCTGTTAATGCTCTCGGGCATCGGTCCCGCCGCGACCCTCCAGCAGCACGAAATCCCCGTCGTCTCGGCCCTCCCCGGCGTGGGCCAGAACATGTGGGACCACCTGCTGTTCGGGCTAAGCTACCGGGTGACTCCACTCACACATTCCGCCCTAAGCAACACCAACGGCGACACGCTCGCCTCCGCCAGCGCCGCCTACCACGCCAACCAAACAGGCCTCCTCACGAACCCCGGCGGAGACCTCATCGCATGGGAAAAACTGCCTGCCGCCGAGCGCGCAGCCCTCAGCCCAGCCACACAAGCCGCCCTGGCCCAATTCCCCGCCGACTGGCCCGAGCTCGAATACCTCGTGCTAGACGCCTACAGCGGCAACAACGAGAACTACATCACCGCGACACCACCAGACGACGACACCGCGCACTCCTTCATGTACGCGTCTCCCAGCGCGGTCCTCGTCGCCCCACTCAGCCGCGGCTCCGTCACCATCACCAGCAGACACGCAACCGACCCCCCCCTCATCAACCCCAACTGGCTCACCCACCGAGCCGACCAGGAACTCGCCATCGCGGCCTTCCGACGACTACGCGCCATGATGGCCACGGAGATCATGCAGTCCGTCACCGTCGCAGAGGTATATCCGCCCTTACCCGGGAGCGGGAGCGGAAACCTCACCAGCGACAGCGACGACGAAATCCTCGACACAATCCGTCGCAACGCAATCATGACGTTCCACGCCTCGTGTACATGCAAGATGGGCCGACGGGGGGATCCGATGGCCGTGGTGGACGCGCAGGGCCGGGTGTTCGGGACGGAGGGGCTGCGCGTTGTGGATGCGTCGGCGATGCCGTTTCTCCCGCCGGGGCATCCGCAGGGGAGTATTTGTGAGTGGTTCCTCCTCGTCCCTTTCTTTTGCTATTATGTGGGCTATGGGATTTTATAATGGAGGCTAATGCTCGATTTCGCAGACGGTCTGGCCGAGAAGATCGCAGATGATATCATCCGTGGAAATGCGTCCGCGAGTATATAAAACCAACACAAACATCATGGACAGACAGACAATAAACTGTGTGAATAAGAATTAAATAATAGAAAGGAAAAAGAATCTAACACTCCAAATCCCCTCCTCCCCACCCACCCCATCAAAATCAAAATCAACAGCAACATCAACATCAACCCCCAGCACCAACCCCGACATATGACTCCCCACCGGCTTAACAACGGGCCTCACAACCCTCAACGGCGGCGTCGTCGCCCGTAGAAGACGCACCCACCCCTCCCACCCCCGCTCCCCACTATTAAAACTCTGCCCCATCACCAGATCTCTCATGCGGAGGAGACCCTCCTGATAAGCAGTGATTTCGCCCGGGGAGGCCGGGAGGATGGTGTCCATGATGAAGAGCAGCGGTGGCTGTGGCGGCGACTTTGAGCCTGAGTGCTGGGTCTGCCTGTCCAAGGATATCTTCGTAGACATGGCGTCTACGAGATGCTGCAGGATCTGGATGGCGTGGTGGTCGGGCCAGTTGTGCAGGATGCGGCGGAGGAGGTAGATGTTTGCGGTTTGGGCGATGGGAGGGGGTTGGGGGGTGAAGAAATCGTGGGGGGTGAGGTGGATTTTGGGGTTAGGTCGGTGGGTGGGATTGGGGATGGGGATGGGGATGGGTTCGGGGTTAGGGTTGGATCTTGGGCTTGGGCTTGGGCTTGGTGGATCACGGCGGGGAGGTCCTGCACCGTGAAGCGGAGGCGTGGGAAGTGCGTGCTGAGGAGACGGCAGGTGTGGCCGTTGCTGCCTCCGACCTGGGTATCATTTTAGATTCCAATTCTTGGGTTTCGTGTAAAATGACGTGATTGTAATTTCAGGGTGGGACTTTGGAAACCAGGGGATAATCAAGGAAAGGAAAGGGAAAGGAGAAACATACATCAACAACATGAGCATCACCCAGCGCCGCCCAATCAAACGCCCTTAGAAGATGATGCTGCGCGGTACCCCCCGCAACATCCAGACTACTCATATACCCCGCGAACATATCCGCTCCGCTGGGTGACTGATTCAGATGCTGAAAAAAGGGCAACGGCGTGTCGAAGGCCAGGTTATACGCCGTCCGATTGACTCGATCCCCAGACGGCTGAGTAGCCTCAGCCATGGCCATAGCGGTTGGCGCGGCGATGGTAGTCAGGAACCGCGCCCAGAGGAGGAGCGAACGGGGCGAGTCTCCACCGAAACAACCTGCGAAACTGGGACTTCCGTACGCGACACGGTCCGGGCAGGCTCGCAGAGGACACCCTCTAGCATCGCCATGCGGGCGACTCTGCGCAGTTGGGGGAGAGGCACGTCGGCTGCTGTGGCGAGGTCGGGGAATGAGATTGTTCCGTCAGTAGGGATGTGTCTGAAAATGTTGAAGTAGCACAGCCAGTGGAGGCAGGCTAGTTGCTGGTTCTGTTGACGGTTGGTGCTGAGCATTAGCAGGTGTATTTTGTGTGGCTGGTGGTTCATTCTTGCGGATATTGGGTCACTCACAAACATTTGCAGCCGCTCTAGGTAGTCGCTGGGCTGGCTGCAGAGGCGTTGTACCTCGTAGCAGTCGTCGAGTAATGCGAGGCGCAGGGCATCGGGGACTTCATTAGGAGGCTGCTGTTGAGTGCTGGTCAGCAGCTGGAGGTTGTCAGTGATGCGGGTGGAAAGAGCTGCTAGATCTTTAGACATGATGGCGTGAAGAAAAAGGGGGGGATGACAGTGAATAGGATTGATAGTAGCAGTGCGGACATTATTTTAAGGTGAGTCCCGGGCAGTTATGGCCTGTGTGACTCGCACTAGACAGCAGCATGGTACTTCGGCTCAATAACAACCCCTACTCACGGCTGCGCGGCTACCCTGCTCCTCCAGATGCCTGGCCCCTTGCGCCACGATCACCAAGCTGTCTTTCCGAAGGATACATACACTAAAGCAAGTGGAGCCCGCCTGCGTCCTGACCGCAATGGCGGCATCAAACATCGATGCGACCGACACAAGTGTTCTGGTGTGCTTGAATTTCGTCTGCTCGATACAATTTTTGGAAAAAGGTCTGCGTAAACCCGGTCGTGGAGCCACCCATGCCGCCTTACTTATTGTACAAAACAATTATATATCTTCGCACATCATCGATGTATATTTGCAAATTAATATCCCCGGAGCGAAGAAACAGTTCTGCAGAGCGTGGCTCGATGCCTGAAGATATCATGATCATCTCATCTCATTCATAAATATATATTTCGTCATCCCCGTCATCGGCGCCTAACAACACACCCATCACCATCTTGCCGATGAGACGTCCCGCTCCCTTAACCCTCCACCCCGACACCCATTTCATGGCTTCGACCTCACCACCGCCCTTGGCGTGAGAATCACTTTAGTCGACTCATACGGCATGCTGAATGCCTCATACATCCAATGACTGCGCATCTTCGAGTCCGCGAGCCGCATCTGATACCGGGTCAGAAAATTGACCATCGCCAGTTTCAAGACGAGGGTGGCGTGAAAGCGACCGGGGCTAAATTTCCCAAGTCAGTCAGGCTACGATAACAATATCACAGAGACTGGAACCCATACCAAGCCAACGACCCATACCCCCAAATCAAATACTGCTCAGAAATATCAGAATACCGATGCGTAGAATCCTGATGATTTCCATCCACGAAGCGGCGACCATCAAAGGTCTCCGGGTCCGGATATGTGCTCGCATTATGCGACACATTATACGACGAGACACAGACAGTGGCACCGATAGGAACGTGGGGGCTTCCGCCAGCAAATGTATAATCCTGCAGGGCCTTGCGACGAATATTCAATTTATCCAACGAGACCAGACGCGCGGTTTCCCGCATGAAGCTGTCCAGGAGGGGCAGGTGGTCGAGTCGGTCGTAATCCAGGGGCTGCGCCGCGGCGATTTCCTCTCGCAGAATGTCTTGCCACTCTGGGCTCGCGCAGAGTCGGTAGATGAAGATGTATAGGTTGACCCATGGTTGGTGCGAGGCTGCTAGCAGAAGGCCCATAAGGGCGCGTGTGAGCGTCTCGGCGGTCCAGTAGTCGCGGGTGGATTGGGTCTCTTTGATGAAGATGTCTAGGAGGGTGAGTTCTTTAAGGCCTGTTGGTTCAGTCCAGTTCGTAGTTTCGCTGTCAATCACCGGGGTGATGCGATTTAGGATTAGTTTCATGGCTGCGCCGCGGTGGGTTATGAGGGCGTTGACGAGTCTGGATTTCTTGGGCGTCAGTGGTTGGCTTATAAGAGGGAATGTGAAATTATCGGGGTCCCGATAACATACGGGGTCATAACGCGGGGCACCAGCTGGAAGAGTGCCATGCATCTAACGGTTTGCTGCGGATGGTTGTAGACGGCTTTGCTGAAGGCAGGATCGGCCGCTGATGGGGTAAATCAGTATACGTAGATTCGAAGATATCAGGCTGACATACTCAGCTCCTCCCCAAAAAACATCATGGCCATTAGCCGCGACGCCATGACCCGACACGTCTCAGCGAGTGAGACACAAACGGATCCATCCGCCAGCACCTGGGCCGGGTAGAGTTCCTCATCCAAGAACCGCTCCAGCCTATCTTGGAGATACGGGTACAGCTTCGCAAGCTGAGCAGGCCCCCGCACACTCAAGATCAGGGCATAGAGCCGCGACCGCGACCGCATGATCTTGACCTCATCGTGGTGAGCGATGTTCATGGTATGCTGGAAGCGAAACATGTCTGCGTAGACGGCCCGCTGCGAGAGCACAGGGGTCTCGCTGAGCTCCGTCATCCTTTTCCTGGTGGGCTCGACCAGGATAGGCTCGGGAGCCCAGGGGCGATAGAATTTGCCATTGGACTGCCCGATAAGCGATGTGAAACCCTGAGGGGATCACGCCGTGACACCACTTACAAAGTCCTTGAGGATCTGGTGGCACTGGGAGAGTCTGGCGAGAGGGTGTGGAAGGTATTTGGAGACTTTGTAGGACTTGATGGTGAAATGGATTTCGGACAGAATGAGAATAAGGGATGCAAGAGCGAAGAGCCACGAGGATAGAAGTTCCCAGGCCATGGTGGTGGTGGTGGTGGCGGCGGTGGTTGCAATCGAGGTCGAGAGATGCGAGGCTATGGGCCCTCCATTTGTCTGATCTCCTGCGGTTATAAACAGAGCTCCAATCTCACTCATACCCCATCGCCAAGATGCTAACGACTGCTATATTGCACAGCTCAATATAGTGTTGCGCAGGGAACTGTCGAATGACCGGGTGAATTGGGCGCCTAATTCGGCCCAGACCAACCCGCTATAAGGCTTGTCCCGGGGTGTCTGCCACCGTGCTACTGCATGATACGGCCGGACAAAGAAAACATAGCACTGCCAGCCGTCATCGAGATGCATACACCCGATAGGCTGCTCCCCGATGTCACCTTGTCCTGTAAATGGACCAGGGATGTTTGACCAGGTCGCCAAGGTCAGCACTAACATGCCGGCAAACACTTGGCATAACACAGAAAGCCCCCAAGAACTGGTAGTCATCCTTCCCCGCTCAGCCGCACTCGTATCCAAGTGGAACTAAGAACCACTAATGCCGTTTGACACGAGTGTGAAGAAGTGCTAAAGGAGGGGGCCATGTCGAGACATGCAAGCATGGTACGATTGGGGGCAAAGATATGGAGGACATGGGCTGATGGGAGATAGAGGCAGAAGGGTGGGGGTGTAGAAGAGACAAGTCGAAGGGGAGGGAGGGAGGGATCGGGGAACTCGGCGAGCAGCCCCGCGTCCAGTGAATGAATGATCTTCAGCGTTTCATGAATAGATGAAGTCTTGTGATTGGGGAACGGGGAACACCTTTTGGTACGGGACGTCCCTTAGCTCGTACCGTACCAATGGAACTTTTTTCGGCTTTCCCGAAAGCAAGAATATGTTTGTTACAAAATTAGCACTATACTGTCTGGACCCTAGATGGAAAAGAGTATCTTCCAACTACCAACACCATCACCATCAGACCTGATCCTCCGGGCCCCTCTCCTCAGAGTGGGGGTGATGTTCGCTGGCGCCACCGTCACTGCCGTCCCCGTCCACCTCGTGCATGCGGGGGTATCGATCCTTGCCCGGAGGAACAAGGTCTCGCAACGGCCAGCGGTCGGACGTCTGAGCCTCGAGTGGATCGCCACCGCGAGGCATCGACCGCTTGTGGTAAGAGTGTTGCGAGGAGCGAGAGAGGCGGGAGAAGAAGCGCGTCAGCAGCGGGCGATGGTGGCGGAAGAAGAGCGCCATTGACGGCATGGAGCTGGCGGTGATGCCGACGCACATCTCCACGATCGCCATGATCAAGACCCGGAGCGTGTAGTAGGTAAAGTCGGTTTCGTGGGAGTTGAGCACGGTTTTGAAGTAGATGCTCAGCGAGGAGGCGACACAGGCGCTATGCACGAGCCTTAGCTAGGCCTTGCCTTCTTGTCGTTGGATTAGGAGACCGGGGATGAAGCTTACATCAATCCTGTGGCAAACACGGCCATCACACCAAGTCTCTTTCTCAACTTCAGCTGCAAATTCCAGATAGGCGCCATGGGGAGCAGCAGAATGTACAGGTCGAGGATAAGGCTCCCCGCCGCTATCGGGATCGAGATGTTCAGGGACCCGTCATACCGGGGCGACACGAATGAGGCCTTCCACGACTGGCCCGGCGCGGGACTGATGTAGTATAGGGTGACGATGACAACAGCCACATAGAAGGCCCAGTTGACGAACAGCCCGAGGTAGATGGCGTAGCGCTGCCACCGAATGGTCCGGAACATATCCAGGTAGATCAGGAAGAAGGTGGTTTTGACGACCGGCCACACGATGGCCGTCAGCCAATTGGAGAAGAACGAGGTCTGCGATAGCTGCAGTCAGCTCTTTTGTTTTTCGATGAGTCACGCGGAGGGGCTTTCCCACAATGATGAATGGATCACTCAGGATATGAGCGACGGAGAGGTCCCACATGTGCGTGCCGAATTTTGCTATAACCACCGCTGTGGCCGAAGGGTCAGTCGAAGAGGGCTGCAGTACACGGGGTGAGCCTACCAAAAATGCAGGTGATGAAATAGAATGTGGCCCCGATCTGGCAAAAGGGTCAGCTGAGGCCAGGAACAGGGTTGCGGTAGACAGACCGTTGAGATCAGTCGAGTCCAGTCATCGAGCGCCCATTTCTTCCGGACCTGGAGCTTGACATGGAGGCTCATGGCGACAGTGATGTACATGATGCCCATCACCACACTGCCCACCACGAGGAAGAGGTAGCCATCGGACGGAGGATCAATGAGGTTGGACTCTTGTCCCGCTGGTGGGGTTCCCGCTGGAATGTGGGCCAGCTCAGCCGGGTCCAGCGAGGCCAAGGAACTCAGAGCGGACGTCATGAGGGTGGAGATGGGGAGGTAAAGGATCAAAGCATATCTTCTTCTCTAGCTCGCCGTGCCTGGGCTTGCATGACTGGCTATATACCAGCGGTGTCCATCCGCCTTGTGCCACCTGTGCCGCCATTCTTGTCAGAGTGGTGGACAAGATGGCAATCAGCCAATACAAGACTAATTCTGCACCCAGCATTGGTCTAATGTAAGCGCTGCTTGGCTTGTTATCTCTCCAAAGAGGGCTGTGATTGTGCTTGTGTGTCGTGAGGTGCAGCGGCCTATACTAACTGCAGGGACTGCAGGCGGTGACAGGCTGACAGGGGCAAACAGGGTAGAATTCACGCTATTCCATGCAGATGGCCTGGATTGGAATTGCATACTAGTAACTCTGATTTGAGCTCTCTATTGGTGAGATATATTCTGCTCAAATATAGAAGGTTCAATTCAGCTTTATGCACTAGTCTTGGTTTGGTGGAGAAAATGCCTGCTTTTCAATGCCGTGCGACATCCACTGTACACATTGTACAATTCTCCCAACATATGCAGCGGCGGTACTCCGAAGTGGATACAGATATCTATGAATCTTTCCATCAAATTATAGATTCGAGGAAATCTAGCTGAGTGGGTAATTTCTATCCCCACTGCCGTGCCTATTACCAGGTCAGCCTTCACTCTTTGATCTACCTGTCGGAGAATTTTAAGTTTGTAGCCAGGGACAGTAAATCACTCAACGTATAGGGTGTTTAATCAGCTATATGTGATACAAGGCTAAATCCAATACACGGTAAGCGAAACCTTGCAAATCACCGGCCAGAGGCTGTGTCCAATCCCGCACAGTAAGCACTAAGCAGCAGGGTCGATCCCAGTCCTCCGTGTGATTCGCAGGGCGCGGGCGAGGGTACGTCCTGAGTCAGCAGGGGCGATATAAGACTGCTGTATTATGACAGCGCCATCCTCCTCCTCCTCCTCCTCCTCCTCCTCCCCCTTTTCCCCGGCAACTCTGTCGGCATCCGCCATGGCCACCCCGCAGGAGCGACACCCGGAACTTTTCCGGCCAGTGAACAACGAGTCTCCCCGGGGAAAGACACGAAGCGTCCCTCTCGAATGCCTATGTCTGGGATTCAACCGGACGGGTACCGCATGTAAGCCGAGCTCCCCCTCATCTCACCGCATCTCCAAACAGCCCTAATCACGCGCGACAACCAGCAATGTGCAACGCGCTGGAAACCCTCGGGCTCAGCTGCTGGCACTCGACCCAATTCATGTCCAATAAATTCGGCGACATCGAGATGTGGCAAGAAGCAGTCAACCGGAAGTTCTTCAACGCGCCGGGGCCGATGTACGGACGGGCGGAATTCGACCAGCTGCTACACGACTACGGGGCGATCTCGTCGGACACGCCGGCCATCGCCTTCGCGGACGATCTGATCGAAGCCTACCCGGACGCGAAAGTAGTCCTCGTCGAGCGGGACATCGACTCCTGGTACGAGAGCTGGATGAACGGCGTGATCAAGAATACCTTCGATCCGCTCGTCACGATCATCTACACCATCGACCGGTGGTTCACGCATCCGTTGGGGCGCGTGCACAAGTCGACGTTCGAGGGTTGGTTGGGCATCAAGAATCCCGAGGATGCGAAGCGGGTGAGTAAGGAGAAATACCGGGAGCACTACGCCCTCGTCCGCCGGTTGACGCCTCCGGAGCGTCTCCTGGAATTCAAGATGAGCGATGGGTGGGGACCGTTGTGCGAGTTTCTGGGAAAGCCGGTGCCGGAGGTGCCGTTTCCGCATCTGAATGAGAAGAAGTGGCTGGATGAGAAGGTGCAGATTGTGATGAAGCGGGGGATGAAGCGGTTGGCCGGGAGGGTGTTGCTGTGGGTTTTGATGCCGCTGGTGGTGGCGAGCTTGGTCTATCGGGCGCTGTAGGGGGGTTGAGACTTGGCTACAGCAAGCGTATTTCCCTTAGCTAATGATTCCAAAAACTTTCTATTTATCAAGACCATTGGCATAGTTGTTAATAGGCTATTTGATGAAGACTCCGAGGAGGCCTTTGATGGAGTACGGGAGGATATAGCGCGCAGAAGAGCCTTCACCACAGAAGCGGCATTTGGTTCTTCTCAGGGACTCGCGATCATGCCAATCGTCAACATTGAATACACCCGAGTAGGTACGGTAACGATTCTATGTTAGCGATTTAAGTACCGCTGGTCGCGCAGTAAACTCTTTTGCTCGCTGGGTGCTAACTATCATACCGTCGAGGTGGCTCAACTTCGAGGGGGTAATATGCAGTTGAGCCCCGGTCGTCTTTTCACCGAAACTACAATAGTCAAGACGGCCGTGCGATGGAATGCAAAAGTGCTCATTAGAGGTAAATCGTAGGGTGTACATTATGCTCCGGTCACAACTTCGACCTGTCTCTAGTGAAAATCTGCAGGGGACGCCATAGTGTGGCCGGTTTCTCTTTTGGATCACATACAGTTAGTACCGAAGAGACAAGATACGATAGCAAGTCACAATGGATGTGTTCCAGGGTACGAATAGGAAGCACTTACCCATCTGTTCGCGCCAATGGGCCAGAATACCGCTTACCCGCCCCGCCGTCATGAGGGCCGTGATGATCTCGGGCTTGAATCCCCTGTTTCACCTCCATGAGCACGAGGCCTTTGAACGGAATATGATGAAGAAGTGAGGGACACTTAGATGGCTGAAAAAACAAAGCAGCCGTACAGATCCGCGTTGGTGTGCAGGTTCCGCGAGGTAAAGTAGTCATCCTGGGCGGCAATCCGATCGATTTCCAGCGCGACGGAGAGATGCTGATTCGCATCAATATTGCCTGACAGTTCATTCAGCGCCTTCTTCAGGTGCTTGACGCGCGGATCAACGGTCTTGTAGATACGATGACCATAGCCCGAGAGCCGGAATTTACCCGCCTTGACATCCTCAATCGCGCGCGGCACGTTGTCTTTACTGCCTATGCGCTCGAACGTCTTGTACGCAAGATCGATAGCTCCTCCGTGCAGAGGGCCGGAGCCTGAGCACACAGCAGCACTAACACAGCTCATAGGATCTGCTAGCCCAGACCCGACATGAAGGCTCGCCGCGGTGGAGTTGGTCATCTCATGGTCGGCATACACTGTCCACAGACTGTTCAAGATGCGTACCATCTTGGGATCCGGCCGGTTGGTGGTCTGGTCGACAATCCCCATCATCAGGAGAATGTTCTCTGCTAATGATGCATGAGCATCAGATGGGCGGATTTGTTTCCCTTGGTAGTGGCAGTAGATCAGGGCAATCACGCTGATAGAGGCGGCCATCGTCTGGAGGACGCCTTTATCGACGGCGTCCATCTTCCCTAAATAGAGCTCTGCGCCCATATGGATTGGGATCATGGTTGGGTCCGTAGCGGCCCAGGCTGTCAGGCCTGCCACGAACATTAGGTGGTATGGGGTAATGCGTCTGAAGGTAAGGGAGGTATATTAGTCAACTTCCAGGATTCATATAGATACCCCATAAATAGAGACCGGAGATCATTGCCAAACAGATGAAGGACCAGGGTAAAGGAGCACAGAAAGCCTCACGGGAAACATTTTATCGTATCGACCACCGACTGTGGCGGATTTAGCCTGGCGGCCAACTTGGTGCGATAGTCAAGTTTTTCTTGTATGGACGGAAGATGGCCCCAAACAAGCAAAAAGGATACATCTTCGAAGTCGTGATTTTCGATCAGTTGGTCAAGTGTGTAACCTCGGTAGTGGATGATTCCTTTGACGCCGTCTCTGCCCATAGTGTCAGTGATTTGAAGACCGGGTTTGAAGCAAAATAGGGTTTCATATACTGACATGTGGGTGATTGAAGACTCTGCGACGGCAGTATTCTGGAATCCCGGTTCCATAATCCTCAGGCCAGTCGCATACCGCTCAAGAGAATTACCAGTTAGCCCGTGAGCCGAGATCTTTCTGAAATCAGTCGCTTTGACGGCATTGTTTGTGATGGGGATGTCGTAGGAAACGAGGGTGCGGCTGTCAATCACGATGAGCCTGTCCACTGCTTTCCTCTCTCCCTTCGCGGTGCTGACTTGAATTAGGTCGGACATTGTGTCTGTTGTTTGGCAACAAACTAGCAAGAATAGCCCCAAGTGATGGACGACTTGAGAGAAAGCAGAGGGGAGTCTTTAAGCTTGGAGCATCCAGGTTGGCGTCCAAACCCCGAGGTTGACCCCTGCTTTCGCCAAGCCACCTCTATCTCCCTTTTCAATACAATGGCTTTCGTCCATCTTCGCTCTGGATCCGTCTCGACCAATCGCTTATCTCGAACGGACTGCGGTCAACCTTTAAATCCCGAAATCAGGCCAGTGAGCCTTCGTATAATCCTCACGTTTGTTCGAATAATAACCCAGATTTCAAGCCAGGTCCGAATCCTCCCGCTGAACAGGGTATATTCCAGGATCAATATCCTGCGGGAGCTTAGGGCCGAGCAGAAGTGGATCCTTATCATCGTCGATCCCAGTATACGACACGATTGTGGCTGAATACTGGCGAGTATTGGCGTACTTGAAACGGCACCAGCAGCGCAGCGCATCAGAAAGTCCAGGCAGCCTCATTTCCCTGCCCATCATTAGCCTGTCTTGCTCGCCAAAATTCGCGAGTCTAACCCGCAAGCCGGGGGGAAATAGCCGACTGTGCCACCGACGCCAAGATGACAGTTCAGCTGCAAGGAACACGAAGCTTGGCATGAAGCTCCTTTTGGGTTTGACACGTATCTGTGAATATGGGTCGTACTATAACTTCCTCCTGATGCCGGAGTCTCGCCCTCCATCTGCACCTATCTCCCTTCCATAGACGGACGGCACAGCCAGCAACGACGCAGAGTCCAATGGCCACCGAACACGCGCGCTTCGACCCCATCATACGGAATATCGTCCACTATGTCTACCACGGCGAAATAACAGACGAGAAGGTTTACCAACGAGCGCGAGTGGCGTTGCTGGATGCGCTGGGCTGCATCATTGAAACGCTCCACCTCAGTCCGGACTGCAGAGACCTCGTCGGGCCCATCGTTCCCGGAATCATTGTGCCCGGGGGAGTGCGCATCCCCGGCACCGAACACACTGTCGATCCGCTCAAGGGCGCATTCGACCTCGGGGCTCTGATCAGATACCTCGATCATAATGACGCCTACGCGGGGGCAGAATGGGGACATCCCTCTGATAATCTCGGTGCAATTCTGAGTGTAGCCGACTGGCTGTCTCAGCAGCGTGATAGGAAGAAGACTGGGTAAATGACACGCTCCTATCCTCATGTGTGAGTTATAGCTAATATCGGGATGTACGTAGACCGTCGGTTCGCACTGTCCTTGAGGCGCAGATCAAAGCGTATGAGATCCAGGGGACTCTGCAACAACGGAACGCTTTCAATGAACATGGTCTGGACCATGTCATCCTGGTCAAGGTGGCCTCGACAGCCGTGATTGTGTGGTTGTTGGGTCTCCCCGAGTCGGCAGCCCTGGCCGCCGTGTCGCATGCCTGGATCGATGGCCATCCGCTCCGAACCTACCGTCAGGCACCCAATGCGGGTCCCCGCAAGGGATGGGCAGCGGGGGATGCGTGCATGCGCGCCATACATTTGGCATTCCTCACGCAGCGAGGGGGTCACTTTGATTCCAGTACAGGGACGTGGACAGGACGGGCCGCGGTGGGGGTTCCGTCTGCTCTGACGGCTCCGAGATGGGGATTCAGCGACGCACTCTATCAGGGGAAGGAGGTCACGCAGGCCTCCCCGTACGGCACTCGGGTGATGGAGACGGTGCTATTCAAGGTGATCACGGCGGAAGGACACGGAATCTCTGCAGTCGAAGCGGCTCTCAAAGTCGGCGCGATGCTCGAAGCCCGCCAGTTGGTGGCCGAGCGGCACATCCGCGCCATCCGCATCCGAACCCAGAAGCCCGCAGTGACCATCATCGACAAGACGGGTCCGTTGCGAAACAACGCCGATCGCGACCACTGTCTGCAATACATGATCGCGGTCACCTTGCTCAAGGGGTCCGTCGTCGATACAGAAGACTACCTCGATGATTCGCCATGGGCCGCGGATCCGCGCGTCGAAACCCTCCGCGAGAAGATGACTGTGAATGAGGACGCGGGATTCACAGCAGACTACTACAACCCCGCGTCCAGGAGTGTGGCGAATGCCATCACGGTGGAGCTGAACAGCGGAGAGAGTCTGAACGAGGTCGTGGTCGAATTCCCCGTTGGTCACCACAAGCGAGACGAGACCTTGTCGCGAGTCATGGAGAAGTTCCGACGGAACATGGCCCTCATGTTTACCCCCGACGAGGTGGAGCGGATCGTCGCCGCTGCTGAGCAGGATCAAATGTCGGTGGAGGAGTTCATGGGGCTGTTTGTGCGGTGGAAGGCGACTGCCTCGTTGTAGGCGGGCAAATGGCTATGGGGGAAAGTATGTCGTTCATTCCGAGAATGCTCTCTTCTGTCAAAAAATGAATTTTCAGACCAGATCAAGTATGGCGAGTGGGCCCGATTTCGACGTGCCCAGCAGCAGCTGAATAGAAGTGAGTGCTGGTTTTACGTTCTGACCGCGTATTATGGTACGGGCGCTAGTGGACAGGGCCGGATATCGCCCGACAGGTGGGGAGGGTTGGTCTGTGGCTGAAGGGGCATTTATAGGACAACCCAGTACGTAGAGTATTGGGTGAGCATCTACGGAGTAACTAGAGAGTCTTCGTCTTACTCGTACTCCGTGGTGGTTATCGACAGGTCACAACTGCTCCCAGGACCTCCTGCCTGACTGGAAAGGTGCAGCCCAACTGCATGTAACGTCGTACAGGGAAGGTGAAAGCCATGAGGGAGCTATGACGCACCTGTCTAGCCTGTCACTGACTATTTTTCACTGCATGTTTTTTCAGTCGCCTCTCTCCAAGTGATCGAATTTCTCTGGAAACATCTTCCCCTTGCTACCGCCATGGCCGATACACCCCCACCTGTGACGCAAGAGCTGTGCGACTGGATTCACAGGCTGTGTTTGTCCGACATCCCCGAGGAAAAGGTGACAAGATGCAAGTATTTGATCTTAGATGGGCTTGCGTGCGCCTTGATCGGGGCGCATCTACCCTGGTCTGAGGATGCCGTGAAAGGGGTTCTTTCGATTGAACCGGAAGGCAGCTGCAATATAATCGGGTGGGAAAGGGCATGTACTTCTTCTCTCCGCTCATCTCCCTTATTGATTGATCCATTACTACCCTGAGTATGGCAGTGCAAGCTGGATCATTCTTTGACTGACTTCACCGACGAGACGAAACAGAAAATCGGACCGCTAGCAGCAGCTCTTCTCAACAGCACATTCATCCAGGGCTTCGAACTCGATGATTACCATCGGGAAGCCCCGATCCATTCCAACTCCATCGTTCTCCCGACATTACTCGCCACGATCGAACACTGCAATCCACAATCCGCAACAGACACCACCCCTCTAACGGGGGCCGAATTCCTCCTCGCAGCGATTGTAGGCTTCGAGACAGGCCCACGAGTCGGACTCGGGGTATACGGAATCGAGGTTCTCTCTCACGGATGGCACTCCGGCGCAATCTTTGGCCCCTCTGCCGCCGCAGCCTCAGCAACGAAGCTGATGCAGCTATCTGCCCCGATGATCGAAGACGCGGTCGGTATTGCCTGCACCCAGGCGGGTGGATTGATGTCGGCTCAATACGAGAGCACTGTCAAGCGGATGCAGCATGGCTTCGCAGCGCGGAACGGCCTGTTCGCCGCCTTCATGGCGCGCAGTGGGTACACGGGCATCAAGAAAGTCCTGGAGCGACCGTATGGCGGGTTCCTGAGTACCTTCAGTCAGGGGAACGGACGCACCCCTCCCTACCAGCCCGAGCGGGTGGTGGAGGGAATTGATTCCACGTGGGAAATCGATCAGATCTTGGTCAAACCGTATGCGTCTATGGCTGCGACTCATGGAACCATTGATGCGATCAGTGCGCTGCAAGCCAAGTATCCAGGAGAGCTGAAGGGAAACCGAATCCGCCGAATCAACGTCGAGCTATCAGAACCAGCCTTCAAAAAGGGAGGTTGGGAGCCGAAATACCCTCTCACCGTTACGGGGGCGCAGATGAGTTGCGCCTACGCGGCCGCGATGCAGATACTCGAAGGAGCCGTACAACCAGCCCAGTTTGCGCCAGCTCAGCTGGAGCGGCAGGATGTGTGGACACTCATGGGGAAGATCAAGTGTGTTCACAACCCAGATTTTGATCATACCATGGCTGCGATCTGGCAGCAACGTGTGCATGTCGAGCTATGGGAGGGGGACGAGCAATCGGGAGAGTCGAAGACTCTGGTGCAATACATTGACGCACCCCGTGGCAACAAGGTGCCACTTTCCAATGAGGAGATCTTGGGGAAATGGCGGTCCAATACAAAGGATGTGATTGACCAGGAGCGACGGGAGGCTATTGAGAAACTGGTGCTTGGGCTGGAGGGGGTGGATGATGTTCGTGGACTGGTTGAATTACTCCGCCGTCGGACTGGGAATGTGTTTGATGCTGCGAGTGGCCATGGACATGGTTATAAATCTGTTGGCAGCAAGATATGATGTTCAAGTCTACGTTTCGGGATTCGAACAAAGTTCCCTTCATTCATTGGCGACACTCCAGATGTGACGTATAATTATTCAATGAGAATTGAACATGGCTCGAGAGTATAAAACTTCAGTTCAAGACAACCTTCCACCCGGTCAGTCTTCTCGATCACTCTCTGGTATCATATCGCAAAATCAAGCTTTCTGTAACTTGGCCCTCCACCGCCGCCAGCAGCTCTGTTTTCTCTCCTCCACTGTTTTTTCCTACATGACTTCATCGACTTCCTTCTTTTTCCTCTCCTCTACTGGTTTCTGTTCGACCTTCCTGGGCTGCTCTTCCTTTCTGGACCCAGAGCCATCAAACATAGGATCCTCCGGCAACTCCACGCCCCAATACTTCCATAGGCGCTCCCTCATCAGCTCATACGAAGAACCCATCCTAAGAGCCGTCATGTTCTCGAAGTCGATAATCGTCGAAGCCCTCCCCCCATAGACATGATACTTCTGCAACCCATAATCAACAATAATATCCGCCGCCTCCTTAATCTCATCGTCCACATCCTCAACCCTAAATTTCTGCCCCCTGCCCGTCAAATTGGCACTGGACCCCAGCATCAACTGCCCGGCCTCATCATTCAACCGTCCCAGCTCCACCAACAACGAACTCCGACTGATAAACATGCCCAGGGTGCCATTTTTCGTCGTATTCGCCAACGTCGCCTCCGTCAACTGCTGCAGGATGGGATGCTCGGTCCGAAACGGCGCCACGATGCCAAACGACATGTCCATATCTTCGTGCAGCACGCGGATCATCTCAAATTTCTCGTCGGAGAGGATATGCAGCTCGCGATGCAGCCGGGGGGTTCCGATCACGCCATGCGCGTGGCCCGGTCGGCGTCGTTTCGCGGCGAACGCTTTCTGGATCGCCTCTGTGGATGAGGCCATCAGGCCGTAGCCGACTTCGGTGGGAATGAGGGCTACGCCCCCGGCCTGGAGGACCTCGAAGACGCGTCGCGCGTCGGATTTGACATCTGGGTGGTGGCCTGCCGCGGGGATGGTCTTTGATTGTACGTCCATGGTGGTTTTCCTTTTCTCGGAAATATATCAAAGGTTAATAGAAGGTGAAAAGCCAAGCAGACGCGCTGGAATTGGGTTAGATTGAGCGGAAAATGCTTGACGAATGCCGAGCCAAGACGGACCAAAGTCCTTGATATGTACTATATGTATGCAAGGAGTAGTCAGAGACAACAAGACGGAGCAGCTCAGCTCCGCCACGCCGTCTCATTATTTGTTGTTTTTCGAGTCGAAAAAGGAGCTAAATTGGTGCAATCGATAGTTGGGCTGCCAGAGTTGCGATCGGGCCGTCTGGGGAAAGTGGGATCAAACAGGGCAAGAATAGGAGAGCTGTGGATCCGCCCGTCGGTGATGGTGGCGTTTAGTGGCTCCCTCGTGTATAGGCCATACGGGAACGGCGTCATACGGCCATCCGTATGGACGGTGTGAATAATAATGGACTCGGTAAAATCCCTGGTTGGTATTACTGTGCCCTTACTGCGCTTTGGAAGGTGGTTTTGTTGGCAGTAGATTCGTGTAGTAAGAGTGGAGTACTGTTTTAGCGTTGCAGCGTGTTTTACTTTCCGTCGCGCAAAATATACTACTATTTAGTCCAACCAATGCTTATCACTATAAGGCCTCCGTACTTCAAAGTAGTCTATTATTATTTTCTTATGATTGATCAGTTATCTCACCCATGTGATAGGAGATTAATAACCGGGAAGAGTCCAGAGGATAGTTGTGTTGACACCACAGCCTCATATCAAATGATGACGTCGCTGCTTAGTTGCCCTAAGCACCCCGCTCAACGTTGACAGGATTGAAGTATGTCAACCCCGCCAAAGACCAGCGAACCAAACACGAGTTGACTCAATCTATATAGATTGATCTAGACTTAATCTTGTCCTACCGCTGTATAGCGGTCAACCAATCTGTCATGCCCGAATCCGAGAAATAGAATTCACAACCCTCGGGATCCAGAGATACTGGTGCGCCACGCAAATGAGAATGCAACCATTCGTAAGATATAAACCACCCCCCCCCCAATTTCCCAATCATGGACAAACAACCAACCTCTTCCTAATACCAACACCACAACCATGCCGCCCCAAACAATGCGCGCCCTCATCCAACCAACCCCCAACTCCACGACCGACAATCTCCTCCTTACAACCCATCCCATCCCAAGCCCCAACCACTCCCAAAACGAGCACCTAATCCGCGTGCACGCCTGCTCCCCCTGCGCAGGGGAACTCCTCTGGCCCGCAAACTTCCCCCACCCACGCCCCGCGAGCTAATTCCCTGCCCCGACGTCGCCGGCGTGGTCATCTCCGCACCACCAACCTCCCCCTTCCCGCCCGGCACCGAAGTATACGCACGCACGAACTACACCCGCCCCGGAAACGCCCGCGACTACACAATCGCAACCACCGACGAACTCGCCTCTAAACCCGCGCGCCTGGGCTGGGTCCAAGCGGCCGCGGTGCCGGTTTCCGCGCAGACAGCGTGGCAGATCCTCTTCGTGCATGCGGGGGTGGTTCCCCCTAAGCATTGGATGGATATCTCAGGGGCGAGGGAGGCGTGGAGAGGAAAGCGGGTTCTGGTGACGGGTGCGTCGGGGGGTGTTGGGGCGTGGGTTGTGCAAGTGGCGAGGGTGCTGGGGGTTGAGGTGGTCGGGACGTGTGGGAGCGACAATGTTGAGTTGGTGGAGGGGTTGGGGGCTAAAGAGGTTTTGGATTATAGGGTGACTAGGTTGAGGGATTGGGTGGGGGAGGATGAAGCGAGGCAGGTGGATGTGGTGGTGGATTGTGTTGGAAGAAAGTCGCTGCAGGATGCCTGGTGGACGGTTAAAGAGGGGGGGACGGTGCTGAGTATTTTCCAACCGCCGGGGCAGGTTCGTCCGGAGGGTTTGGGGAGGAGTGTGAAGGAAGTGTTTTTTGTGATGCAGCCGAGTGGGGAGCAGCTGGAGCAGATTTCCAGGTTGATTGATGACGGGAAGTGTCGGGGAATGGTTGATAGTGTGTGGCCGTTGGAGAAGTTCCATGAGGCGTTCAAGAGATTGGATACGGGGCATTCCCGGGGAAAGGTCGTGTTTGACTTGTTTTTGGATCAATAGGACGTGTGCAGGGAATTTCTCTTCCAAGGGAACAGAATGCGAGATGAAAGCAGAGATGCTTGAAGTGGCCGAGATGATTAATTAAAGGATCGAAATCTAAGTTTTCCTCCCCTATGATAACTGTGAGGAGAGGTCCCAAGATGGGCGAATGCATTGTGGCTGATCCAAGGGCATTAGTCTCCGGTAGGCATGCAAATAGTTCAACACTGGTTGGTGCATTGAGCACTAAAGCCTTGAATGTATAAACCAATAGTGAAGACACCGGGAATAGTCTCTGGTGAGACTACGCTTTCATACGCCCCACAGTCAAAGCCAAGGCTGCGCTGTCCATGTCCCAGGAGACATACATATCCTTTGCCTTGATTTCCATTTCCGACTCCTCCATAGTCTGGAGATCGGGATGATCAGGGCCATGTTCCAATTTGCAAGCCAGCAACGCCAGCGCAGACGACTTCCACACACCAACCCCCCTGGCATGGCCCGTATGCAAAATGATCAAGATTAAGAACAGCAGCGACATCACGGTGACTGCGATCGGAACAATAATCCAGTACCAACGCACCGATATGTACGTCTGGGTGGTGAAGGCCTCTCCGGGGATGGTAGTGGTATTCGGCCCATCCCGAATACTATCGGTAATACTCGCCGCCACTCTATCCATGACAGAGCCAGCACCAGCCCCGTATTGTATGGCGTAGGACCACCCGGATTCAATATCGCTGGAGAGCGACACAGTGGTTTGGAAAGAGCTCACGATGGAGAGGACAGTGTTGCCCTGAATCATGTACGTGCCGTTAATCGCGAACTTATCGGTTTCATTGCTCATAGGAGCCAGGTAATTTTCGAAAAAGAACGAGAAGGTTTCGTTCACAAATAGCTGCTCGGTCTGAGACGGGGACAGAGTCTTCTCGTCGGAGGTGTAGGTGTTGTTTACGTATCTCTGGGCACAAAGATAGAGCGCGCACTCGGTCATTTGAGGCTTGGTTTCCGGCACGCTGATGTTGGAATAGACATAGGCCGTGTACGGATAGCTATAGTTTGCGACCGCAAGTCCCACGACCGGGTTGAGGATTCCAGCTAAGAGCGGTTCCGCGGACTGGGTAAGGATCTGCTCGCTGAGGCTGGTGGAAGCGAACGTCCATGAGTCTTTCACGAACAGCACACCCGATGAATTCCCCACGGGGGTTCCAGCGGCTGATTCCACACCCGGAGTGAGTTGGAGGCCGCCTGGTGTGGTGTAGGTGCAGTTGATCACAGAATCCGCAAGTGTTGAGTTCTGAAACGCCACGAGGACGTCGGTATCGGATGCAAGAGCAGTGCAGTTCTGTTCCGTCTCGGAGGTGACGTCTCGGCATTGGCTACATGCACCCAGGGCATCGAAGTCGGGGTATTGGCATGACCCCGTGCTGCAAACCGGCTCCTCCGAGGTATCTGACCCGTAGACACTCCTCAGCACGGCAAGATTCATGGTATCGTCCTCGTTTGGATCCGTAGGGCTGTAAACTTGTGCGGTTTGAGCAGACGCCGTTTCGTTGGTGGCAGTGATGATGCGAGAGGGAAAGACGAGGATCTGTTGAGTCAAGGGATCGAGGGCCGCCGAGAGAACCATGGTCGCAGCACCGAGAGTAGCGAGATTGGGGCGACTGGTCACGACCATTTGGAACGAGCCCCAGATACCCCGACTGGCCTGATCCAGGGCGTACAAGTCGTAGAGTCGATGTTCGTGGCGATATTGATTCCATTTGAGCTGGCTGAGACAGGTACACACCGGAAACAACAGCGCGGCTCGATTGGCGGTTGCCACAACGGATAGCACGGCGTTTGGAGAGACTCTGTACGCCCAGTCGGCATAGGGCATCCCGTCAACATGTTTCAGAAGCACGACCAAAATCACCAAGCATGCTATGCTCAACGCCGATGCTGCGATTTCCCACCACCAAGGTGACACCTTCTTTCGACTCGCTTGAGTTGTCCGTAAAGGGGGGTTGTTTTTTGTCGGTAGGCGCTCCGAAGAGGATGCAGGGTGGGAGGTGAAGGGTTGCATTTCATGAGAAATATGGCTGAACACACCATCAGAAACTTCACCGAGGTCTTCCTGTACATGGGAATTTTTGGTGGGACCTGAAGACATGGTCAGCGCTCGTTGAATGGCATGACAGAGATGACTGTTGCTTTCCGGAGGCACCGGGCGATTTAAACCGATTTAAACCACCGCGGGACTCTCGTTCAGCCTTGCGGGGTCATTTTCAGCCTTGTGCTGTCAGGTAGATAGTTAGTCCATGCTGAAAGATCTGTAATAACGCGACAGTAGCAGGGTTCGCTTATGGATAGTCCGCAAAAAAACAATTTAAAATCGCAAGCGCATCCCTCAGAAAGGATGCATGGGCGGTTATATTTGACCGGTCACCTGGACGGGTTGGGAAAGATCGCCGGAGGGATGGCAAGAATCCCCGCTTGAGAGACCGGGATTCGCTACATCTCGGTGTGAATGGACCCTTGGGCAGTGGAAAACGCGCCAGGATGGCTTATCTAGTACCCTAGCAGGATCAAAACTAACTTGATGGGGGATAGATAGTACAGCAAGCTATAGCCGCCATCAGGCAAAAACAATTTTTCTCAGTAAGTCTGCAGTTACTTTATTTCTCTAGAAAGATAGATAGAGTCTATACTCTGTATAAGAGATTATATAGTTAAAGAATATATAGTCAAGTCACAGCTTAGTACTTAGAATGTGTCAAAGTATGATTATACAGTTATCTCAGATATTAATTTTCATGTCTGAATTAAAGATCTCTTCTTTATACTATACAGGGTCTTTAAGAAAATGTGTTACAGTGTGACACCTACTACCACTACCACCTGTCCTGAAGTCCCTTGATATAGCGTACGCAGTGTAAAGCTACCGGCCAATAGTGCAGCAGTCAAGTGTCAGAACATGTATGTACCTGATGCCGCGCCGTGACAAACAGAGCTACTTGTCACCTGACATGCTAGCTGAAGTGGATTTCAGGGGTGTAGGGGCTTCCGGACGCTTCACCTGTACACAGCCTAAGACGCAGGTGTAGGATGCTAGTAATTCCGAAGGCAACTGCAGGTAATGTTAGCCTTTTCGCTCAGTGGCAACAACTCCCCTAGATTGATGTCTTACAAAATACTTATAAGAATAGTAATCTTTATAATATTTATAAAATATATATTTATCTGCTTAGCGGCTGGCACACAAGTGTACTGTGAGTGGGTGGTCAAATTAGTGAGTTCGGGAGGGGTCATTGAGACCATTGCCGCCTCTGATTAATGCCGTGGGTTGTGTTCCACCCAATAGGCACTCAATCATTGATGCTTTGTCCTACGGGCAATTCATGGCCATGATCGCCGTCTCTTGGTATAGCCTGAGCCATTGGTTTCGCATGATGTACACTTTTTGTTTACTTGTTGACTTATAACAAAGGCAGCAGTATACCACCGAGCTGCCAACCTCTATCTGCCAGCTTGATATTGTGGGCCAATCCAGACCCGCAACAACCAGTGGGCTAGACCTCGGACTCGCGAATCTATTCCATGGGACCCATATCATGGTTCACACTCCGCACAACGACTCCCTTGAGTATGAATTGAGCTCGTTTCAAATTCCATGGTACTATTATCAGCAGGACCATGATCACGAACTGCCTTCGTTATACACTCGATCGAAGACCTGTGCTGGGAGACGGTCATTAATTCAACGCGAGGGTGTTGCTTGTTCCTGGTACACAACGCCATGGTTATCACCGCGCAGACTTTCTGAGCTTGCCCGGCTATTTCGTACAGCTAAATGACTTCCCCACGCCAGATCTCATGCTTGTACTCAGACACAACCTGCCAGTCACGGACCATCTTAGCTGCATCGCGACGCACCTTGGTTGTCTCCTCCTTCCAATTCCCCATATCGCCAGCCTTGGGAGCAATGTCTTGAACGTAATTGAGCAGTTGAATTATTTGTCTCTTTGGCACACGGACTCCCGCGCGAACGCCGCGAATAAGATCGCTCTTCACCGGCACAATCCAGGCTGGATTCAACGGAGCGCATAGTGGAAACTTAAGTTGGGATCCAGTCCGAGGGTCTTGCGCAACTCCTTGCCGCTCATAATGGACGCGTGGAGACCTTTCGGGATGAAGAGGGACTGATGAATTGGCCCACCAACTTGGTGATGTGAGTTGGGTTCAGATGACCGGCCATATGGACAGTCTTACCCAGCTTTTCTGTGTATTCAAGTGCCGTGTGGGCGGGCTCTGGTGATGTCCAGTTCGTCAATGAAATTGAGAAAGTCCTCCTCCTTTGATATGTCGCATTCCCCTAGTACGTGGGTGTAGGCTCTGACGGAAGAGATGCCGATATTATACTCATCTTTGACTTTGCACACGCGAGGAATAGCAATCGGTTTCTCGAGGGATGGGTATTTGTGTGGACTTCCATCGGTCCAGCCGTCAGTATATACCCAGGTATCTTGATTCATTGTCCGTTCATTCTTCAAGGTTGAGTGGAAATACGACCCGACGCTTGAAGTAAAGTTAAAAACCACTGGCCCAAGCTTCCACCTTGAACTTAACCTTCACATCCTGAGACGAATGTCGAACCATCTCCGCGGGGCGATCTTATTCCTGTCAGTACTACGATCAAAGGTTGAGGATGCGATGATCCCATCACATACGACCATAGGGTGTGGAGAACAGGGCTTCCCGTCCGCTCAGCCGTACTTAAGCCACACGCCGGGAGGTTAGTAGTTGGGTGGGTGACCACCAGCGAATCCCTCCTGTTTGTATGTTTTTGTTTATTTTTACTGCAGAATAGTAGTAGTAGGGGAGTCGTAGTTGCTTGCTGCTTCATGGATGCGCCGCTAAGTCAAAGGTGGTGAGTGCGGGTGAGCAAGTAGGGAAGCAAAACCACGTAGTATGATTTTTTGCGAAGGTCAAAGAGGACACTCCATCTACTTGACCATTGATAAATATAGTTTGGGCCTGTATCTAAGTATATACCAGTCAGCGGTAGACAATCCACCACACGGCCGTTCGGGTTGTCAGATACGTGAATAGATTGTACATCCATAGACAAATGTTCAGATTGCGTCGGAGGAAATCCTTTGTAGGACCCAGCGTATTTCACTAGCGACTCGGTCCGGCTCCGTGAGCTGAATATTATGGCCACTCTGGGTGGTCATCGAGAAGCGTGCGGTACTGGACAAATTCAGGAACTCGCGCTGAAAGGCTTCTTCGCTGTCGTCCCACTTGGCCAGATAGTTGCGAAAGGTCGCTCGCTGGGCCTCCGTGCCCAACCCCTGGGCCACCCCCCGGTCGTACATGCGCTGCTGGTCGCGGTGGGCATTGCCCCGGAGCACACTGAGCGGCTTGCCCTGCAGCAGGTCGCGGCCGGGGCGGAGCTGCTGCTTTTGGGCCAGGACCGCGCGACTGATCTGCAGATGGGGAAGCTCGCGGACGGCCTGTCGCTCGTGGTGAGGGCTGGCTTCCTCCGCCATCAGCTCCGCCCACTCGGACTCAGTCAGCCGGTAATCACGCGTCAGGCCCACGACCTCCATGTAGTCCAGCCCCGCCGTGACCGCCGCGATACTGGGATCGGGCCACGTCTCGAAGAGCATGCGTTCCTGTACGGCGTCCACGAGCACCATCCCGCAGATCTCCTCGGGCCCGCGGGCGGCGAGGAACTCGCGCGCGAGCATCCCGCCCCAAGAATGCCCGACTACCAGGTACGGGGGTGGGAGGGCGGCAGTCGCCAGCAGTCGGGTCAGCTCGTCGATGATGGTTAGGGAGTCCGGCTCAGCGGCGGTTGCCTCGCTCTGTCCGTAGCCGGACCGTTCGTACAAGAGCACGGACGCTTCTTGCTCGAGATGGCGACACACCGCGCTCCATTCCAGGGCGCTGCTCGTGATCCCGGTCAGTACAACCACGAGCGGAGCGCCGGGCTGGCGGGGAATGCCTCGCAGTGCGTAGCTTAGGGAGTGGGTGCCGATGTGGGCGGTATGTCGGAAGTGTTCCATGGTGGAAGGTCGGGTGGGTGAAGTGAAAACGGATGCAAGTGAATGAACTCGATTTGAGTCGAGGGGGATGGGGAGGTTCAAGTACCAAGGCGAGGGGGAATGGAAGGGGTTTAAATGACGGGAACTCTGGGGCATTTGGTGGCCTGTCCACCTAATTGAATAGCCCTAACTAACTAACTAACTAACAGGGATGACTCATGCCACGTGAGCGAGTGGCTATTCTCTACGGAGTCATTTTCGAGTCATCTTTTCACAATCCTCAATCCTCGAAAGCCATTTTCCGCCCTCTTTATATACTTTATATGTTCTTTTTCGAAAAAAAAAATAAAAATAAAAGAAAATCCCTATTATTAAGATACCTGCCGTCACACTACTTGGATGTGCTCGCATCGCCTGTGATGGACCTCATTCGGAGCAGCGCCAGAGACACCAAGGAGCCCACACTGGTTGCGATGGCGAGGTAAAATGCGGGAATAATGGCACCACTGATGGACAGCGAGTTACCGCGGCTGGTCGCGGTCACCAGTCCACCCTGAACCACACTGGTGGCAATGGACAGCAAAACCGTCCCGCCCAAAGTCTGTGCCATGACGATGACCGCCAGTCCAATGGCCACGTCTTGCGTCGTCAAGATGGCCTGCGCGACGAGGTACGCCTGCTGAATGCCCGAACCACCGCCGACGCCAATCAGGATCTCGAAGCCGATCAAGGAGGCCAAGTGCGAAGCCGGGTGGATGGTCGTCAGCAGCGCGGACCCGGCGATGAGCGCGCAGCTGCCCAAGTACATGAACGGCAGATAGTATCCGGTATACGAGACACCGAACCCGGCGACAAGACTGAACACGACGAACCCGGCTACCATGGGGATGGTATAGATGCCGGATCGCAGTGCGCTCACGGTCCAGACCTCTTGAAACCACAGGGGAATCTACGGATAGGAGGTCCTCGTCCTTCAGCCACAGAACACCAACCGGACGCCGGATGGAGACGGGGATGGATGTGACTTACGTAGTACTCGAGGACATTGGCCGTCCCTCCCACAAAAAAGGCATACACAGCTGCCCCGACCATCTCCCTCTGCCGGCTCACGCGGCGTGGGATCATCGCAGCCTCCCCCCGCCAGAGTTGATGGCCGATCAGGGTGGCCAGGGAGACGCCAAACAACACGAACAAGGCGATCACTTTCGGGCTCGACCATGGGAAGGTGCTGCCCCCCCATTGCAGTGGTAAACTCAGACAGGCGACCGACGCTGCAAAAAGGGAGGTGGCCACCAAGTCAAGGCGGGCAATCTGGTCCACCAACCGGTCCGATCGACCGGTGGGGATGTACCGGTCCCGATAGACGGTGAGGATGGCCAAAATACACAGGGCCCCAGGGGGAGTGTTGATGAGAAAGCACCATCGCCACGACAGTCGACTGGTGATCGCTCCGCCGAGCAATGGCCCGCAGGATGAAGCAACACTATAGCCGCCGTCGATGATCGCGGAGAAGATGGGCCGGCGTTCAAGAGGGACGGCATGAGCCAGAATGCTGCAGCCTGAATCAGCGGGGATGGCTCGTCGGACAGATTTCCCTCATGGTTTATATGGAAGAACTCACGTTAAGCAGCCCGTGTTCATTCCCGCACAACCGAAGCCAGATAGGAGCCGGCCCACGATAAAAGCTGCGGACGACGTTGCAGTTCCACTCACGAGGCAGCCGACCTCGAACAAGGCGATCGATCCGGTCAAGATCGGCTTGGCTGGATATTGGTTGTACAACCTGCCGAACAGGAGGATTGTACAAGAGGAAGATAGGAAGCTGAAGGAATATTGTAAGCTGAGCACCAGGGACAGGAGATCTACTCTCGGAGTCACGTACTACGCTGTACTATACCACCCAATATTATCGACTGAGTGGAAATGCGCGCTGATCTTGGGGATGGCTGTGGCGACCAGACTCTCATTCTGGGGTTGCCATTGCGGCACGTCAGCAAGGCTATGGGTTGACTGACTCGGAGGACATTGTTCGCAGGGGTTCGTACCAGGCCAGTCAGAAAGGTGCTCACTCCCAGACATAACAAGAGCGCCGACAGTCTCCATCCCGTGAGGTAATCCCCTTGAGGGTTTTGAGTCGCGGAAACTGTGGCATCTGCTACATTGCTGGCTTCCTCCGGCCCATCAGTGCCTGAGGCTGCTGGAGTCAGGTTGAGGGTTACCTCCGGCTTCTCAGCCATTGCGTGTGGAGGGACTGAGGGCACTAGACGAAGGAGATTCTCCTCCAGAAGTACTGGGGGAGAGGGAGGGGAATCCCCTCAACTTAGTGAAGAAACAGGACTGTTATAGACCGGCCGACAATGACTACGCCGGTTCTGGACTCTGGAGTATCTCCCCTACATATCGATTCGGCGAAGTCCGTGACCGCATCCACAAATTGTGTGCCGATGATCAACCTGGCCTTTGGAGGCTGTGGCAGGGCAAAGCAAGATCACGTCGTATCATTACTCACTAGGTAGTAGCGGCAAGCCTGACGAGGTCTGCAGGTGCAGAGTTTTGCGCGTCGTCAAGGGTCTTGCAGGAGAGGCTGCGCCTAGGGCTCAAGGAACACCGGAGATGCGCGGCGAAAGGGAAAGGGGCCAATCAGGACCGCGGATCGGAACAGGATTGTCTTAGGTAGTAGGGTGCCTTAACTACGGGATCTGACCTCGTAGATGACAAATTACAGACGTGCCAGGTTCAGGGATGATGTACGGAGTAAGTTGAACTCCTCCAAGGAAGTCAGCCCGCCTGGCCATCGGGCCGTTGATCCACCAGCGACTCCATTGCCGCGAGGCTTCTGCCGCCGACCAATGTTTGACTTGGTTTCTCCATCTCCCGTGAGGTTTCGTGCTGTCAACTCGTTGATTAATTACCATCTGTAGTCTGCAGTCCAAAATAGGTAATGGCCTGCCCCACTTGACCAGGTCCCTGACATGGTGCGTGCAGAGTCTACTGTTCTGTCTTCTGTCTACAGCCGCAGAAGGCATCGGTACTACCCCGTCGGTGTTGGAAATGACTACAGCGGAATCAGTTCGATGATGATCAGGCGCGTATATACGTGCGAATATAGGTATAGCCGGAGGTGGCCGCGTCATCGCAAGGAGGCCACAGGATGTGGAATGCAAGGTGGAGGTAAGGGGAGATGCAACAGTAGAGACAGCTGACGGCTTTCTCCGACAAGACTCACATGGAGGCACTTATGTGTCACTTAATTCGCGCACGTTTTTGCGCGCCATGGGGACTGCGCGAACATCCCATTGGTTGAATCAAATCAATCGGGGACCCATTGGCATGACGTGAGAAGTTGAGGATGGGATAGCACGTCGGGTCCAGGTAGATACAGTCAGGAACTCAGGATATTTGTCCCAGAAGGCGCTCGCCTCTTAAGAAACACTGACCGACCTAAGAACGGAAAATCAGACCCTCCCTTTTCGCTTGAGTACCTCTTTACAAACCCACACAACACGCAATGGATTCTCAGTCCCGCAATACCCCCGCCATAACCGTGCACGCCTGTGGCATCTTGCCCTCCTGCAACCAAGTCGTGGCCGCTTGGAGCGTTTTCTGCCTGACATTTACCGGCCAGTTGGAGCTGTCGCACGCCTACAAGGTGTTCGCAGCTCGCCCATGTGGTGGTGCAGCACGAGCATCCAAATCTGGAAAGCTCATCACCTGTCGGACTCAGGTGGTGGGAGAAACCAACGTGACAGATGATAATATTGCCGATGAAGATGAAGAAATTGCGGGCGTTGTGCTAGAAACAGCGCAACCGAGCGGGTCACTCTTTGCCCATCTTTTGAAGGAGATCAGCCCGCGGTCAAGTTCTCTAACCCTCCTTGTGACGCATAGTCAACGTCTCTTTTCTTTTGCCGAGTCGGAGGCGCCACAACCACATTTTGTCTGTCGGGTTGAGGGGGATGCCTGCACATTGGAGACGCACTTGCCGGACACCGCCAGCGCTGGGGCAGCAGCACAATTCCACGACCTTGCCTGTAGGTTTTGCTCTGTGATTCAGCAGACGGTGGCCCACTGGCAATCTACAAAGAAAATACAAGATATTGACATTCTTTCCGATAACGACACGGCTCAAATCCTGCGATGGAACACAGAGTCATATGCATCCGCGAGTGAGCCAGCGACTGCAACACTGCTCGAGAAGATTCAGACAACTGCTCGCTCGGCAGGTAATAGATTGGCCCTGTACTCTGCCAGATGCAGTCTTTCGTATGCCGACCTTGACAACATGTCAGGTCGTCTGGCGGCAGGGCTTCTCCAGTACTCCGGGGGATTGGGTACCTTCCTGCCTATCGTGTGTCGTAAGTCGGCGTTGGCCGTCGTGGCCATGCTGGCGGCGTGGAAGTCAGGGGCAGCCTTTGTCCTGATCAGCCCAGATATACCGATGGAGCGCCGCGAGTCTATACTAACACAGCTCCAGAGTGAGCTGTCACTGCTTGTGGACGATGAAACGGTTCGAATTGTCAATGCCCGAGCCTCTATAGCTCGTCAGCCCCATCTTTTGTTTTCCTCCTTAGATTCGTCTCCCAGCAGGTTAGTCGACACCAGTTTGTTGCCAGGCTGTGGCCTTTCTGATCCTGCCTATGTCATTTTCACGTCTGGTACAACGGGAGCCCCCAAGGGCGTGGTCATTGAGCATCTCAGCATCAGCAAAAGCATGGCCAGTCTCGCGGACGCCGGTGGGCTAACCAGGGGCACGCGTATGTTGCAGTATGCATCATACACATTCGACGCATGTATTCTGGAAATATTCTGCACCCTGACTGTGGGTGGAGCGGTCTTTATTCCCACAGATGGAGAGCGGAACAACCAGCTCCTACCGTTTATTCGGGAGAATGCCCTCAACACCATGCTGTTAACACCGAGTGTACTGCAAATGCTAAATCCGGATGATTACTCGACCATGAAAACAGTTATCGCCGGTGGCGAGAAGATGTCCGCCCCGGTCATCGAAAAGTGGTCGTCTCGGGTGAGACTGATGAACGCGTATGGACCGACGGAAACGGCGGTCCTATGTACACTACTAGATCGGGTCACAACTCTCACCCCTCCGGAAAAGCTTGGCTGGGCTCTCGGCGCTTCGCTGTGGATTGTAGATGTCGAGGATCCGAACCGTTTGGTACCGATCGGAGCTGTGGGAGAGCTTGTCGTCTGTGGCATGACCCTGGCACGGGGATACCTTCACGATCAGAAGCGCACCGCAGCAGCTTTCCTGGAGGATCCGGCCTGGTTGCCGCGCTTGGGTCCCGACAGCAAGGCGCCACGACGTGCGTACCGCACGGGCGATCTGGTTCGATACGACGCCGATGGGGCGCTACATATTGTTGGTCGCAAGGACCAGCAGGTCAAGCTACGTGGGCAGCGAATCGAACTGGCCGAGATTGAGCTTGCCGTGCGTAGACTCCTTCCACATCATACCGAGTTGGCCGTTGAGGTTGCACGCCCTGGAGGCTTCGGCAGCGCTTCACAACTCGTGTTGTTCATTGTGATCGTGCTCGAAGATGACTATGGCGTCCTTGCCACCCCTGTTGTCCTTACATCGGAGACAGCTGTTCATCAACTTCGTCTACTCACAAAGGAACTGGCGCCACAGCTTGGAGACTTATTACCCGACTACATGATCCCATCAGTATATATTCCGATTTCAGGACTCCCATTGACCAGATCTGCGAAGCTGGACCGCAGGACCTTGCAGTCATGGGTGGAGACCTTGTCGGTTGCTGACCTCTCGCGACTTGCTTCCAGCTCAGTAGCGGAAGAGCCTGGACCGATGGGCGAGATAGAAATAGGGCTACAGAATCTGTGGAGTCAGGTTCTCGGCACGTCTCCGGAACACATCCCTCGGAATGCCCACTTTTTCCGTCTAGGGGGCGATTCCATCAAGGCGATGCAGCTTGTTACAATGGGGAGGCGGGCTGGAATTGCCACGACAGTTGAGTCCATATTCAAATATCCCGTGCTTTGGAAGCTGGCCACTCATGTTGATCCCGCGGCCGACAATGGAGAGGATCAACTCTCTGACCCGGTATCGTTTAGTCTCCTGGAGACATCTGAGAGCCTCTCCCACATGGGAATGAACATTGAACAACTGAAGGCAGACACCTCTGCGCAGTGTAACATCTCTGTTGAATCAATCGAAGATATTTATCCATGCACGCCTCTCCAGGAGGGCATGATGGCTTTATCGCTAAGGAATCCCGAGGCATATATTGCGCATTTCACTTTTGAAACCCCAACTGTTGACATTGAGTGGCTGCGACAGGCATGGAAAGAAGTCGTCCGAAGAACGAGCATTCTCCGCACCAGGTTTATCAGTGGTCCATCTGGAGGCTTTCTCCAAGTGGTTCTTCGGGATGAACCGGACGCAGTAACGGTTCTCGACCATCTCGATCTGGGCAAGACCAGCCAGAGCTTTCATATCGTGCTCGGCACCCGGGCCAATTCAGTTCACCTATGCCCTATCAACAACGGCAGTGGTGCTAAAGTCATTTGGTCCTCTCATCATGCCACCTATGATGCGGTCTCGGTGCGGCATATAATCAGCGACGTAGAGGCCCTCTACTATCGGCAGAGCCCATCCCCTTTAAGAAATTTTGCAGCCTTCATTCGGGATACTCGGATGACCAACGAGGCGGAGACCCGTCAATTCTGGATCAATCAGCTTGAGGGTGCTGAGACCTGCTCATTTCCGGCACAGCCAATGTCTCACCCTGTAAGGGCTACCGCGACACAGTCCCGACAAATCACTTTCACACCTCGTGCCGACTGCGACGTGACCACTGCAAATCTAGCGCGTGCAGCATGGGCGCTGGTATTGTCGCAATATACTGGCCTTGAGAGCGTTGTTTTTGGTGTGACGACGAGTGGCCGGAGCCTTCCAATGAGGGATATTGACCTGGTACGCGGCCCAACCATCGCCACGGTCCCTGTACGTGTGGCGGTGCCTCGCGAAGCTATCCTCGAGGACTTCTTGTCTAGGACCCAAAAGCAAGCCGTATCCATGATTCCTTTCGAGCATTTTGGCCTACAGAACATCCGCGAGCTGAGTCCCGGTGCGCGCTTGGCTTGCGATATACGGTCATTGCTCCTGCTTCAATTCCCAGAGGACAGCGAACCTGGCCGCGGCCACGGCACGTTGATGCATAGTACATCGTCCCAGATGGAAGACGTCTTGACCTATCCTCTGAACATCGAGTGCGTCTTCCACGAAAGCCTCATTAGCGTCACCGCAAAATTCGACCCGGATTTGATGTCGGATTCTGAAGTGGAGCGGGCCTTAGCGAGCTTCGATGCTGCCCTTCAATCTGTCACGCAGCAACGCGATTCCGTGCTGCTTGATGACCTGAAACAAATCAGCAGCATGGACCTCGAACAAATCTTGGAATGGAACAAGAATGAGCCTGCTGCGGCGACAGTACCGATTCATGAAATTATCAAAGACCAAGCACGGAGGCAGCCATCGGCGCCGGCTGTTTCGGCGTGGGATGGCGACTTGTCGTATGGCCAATTAATGATCTTCGCTATATTGCTGACGCAAATGTTACAAAAATACAACATTGGCAAAGGGGACATTGTCCCAATTTGCTTTGAGAAGTCAGTATGGACGCAGGTTGCTATTCTAGCCGTGCTCATGACCGGGGCCACGTTTGTCCTTCTTGATCCCAAGCAACCTTCCGCCCGGTTGGCCGTCATTGTTGCGGATTCGGGCGCGCAGCTTATTCTCTGCCGCCCAGAGACAAGGAATGCTGTTGCCGATAACCAGGCCCGAGCATTCGTAGTCAGCCCGGACATGTTTTCCTCCCATGGCGGAGAGAGCGAGGAAACTTGGTTCAAATCCCTTGAGCTCTTGAAGCCATCGGGCGTACTGGCTGAAGACCCAGCTTACATCGTCTTCACTTCCGGTAGCACTGGAAAACCAAAAGGTATTGTCGTCGACCATGTCGCTCTGAGCTCCAGTGCCATGGCCCATGGCAGGGCTATCAAGATTGATTCCAATGCGCGTGTGCTCCAGTTCGCTGCATATACCTTCGACGTCAGCATTGGCGATATCTTGGTGACCTTGGCCCTTGGAGGCTGTGTATGCGTGCCGTCTGAGATGCAGCGCTTGGATGATCTAAGTGGAGGTATCCGAGAACTGCGCGTGAACCATGCCTGCATTACGAGTACCGTGGCAATGCACCTTGATCCGCAAACCGTCCCATCTCTGCGTCGTCTGGTTATTGGTGGCGAGCCTATGAACGAAGCCTTAATTGACCGGTGGGCCACCAAGCTTGACCTGATCAATATCTACGGCCCGGCGGAGTGCACCGTGTGGTGTATGGGGAAACTGGGTCTTACGCCTGGGGATTCGGCAAGTGATATCGGCCACGGCCTGGGTGCCCTGACCTGGATCACTGGGATTGACCACCCTGACAAGCTCGCCCCCATTGGCGCTATCGGAGAGCTTGTGCTCGAAGGACCCACGCTGGCACGAGGCTATTTCAAAGACCCTGTCAAGACTGGGGATTCATTCATCATCAACCCAGCATGGCTACGAGCCAAGAGCAGTGATGGTCATGGCATGCGGCGTGTGTATCGCACCGGCGACTTGGTCCGTTATGCTCCCGATGGATCGATTGTGTTTATCGGGCGACGCGATCGCCAAGTCAAACTGAGGGGCCAGCGGGTTGAGTTGGCGGAGATTGAACACCATCTACAGCAGTTTCTCCCACAGAACAATGAGGCTGTCGTTGACTTGATCAGCCTTCAAGGGGGCACCAATAACCCACAGCTGGCTGCCCTTGTCAAGGCGAGCGACGCTGGGGCTCGGGAAAGCTCGTGTGCTGTGGTTGTAGATCCAGCAGCGCTCGAGACCTTCCACGACATGCTGACTGGAATTGACGAGCAACTGGCTTCGACGCTTCCTTCCTATATGGTTCCTACCTTATACATCCCGATGAAATGGTTCCCTCTCTCCGCATCAGGGAAACTCGATCGCCGAAAGTTGAAAGCCACAGTCGAGAATCTCCCAGCTTCTGCTCTCCTGGGCCTAGCGCCTGGGACGAGAGACTACGAAGCACCGCAAGGAGAGCTGGAGAATCTCCTTGGATCATTCTGGTCAGTCGTTCTCGAATCGCAGAAGAAGATCGGACGGAATGATCATTTCTTCCGCCTCGGTGGTGACTCGATTAGAGCAATGAAATTGTCCGCAACCGCCAGACGGCAAGGGCTACTCCTCTCGGTTGATTCCATCTTTAAAGCCCCCTTCCTTTCAAGCATGGCCGTCCGAATGGAACGTGCAGTCGAGTCTTCCAGCAACGGCGATGACTTGGATGAGCAGGACCCGGCCCCCTTCTCCCTCCTGGAAGCAGGTTCGATCCGACTGATCATGGAAGAGCTCGCCCCGGGTTATGGAATCCCGGCAAACGAGGTGGAAGATGCAAGCTTCTGCACCCCTCTTCAGGAGGGCCTCATCTCCATGTCCTTGAAGAAACAAGGCTCCTATGTGGCGCGAGTGACTTTTGACCTCCCGCGCAACACTGACCTTGCTCAACTCCAGGACGCATGGCACCAAATGCTTCGAAACAATCCGATCTTGCGCAGCGTCTTTGTGAGCACCAAGTCAGATGGGGTCCTTCAGTTAGTCACCAAGAGTCAGGCGTCGCTTGTGGAAAGATGCCATTGGGACGAGGTAGAGGGTCGTGCTACTCAATTCAACTTCACGCTTGGTCGCCAAAACAACCTGATGCTGCTCGCACCGGCCAGTGAGGGCAAGGGTCCAACCCTCACTTGGGTGCTGCATCATGCCGCATATGACGGTTGGTCTCTTCACCAGTACCTAGCCGAGGTTAGCAATCGCTACTACGGACATACTCTTGTCCCCGTGAGGTCCTTTGGGGCTTTTATCAGACATCTTCGAGCCACGGACAGTGATGCAGCGCAGGAATTTTGGGCACAGTATCTCCAGGGTGCTCAGCCCTGCGATTTCCCTCCAGCACCCATGGCAGAATCCGGCACTGTCAGTGCTAAGGTCCGCACGGAGAGGAAACTTGCGATTCCACGCAGGGAGACATCAGATGTCACCATCGCTTCCTTACTGCGGTCCGCCTGGGCGGTGGTCGTCGGGCGCTTTACCGGGTCGAAGGATATTGTCTTCGCCTCCACGATGAGTGGTAGAAATGTTGGACTGAAAGACATTGATTCCGTGCGCGGCCCGACAATCACAACGATACCAGTTCGAGTTCGACTCGATCTGAGCGTTACGGTTGCAGAGTTCCTGCAGACAGTCCAAGAGGAGGCTGTGACGATGATGCCTTACGAGCATTATGGTCTTCAGAACATTCAAAAGGTCAGTGACGATGCACAGAATTCCTGTGAGGCGCGATCGCTCCTTGTCGTGCAACCTGTGGGGTATGGGCAGGGTCACCAAACAGTAGATCTATTCAATGGGTACTCGCAAGAACAGGATGTCTATACCTACCCTCTCACGCTAGAGTGTATGTTTGGAGCAGACGGCACGATCAACGTGGTTGCGACGTACGACGCTGCCTTTCTCTCAAACCGTTCCGTATCCCACCTTCTCGAATATCTAGACGACACCATCAGGCTAATGTGCAGGTCCGTGGGTAGTCACCATTCCTGGGACTCCCTTCTCGGGCCGCATGAGGATGATCTTGCCATCCTGAAGAGTTGGAATAGCCATGTCCCACCGGCATCTCGGTTGACGGTCCATTATCTCTTCGAGCAATCGGTCCTGCAAGCCCCCCGAAAGATCGCCCTTGACACATCCGACAACCAACTCACCTACGAGGAAGTTGACAAACTGTCGACCAGTTTTGCCGGTCGTCTCCGGCTGGATGGAATTGGAAGAGGGTCGCTGGTGGGTCTCTGCTTCGACAAGAGCTGGTATGCAGTGGTGGCCATGATGTCTGTACTCAAAGTCGGCGGGGCTTTCTTTGCGTTGGATCCCACCCACCCCCCAGAGCGCATGCGGGAGATTGTGAGTCGAATGGACTCGGCAATTATTTTGAGTAACAAGAACAACATGCACAAGGCGGAGCTTTTCCATCATCGTGTGATCTGCATCGAAGACGCCCTGTCTGAAGAGACGCAGCCGGAGCTCCTCGGATCTCCCTGTCAAGAAGTCGTGCCTTCGGATTTGGCTTTCGTTCTGTTCACGTCCGGCAGTACCGGAAGGCCAAAGGGCATCGAGATCACCCATGGCGCGTTTTGTAGCAGCATCTTGGCGCATGCGCCGAGGCTGGGCCTGAGCTCTGCTTCCAGGGTGCTCCAATTCTCGGCTTACACGTATGATGTCAGTATGGCCGAAATCTTCACGACCCTGGCGGTGGGCGGATGCGTGTGTATCCCTTCTGCCGATGACCGCCTCAACAATTTATCTGGCTTCATGAATGACCACCAGGTCAACTGGTCCTTTCAGACCCCCACGATGGCCTCCTTCCTCCAGCCGAACGCGCTCCCGACACTGAAGACCTTGGTTCTCGGGGGAGAAGGCGCCACGGAGCACAACTTGAAGACATGGTCCAGTAGAGTCCAGCTTGTCAACAGCTACGGGCCAGCAGAATGCTCGATCTGGACCAATTGTGCAGCTGGCATTGCGGAAAACGCTGACCGACGGAATGTGGGCCTGCCAATAGGCTGCTCTATCTATGTCACTGACCCCCAAGATCCGCACCTCCTTCTGCCGATTGGAGCGGTGGGTGAGTTGCTTGTCGGAGGCCCAAACATTGCCCGCGGCTACTGGAAGGAGAGCGATAAAACTGCCAGCAGTTTCCTGTCCAACCTGCGCTGGATGCGTCCGGTGGGATGCACCGGCACAGTGTACAGAACGGGAGATCTGGGACGGTATTGCAGTGACGGGACTATTGAGGTCCACGGACGCAAGGACCGTCAAGTCAAACTCAGAGGCCAGCGTATCGAGCTTCCTGAAGTCGAGTACCGCCTCCGGCAGTGTCTGCCACCTGATGTTGACGTGGCTGTTGACGTGATTCGGTCTGAGAACGCTGGGCCTTCGGCCCAATTGACTGCGTTCGTCGTTCTGCCGGATCTTGGAGAGGGCCTGTCGAAGGCCCCCAGCCCTGGGATTATCACAAGCAAGGAAGTAATTCGCAAGCTCAGTAGTCTCGTCGATGAACTGGACGTGAGACTACCCGAGCTACTACCTCCTTACATGGTGCCCTCGCTATATATCCCAATCACTGCACTACCACTGTCGGCCTCCGCCAAACTGGACAGAAATGCGTTACAAGCTTGGGCAAAGCAGCTGTCACGGGCAGACCTCTCAAATCTCATGTCCTCTGACCTAGAAGGTGGACAGCCTCAAGACCATTGGGAGCTCCAACTGCAGGAGCTATGGGCCGACGTCCTGAGGATTCCAGCGTCCGATATCCGACGAGGTGACCACTTCTTCCGTCTTGGAGGCGATTCTATCAAGGCAATGCAGCTAGTTTCGGCAGGCTCTCGGCACGACTTGCATCTCACTGTTGAACTCACTTTCAAGCACCCAGTCCTTTGCAACATGGCAGTGCAGGCGCGCAAGCGCCAATCGGACAATACAATTGAGCCGATATCTGCCATGCTCGCGCCATTTAGCCTCCTTGATGCCACCCACGATGTCAGTCAACTCAAATCCGATGTGGTCGCACAATGCGACGTCGCTGTCGATGCACTGGAAGATCTGTACCCCTGTACAGCCCTACAAGAGGGGTTGCTCGCCTTGTCTGTGAGGCAACCTGGTACGTATGTGGGCCATTTCACGCTATCTCTGTCGGACCATGTGGACCTGGACAAGCTGGAGAAAGCGTGAGTCGATGTGGTATACCGGACGCCCATTATGCGCACCAGGTTCGTCACTACAAGTGACGGGCGCTTCCTGCAGGCCATCATCAAAGATGAGTGTGTGGTGCGGCGCATCGGTGTGGAGGATGCAGGCGAACTTATGCAGCATTTTCGGATCGGGCCGGGGGGCACAGCGATGTCTCAAGTGAATATCTGCAAAGGCCGTGTGGTATGGATAGCCCACCATGCCGTATATGACGGGTTGACCTTTCAGAACATCCTGAGCGATGTCGAGGCAACATACAGAGGCCAGCAGATCCCTGCGTCTAGCGTGTCATTTAACCGGTTTGTTCAACTCTCGACCATGGGGAACCTCAGGGATGCTCAGAGGTTCTGGTGCGAGACGCTGGAGGGAGCCGAAAAATGCGAGTTCCCATCACTGCCAACCTCCGACTACCGACCACGTCCGACAGCCCTGATGGACCGGCAACTCCGCTTCTCTCGCACCATATGCACGGAGGTCACCAGCTCGAACCTCTTCCGCGCTGCATGGGCCTTGACAGTCGCGCAGTTTGTGGGCCAGGATGATGTTGTCTTTGGACTTACACTCAGTGGTCGGAACCTTCCCTTGCAGGGCATTGAGTCAGTGCGAGGGCCGACTATTGCCACGGTTCCTGCCCGCATACGAGTGCAAGATGACTGGACGATCGAGAAGTTCCTCCAGCATGTCCAGGATTCCGCAACTGCCATGATTCCGTTTGAGCACATTGGCTTACAGAATATCAAGTGCCTCGGCGAAAGCGCGAACTCCGTTTGTGACATGCAATCTCTTCTCATCCTACAGTTCCCAGAGCTGGATCCGCAAGGCTCGGACGAGCACGATCAACCCATCATGTCACAAGTTTCGGGAACGTCCTCCGACGGCTTCTACACGAATGCTCTCAACATAGAATGCGTTATTCGCCAGTCGGGTGCAGATGTGACTGTATCCTATGATGAGAATGTCATTCCCAGCACCCAATTGCAGCGTGTATTGACATACTTTGAGGAAGCTATTCAACACCTGTCCACGGGTTCTCCATTGACGCAAGTGGTCGAGCTGAAGCGTCTCAGCACGGTGGACCAAGAGCAGATCAAGCATTGGAACAACCACTCACTCGAGCATGCCGATATTTGCATACATGACATGGTTCATGAGCAGGCTCGGCTGCAGCCTACTGCACCGGCGGTATGTTCTTGGGACGGCGATCTAACATACGCCGAGCTCATGAGCTTGTCCTTACGGTTAGCTGGGCATCTTCGGCAAACCCATTCCATTGGACCGGGAGATATTGTCCCTGTCCGTTTTGAGAAGTGCAAGTGGACCCAGGTGGCGATCCTGGGGATTCTCTGTGCAGGGGCTGCCTTCGTCCCGCTGGATCACAAAAATGCCAATTCCCGCAGAGATGCGATCATACAAGATGTTGCTGCCAAGGTTGTCCTTTGCTCCGACGGTCTTCAACAGGCCCTTGCCTCCTCGGGAGTCCCATGTCTGGTCATTAATGAGATGTTGCTTCATGTCGAGAGGGGCCAGGGCGTCGATGGGAAGCATCTCATGCCGCCGTCTTCCTCGAACAGCGCTGCCTATATCGTCTTCACCTCTGGCAGTACGGGCGTACCCAAGGGCATCGTGGTGGATCATTCAGCTGTCAGTTCAAGCACTTTGGCACATGGACGCGCCATAAAGATCAGTAAGGGCACCCGCGTGCTGCAATTTGCGGCCTATACTTTCGATGTGAGTATCGGAGACATGCTTGTCACACTCGCCTTGGGTGGCTGCGTTTGTGTTCCATCCGAAAGTGAAAGAATCAATAACCTGTCTGATGCCATTCAAAGGATGCGTGTCAACCATGCCTGTCTTACCAGCACTGTAGCTTTACAGCTTGATCCCAAGGACATTCCCGTCTTGCGACGCCTGGTTATTGGGGGTGAACCAATGGATGAGATTCTGGTAGAAAGATGGGCAGACAAGGTCGATCTGGTGAACATATACGGCCCTGCAGAGTGCACGATTTGGTGCATGGGCAAGGAGGTGTCGCGGGGAGACTCCGCACAGAACATAGGCTGGGGACTCGGTGCTATTCCCTGGGTTGTCAATCCACACGATCCACACAAGCTTGTGCCAATTGGCGCACCTGGCGAGCTGGTCCTCCAGGGCCCGACATTGGCGCGAGGCTACTTCAACGACGCACCAAAAACGAAGGCTGCTTTCTTACAAAATCCACCATGGTTGCCCCAGACCTTGTCCCAACAGAGCCAACGGGTCTATTGTACTGGTGATCTCGTCCGTTACAGTGAAGAGGGATCCCTTTTCTTTCTGGGGCGTAAAGACCGCCAGGTGAAGCTAAGAGGCCAGCGGATTGAGCTTTCTGAGGTAGAGGTCAGCCTCCGCCGATTTCTGCCTCCCGACACAGAGGTAGCTGTCGAAGTTGTCACTCCGGGTGGTCCTTCGGCTGCACGAAGCCTGGGGGCGTTTATCAGGAGTGCCTCTTCCCAGTGTGGTTCGGGGGCTCCTGGGGTGGTGACGTCGACTGTTGAAATGCAAGCTCTCCATCATCTAGTTCAGGGCATCGAACCCCGACTGTCGGAAATACTACCGCCATACATGCTCCCGTCCATATATATACCGGTTTCTGCGCTTCCCCTGTCAACATCTGCAAAGCTGGACCGCCGGGCCTTACAAAAGTGGGCCGAAACCCTACCTCTTTCATTCTTTGGTCATATTTCCAACGACTCCACCGAGCAAAGTCGATCACCCAAAGGCGAGACAGAGCTCCGTCTCAGTTCTCTCTGGAAAACTATTCTCAAGCTCCCTAATTCCCCCCGGCGGGATGGCCACTTTTTCCGTCTCGGTGGGGATTCTATTCGCGCAATGCAGCTGGTCAGTAACGCACGGCGCCAGGGTATCTTCCTGAGCGTCGACAAGATTTTTAGGAACCCGATTTTGCTTCAGATGGCTGCGGCTGCGGACCAGGACGCTAGCCCACGCGACGAAGCAGTCAGCACCGTACCCGTCTCCGTCGTGCCCTTTGAGCTTTTGGGTGTTTCGCACCAGGAGATGGAGATGCTGCAACAAGAAGCAATCTCCCAGTGTCATATCACATCGGACAACATCGAAGACATGTATCCTTGCACCCCGTTACAAGAGGGTCTTGTAGCATTGTCGTTCAAGGAGCCCGGGGCATACACTGCTCGTCTTTCATTCCCACTGTCTGCCGAGTTGGACACCAGCAGACTCAGGCGTGCTTGGGAGAGTGTCGTGCAGAAAACCCCGGCTCTGCGGACTGTGCTTTTCCACTCTAAGGCCCGGGGGTTGATTCAGATTGTTCTGAAGAATTCCTTTGCCTGGTCCGAGGATGTTCCCGAAACTGGCGCAGTGAATATCGCTGAGCAGTTTGCCAACCAAGCCCTGACATCGCCACTCTGCCTATTCACTATGACCGGCACGGTGTTAACATGGACCGTACACCATGCTCTCTATGACGCCTTTTCGTTGAATCTAATCTTCCGCCTGCTGGACTGGGAGTACAGTCAACCAGACTTGAGTCCTCCACCCTTTGTGACATGCGAATATCGGAGATATATTGCAGTGGCTTGTCAACGCGATAACTCACAGAGTAATGATTTTTGGAAAGCGTATCTCCTGGGGGCCCCTGATCCAGCCTTTCCTCACTCCCCCAGTTCAGCATACCGACCTAAAACACGAAAGACCATTGCAATCGAGATGGCGACTGATCTGGGATTGACGATCACTACGGCCGCCAACGTTCTGAGAGCAGCGTGGGCACTGACAGTGGGTGCATACGCCAACCTTGACCAGGTGGTCTTCGGAACCACACTCCATGGTCGCGATCCAACCTCTCCCTACCTCGCTCAGGCTGTGGGACCCACGATCGTCACGGTGCCGGTCCGGATAGCCCTAGGGGAACAGCAGACCCTCGGCGAACTTCTGCAAGTGATTCACGACGACTCCTCCAGCGTTGCCGCTCACGGTCACCTTGGTCTACAGCAAATCAGCACCCTGAGCGAGGACGCGCGCCGTGCATGCGACTTTCAACACATGTTCCTCGTCAACGACGCTTCCACGGAGCAGAGCATCTCGAAGGTACTCGGAACCCCTCTGGTGTCGGACAATAACGAGAACTTTCAAATGTACGCCCTCGAAGTCGAATGTCAGGTGCAGGCCTCCAGCGTTCAAGCCAGGATGTTCTATGACAGCGAGGTTGTCAACGACATGAGGGCCCAATGGATGCTGGACCACTTCAGTGCTGTTCATCGCGCGATCTGCTCGGCCCCTGCTTCGACCAAGATCTCAACGTTCCATCATGCAACAGCCAGCGAGCATCGGGACCTTCTCATCGCGAACGAACACCTTCCTGACGAGGTGCCACGAACCCTTCATGGGATGTTTACTGACCAGGCTGATACGCATGCTACCAGAACCGCCGTGCGTGCCTGGGATGGTACCTTCGAATACAGAGACGTTGATCGTCTCTCTGACCAACTAGCCCGGCTATTGTTGGAAAGGGGAGTCGGTCTCGGTTCCCATGTAGTAATGTGCTTTGAGAAGTCCAAGTGGGCTTGTGTTGCCATGCTTGCAGTCTTAAAGGCAGGCGGAGTGTGCGTTCCACTCAACGACCAATACCCTGTGGAAAGAGCGCACTATGTCGTCGACCACGTGAAGGCTGTTGTCTGCCTCTCCAGCCCCCAGTGCGCAGATATCTTTGATGGCTGCCCCGTCAATGTGGTTCTCGTGAACCACGCCACGATCGATGGTCAGGCTGTCCAGTCCCAGCCCCGGAAGCAGCCCACCGTAGCCCCCGGTGATGCCGCTTTTGTCATGTTCACCTCTGGAACAACGGGATATCCCAAAGGTGTCATCCAGACTCATGCGAACCTGGTGACTAGCACCTTGGCTATTGGAACTCGTATGGGATACAGCGCCGCTTCTCGCATCCTGCAATTCGCTTCCTACACCTTTGATGTTAGCCTCGGGGACATTTTCGGTGCTTTCTTCTTCGGAGCGTGTGTGTGCATTCCCTCCGAGCAACAGAGGCTGGACTCTCTAGATGACTCCATCCGAGAAATGGGGGTTGATCAGGCGTGCCTGACACCCGCGGTGGCGCGGACGTTGGCTGGAAAGCCCCTGCCGACGCTGGCCACCCTGAGCCTTGGTGGTGAGTCTCTTCGGCTGACCGACATTCGCCAGTGGGCCGGAAAGGTTCGACTGCTCAACATCTACGGTGTGACGGAATGCACCATTTGGTGCGCGATCAGCGACCCCATTGACCCACGTTCCAGATCGCCCAGAAACTTTGGTTATGGAATGGGCTCGCGGCTGTGGATCGTTGATCCTAGAGATACGGATTGTCTCATGCCACCCGGGGCGATCGGAGAGCTGTTGATTGAGGGCCCCATTGTTGCCAAGGGATATCTGCACGACGAAGCGAGGACGAAAACCAGCTTCATCAGCAATCCCACATGGCACCCCGCCGTGCAGCGCGGTGACACGGTCAGACTCTACCGGACTGGGGATTTGGTCAGACATGCCAATGCCAGCTCGTACGAATACCTCTGCCGCAAGGACACGCAGATCAAAATCAATGGACAGCGGGTGGAACTCGGCGAGATTGAGAATCAAATCCAGCTGGCGATTCCATCGCATCTGCTAGCAGTGGTTGATCAGCTGCCGGTCTTTGATACCAGTCTTCTGGTCGCATTTATTGCGCCGCGCGATCCAGCGACGGCGGCACCCCTGCTTGAAGCCGAACAGCCATCATTTGTGGCCAAGGTCATGTCCAGTCTTTCGGGCGTCCTGCCCTCACACATGCTACCAGCCAGGTACATTTTCCTTGGAAGCATACCACTTTCCCCCGCGGGCAAAGTCAATCGCCGAGCCTTACGAGACCAAGGGGAGACGTCCATCGCTGCTACGGATTCCGATGGAGAGGGAGGCCCAAAGCACTTGTCTGACCAAGAGCACCAGCTTGGTGAGCTTTGGAAATCATGCATCCACCTGGCGGGATGTCAACTGGGGCCGGAAGACCACTTCTTTGCGGTTGGCGGTAATTCATTGTCTGCGATGCGCCTGGTCTCGCGGGCAAGAGAGGCCGGTCTCAGCCTCTCCGTGCAGACAATCTTTGCGCATCCCACCCTCGCCGACATGGCCGTCCAAGCCGCCGTCACCAGCCGGGATGAGCTGCAATCCGAGTCCTCTTACCGTCCATTCGACCTTGTCTCAGACCTGGGTATGGCTTCGGTCAGGGAGGCCGTTAGATCCGCGCCCGGCCTCTCGAGTCGAGACATCCTCGACATTCTACCCACTTCTACCCTTCAGCATGATTACATGGTAGCGGCCGAGTCTAGTCCGGGATGGTTCTGCACGCAGTTTGTCGTTAAGCTTCGGCCATCCGTTCAGCTGGAACAATTGCTGCGCGCATGGGAAACGTTGTTTATATCCCATGAGATATTTCGCACCAGAATCGTCAAGTACGGCGCACGCTATTTGCAGATTGTCCACCGCGCAAAATTCACAGCAGCGTTGTGCCAGGACCTGGAGACATATCTCGAGTCCGACAAGCAATGGCCCTTTGTCGCCGGCGGCGAGATGCAACGGATGGCCATTATCCAGGACCAGGCCGGGGCCCCAACCCACCTGGTCTGGTCCGCTCATCACGCCATCTATGACGGCTGGTCTGTCCGCTTGATTCTCGGGCAACTCGCCCAGGGTTACGGGGCGCTGTCCGAGAACAGCACCAGCACCATCGAGCCTCTTGGGAAGTACATCAAGCCTCTCTCACGGATCAGTCAGGCACCAGCCCGTGACTTCTGGGCATCCCAGCTCTCTGGTATACGCTGCCAGCCACCGAAACATCGTCCCTCCGAGAAGCAACCGTGTGCGAGTGCGTTCTTCGAGCACCAGATGGTCACACCCACTCTTCCGAAGGACCGCGGCATCACCCTGCCAACGATTATATACGCCGCGATGGGCTTGCTCGTGGCCCAGCGGTCCGGGGGTCCCGACGCTGTGCTCAGTCTGACTCTGACGGGACGAAACGAGGCGATCGCCGGGATTGAGGATGTCATTGCGCCCATGATCACCATGGTTCCTTTGCGAATCCACGCCGACCTCGCCACCACGCTGGAGGCACTTCTCCGCGACGTGCAAACCCGACTCCAGGACATGATTCCCTGGGAGCATACCGGCTGGAGCAAAATCGCGCGCATGGGTCCGGACGGAAGTGCAGCCTGCGCCAATGCGTTCCCGCTGGTGGTCCAAGCCTTCCAGGATGATGCGGCCTATGAATCGTCTCCCGTCGTCGAGCATATGCGTGCAATTCCCATGGGCGCTCCCCCGCTGCCGATTCTGAGCGAATGCAGCCTCCAGAAATCCACCATGACCCTCTCCTTCCGCTACGACCCGGAGCTGTTTGACCAACGCGTCATCGGGGACATGTGTGCTGATTTTGAATCCTTGGTGACTGGTCTTAGTGGGGCAGATGCGACAGAATGCATTGGAGAGTTGTACGGAGAGATTGCCAGGTCAATGGCTTAGAATAACTGCTGGGGGCGATTTTGGTTTGTTTCAATGGTGCTTTTTGTTCTAGACTGACCCTGATGTCAAAACACAGATGTGGAGGAATGTTTATTTCCCTTTGTTTAAGTTGGTCGCTTGTATATATATGTATATTTGACACTCGATATTCCAACTTTCGGCTATTTTATCAACGCTCATCAGTTAGTAGTTGAATGGGTTCACACCCGTTGAATCCCCGCTTTGTATGCCCCCTCATTTCTCATACACCACTCCACCGAGCAGCAGGTCGCGAGCACACAGAGGTATTCAAACCTCTCCTCGAGATGGGTGCTGCAACAGTATTCAATACAAAGACCAACCCAACTCAGCACATACGACCATAGGGTGTGGAGAACAGGGCCTCCCGTCCGCTCAGCCGTACTTAAGCCACACGCCGGGAGGTTAGTAGTTGGGTGGGTGACCACCAGCGAATCCCTCCTGTTTGTATGTTTTTGTTTTCTTTTTGTTGAGTGTGTTTTCATACCATCATCGATCTTTGTTTGATCGTGTCTCGGTGGGGAATGGGAAAAATAGGGCTGGATCAGCTCGAGACCGGTCGGTGGTGCTTTCACATTGTGCGGTAACACGAGACTGTGGGAGACAAAGTATAGCCCTAGACACCCCCTGAGATTCCTTCATCGCTCGCATCCCGCGCATACATCACGGCTGGCTTTGCCGGCATAACTTCAAACGAATCTTGATTTTGATTTCAACAGGCGAGATCCACAAGACATCCTTAACCTTACCCCTCGTTCTCTCTCTACAACGACAAGCTGCCCACCCCATGTATCTGTTCGTACATCGCAAGTGCCCGGATCGGAAAGGAGTAAATGTAGTAGCAATATTGAATGTGACTGTAGTCTGATCAGCATAGCGCCAAATTGGCCGGTTGCACACGATCGCATACCATGTAAGAATTCCACCGCCGACGGCATACTCCTGTTCCCATTCACCGTTGGGTTTCTGTCGACTCACGATGAGATGGAGTCCTCGCTTGATCGGCTCCGGATCCGGATAGCCGGCGTACATCAACGCGAGGCAACACCAAGCTGTCTGGACTGTGTGTGACCTCGGCGCTCGTACATATGCACCGACCAGCTGGGACTGACAGCAAGGGAAAGCGTTAGCATCCACTCCGCACCACGAATGATTGACCATACTCACTTCTATTGTCTCCCCCCACCCCCCATCCGCCTCCTGCATGTCAAGAAGCCAGCGACAACCCGCTCTAACCACAGCAGAGTTCTCATACGTCCGTCCACCACAGTGCAAGGCCTCCATGGCGAAGAAAGCCCCATAGGTGAACGTAACCCCCCACGACGCCATCCAACTACCATCAGTCCGCTGACTTTGCTCGATGAATTTTACCCCCCGCTCGATAGCGGTGTTTACATCATGGGCGCGATATTTGTTGTTTCGTTCCCTGAACAGCGCCAACGCCGTGATGCACGACGAGGTACACTCCACGTAGTCGTGCTCTGTCATCACCCGGCCGAACATCTCAGTTCCGTTGAGGAGCTCCAACCAGCTGCCAGCGCGGATGGGCTCGAAGCTGCTGTAGCCGCCACTCGCGTTCTGAATCAGGAGGAGATTGTCGACTCCCAGAAGAAGGTTCACCTCACTGATCCGTCGAATACTCGTCTCCCTTTCGACCAGGAGGATTGCCTTCATTGATTCGGCCGTGCAATCAGAACAGGGGTGGCCGTGGTAACGGGTGGTGAAGGACCAGGCACCGAGTCTACTTGGACGATGACAAACGGAGCAATCATTCCACTCTTCCACCAGCTGTTGGTCCACCAGGAAATTATAGGCCTGCGCGGCGTTATCCCGGAACTCGGGGGTATTAGCCATACCCGTATACACGAGCGTCTGCAGCGCAAATGACGTATCCCACGCATGGCCCCCGTGAATACTCTGAGACTGCATCCCCTTCGAACCCAGCCACAGATACTCCAGACTGGCTTCCTGCATACGCTTGACAGCCGGGGAGCCGGGCCCCTCAGCGCAGTGGAAGGCAATCATATTCAACCAAGCATCCAGACTGACAATCCCAGTCGAAGTACTGGCCTTTTCTGATTCCTGGAGAAGCTCCCAGGCTCGTTTCTCCCCGTCTTTCTTCAGCTTCGTGGGGCAGATCCACGGGGTCCAGATGTTGGTAAGGCTCCAGTTCAGGGTCTTCATGACCCAGCTCTTTCCCTGGTGGCGCTTGGACGGGCGCACGACTCCTTCGTATTTGGCGAAATCCACGGAGGAGAACTTTTCAGGGAACAGCTCCGCTCGGATTTCATCCAGGAGATCATTGGTGGGAACTGTGAATCGTCGGGACGAGAGATAGCACATTGCTAGATAGACCTGTCGTGGAATCACGAACCACCGCCATGGGCTGACGGGGAACCAGTGCGGTAGGAGCCTGGTTTTGAATCAGGATCAAGTTGACCTTGGGGAAGGGGGGGAATATAAAACAGCCAGCCACTCACCACATCTCCACGGGGTAAGGGTCCGTTCCATCCCAGTCGTATAGTCCCAGGAGCGCAAGCCAGAATTTGGCCCACGCCGGCATATAGATCGCTCCTCCGGCACGGAGATAGTATGATCGAGCCTTGCGAAGATTCTCATGCTCGGCAGGGACTCCCATGAGTCGCAGAGCAATGTAGACTAATGTAGTGCCCATTAACGAGGCGTCCTCCCCGAGATACGTCGGCCAGCCGCCGTCGGCGCTTTGGCATCCGAACATGTAGCGGACCAATTCGATGATGTAGGCTTCGTCGATTTCGGCGCCGGTGATATACCAGGCGATGACCATCATCGGGGTCACGAAGAAGATACAGCTGAGGTCGGCGGCCCAGCAGCCCAGGTCACGCACCTGAGTGTTCGCTTGGAATCGGGTTCCCTTGTAGATGACATCGGAGGCTGTCTTGGGGGGGCCCGAGTCGGGAATGTCCTGGGAGTTTTCTTCGTGTTAACATATTGAAGAACTCGAGGACAATTCTCGTACCGATGGTAGATCGAGGAAGAATTTTGTCGTCGCATCTTGAGGCCGGCTCTTGCGCTCTTCCTTGTCCTCAACATAGGTCCACCTCAGGCGCCCCAAGTCTTTGGTCACCGTCAGGTGCCATCCCTCTGGGTCGGTGGTCTTAGTATAGACCGGGCGTGTCACATCACTATGATCGACCCCCAGTCGGTTCTTGATTTTCAATGTGTACTTGGCTGCCATTGCCGAAGAAAACGATCGAGGTGGATCGAACGATTCTTACAGACTTGCAGTAGCTTGGAGAAGGACCTACTTATAGTTCCATAAGCTGACCAGTCCAACCAAGCGCTTTGTCGCCTCTGATCGAGCGGATCCACAATTCTGCGTATGCTGGATGCGAGAAATGGCTTTGCACGAACCTGTCCAAGTGACATCTCCAATCATCCCGTCTTGGATCTCCCATTCCGGCCAGCTGCCACATTGTATCCCGAGGGTCACATGCCCGAAGTAGCAAGGCCAATCCGGTTTCGCGGCCCAGAGTGCATCCTGCGGTGTGGAGATTGCCACTGGCCACCGAATATACCCTTTTTTGGGGCGCATGAAGGAACCATAATGCCGGATAGAATGCATATTCTATTGCATACACGGCCAAGCTGACGTAGGTACGTCCTTGAGGACGCAGTATACACGTCTGTTATGCGCTTTGACTCAGCTCAGGTAGGTATCTTGCACCGTAGTTGGAACCAGAAAAAGCAATATCACGAGGTTACATCTCTGATCCTTCTTCCCGCGGGCTTCGGGGGATTTTCTACTCCGTGGCCAGTGACAAGACATGTCACGCAGATCAGCGGCTCACCGAACGCCGACTCATAACATACCGAAATTCGAGGTTCGCACGCACGACTATTCCTCTAGTTCATGCAGCCGAGACGCATTTCCAATCGATAGCAAGACCGCTGCCTGTGGGCCCGATATCACCTCGCCACCGATGAGCCGACGTCTCGGGGACATTTATAAGGGAAGATCGGGCAACGCCTGTGAGAAAATACCAATTTCAATTTGACCACGGACTATGGCGGTCATACTTGACACAGCTTACCAGGCCCTAAGCTGGAGCCCTTATCTCTTGCTGGCTGCATGCATCCTCCGATGTGTGATCCTGCTCAGGAAACAGCCCTTTCCCGCCAATGCTCCCAAATTTGTGTCAGGGTACCCGATGGTGGGGGCTCTGCAATTCTTCTTCGATCGGGAGAAATTCTTTCGAGACAATATAGAAACCTCTCCAACCAAAAGCGCCAGCTTCTATCTCGGGAGAAGTCGCGTTGTGGGTCTGTCCGGTCCCCAGGGCCGGAAGACCTTTTTCGAGAGCCTGGATCTTGATCTGGACCAAGGGTTCGGTCATCCCCCTACCCCTCCCCCTCCCCCTCCCCTCCATCTTACACGTGGTGTGATGGGATACGACTGGTATGCAAGTAGTCGGTCTTCCCGCTGACTCTGACTACGACCACAGAGCCGAGCTGTTCATCCCGTTCGTCAGTTCGCTGGAGCGATCCGATGACCCCTCCGCCGAGATGCACGATTCGCATATGCGGACCTCCCTGCGTGGGTTGCTGCTGCGCACCCACAGCTTGGAGTTCGTGCCGGCGGCCATGCACGCATGCACGGCCGCAACCTGGGACCTCATCGCGGCCAAGGGGCTGATCGATCCGTTCCAGGAGGTGGCGTGGCTGTATACGCAGTCCACCATGGCGGCGTTAGGGTTGGACGAGGTAGCCCGGTCGCCTGCGCTGTCGCGGAAGTTGAGCGGACTGGTTAGTGCCATGGATGGATTCTTTTCGGCGGCTGACATGGTGGTACCGTGGCTGCTGAATCCGTTCCACATCCCCGTGGCGATTGCCGCCGGACGGTTGTATGTGATGCTCTGGCAGATCGTCCGTCGTCGGAAGCGGCAACAGCAGCAGCAGCAGGTGGGACGAGGAGACCACAAGAAAGAGGGTCTACTGCAGCAGCTAATCGACAAAGGGAGTAGTATGAGGGCTATCTCGAAGGTGAGAGTGAGACGGGGAAAAGAAACCCCGGGAAAAAGAAAAAAAGCAGACAACGCTAACACCAACTGCGGCGGATTGCCATTCACTAGATCATTACAGCGGGCCAGTTTGCATCTCAGGCGACTTCTCCGGGAGTCGCCTGTTGGCTACTGATGGGGCTTGCAACCAACGCGGGGTGGATGGCTCGCGTCCGCCAGGAAGTGGACCAAGTGGTCACCAAACATCGAAAGCACGGGCAGTCCGCGGAGCAGGTCCTCCAGGCCCTGGATTTGTATACCTGGGAACACGAGTTTCCAATCATCGAGGCCTGCCTCCTGGAGAGTGTTCGGCTATCCGCTGGGCTGGTGACGTTTCGTAAAAACATCAGTTCGAGAGATGTGCCCATCGGGGATACAGGCAAGGTGATCCCCCCGGGAGCCTACGTGGTGAGCCTGCCCCCTGCCCTCGGAGCTGTCAATTTCCGCTTGGTTGACCTTTCACCAGACATATAGCGGGGAAGAAGTGCAAATGGACCCGACCATCTACCCTGACCCGCAACGCTGGGATCCCGGACGTTTCCTGCCGGAAGGTAACGGACACTGGAAGGAACCCATGATGTTTGTTGGCTTTGGCGCAGGCCGTAAGACATGCTGTGAGTTCGCTGCTTCCCTGCATTGATAAATATACACTTTGGAATGTGCCATCTAACATGTATCTCGATGGTGCGCATGTACAGCCGGACAAAGGGTAAGTTCATCATTCCCCCAAGTAATCCAACCCAAAGCTGAGTTAACCACAACCCAGTTCGTGAGAATCCAAAATGCCATCGTAGTCGCGAGATTCGTTTCAGAATTTGATATCACCCTCTGCGATGAGCACGGCAATCCTATGCAGCAGCCTCCGGCCAAGTGCTTCAAATCCTGGCAACTGGCGCCCGGGCCGGAATCGCCCGTACGGCTTCGCTGTACCCGGCGATCATGAGGGGATTGCTTCTTTCTTTTCCCATGCCGAAGCCGGTGGTTCAGAAAGCCAGGAGACTTTTGGGGACGGATTAATGTTTCTTCCCGTGGGAAGACATCCACATGCTTCTTTAGAATAGAGTGTTGTCAGTGCGCATATAGTTGGATTCAGCCAGCAGTTGTGTAACGCGCTTTTCTTCTGCAGTGCTCTGTACTATAACAATGACCATGTACCACGGTTGTACTACAACGCGATGGAATTGAACGCTAAACCTCTTGCAGGGGGTAAATTATAGCGTCCAGCTATCCGAGGGTAAAAGCACAACGATACATAGTATATTAAAAGAGATTCGCTACTGGTCACCCACCCAACTCACCTACTAACCCCCATCGCAAGCCGCCCCGCTCTCGCAAATGATGCCTGCAGCCCTGGGACCTCCCTCGGGAAATGTGGAGACGCGCCGGCAAAAAAAAAAAAACAAAAAAAGAAGCTGAATCAGGTCGTGCCCGGGATCGAACCGGGATTGCTGGAATCAGAATCCAGAGTGATGACCATTACACTACACAACCTGTGATGCTCATGGTGGGCAAAATACAGTATCATCAAGGCTTGAAAGTTAAGTTAAAAGACTGAGGAGCTCCATACACGTTCCCACTGTCAAAAAAGCGCGTTGGAATACAAATAAACCTAGCCGCAAGGTACCGCTGGGCCTCTGTGGTTGCGGCGGTTATGCCTCCCAGCACGGTCAAATAGTAGTAGCATTCTAGGAGACAAACTGGATCAGCAGACTTATGCGCCGAGCAGGACGAACTCCTTCCCTACTTTATCAATCCACGATCCCTCGAGGACACCTTGAATCTCCGAAAATAGTAACAGGTTGGTGCCACCCAATCAGCAGGCCCAATGCGACTGTGTCATCATAGGTTCGGGTGGGGTCGGGTCCTTTCCTTTCCCGATGCGGTACAGTCTGCTTGGCGCGTTCGCAGGTGGCAGGAGGGCGGCCGGCGGAACCTTGCGTGAACCTTACACCTTACACCTTACACCTTACACACCCAAGTCAACTCCTGGGATGCATCTCATGTCTCCCGTTCTACACATCCCGCGCGCCCAGTCGCATCGCATCGCATCTGCATTCACCGGACATTTTGGCGATTTCAGCATCGAATGATGAATAGTGGGGCCGCCGAACCACTGGAGGAGCAAAACCTTCCCTTCTATCATCAATAGCATTACTATCCTGTGAGAACCGGAGAGACACTCAATGGTCGCTACCGGATCGTTGCGAAGCTTGGGTATGGGGCATACTCGGCCGTTTGGCTGGGCTGGGATGATAGGTAGCCTAGCCAAGGACATCAAACTCCATTATCTGACCCTACTCACATTGTTCATCCAGATTGAAGCACTATGCATCAGTGAAAATCTGCGTCAGGGATGGCACCAAATCACCTGTTCTGAATGAAGTGGCAATGCTACAGCGTCTGGGGAACTTCGCACAACAGGCTGATCATCCGGGCTTGGAGTTCACGCGCCTGGCCCAAGACATCTTTCAGATCGACACTTCTACAGGACCCCATCATTGCATTGTCACAGAGCCCCAGGGAGCAAGCATTCGCACATTACAAGACGTATTTCCCAATGCAATATTACCAAAGCTTCTCGTCAAGTCGCTGGTACACCGGCTGGTTATCTCCATCGATTGGCTGCATGCGACGTGTGGCCTCGTACACACCGGTATGCTATTTGGATGGGGTGTACGGCGTACTTTTCCACTAACTTCCCTGATAGACATTTCCCCCCAGAATGTTTTGATTAAACTCGAAGACGATAGTGTCTTAAAGGATATCGAGAAGCAAGAATCCCAAAATCCAAGCACTCCAGTGATCAGTCAAGGAGTCCCTATCTACCACTCCTTAGCGACCATGCTTGAACTATCGGGCCTCCCCGTCCTTACGGACTTTGGGCAGATGCGACCGTCGGAACCCGCGAATCGCGACTGGTGGATGTCCGATCTGTATCGTGCGCCGGAAGTGCTCTTGCAGCTGCCCTGGAGCTTTCCCGTCGACATCTGGTCGATCGGTGTCATGGTGAGTTGGCATCCTCTTGCAGTTCAACCCTGCTTATTGATATGACCAGATCCTCGAGCTTCTGGAAGGAAAGAACCTTTTCGACCCTATCGATCGCACAGACGATCATTATGTTCTCCCGCTAGCTTTGGCTCAATATATCGGCTATCTTGGACCCCCGCCGCTCGAGATCATAAAGCAGAATCCGCTGTTTACGACATATTTTGATGATGACGGTGAGTTTACTGACAGAATTTTCCAAGCTCAGTCAGCATATCAAGCTCTAATTATGATAGGGAACTGGACATCCGATGTTCCAATACCGCAAACATCCCTGGAAGAATTCGTGACGACGATTCCTCCGGGGAAAGAAAAAGAAGCATTTCTGCGATTTATTCGAAAGATCTTGACCTGGGACGCTGAGGTTCGAGCAACTTCGGTCGAGATCATACCATCTCACCCCCCAAGCCAGCCCATAAGCCTGTCCCACGGCCAAAATTCTTTCTTCGGGAACATTCTCCCAGAGAACTCAGTCCACTCCCAGAATCCCATCCCATCAGGCGCTCCCTTGGCCTCCTTCTTCCATTCCTCGCGTGGCGGATACGGCGATGGATCAAATACCAGTCGCAGGGCATACTGGTCACCATTCCGGACCTTGCGCCGGGTGTCGAATTGAGCCACTAACCTTCCCTGCTCAAGCCGGATGTTGTAAGTCTTTGGCCTGAACGCCTGGTCGGTGAGCCAACCCTCATTCATCGTGCGGGTTGATCTATCATATTGGGATATACGGCGCGTAGTGAGCGTCATTTCAACGCTGAACTTGGTGACAAGTTTTGGTTTGCGGCCTTTGTTGTCTAAGTTGACGATCTGGTCGAGGATGTCGGGGTTGTGCAACTTCCACTCAAATTCGGCCGCTATCCAGACAGTGAGCTCCCCAGAACAGAGCAGCTGCATGGCCGGGTTAGCGGATGGAATAGGATGCGGAATGAGGGAAGGGGGGGGGGTTCACCAAGCCTGTCCCGTTCTCATGGAAGATAATATTACTTGATTCATTGTGCCAGAACCATGTCTCTCCGAAGAGGATCGAACGGAGGGTTTCGGGTGAGGTCATTGGGTTCTTGTGGTGGATTGCTTGGGTGGTGGTGGCCAGAATTAACAATTCTAGCTGGTGGTGTTTCTGTGGGACCAGGTAGTAGTATTTTGGTTGATGAGTTTGGTAGGGAAAAGGTGGAAGAGCTTTGCGAAGGTAGAGGTTGGAGAATTAAATCGAGAAGGCTGGCTTTGTTATCCGTAAAGCTGTCTTACCTCATGCTCAGAGCGGGCCGGGGGTCTAACAGGCAGCCACCACCCAGCTTTATGCCTCCGGTCTTCCAGGGTCCGGAGAGACACGTGGTAGGTTAAGTCCGTTGATGTACATAAGTAGTAGTACCTGCCGTCACACTGACTCACCGAGGGCATGCATACTCCTTACCTTGACCGAACTTCCATTTGCTAGAACATATATCCTGTTGATAGCTTCCCGTGCAGCTTGTCTGAATAGATCGAGTTCAGGATTCAGCACACGGTCGGCCCCCATTGAGGTAGAATACGAACTGTAGATATGCGATGGATTTGCCAGAGCAATCTCTCCGCGTGGTGCAGTTGTGGCGTCTCTTTCGGCGCCACTGCCTGCCGGCAACCCTTTCATGCGGGACGTCTGCTTCTTCTTCCTTCGTTCTTTCCCCACAAAACAACTTCCGGGCCTGACTTCTCCGCGCTAGTGGGCTTATTCTAGCGGGGGTTCAGGCCTTACGATTATGCGATTTCCGGACCTCAACCCTATTGAAACTGTTTGAAATTGGATGAAAGTCTTCATTCAAGGGGCGTATGGCAATATTGATTATATCACCAATCTTCATCAACTTCAAGAGGTGGTTTTGGACGCTTGGATTCAGATTTCAAACTGGAAAATTAGACGCGAATGGGTTTATCACGCACGGACTATACAAAAATCGATATAAAAATAAACAAAAACATACAAACAGGAGGGATTCGCTGGTGGTCACCCACCCAACTACTAACCTCCCGGCGTGTGGCTTAAGTACGGCTGAGCGGACGGGAAGCCCTGTTCTCCACACCCTATGGTCGTATGTATCTGTTTGAGTTCCAATTCTGGACATGGAGCTTGGTTTCTTGTGTCGAGACCAAACGGGTGACGGAGGAGTGATTATTACGAGGAGATTTGGGTTTTTATTTTGTTTTTGGGGGTTGTTTCTACTACCTTGGGTCAGTGTTTTCCTCCTTCTCCTCGCCTGCGTTGAAACTGAATTGTCTCTCTCGACTTATTCTATATATTTTTCTCACACAACTAAGAGTCGAGGCAACATCGTGGGATAAAACTGATGATATTTATATATATCCACCGCGCACAGAACCCGACCGCCAACTATTAAAAAAATCACACTGACAACCTCACGACCGACTACATCGTAAATATCTTGGAGTTCATCAATTCTGCCAAGTCGGGCTCTCGCACCGAGCAAGCAAACGACGACTTGGAGTTCAGGATCCCATTAGGCGACGCAGCATACGGCCCATGGGGTGATCGACACAGTCTGGAGCGGTCATTCCGACTGATCGGACAATTCCTCAATCGTAGAAAGGCTCCGCAGGGCACAAGTCCCCGTTGACATAACGACTCTGCGGGAGGACCTGTGGCTGTACCGTCTGACGGCAGTGGAATTCGCCGAGTGGTTTGCATCGGCCGTGGTGTGTCGAACGGAACAGGGCTGTTTTGGACTCGTTGCCGCGGGCGCAAAGGAGGGCGATTCGATTGCGTTGTTCTCGGGCGGCAAAGTTCCTTTCTGCTTGAGGGAGGAGCTTGGTGGTGAAGCGGTTCAATATTCATGGTATCATGCATGGGGAGGCTTTCGATTCCGAGGGCGTGAAGGTGCTTCGTCTCTGTTAGCGACCTGCCATTGAAGTGTTTCATTGCTACGCTTTGCAGCTGAGCTGCCGACGAGGCATAGAGGGGGTCGGGAGTGCTCTATCCTAGCTAGATACTCGATAATAATCCGAGTCGAGGAAAATTGTGAAATGATCATTCGTCTAACAAGGCGATTGGATACTAATATAGTAGTTCTGATGCTGCTGCATATGTTGCCAAGAAGGGAAATGAAGATGCAAATGCAGACTGCGGGCGGGGCCTGGTTCGTAAGCACTAGACCTGAGTGGGAAGGCCAGTTGCACCCCCATCAGCAGGCGTGGGTCTACAAAACACAGCGTCACTGAGCGTGGGAAAAAGCTGAGCCCCTGGCAATATCCACCAATCATCTACGTTCTCGGTGATGGGAAATGAAAGCCAGATTGTCTAAATTCCGACGGCCACGCGAGGTGGTCCGATATAAGCACCTAATGGTATAGTTGGATGAAAAACTCTCAGCCGGCTGATTGGTCCATCTTCACTATATCTGCCAGCAGCTGCAGAGCCATTTTGGTGCCTGCGACTTCACCAATGGCCTGCAGACGCCGGATAATCCACTTCCGGGATTTACTGGTGGTGACGGGGGATCGTCCGACTAGGTAGAGACACCAGATCAAGAGATATCCACCTGATACGTTGGCATCGGAGGAGAAGTTGAGTGGGGTTTGGGGTGTAGGTTCCAGCGATACCAATCCTAACGTCTGTGGAACCGTGGCCAGGATGTCCTCTCCTAGCTTAAGCTGGATTTTCAGGGTCTCCTGCAGCCGTAGGCTCAGAGACTCCCTGATGGCCGGTGGGAGGTCTGTCGCGAGGGCCTTCTGCAGGAGATAGCACATCACCTCGCAGTGGATCATCTGCATGCACCGCGAGTTGTTCCAGACCCGGATGGCATAAGTGTGCTTATAGAGGTCATATCGCCCGTTGTGAAAGAATTCCGGGTCCCGATCCGGTTCGAGGGTGGTTATATACGGTTCTTGTACGGCGAGGACGGCAAAGACGCTTTGGAACTCGGCCTGAAGCACCGTCGCCTGTTCCAGCAGATCGGAATATGGGATCTCCCCAGCATTCCGTATGACGGCGTAAGTAAGATTCGCACAGCGACTGGCCACGACCCCCATGAGCCAGAACGTACGGGAGGACTCCACGAACGGGGCTGCCGCTTCCTGCAGCTTGTACATGTCGTCCGGGAACGGCTGATTACTATGGAGACAGGCGACCACCAGATCGGCGCGAACCTGGTTGAACATGAAGATGGAGGCCTTCCTGGCGAACTGGTTCTTGCCGCGGGCGACGATCAAGGCGGCGGCGCCCCGGACGTGTCGGACCCACGACTCGAAGTTAGAGGCGTGCTCGAACACCCCCAGCGAGATCACCGACATCAAGGTGCTGTCCTTGACGGACTCGGTTGGCGATGCCAGGGCGGCGTTGACATTACGGATCGCCTCCGAGTACTTGACGCGGGCGTGCCCGACCAGGTCGGGCTGTCGCGTCGAATTAGCCAGCGCCAGGAGGCCTACGGCGGCCATGCTGGCGACGAGGGTGCAGTGCTCGGCCTCGGCGGTATACACCACTGGGATGTAGTTGAGGAAACCGCGGGACGGGGAGTCATCGCTCATGACAAAATGGTGCAGGAAGTAGTTGACGCCTATCTCATCGACGCCGGGGTTAGGGCCACGGGCGGGCGGGGGCGGGGCCGCGTGCTGGGGGTGAGATGGGGTCAGAGGGAGAGAAGAGCCGGTCGCGGCCGCCCTCTGCGCCCTCTTCTGCTTGGACCGCTTGATGGTATGGTCGGTCTGGTCGCGGAAGACGAGGTCCCATTGATCGCGATAGCCAGGGCACTGTTCGCGCTGGCGGATGCACTGTCCGCAATGGGGGATCTGCAGGTCACACTGTGCAGGGCAGTGACGGGGTCATGATCAGTACGGATGGATCTCGCCGACACGAGAAGAGAAACACCGAAACCCAAAACAAGTAACAGCGAGACAAGACAGAACGAGGGACGGGGCAGGGACAGGGACAGTGACAGGGACAGGGACAGGGAAACCCACTCGTCGCTTGATAGCCCGGCAGTTCCCACAGCTCTTGGAGGCTCTTATGCGTGGTGGTGCACTATGTCCCGATGGCATGGCTAGTCGTCTAAACGGGCAGGCAGGGAGGGGAAGGTGACAGGAGGGAAACAGGGGGTGAAGTCAACCCCGAAACCAGCCCCCAGTTAAAGGACGGCTTACTCGCACGCGGCTGCTAAAGCGACCGAAGGCCTCGTCCGAGCGACGCTACAATCTACCCGAACCGGCTAGGTGGAGGCGTTGACACCATCACCGATGGGGGATCGTTCACCGACAAGGCGTTCTCCAGGGGCTCCTCAAAGCGGTTATCTTTGCGGTTTTCTCAGCTGTCACACCATGAATCTTCCCCTTGTTGGACCTATGTGGCGAATGGGGACGGACATGCTCTGTACCTCAGATGAAACCCCTTTCACGAATGACTCCAGTGTCACCTGACCGGTACCTTCCTGCCACAAGTCAGCCTTGGGTGGGGCTAGACCTGTTTCGGGCTGATGATACTGATGATACGAGACGGTGATTTGGAATGGGCGCAGGGCCTGGAGACCCGTGTTTAAGCAGTTGTCGAGCGCAAACAAGCTCTCAGCCTTGCATGGCTCGACGAGGTGGATACTTTGCTAGGCGAGTCTACCAATGGGGAGCCACCCACGGAGTATGATGGAAAGTTTCATCCCTCATATCTACCCTTCCATCTCCATACCCAAACAGCCCCCACAGGCTGAATCCTGAGGATTAGATACGCCCTTTGGTCATTCATGTTGTTTGGAGCAATCCACAGATCGGCAGCGAGTCTATCTGAGCCAAGCCACGGGTTGTCTCCGATCTGCGACGAGCTACCCAGAGGGGCATCAGTTCGGCCCACCGACAGAGGCTTTGCACTTAGGGCTCCCCCCTCCGCGCCATGATTCGCCCAGCACTGACCGCTCGGGGTTCGTCGATTCCCGGTCCGCGCTAGTCCGCATCCGGCAGTCGCGATGCTCGGCCAATCAGCGTTGGGATCGAGGGCCATCTCGCAACTGTTGACTATAACATCAACAAGGCTGTGTCAGAGAGCTATGACCGACGAAAAAAAATCTTCAGGAACATAAAGGGAGACGAAGGGTCTTCCTTTGAGGTCGTGCACAACAAGAAATCTTTTTCATCATCAATCCTCTATCTCTTCCTCCTCTTCTTTCCTCCGACTCAACTACCACTACTCCTCCTATCACTACTACTACTCCTACTACTACTACTACTACCACCACCACCACTCCACTACAATGGGCACTGTTACCTACCGTGATGGCATTGCCATTCTTCAACTCATCATCTTTCCCTTCATCCTCGTAGCCGCGCTTTTCATTTGGAAACGAACTGGCTGGAGAGTCGGCAGCAAGATCTGGCGATTCCCCTTCACGCTCTCTCTCCTACGGATCGCGGGCAGTATCTGTTCGTTGTTGACGATCGACCACGACTCTTACAATGTCGAAGTTGCCGTGGCTGTGTGCGAACTGATTGGCATCGCGCCGCTGCTGCTCACCTACATCGGTGTCCTGAGACAAATGTAAGTCCCTTCCATCGAGCTCCTTAAACGCCATACACAGGGACTAACCCAGCTCTCTTCCAGTGACACGGAAGAAAGAATCCCTCCCAGGGTGATGAAGCTCGCGACTCTGGTTGCCCTTGTTGGCCTCATCCTCGGTATCGCGGGAGTCAGCAGCGCCGACGACAGCGAGGGCACCTACCACGCAGACACGATCGTCAAGGTGTCCATGGCCATCTTCATCGTCATCTTCGTCCTCTACCACCTGATCGCCGGCTGGCTATTCCTGCAGCTCGCCTCTCTCACCAAGATGAGACGGTTCCAGAAGAAGCTTTTCCTCGCCATCGCCCTCTCCTCTCCATTCATCCTCGTCCGCTTGGTCTACTCGGCGCTCAGCGACTACACCACCGATGCGAAGTTTTCCGTCATTGGCGGCAACACGACCGTCTACCTGGTCATGAACGTGCTGGAGGAGATCGCAGCCATGATCATCACCATGGTCCTGGGGATGGGCGCGGTGATGGAGAGCGACTTTGTCAAGCTCGCGCCGCAGTCTAGCTCCGAGCAGGTGAATAAGGTTGAGAGTGTGTAATCTGCTGCTTCGCGGCTAGATAACTGGTGGACGTTTTCATTTGTGACCTTAATGTATTTACGTGTGTTTGTCTTTCTTGTTTTACGCTCTATATCAGGGGACCCGGTTGGGTGGGGAGTATGATTCTTAGACCTCAGCGACCGTGTCTCGCTTGCTTTTTTTGTTTTTTTTTTTTTTTTTTTCGTTCGACCAATTTCTATCTATACCTAATAGACCATTACCCTGCAACACAAAATACCTTTTTCGTCCCACTTAGAATATGATCTATAACCATGCACCCCAGTCTTCGGAATTTCGTTTTCCGTGGGGTCCTCCCAGTGTTCCAGTCCCACATACCTACGGAACTAATACTCCTGGCTCCACACGGCGTCCCAAGTCCCACTCCCAACAACTCTGACACTAAGGTCTCGAGCACCGGCTAACGCAGTGGGGACCCCACCGGGTGCCTGGTCTGCCTCACGAACATTCGTGCGCACCAGCGGGAAGATAAATATTTGTCTGCGATTGGAGATCCTTCGGCTTGCTAGATAGTTAAACAGATATTCCTATTCGAAGTTTTATTTTTTCATGCCAGCTGCCATCCATACCAATGAGATGAACTCCATGGGACTTTTCTATATGATGTATGTGGCGGAGCATCCTAGCGGAAAATGTGATTGATAGCGCTCTATCCGAGCCAGCAAAAAGTGGAGGGGAGGGGGAATAAACAAAAACAAAGACGCAGATCCGATGGCCTCGCTAACAACTAGCAGCAGGCGCAGCAGGCACTAGACAAACTAGGCCTCTCCCAGCCCGCGGGACAACACATGCTATCCAAGTCCCTAGTGACTAGTCAGTCATGTAGCAATTTCTGCCAGACGACGATGTATCACCATCGAGATCGCGTGTCCGGAGTATCTAGCTAGTCTAGCTATCTATCTAGATCTATCCAAGGTTTATGGATACTAGTTAGGTAATCCCGTCCCATGGTTTAAAGGTTTTACTAACCACCACAGGTCACAGAGACTTTGACGGGTCACGGCCGGGCGCAAATCCCCACACGAACCACAGACCCGACCCGAGAACCGTCTACAAGTGACCCTATACCATACCTAGTAATTGCTTCATCCACCTTCATTCCCTTCCACAATCACAATCACAATATTCCAAATCATTCGCAACCCAACCCAACCATGTCTGGTACGCCCGCCCACAAGGTGGGGGAGATTCGAGAATCGAGCATCCCGTCCATCCACCGGCCGTGTTTGCCGCGGCGGGCTGAGATTTGGAATCTGCAGGGAAGGTGCGTGCGTTGTGATTTATCACCCACCAACTCAAAAAGGTTATTTGGAATTGGGTAGAGGAGGGCTGGATTAAACGCAAACACAGGGTGACGTGGCGCTGTTGCTAGTGTGCGAAGAAGGTTCGGGGTCACGGTAGCTACTTATCTAGCCGGGGGGGCGGGGTTGAGGGAGGGTTGGGGAGGGCAGTGGATGTGAGTGGGAATAAGATTAAGCGTGGAGAACTGGGAGAGAGGCGTGGCTTTTACTGTTTTCTTGGTGCTTTTATCTTATCGTGCTGGCATTTGGAATAGGCGTGTACAGGATGTGGTGTAGCATGCCGGTTCTTTGACATATAAAGCGTGGATTTCCGTAGAGAAATCGAGTCTAGATGATAATCATGAGAGGGTTCGTTGAAGGAGATGGGTTTTCAAACCCCTCTAATATAAAGTATGTTTTATGTCATGACCTATAATCCTTCATCCGGAAACGCCCGCCCGGGAGGTCCCCTTTTGCGGCAAGAAACCGATAAAATATCCGTACATACGCGAGGACACAATCATTCGCACTATGAGTTGCCCTATACCTCTCCTCACTTCTCTGCCTCTTCCGACCAGCGCACCCCCAACAACCCCAACATCCGCAACAAAACAAAGAATAGGAAAACACCTTATCCGTCATTGGAATAGGGATCTAAGATAAATAGGTCATGACTTCCAGGCTTGTATCCCATACCACCGAACACATTTATCCCAGCCGTCAGTAAGATCAGATTACACAACCACCTCAGAAACATTAGAAATACCCTACATATAAGCAGAGGATGATCTATCCAAACCAAGTGTTATTAACACACCTATCGACATTCTCCACGACCTGAATTCAGTGGTTTACACAAATTAGGGGTCATCTCACCCCCTCCAACCTCCAACCATCCACTCAAGCAAACCACTCCCCCACCCACTTCTCCACCCAACCCCCCTTGACCCCCTCCACGCCGCCCAACAACCCACTGACCCTCTGCGTCCTCTCCGTCTCAAACACCATGACCGACCCCTCGGCACCAACCCCCTCCAACACGCTCCAGAAATCCGCCAACTTGGCCGCGGGATTCCGCTCCAGGACGATCTGCAGGTTGTCTGGCGCGTCGCCCGCGGTCTTCGCCACGTCAGCGGCGACGCGCGCTCTCCATTCCGCCAGGGGGATAGTTTCCATCGGAGAGGAAGAGGATTCGGGATCGGGAAGAGCAGAGGCGATAGTCGGGAGGAGAGTAGTCCACTGCACCTTGTGGGTGTTGTGCGGATGATACACGTTCAAGTTACCCTTACCCTCGCTGCCCTCCTCCTCCTCCTCCTCCTCCTCTGCAGACGGAACAGGGGATACGGCCAGTTCGACGAGCACATCGGCGAGGAGATCAATCGGGACCCAGTCGAGATTACTCATGGGACCGAGGGAATCCGGCAGGGCACGGAGATGGGCGGCGGAGCGAACGAGACTGGGGAACCATTCTGTTCGGGACCAGAGACCGGGTGCGCGGACCGCACCGGCGACCTGTCCGACGCGGGCGATAGACGCGCGGAGAGAAGGGGATCTGGCTGTGGCGGAGGCGATGAGGTGCTCTGCGATGTACTTGCTGTTTGAGTAGGCGTTCGCCGCGGGGAGGGTAGTGGTGACGATTTGCTCCGGGATGGAGGGGGATGTGGACGGGGTGACGGAGCCCACGGTGGAAAGGAAGAAGAAGTGCGGGGAGGAGGGGGCATCGGCACAGAAGTTGAGTAGGTTGAGTGTGGCCGTGAGAAGGGGCTTGAAGAACTGGAGGGGCAGCAGCCAGTTGACTGTCCAGGCGTTGTGGATGAGGGTGGTGGTGGTGGTGCGGAGGGTTTGTAGGGTGGAGGGGGAGAGGCCCAGGTCGGGACGGGTGAGGTCGGTTGTGTGGAAGGTGAGGCGCGGGTCGGAGGGGGAGAGCGCGGGCAGGTGGAATTTCAGGGCTTGCGATTGTTGGATGCTGCATGCGGAGGGGTTGCGGTTCAGGCAGTGGATGTGGCTGATGTTAGGGTTGTTGAGGAGGGCCGCGAGGAGGTAGCTTCCCAGAGTGCCGGTGGAGCCGGTGAGGATGATGGTTTGGGGTTGGGAGGGGGATGGGAGGAGGAGGAGGAGGAGGGGAGGGTTGGAGTTGGGATTGCAGTTCCTGGAGGAGGGCGTCGCGTTGAGCCAGCAGGGTGGTGTCCTGCTGGGAGGGGCCGGTGGTGGCGCGGATGAGGGCGATGATGGCCTGGGTCAGCTCGGGGACGGACGGGTGGCGGTAGATCAGGTTGGGGATGATCTCGGGCAGCTGCAGGCCGTTGCGCAGGGTGCGCGAGAGGGTGAGGATCTGCAGGGAGTCGAGGCCGGAGTGGAAGAAGCTCTCCGCGGACAGGGCGTCGGGGGTCCAGCCGGTGACGGCCAGGAGGGACGTCTCGATGAAGGCGGAGATGGCGGCAGGGTCATCCACGGGCCCAGGGCCGGTGCTGGGGCCGTCGCGCACGGTTAGGGTGTCGGCGTCGGCGTACAGGGCGTCCAGCTCCGGGGCGTACAGCGCCAGAGTGGCGGCGCGCTGGGCGGTGCCCTTGCCGGAGCGCGGGAGGGCTTGTCCGGGCTGGTGAACAGGATGTGCGTCTTGGTGATGCGGGCGTGGGCCGGGCACTCGGCGTTGGCGGCCTCGATGCTGGGCCACAGCCGCTCGATGGCGTCGGCGCGCTGCTGGGGGCTCAGGGCTGGGCTGTCGGCCAGCTCGATCAGCAGGGAGGCCTGGAAGCGCCGGGCGCCGGCCACCAGCGCCACGGACACGTCCGGGTTGCTGGCCACGATGTGCTGCTCCATGGAGATGGGGTTGGTCTTCTCGCCGTTGAGGAAGGTGATGATGTCGTCCAGACGGGCACTCCAGCGCCAGAGATCGGCTTTCGCAGGGTCGGGGTGCCGCACAAAGAGGTCCTGGCTGTGGTACTCTTCGATGCCGGGGAAAATGGTCGGCGGCATCTGGAAGGACGTGAGCTCTGGCCGGTGCACCATCACCAGCTCGGATTCCGTCGCGGTGGTGGGGCGGAACTCGATGCCCAGGCCGGGGTGCACCTGGACGTATCCCCAGTCCGTCAGGGGGTCGCGGTGGGGGGACTGGATCAAGTGCAGCATGCCCATCTCCGAGGCGCCATAGTGATTGATGAGGGGGATGCGCGACGCGACGAGCTCGCCCACGGCCTGGGGGAGATCCCCGCCGCAGTAGCCCAGGTGGCTCATGTGCTGGCTGACGTAGTCCAGGAGGTCCGGGGCGGCGGCCAGTTCCAGAATGACGGAGGGGGGCACCAGGGCGACGTCGAAGGGGGTCTTCTTCAACGCCGCGACCATGCCGGCGGCCGTGGGGATGCCCGAGATGGGACAGACGCTGGTCATGCCCGAGGGAACGGCCATGAAGCTCAGACTGGCCAACCCGCCAGACTGCGGAGGTTAGTGAGCTAGCTACCCAAACGGGGGAGAGGGGTATATACGTACGTGGAAGGCCGGCAGGCACAGGAATTGGCGCTTGCCCTGGGTCAAGTCGCACTGGTTAAAGTCACCCTCGGGGGCGGCGAGGCCCGCCATGTTGTAGTACCGCATGATGGACTCGTGGGTCCAGATGATGGGCTTGGGGATGCCCGTGGAGCCGGAAGTGTGACTGGGTAGGTTAGACAAAGGGTTTTGGGGGGGAGGGGGGGCGGTGGATGAGGAACTTACACAATCACGCAGCGCTCGTCCGCAGCGGCAGGGTAGGTCTTGGTGAAGGGGATGTGCGGGTGCGTCGTGCCGAGCAAGTCGTTGACGCCGGGGAGCTCGAACACGTCGAGAGGGGCGGCGGCGATGATGCCCGCGACGGGCGGGGGACGGGGGGTCGTGACGAGCAGCTTGGTGCAGTTCAGCGTCTGGAGGAGATGGCGGTGCGCGGCGGGACTGTTGCGCGGCGAGGGGAGGTACATCTGGCGGCTGGGTTAGGGCTTGCGTGGAGCGTCACGTCCACCAGACGACACTCACGACGTATCCCGCCTTCAGAGCTCCGAACACCAGGGCGGGGTATCGGACATCGGTGGGCCCGAAGTAGGCGAGCACTTCGTCCTGACCGGGTCCCAGGGTCTCGATCAGCCATTTGGCGACGCCATTGATGGCATTGGCCAGGTCGCGGTAGGTGATCTTGCGGAAGCCGTAGTCGTAGCTCAGGGGGTGGTTGGGGAATTCTGCGTAGATGGCCTCGGGCTGGGCCTCGGCCACCTGGTCCACGTAGGCGGGGAAGAGCACTCCCCGGGGGTCGATGTTGGCCATGATGATGATGATGATGTTTGAGGGAGTGAGGATGGATGGAGAGATAAAAGAATGAGGGGGGAGAAATGAAAGATGGGAGCGATGAGGTTGAGCAGTAGAGTTGTGAAAGCTGAGGGATTGGGAATTTTATATCTCAGCCCGATGCGGGACAGTGGGCTGATGCAGCCTCACTCAGCCATGGCCGGGGAGAACAAAGAACAGACAAAGACAAAGAAGATGGACTGGCTCTGGCTGGCCGAGACGAACTAGTGACTGACCAGCTAGAGACAATTCGGGGTAGGGCAGGCAGTGGGCGTCTGTTAGGGCGGTACGGTCCGGGGCGGGTATCGTACGGTATGGTATGGTATGGTCGGTCGCATTACAGGCAGGTATCGGCAGGCAGAAACCAAGGGGCAGTGGGGGCCAAACTGCAGCAGGGTTGCATTGCAGTGCACAGCCCTCCATGTGATGGCGGAAGGCTCATTAAGATTGATTCTGATGACTTGCACCGGGCCATGTGCGGTCGCTGAAGGAATGCGGATTCTTGACGTGCTTGCAGGGAATTGCATTTATACACGTGCTAGTAAGTCTACAGGATTTATATATCAACACAACAGGTCGATGTGGACTGGGCTGGCGTTGACCCTCGAATGCAAGGACTTGATGATGAGACTCTCTTGACTGAATAACCGAGGTAGACTGTCCGCTTACATGCAGGTTAAGATACAAAACGCGAGGTGGTGGTGGAGGAGCAACAGCCCGAAAAGGTAATTAAACATCACGGTAACTGATTCCATAATGCCCCTGCCAGCAGTAGACCCCATGACAGCGAAATTGACCTCATAAACAGACATAATTATACGTATACGGCATGGCAAATATGAACAACATGGGCACAACCACAACAACTAGAAGAAAATAAACCTCCACACCAAGACCCCGACCGAAAACATCAATGCGCCGTGGCATCCCGCTCGACCTGGACCTGGACCGCCCCCTGCTCGACCTTAGTATAGCTGACCAGACCCAGAGCATCCTCCTCGTCATCAGCCACCGAGCCCAGCTTGTAGTGGGTGCGGCCCGACGCGCGACTGCCAGTGCTATTAAACCCCTGCTTGGAGTCGGAAGTGTCCGTCAGCTCGGTCCCGGTCTGCGAGCGCTTCTTGCGGCTGAACAGGCGCACCAACGGGCGGTACAGCGGCAGACAGGCGGCGATGAGGTAGATGCCGCACTCGGCCATGCACCAGGTGATGAGGGGGGTGGCGGACCAGGTGCCGTCGACGGTGGCATCGGTGAGGTAGAATTCGATGAAGCGGCAGAGGGAGGAGATGAGGCCACTGTTTTCGTTGGGCGTTAGTTGACATGTAGAGGACATGGGAGGGTAATTTGGGGGGGGGGGGGGGGGGGAATAAGTACATACAGACTGCCGAGCAGGAAAGTGACCAGCACGCCCCACTTCATCTTGGTGGAAAGCTGCAGCGCCCAGACGGTGGGGATGGGCAGGATCAACATGACGATGTCGGTGAGCAGGTTGGGGAAGCCCGCCCAGCGAAAGTACATGTTGATGTTGATGCAGTGGCCGCCCGGAGCTTCGGTCCAGTAGTAGCTCAGCGGGATGCAGGACAGGAGGCCGGTGATGAACAGGGCGACCATGTTGAGGAGCATGACGATGGCCGTGAGGTAGCAGGTGAGTCGGGCCCGCTTGTCGGTGAACACGGACAGGAAGAGGTGAAGGATGGCGAGCTTGGGGAAGACCACGGCGAAGACGTAGACCAATGGAATGGCGATGATCATGTGGCCCCAGGTGACGAGCGTTTCCGGGTTCATTTCGAGCACACGCACCTCATGGAGGCCGGAACCGCCGTTGATGACATCGTCTGGTGGGGGGGAGGGTTAGTGAACTGCCAGCCGGACGGGGTGTGTCGGGGGGTAGGGGGAAGGGGGCCATACTCAGTCCCAGGGCGGCGACGGTCATGCAGCACCCGTATCCGAGCAGGATGAAGACGTCGTCAAGGCCCCATTTCACCCGACCTAGTCGCTTCGAGAGGAAGCGCAGCCCGACGGCGATCGTCTCGAGGACAAGGAAGCAGATCGAGACGGCCCAGAGGTCCCGCTGGCGGGACTCGTTCAGGTACGCCTGGGAGTACTCGGTGGTTGACATGGTGTCGGGCAGAGGGGAAGCTCTGGACAAGATGCAAGAAGGAGTAAGAGGGGGGGGAGAGGTTGCGAACGGGACGGACGGGAAGGCGGCATGTGAGGGGAAGCGTCTCTATATGCGCGCAAGCGACAGACCTGACGTGAGCATGAGGGGGCGGAATAGCCCTACTCCTCTGCTGGGGGCCATGCAGGTGGGCCAGAGCGCGGGGGCCGAACAGGGTGCCTTGCAGGCTGTGACATGCCACCAGGCAATGTCTAGGGCAGGGGACGGGGTGGCTGCCGAGGAAAAACAAAACAAGGCCGGGATGGCCGCGTGGGATTCATCAGAGACTGATAGAAGAGGGTTGGATGAGGATGTCTGGTGTCTCTGCTCTGGTAGACCTCTCGCCAGCCCCAACCCCCAACCCATGGGACTAACCGCTCTGGACAGAGACAGCGGCAAGGCGCCGAGGGCGAATACCGTACTCCGTATAGCATTGGCATTTCCTGTCAGTCTTGAACGTGTTTCAGTCGCAGGAGCAGGACCCGTTAACGGCTGGCAGCCCACGGACCACGGGCTGGTGGTGGCTATATAAATGGGGACAGCACCGGCCATGGCATCCACCGTAGACTCCCAGCAGATCAAACCAGACCACCGATACAATGCGATTTTTATGTTTCCACGGCCAAGGCGGCAACACCCAGGTACGTGGCTGACCAGGCTGTCACTCGAGCCCGAGGAACAGTTGATCCAGTATTGTATCACCACCAGGACAACGCTAACGTGGATTCCATAGGTGATGGAGGCACAGATAGGTAACAGACACAGACAGACCCTTGCCATTGACCATGACATCCGGCTAAAACAACTTCAGCGGCACTTTGCCACGAGCTGGAAGACGGACACACGTTTGAATTCGTCGAAGCGACTTTTCCGGCCCCGCTAGCCCCTGGTACATACATCCATCCATCAGTTATCACCCCCAAAGGTCCTCCCTCACTAACACTAACCCGTCAGCCCTCCGGCCCTTCTACCCGGAAGACCAAGCGTACTTCGAATGGATGCCACAAGACGACCCGTCGCTAGTGCTGCAAGCGCTGCGCGACCTGGACAAATTCATCGAAGTGGAAGGCCCCTTCGACGGGATCATCGCCTTCTCCATGGGCGCGCTCCTCACAACCACGTACCTGATCCAACACGGGATCAAGAAACCGCACACGCCACTGCCCTTCCAATGCGGCATCTTCCTGTCCGGGCAGGTCCCGGTGGACCCGATCGCGCTGGAACGCGGTGAGATCCGCGTGCTGGATCCGGCGGTGGACGGCGACCAGTTGATGGCCAATTTCCCGACGGCGCATATCTGGGACCCCAATGACGAGGCCTACCGCGACCAGAGCGAGCGGTTGAGTGGGCTGTGCGATCCGCGGGTGCAGCTGCGGTTGCACCACGGCGAGGGCCACGCGGTGCCGGGCCCGCGCGCGCAGGACTCGCTGCTGGGCAGTGTGAGGGTGATTCGGCGGACGGTGGAGCAGGCAGCGATGATGGTGTAGATAGGTGTGGGCGATCGGGGGGTGGATGTGGATGGGATGTGGAGCGGGGGGATCGGGGGGGAGGGTTGGCTCGGGAGTTGATAATTGGAGCTAGTAATGGACAGAAGTATTACCGAATAAATGAATGTATGAGTGAATTGGGCTTATGCACGTGTGGCTTAGGCGGGGTTGGTGCCGTACAGGGACCAGTTGTCTGTCTGTGATGAGTTGTGACTAGACCCATATTGACAAGTAGGGTGCAGTGGGGGCGAAATGAGGGTCTGGCTGGTACATTTCGGATAGGCCGTATTCGGCATTGGCCGGAGACCACGCCACAAAGTAGGGTCAATTGCAGGCCGACGAGGCTGGCACTATATCCGCCAAGCAGACCAAGCAGACGCCAAGGACCGGAGGCAATCGGATCATACTAGATCGAACGGGCTGTATCAGACAGACAGTACGGGACGGCGCCCACCGTTCAATGGTATGCGGGGCGAAAGACGGGATATTAGACAGCGTGGACCCGGTCAATCAAAAGGCAGAGTAAGTCCGTGGGATGGGGGCAGGGGGCAGGGGGCAGGATGAAGTAAATACCAGGTGCGGGTCAGGGCTGGCTGCAGGGAAGAACAATGGCATGTGCGTTTCGCCCCCACAGGTTTCTTCAGGGAACTTGTGCAGCAAACCCTTTGGCCCCATCCCTTTGATGAAATGGGGGCCGCGCTGTGGGGACTGCACGGGCCAGAGTCCTGCCTGGCCGTTCGCTTCGGCAGCATCGCATCCGCTGCGGCCGCGGTGTCCTGATCCTGCCGACACAAGCATGCTAGTGCTCCTGAAGGAAACGTTTATCGCGGTGTATAATCATCCTGAATTGTGGCACAGACCGGATGGGCCTACGCTCAGCCTGCTGGGGCGTGTATATATGGGTGGGGAGAGGAGCGAGCGATGAGACCATACATATACAGATATACAGACTCTGTCTTTGCTTCTTCAGCCCTCACCTAGTCATCATTATACCCCTGTCCATTCACCCTGTCGGATCCATACTCCTGTAGCCTTCCCTGTCTCCATTCTCTCGTTCAATCTCACCTCGCACGTCCATCATGGCACCCCACAGCACAGACCCAGCCCACTCGCAACCACCCCAGCCAGCCCGTGACCCGTTGGAAGCCATCGCCGTCGTCGGCTACGCCCATGGCTTCCCCCAGGAGGCCACCACCTCAGACGCCCTATGGGAGCTGATGTGGCAGAAGCGGACGACCGCGACCCCATATCCGGCAGACCGGATGAACATGGCCGCGCTCTACCACCCGGACCCTCATCGGCGGGGGCAGGTGTCCGTCAAGGGCGGGCATTTCCTGCAACAAGACCTGGCGGCCTTCGACGCGGCCTTTTTCGGCATGGCGACCACCGACGCCGCGGTCATGGACCCCCAGCAGCGCCTGTTGCTGGAATACACCTATCAGGCGCTGGAGAACGGTGCCTCTCCCATAACCCCCCTCTATCTGCACAGCCACTAACAGCCTCCAGCCGGACTATCCATCGACGCCGTCTCCGGCAGCCGCACCTCGGTGTACTCCGGCTCGTTCTCGACGGACTGGCAGCACATGCAGCTGAAAGACGGCGAGACGTGCCGGACGACAGCCATTCTGGGGCAGGAGCCGTGCGTCAACGCCAACCGCATCAGCTGGTTCTTCAACCTGCACGGCAACAGCGCGAACATCGACACGGCATGTTCCAGCAGTTTGGTTGGTCTGGACATGGCGTGCCAGGGCCTGCGGGCCGGCGACGAAGACATGGTAATGCACAATCCACACAATCCCCTCCCCTCCCCTCCCCTCATCTAACAGGTACAGAGCATCGTCACCGGCTCCAACGTCATCCTCTCCCCAGACAACATGCACACGCTCTCCAACATGAACATGCTCTCGCCCGACGGCCACTCATACAGCTTCGACCACCGCGCGAACGGGTACAGCCGGGGCGAAGGCGCAGGGATCCTGATCCTCAAGCGGGTCGCCGACGCGATCCGCGACAACGACACCATCCGGGGCATCATCCGCAGCACGGGATCCAACCAGGACGGACACACGTCCAGCATCGCGGTGCCGAGCTCGGAGATGCAGACGGCGCTGATCCGCGACACGTACCGCAAAGCTGGCCTCAGCATGGTGCCGACGCGCTTCTTCGAGGCGCACGGCACCGGCACGCCGGTTGGCGATCCGCTCGAGTCCAAGGCCATCGGCCGGGCGTTTCGCGACACGCGCGCCGTGGACGATCCGCTGTGGGTGGGGGCGCTGAAGACGAATATCGGGCATCTGGAGGGTGCCAGTGGTGTGGCGAGTGTGATCAAGGCGATGTTGGTGCTGGAGAAGGCGGTCATTCCGGCGAATACGAATTTCGAGCGGTTGAATCCCAAGATCGATGCCGAGTATCTCCGGCTGGCGTTTCCACGGGATAATCTCGCGTGGCCAGTCCGTGGGCTGCGAAGAGCGTCGGTGAATTCGTTTGGCAATGCCGGGACCAATGCCGTAAGTGCCCTGATAGACAGGATGCCAACAAGAACAGCCCAACTGACGACAGCAGCACGTCGTCCTCGACGACGTCCACCACTTCCTCGCCGAGCGTGGGCTCTCAGCCCACCACCTCACCGTCCGAGACCCCCCCAGCCAGCTCGTCCTGCAGCCCACCACCGTCCCCCTCCCCATCGTCTCCTCCCCCGGACCAGACCGTCCCCGCCTGCTGATCCTCTCCGCACACGACGAGAAGGGCGTCCAGCGCCAGGCCCAGGCCTACGCGGCGCACTTCGCGCAGGCCGCGAAGCATCTCGACCCCCAATACCTCGACCACCTAGCCTACACGCTGGCCTTCCGCCGGAGCACCTTCGAATGGACATCGTTCGCGGTCGTGCGGTCCGTCGACGAGCTCAGCAAACTCGACCAGCTCGTCTCCGCACCGATGAAACGCACCGCGAACCCGAGCGCGGGGTTCCTCTTCGCGGGCCAAGGCGCGCAATGGGCCGGCATGGGCCGCGAGCTGATGCTGTACCCTGCCTTTGCGGACAGCCTGCACCGGAGCGAGAAGCTGCTGCACACGCTCGGCTGTCCGTGGGACCTACGCGAGGAGATCCACCGCGAGAAAGAGTCGCGCATCGACACCCCCGAGCTGTCGCAGCCGTGCTGCACCGCGCTTCAGATCGCCCTGGTCGACTTCCTGCGCAGCATCGACGTCTCCCCGGCCGCGGTGGTGGGACACTCCTCCGGCGAGATCGCGGCGGCGTACTGCATCGGGGCCCTATCGGCAGAGAGCGCGCTGAAGGTGGCCTACCACCGCGGCATCGTGTGCGGACAACTGGCGAGCGATCCCTCCGGCCCGCGCGGTGCGATGATGGCCGTCGGCCTCTCCTCCTCCGACATCCAGCCCTACCTCACCTCCACCCCCGGACTGGTCGTCGCCTGCATCAACAGCCCCAAGAACGTCACGATCTCGGGCGACGCGCCGCAAATCGACGCGCTGCAGGCCGTTCTCGACGAGAAACACATCTTCGCGCGCAAACTCGTCGTCCGCGTCGCCTACCATTCCCACCACATGCAGCGGGTCTCCGAGACATACCGCCAGGCCATCACAGGCTTGAAACCCGGCCTCAGCCCGGCCCACCCCATTGCCATGGTGTCCTCCGTGACCGGCACGCGGATTGCCCTGCCCACCCTCCTCACCCCAGACTACTGGGTCCAGAACCTGACCTCCCCCGTGGACTTCCTCTCCGCGATGACAACCCTGCTGCACACGTCCGCGCAGCGCATCCGCCGGAAACTCGACCTCAGCCACCGGGACCACTTCACCCTGAACGCGCTGGTCGAGCTGAGCCCACACGCCGTTCTCCAACGCCCGGTGCAAGAAACCCTCCGCTCAACCCCACCCCCCCCTCCAGGACCCATCCCATACACATCCCTCCTGCACCGCACCCCCTCCACCACCACCACCACAGCTACCACCACAGCTGCATCCAGCACCAGCACACTCACCGCACTTGGAACCCTCAAAACCCTCGGCCACCCCTTCCCCCTCTCCCCACTCAACCACCTAACCCCCACTCCCACCCCCCCACCCACCCTGCTCAGCCTGCCCACCCTCCCATCATACAAGTTCAACCACAGCCAAACCTACTGGCAGGAGTCCCGACTCAGCAAATCCTACCGTCTCCAGGGCCGCCCGAAACACGATCTACTAGGCAAGCCCGCCGCGGACTGGAACCCGCACGAGCCCCGCTGGCGACTGTTCCTGCGGAGTGCGGAGATGCCCTGGGTGGAGGACCATGTGGTGAATGGGGTGGGGATTTATCCTGGGGCGGGGATGGTTGAGATGGTGGTTGAGGGGGCGAGGGAGGTTGTTTCTCTCTCCTCTTCTTCCTCTCCTTCTTCTTCTTTATCTGAGAATGGGGACAGGGATGGGGTGAATGTACTCGGCTTCGAAGTGCGCGACGTGGTGTTTTCGCAGCCGATCAAGATATCGCCCGAGGTGGACGGGGTGGAAGTGCAGCTTGTCATCCACGTCCGACAGCAGGGCCAGAAGGGCCGAAGGGCCCTGGAAGACGGAAGCACGTTCCGGATCTTTGCGCACGAGGGAGACGCATGGGTGGAGTGCTGCTTTGGGGTAGTGCGCGCGGTGTACGCGCGGGACACGGCGGCGGAGGGCGTGGATGGCGGACGGGGCGAGACAGCGCGGATGGAGACGTATCGCGCGACAGCATCGGACATGGATCTGTCATGCACGACGCAGATGGATGTGTCGCGGTTCTACACGAACATCGGCGCGCGCGGCGGGGTGGAGTTTGGGCCGTGCTTCCGACGGATGCGCTCGGGGGTTCTGGACGCGCAGGGCCGGGTGCGCGCCACGATCTCGACGTTCCCCTGGCCCGAGGACCAGTTCCCCCAGCCGCATGTTATCCATCCGGTGACACTGGATGCGGCGTTCCACAGCGCGTATGCGTGTTTCTCGCGCGGCGGGGAGACGGTCACGCAGACGCGCATCCCGACGTTCCTGCGCAGATTGTATGTGCGGGCGACGGGGATGGCGTTTCCCCGGACGGAGGTGTTCGATGCGTATCTGCATGCGTTGGCGGAGGATCGACGACGGTGTGAGGTGAGTGGGTTTGTGATGGACGAGGGCAGGGCGGAGGTGATGTTGGAGTATGAGGATCTGCGGATGACGACGGTTGCCGCGGAGGAGGAGGAGGAGGAGGGCGAGGGCGAGGGGCAGGGGACTGTGGGGGAGGGGGATAAGCAGTTGACGTACCATGTTGAGTATCGACCGGAGCCGGAGTTGATGACTGCGGACGAGATACGGGGGTATTGTGAGGGTGCCTTGCATCGGTATCTGGATATGCTGGCGCATAAGAACGGGGGGATGCGGGTGTTGGAGGTGGATATGGGGTGTTTGGGGCTGACGAGAGAGGTCTTGAGGACCCTTTCGGTGAGTGATCATGCCGGGGCGGTGCTGGCGCCCAGGTATGCGTCGTTCACGTTTGCGGTCGGTGACGAGGATGTCGGGGAGTTGGGGTTCCAGGGCTTCCCGGATGTGGGGACCGTGAGGCTGGGTCTCATGGAGGATTGGCAGGCACAGGGATTGCAGAGCGAGGGGTACGATCTGGTGTTTGCGCAGGGTGCAGTGAGTGAGGCCGGTTTGAGACGGCTGAGGGCGTTGTTGGCCCCGGGAGGTCGGTTGGTGATGCCTCTGTCCGGGGGGCTGGTGGATGAGGCCGCGTTCGCTGCGACGGGGATGGTGTATCCGGGTCTGGAGCTGCACGCGGAGGAGATGGCGGTGAGTGTTCATGGGCTGGTGGAGACGGTGACTGCGCCGGAGACGGACCGAGAGGTGTTCTTCGTCCTTGATCCGCAATCCGCAGTGCAGACGCAGGTGTTCGAGGCGTTGAGGGCGCACTGGAGGGCGCGTGGCATCCCGAACATCCGCTGCGGGACGCTGGAGGAGGCGGCGGACATCGCAGACAAGGACGGAGTCGTGTTCGTCCCGTTGCTGGAGATCGACCAGCCGTTCACGTACAACCTCAACGCGGGCAAGTTCGAGTCGCTGCGCACCTTCTTCGACACAGCCAGCGATGTCCTCTGGCCCACATTCGCCGGGGGCAGCGAGGCCGGCCCCCCCGAGTACCAGCTCATCCACGGGCTGACGCGGGCCCTGCGCAGTGAATATCCCCAGATGAGCGTGACGGTGGTCAGTCTGGACGCCACGGAGACGCTGAGCGAGCGGCAGATGAACAGGCTCGCGCGTCTGTTGCTCGACCGCCACGTTGACCCGAAGCCATGGCTGATCGACGTCGAGTTCCTGGAGCAGGACGACATGCTGCACATCCCGCGGGTCGTCCCCGCCGGCCATGTCACCCACGAACTGGCCATCCGGTCGACCGACAAGCACACCAGCGTCAAGCCCATGGCGGACTGTCCGCCGCTGGAACTGACTGGCAAGTCGCTCGGGATGCTCGACTCGTTCGGCTTCGTGGAAGACGCGGTGGCCCTGACCGACCTGGCCGCCGACGAGGTCGAGATCCAAACCCACGCCATCGGCGTCACCTTCCGGGACTACCAGGTGGCCATGGGCCAGATCGCAGACGCCGCGTTGGGCCAGGAATGCGCCGGCATCGTCACTCGCGCCGGTCCCCAGACCTCCTTCTCCCCCGGAGACCGCGTGATGCTCGCCGCCCCGAACGGCTTCAAAACTCTCGCGCGCGGCAAGCTGGCGGTGCAGATCCCCGACAGCATGCCCTTCACCACGGCGGCGTCCATCCCCATCGACTTCGGCACCGCATGGACGGCCCTCCATCGACTGGCGCAGCTGCAGGTCGGCGAGACGATCCTCATCCACGCCGCCGCCAGCAGCCCCGGCCAGGCCGCCATCCAGCTCGCCCAACGCCTCGGGGCCACCATCTTCGCGACGGTCAGCACGGCGCCCAAGAAGCAGCTGCTCATGGACGAATACCACATCCCCGAGTCCCACATCTTCTACAGCCGGGACGCCTCCTTCGTGCACGGCATCCAGCGGGCGACTCACTCCCGAGGCGTCGACGTGATCCTGAACACCCTCCGCGGTCCCGCCCTGCAGTCCTCGTGGTCCTGCATCGCCCCGTACGGCCGCCTCATCGACCTCAGCCAGGGCCCTGCAAACCTAACCCTCCCCGCCAACTCCCACTCCCTCAAACACGCCACCATCACCACCCTCGACATCACCCACTGGCTCCAGCACCGGCCCACCCTCGCCCAGCAAGACCTCCAGACGCTCCTCACCCTCTTCACCACACACAACCTGCGGCCCACCGTCCCCCAAACCACCCACCCGATGACCCCCACCGCCACCGAAGCCCTCTTCCGCGCCATCCACACCCGCGCCCACATCGGCAAATCCATCCTCACTCTCCCCCGCACCCTCACTATCCCCGTCACCCTCACCACCCGACCGACCTACACCTTCCCCAGCAACGCGACGTACCTCATCGCAGGCGGGCTCGGCGGCCTGGGCCGCGTAGCCGCCCGCTGGCTCGTCTCACGAGGCGCACGACACCTCATCCTCCTCTCGCGCTTCGGCCCACGCACCCCCGCCGCACACGCCCTGATCTCCGAACTGACCGGGCAAGGAATCCACCTCGCAACGCCCCCCTGCGACATCACCTCGCTCCCCACCCTCCGGGGCACACTCGCCACCCTCTCGGAAACCTTCCCCCCGATCGCGGGCGCCTTCCAGATGTCCATCATCGCCCGAGACACCCTCTGGCCACAGCTCACGCACGAGAGCTGGACCGCCGCCGTCGCAGTCCGCACCACAGGCTCGTATAACCTGCACCTGACCCTGCCCGACAACCTGACCTTCTTCATCCTCCTCTCCTCCGCCTCCGGCCTCGCCGGGTTCAAAGGCCAGACGAACTACGACGCGGGGAACACGTACGAAGACGCGTTGGCGCGGTATCGCGTCAGTCAGGGACAAGCGGCCGTGGCCGTGGATCTGGGGGCGTTGGTGGACGATGGGATTCTGACGGAGGATCCGAGGCTGTTGAGGAGGGTGTTGGCGTATGGTGCGCTCGAGCCGATTACGAGAAGGCGGTTTTTGGCCGTGTTGGATTGGTTTTGTGACCCTGAGAGGAGTTGGGGGGGGGTTCGGGGGGAGGGGAGGGAGGGGAGGGTGGGGAGAGTGTGGGGATGGGGATGAGGAGGAGGGTAGTGGAGGCGCAATTGGCGGTAGGGTTGGGCACGGGGGAGAACCGAGATGCGAATAGGGGGTTGGAGAGGGTGACGTACTCGTCGCTGTTGCAGCAGGTGGTTCTTGCTGGGGAGCGGAAAGAGCGGGAGCGGGTGAGGAAGATGGGAGGGGCTGGTGGTGGTGCTGGTGGTGCGACAGGACCGATCGACACCCGTGCGCGCAACCGGGGGGGGATCGCATCGGCAGAGTCTCTCGACGAGGCGGCAGGGGTGGTCGGGAACGCAGTCATCGCCATGCTGGCCCGCTCGCTGGTCGCGATGCAGGACGCACACAGCGTGGACTGGGACCGTCAGCTGCAGATGTACGGGGTGGATTCGCTGCTGGCGACGGAGCTGCGCAACTGGATCGTCAAGGAGTTTCTGGCGGAGGTGGCCGTGTTCGAGACGCAGGGGGCATCGACGTTGCGCAGTCTGAGCTTGTTGGTTGCGGGGAGGACGGCGATTGAGCATCGGTATTGATCTGATTATTACTGTGCTGTGGTGGGGGGTGATGTATTTGGAGATTTGATATTATTGCGCTACCTACAGTAATCACAATCCGAATTGTAATACAGCGCAGGCATGTCTGGAATCATCATTCCAGTACGTGCTCATATAAAATGTATATATGAAAGCCAATTAATGAACTCCCCAGAATCACCAAATAGAAGAGAAAGCATATCAAGTGATGAAAGATCCCTGGCTAACTCAACCTCAAAGAAAGACCAGGAGAGAGAAATCTTCATTAAAGAAAGTAGTAATCAAAGAACGAGGCAGCCGATCACGGCCACGAGAATAAAAGGGAGGCCATTCCACCCGCCGGCACTGGCCGCAGCACCGGTGTACAGCGCCGAACTGGCAGAGACGCCGGATGCCGGGCTAGAGGTGGAAGTGCCAACGGCTCCGACTCCGGCGGTAGGGTGAGAAGCAACGGAGGTGGAGGATGCGGCTGCTGAGGCGGAGGGCTTGAAGATGCTGGAGGCGTTGTATCCTGAGCCTGAGCCTGAGCCTGAGTCTGAACCCATGTGGTGGCTTGGGGCTTGAGGGGAGGTGTTGCCAGTGCCGGTGTTGGAGCTGGAGCTCGAACTGGATAATCCTTCTCCGGAATGGCCTTGAGCTGCAGATTGTCCTTGAGAGCTCTGACTGCCAGACTGGCTAGATCCACTGGACCCACTGGACTGGGTGCTGCCAGTGCCGGAGGTGAATCCGGAGGATCCCTCTCCAGACTGGCCTTGAGTGGCACTGACACCGACATCAGATCCAACAGCGTTGGTCTGCGTGCTTCCGGCTCCGGATGAGAACGCAGAGGCGCTTTCTCCGGTCTGGCCGTGGGCGTTGCTGCTACTACCGACGTTAGACACAACGGAAGTGCTGCTCTGAGAGCTCTCAGCTGCAGATGAAGATCCAGATCCTGTCTGGCCCTGGGGGCTGGCGCTGGAGCCAGCTTGGGAACCGCTGGTTTGGGTGCTTCCTGACCCGGAGGAGGAGCCAGAAGAGCCAGAAGAGCCAGACGAGCCAGAAGAGCCAGACGAGCCAGAGGAGCCAGAGGAGCCAGAGGAGCCAGAGGAGCCAGAGGAGCCAGAGGAGCCAGAGGAGCCAGAAGAGCCAGACGAGCCAGAAGAGCCAGAAGAGCCAGACGAAGAGCCGGACGACAATCCAGAAGACGATCCAGCCGAGCTCCCCGATGCCCCCTGACCCTCAGAGCCGGAACCAGAACCAACCTCCTCCCCAGTAGATACACCAGCAGAAGCACCACCGGCTGCCGAAGAGGCAGACTGCCCCTTGGACCCAGCACTGCCACCAACTCCAGCTCCGCCAGACACCGAAGTCTCCACAGCTCCTGCGGCTCCACTACCGGTAACATACAGAGTAGTGGTAACCGGGACAGTAGCGGTAGCGACATGGGTCTTTGTTCCCTTGGTGATGGTCAGAACCTCCGTGCTATACAGGACAGTCGTGATGGTGGAGACCACTTCGCCTCCGGTGGAAGCACCGCCCGCAACACCTCCCGCCGACTTTCCACCTGATACGGCACTGACTGCTGGGATGTCAGTAGCACCAGCAGGGCCGTTCCCTCCGAAGGTAACAGTCACGACGGTGACGGATGCCACGGCGGTTTCGGTAGTGAGGTGGGTAGTCTTTTGGGACGCAGCGCAGTTCTTGATGGACTCGGGACAAGCCGTCACGGGGAGGACTTGGGTCGTGTAGACGGTGGAGGTCGAAAGGCTTTCACTGGGTTGTCCGGTGGGTTTGGTGGTGCCGGCAGTGGCAGTGGCAGTGGCAGTGGCCTCTTCTGCGGTGATGGGACAGATCGTTGTGTACGCGGCGACAGTCTCGGTGGTGTAGTAGGTTGTCTTCTGAAGGGCGCCACAATACGGATTGGACTTCGGGCAGGCAGTGACGGGGTGAACCGTGGTGGTGTAGACAGTAGATGTTGTCAGTCGCTCACTGGGTGTGGCCGTGGGTTTGTCGTGTCCGGTAGCGGTGGCAGCGACTCCGGTCTCCTCAGCGGTGATCGGACAGATGGTCGTGTATGCGGCGACTGTCTCGGTGGTCAGGTAGGTGGTCTTCTCCGAAGCCGGGCAGTCAGTCACCCATGAGGGACAGGCAGTGACGGTGTGGACCTGGGTGGTGAAGACAGTCGATGTGGTGAGGCTGTCGTAGGTCTGGCTGGGAAGGGCAGAGGCAGGGGCAGTGCTGGTAGAAGTGACACTAGAACCGGTTTCTCCCGCGAGGACAGGGCAGATGGTCGTGTAGGCTGCCACGGTTTCGGTGGTGTAGTAGGTCGTTTTCTCCGAGGCCGGGCAGTCGGTGACTGATGAAGGGCAGGCCGTCACGGTGTGCACTTGGGTGGTGAAGACGGTGGATGTGGTCAGCTGGGGGGTGGGGGTGTCTGCGCTGCTTTGGGTGGCTGGGAGGGCAGTTCCAGTGGCGATGGCTGTAGTTTGAGCAGCAGACGCAGTTCTCGTAGCAACTGACGAGGTTTGAGCGATCGATAAAGCAGGGCCACTAGCAACAGATGAAGCCTGAGCGACAGACAGAGCAGTCCCCGTGGCAGAGTTCAGGCAAGTTGTCGACCGAATGACAACAGTCTCAGTAGTGAACAGAGTCGTGGTGCGTCTGGGGGCGCCCGACGAAGCAATGACGCTGCCCGAGGCCACTCTCGAGGCGGAGACCGGGCTGCTCTGAGGGAGTCTGGTGAAAGAAACCTGACTGGAACTCGGGGCAGGGTGGACAGCAGAGCTCCTAATCGGCGGCACAGACGAAGGCTGAAGCACAGAGACAGGCGAAGACGCAGCGACCTGGGACGAAACGGCCACCGATGAAGCTGACGAAGAAGCAACTGCCAGCGCAGTCGGGCAAGGATTGGCATCCAGTCGCGTGGCGATGTAGTTGATCTCATTGTTATCCGGGTCGGTGTAGTCATAGGGCACATAGCTGTAATCCATGAAGCCGGACGCCGAGTAGCAATCGCCGAGGTACCAGTAGGTCGCAACACAGTTGGCGTACGTGGCGCAGAACTCGATACACTCCCAAACATCGTCTTTCTTGGCAGTGGGCAAGAGTCCCGAGTATGACTGGACATTGTCGCCGCAGATCACCTCGTAGTAGTCTCCGTCGTAGAGGTAGTATCCGTCCACACAGTCGCTTGTGGCGGGAATGGCGGAGACGGTGCATGTCGACGCGGTGGAGGTTACGGCGGATGCAGTCGGGGTTGAGGGGATGGTGGCAGCCCTACTCGCCCCCGACAGAGCCAGGAGCATGAGCCCCGAGCCCCAGGTCCAGGATTGTCTCATGATGAGAGGTCGAACGAATGAAACCTCTGACCAAGGCAGAAAAGAATGACTGGGAAGGACCGGACCGTTCAAGGAGTGGCGACGGTTGCCAGAATGCGTCCATGGCAATGGGGGGAGCCAGCCAGGTTTTAACCTCGTCGATCCGGCCAGCCTTGGGGTTCGCCGAACCTATCGACTATTCTAGCTGGATGCCATTCGTGTTGATGGGGGGACTAGCTGGATGTCTGCTAGCTTGGGATCGAATGAGGGCAAATTTAGGCGATGAGCAGGAGTGCGGCTGATCAGGTCCACTTCGCGCAAGGGTTCAGGGCCATGATGGCATTCCGGGGTCAAAATAGCCGACCGCACGTGGACTGCCTGTCAGTCAGTATCCACCGCATTCCGCCAATTCACCTCGATTCGATGGACTGGGTCTGGGTTGTATTCCATGAAAGAATGAGTTGATGGTCCGATTTACTCGGCCAGGTACGGGTGAATGCGACAGAATTGGGGGAAGCCGGTTGACTGCCTCCTCGACATACTATATGTCTCAACAAGGAATTCAATTTTGAACTTTCCTTTCTTCCTCCGCATTCTCCCGGGAATAAATATCCTTTTCCAGGATTACGACCACTGGAAGCTTACAGCACCCAGCAAATAAACACAAAAATAAAAAAGAAATGATGATGTGAGATCTCCGATACGGGGAATCGAACCCCGAGCTGTCGCGTTCGGAATGAAAGGCGACGATGTTAGCCGTTACACCATATCGGATTGATGTAAGAAAGACGTCAGGTTACGCTATGTATCATACTCGTTGGTTGACGGGCTCGTTGTATCGATCGACTCATCCCAGCCAGCATTGCCTCCGTACCAGGGTGGTTACAACAAAAGTCTCAAAATAGATGTAAGTATTTGCGGGATTCACAGATTCCGGGCCAAGAAACGCAGGCATACTTTTTTTTTTCATCGTCTTCGTCGTATCGAAACATCCATCGCATCGGTGTACGACGAACCGGTTATATCTATATATAGTGACACTAAGTAGTGTGCCGCAGTAGTTCTCTGCTAGTAGCGGAGATTAAGGAAGAGGTTTATTGGCACCACTTCAATCGCCGTTTGTTCCCTGTCTCGGGCGTGCCGGATGGGGTACTCAGTGCAGTCTGACTGGCCGATAGCACAAGTCGATCCTTTAGGTCCGATATCTCCATTGTATCTCCGTGATCAATCACCATGTCAAAACCCTCCAGTATCCTTGACATCGCCAGGTCATCGTATTTTCGCTTTCATATCACCCGGATTATAGTATAGGCGAGGGAGCGTTATTATCATCCCTTCCTCCCAGAGCCACCGCACATCCCTAAGAAACACTCCATACCATCATGGGCGGTCTCCTCGGCTGGGCATATCGCCAGCGATGCTGTCCCCCACAGCCACTACCCGCAGACATCAGACTCGACGGCAAGACGGCCATCGTGACAGGCGGGAACGTTGGACTCGGGCTCGAAGCCGCCAAACAATTGGCCGCGCACGGCCTGTCGCGGGTGATTTTGGGGGTGCGCACCCCAGCCAAGGGGGAGGCGGCAAAGGAAGAAATCATCCGGGACAGTCCTGGCTGTGACGTTCAAGTCTGGGCGCTGGATTACGAGTCGTTCGAAAGTATGAGAGCATTTTCCGAGAGGGCGGCGACGCTCGATCGGTTGGATATGGTCATTCTCTCCGCTGGTCTGAAATTCATCGAGTTTATACAGTCCAGAACCGGACATGAGATGCATGTTCAGGTTCGTCCAACTCCCAACCCTTCTCAGGTCAACCACCTCGGCACATCGCTCCTCTCGCTCCTCCTCCTCCACCCCCTGCAACACACCGCCAGAGCCACAGGAACGCCCTCCCGTCTGACGATCGTCACCTCCGAAGTGCACTTCTGGACGCCATTCAAGGAAAAAGACGCCTCGAACACACTATCCCGCATGAACGAGCCCGACTCATTCAACCCCGGCATCACGCGGTACAACACAAGCAAGTTGCTGAATATGCTCTGGCTGCGGGAGTTGAGTGGCAAAGCCGGTCCGGATGTCGTCGTCAACGGCGTGAATCCGGGTCTGTGCTTGAGCGCGTTTCATCGGTCGGATACGGGGTTTGGACAGCGGATGGTTAATAAGGTGCTTGCGTGGACGTCGGAGCAGGGTGGGCATTGTCTTGTTGATGCGGCGGTGAGGCATCCTGAGGATCGGGGGGCGTATTTGAGTGAGCAGGTTGTTACAGAGTCAGTATTTTTTTTCCCACTTTGGTGGTGGGTTTAGGCTGACTTTTACGAAAGGCCCTCGCCGTTTGTTCTCTCTCCGGATGGGGCAAAAGCGCAGAAGAAGATCTGGGATGAGACTGTTGCTGTCTTGCAGGAGAGTCTTGCTGGGGTGGAGTTGTTGCGGAACCTGGTAGCGGAGTAGAATGTTTGTGAAGGATCATTGACTTTGATTATCTGCGTTATATTCCATATTCCCCTCTGGCAGATAAAAATGGCATAAATGTTGAATCTCAATACTGCGGCCCCGTAGCGACCAGAAAGTCGAAATCCGCCCCCTCATGCGCCTGATTGACCGTCCGTTCATACAGACCTCTATACCCCCGGCGAGTCTGCCTCTGCAACCAAAGCGATGGCTCCTCTCCCTCCCTCGTACTCAAAAGCTGCTCCTTCCTCTTCAAAATCCTCGCCCGCAACGCCTCATCACTAACCAACAGCTCCAGTCTTCTCCCATCCACATCAAACTCAATCAAATCCCCCGTCCGCACAACCCCCAACGGCGAGTCCGGAACCACCGACTCAGGAGACACATGCAACACTATAGTCCCACCCGCAGTCCCAGACATCCGACCGTCCGACACGCGAAGCATATCCGTCACCCCTTGCGCAGCCAGTTTGCGCGGGATAGGAATCATGCCCGCCTCGGGCATACCGGGGTTTCCGATCGGGCCGATTCCCTTGAGAACTAGGACCGAGTCAGCAGTGACATCGAGGTCAGGATCATCGATGCGGAGGGCCAGGTCCTGCGAGTTCTCGAACACCACTGCTTTGCCTTTGTGGTGGAGGAGACGCTTCTCCTTCGAGGCGGAGGCCTTGATCACCGCACCGTTGGGGGCGATGTTTTCGTGGACGACTACCAATGAGGAACAGGGGTGTACGGGGTTTGACATATCCCGGATGATGGTGCGGGAGTAGTCGAAGTCGCGGAAGGGGGTGCGGTCGAGCACCTCGCCGAGGGTTTCGCCGGTGATGGTCTGCGCGTCGAGGTAGAGCAGCGGCCGTAGGCGGTTGAGGAGGCATACCATGCCGCCTGCGTTGTGGAAGTCGGTCATGTAGTTGTCGCCGCTGGGTTTCAGGTCGACCAGGAGAGGTGTGCTTTGACCGATTATGTCCAATTTTTCCAACTTGAAGTTGCCGCGGAGTAGGGGGTGGCGGTTTACCATGGCCATGAGGTGGACCATGGCGTTGGTGGACCCACCAATAGCCTGGAGAACGACGGCAGCGTTGTAGAGGGATTTGGCAGAGAGAAGGCTCTGAGGTGTTCTTTGCTCTTTGGCGGCCGCGACGGCATTCGCGCCGGTCTGTTCGGCGATGCGTAGTCGAGCAGCTGAGACTGCTGGGGCAGAGGCGCCTTGGAGCGGGATGAGGCCCAGTGCAGCCGTGATGCAGGCCATAGTGCTGGCCGTTCCCATAACACCACAGGTTCCGATCTGGATTTAGGTCGTTGTTAGTATGGGCCGGGTTGCAGGGGGGGGGAGGGAGAATCCAACGTACGGTTGGAGCCAGCTCCTCATTGATCTCCATGATCTCTTCTATATCTATCTTCCCCGCGCGGTACGAGGCCCAGTTGTTCCGACAGTCGGTACATGCCCCTATGCGCCTGCCTCGGTGGCTGCCTGGCATCATGGGCCCGGTCAGGAGGGGAAGAACGGGCTTGTTGGCCGAGATACCGCCCATGATTTGAGCAGGGACGGTCTTGTCGCAGCCTATATCATGATGATTAGTTTGAATCTCACTTCAACCTCACTCCATCCCTTCCCCCACCCTCATCTCCATCACAAGCAAGGAAGATATCTACCAGGACATCCATACCTCCAACCATAATACACGCATCAACCGGCTGCGCCCTGATCATCTCCTCGGTATCCATACTCATCAAATTGCGCAGAAACATGCTCGTAGGGTGCGAGAAGCCCTCATGCAGACTGATCGTGGGGAAGTCGATCGCGATTCCCCCATTCAGATGAATGCCCCGTTTGGTAGCCTCGATCAGTTGCGGCGCATTACCGTGACACGGGTTAAAGCCCGAGCCGGTGTTGATAATACCGATGATGGGCCGCGAGAGGGCATCTTCGGAGTATCCCAGCGCCTTGATGAAGACTTTCCGGAGGAAGAGGGAGAAGTGCGCGTCTCCGTAGGACGTAAGGCCCTGGCGGAGGCCGGAGGTGGTGTGGAGGGGTTGCGAGATGTCGTAGTCTTGTTCGACTGCGTTGGGTTGGGTTGGGGGAGGGGTCATTTTGTGAGGCGGACTTGACTGCCACTCGTAAGCTGGGTCAAATGAGGGAGGGATATGTGAAAGGGAGGCCATAAATGGGATTAGTCTACCCCGATAACACGGTGCGTCGATCATATTATGAGAGTGAATGCCAAACGGGGGGGGGGGGGGGGCGGAAGCGCTCCGTCGACGGAGGACATCCGTCACCCAGCCCTTGCTGGGGAAATAACAGACAGGTGTGAATACCAAGTCCAATTTCCCATTCCGCTACGATTTCTTTCATTTTTTTTCCAAGTGTCCTTTCCCTCCCACTTACTCTTCATCACACCCCACCAATGTTGCGACTAGACAAAAAAGTGGCCCTGATCACCGGGCTCGGCCAAACCAGCGATGACGGCTGGGGCATCGGAGCCGCGATCGCGATGAAGCTCTCCCAACAAGGAGCCATTATCTTCGGGGGCAATCGCACACTGACAGCTGCCGAGCGAACCAAAGCCCGAATCGAAGCCGAAGGTGGAATCTGCCATGTGCAGCAGACAGAAGTCACCGATTCCGCCTCCGTCAAGGCGCTGGTGGATGGCTGCGTGGAACGCCACGGCCGTATTGACATCCTCGTGAACAATGTGGGAAAGTCAGAGCCCGGATGCCCTGCCACGATGGAAGAGGAGATCTGGGATCAACAGATGGACATCAATCTGAAGAGCGTCTATTTGACGAGCCACTATGTCCTCCCTATCATGGAAAAGCAAGAGAGCGGTGGTGTCGTGGCCAACGTCTCGAGTATTGCGGGTCTGCGCTATATCGGGAAACCTCAGGTCGCTTATTCCGCCGCTAAAGCTGCCATCATGCAGTTTACCAAGGCCACGGCGGTGATATATGCCGATAGACGGGTCAGGTTGAATACCGTTGTTCCGGGGCTGATCTACACCCCGTACACCCGTGAGCTAGTGAAGCGGTACGCACCGGGAGGGGATCAAGATACGTACATGAAGATGCGCGATGAGCAGGTTCCAATGGAAAAGATGGGGGACGCGTGGGATGTTGCGAATGCGACGTTGTTTCTTGTGGCGGATGAGTCTCGCTACATCACGGGCCAGGAGCTGGTGGTGGATGGTGGGATTACGTCTTCGACGGAGAGGGTGTAGTGTCTCCCATATTTGTTCAGCGAGCAGAGCAGTCTCTGAAGGTTGATATATCCTTTCAAGCCTTGAATAGTTCATTCTGGTTCACACCCAACATTTATCGAACACCTACATCGTCTTGGTGGCCTCGTGGTAGATTATCTTCCTCGGCTGCTTGAACCCAGGCTCCCACCTGCATCTAACCAGCTCCCTTTTTTGTCTTTTAGAATATTTCTATACTCATGGAAGACAGTTGTGTGCCAGAAATACTGGTAGATAGTAGAAAGCACACGCCGAAACTCCTCCCGATATTCGAAGCTTCGAGTGCAGAAGTATAGTCACCCCGGGCACGCGAGCCCACATGAGGTGTTTGAGGCACCCACCCGGCACGAGGTCTTCCTCGTCTTGCTGGCCCTCGTTATAGGCAAGGAGCTCCGGCACGACCCTGCAGTTCTACTCTTTAAAGCTCCTCAAGGCCAGGGATTCCTCGTGAGTGCGCTGCGGGCGGGCCTGCAGAGCCCGGACCCTTGCGGGGCGAAAGGCCGTTCCCATGATAGGGATCTGCCGGTACATCCTCATCAACCCCCGAGTGTTCGTGGTGGCGTTCTGGCACGCGAACTTGATACCGGCGTATGGGGTGCCAAAATCATGGTATACATCCCCCTGGTTCATTGTCTAGTAGTGCTCAGATACTACCGCGTCCAAGACCTATCTCTGGGGAAGCGAGGTGTTGTAGAAAACGACATCCGTGCTCATAATATAATCGAAGTCACCGGGTCCGGACATTGTTGTTAGAAGAGATGTCGATGTCGTCGCAGGAGTATGAGGACAAGGGTAGATGGAGACGTAGTAGAGTGAGTGTTCAGAGGAAGAGAGGAGGAAAAGAAGAGAAAGTGGGGGGATCGAATGTCTTCAGTCGCCAACATTCCGCGACATATATCAGTGAATGTCTTCTGCGGAAAACAGAGCCTAACTCTCTGCGTATCACAGAAAAACGGGCAGGCTATGTCTGGCATAGTGCCTGAGGTCAAGTAACCAACTTCATCCATTGTCTCTGGGAAGACATTAATACTTTCTCAAGGAAGTGAGGACCCTCTCTTTCATGCGAGTTCTGAGGGTTTCAAGGGTTTCGGGCGTACGGTATCGACTTCCTGCTGCAATGGCGAAGCGCCTACATAAGTAGCTGGAACAAATAGCGGACTCGATAAGGCTAATAAAACTTGAATTGAATTGAGATGAACCATGGATCTCGATGTATAGAAATATGTTGAAATCTGTATAACCGAATTCTATAAGCAACAAGCGAACCGCCAAGCAAACACGCCATCCCGGGGATAATCCGTTTATTCATCAAGCGACTCCAGAGCTGGGAACCACTCCTCCTCCTCTTCCTCCTCCTCAGACATGAGTTTCAACTCTGTTCTCAACCTCTCTCTCTCCTTCGGGCTGCTGAGAATGGCCATGGAACATATGCAAGCTGCAGCAAAGCCCAGGGGCGGAAAATCAGATCCAACAACTAGTGCCATTAGGCCAGCCCCAATGCGGATGTTGCGACGCCAATCGGTGTCCTTCAAGTAGGTCTGATAGTATTGTGCCATCAATGGAAAGGTGTCGCACAGTGACTCCGTCATGAGGGATACCTCTTCTCTGCCTATTTCTCACAAGTGCACGACGCATTAACTGCTGTATCGATTCTTTTGGCTATAGTGTAGAAGACATACCCTCGTCTCCGAGCAGCTCCTGTGGTTCAATATTATCCTTCAACCTTCCTGGAGGTAGCTGGACTTCGCTGTGAACAGCCCCATCGTTTTCAGATCCATCGCTTTGCTGCTCTTTGGACTCGAGGCCGTTGTTCGCAGCTTCCTCGCCCGAAAGACTGCCAGTACAGGAATCTTCGTCCCAACTATCCCAGCCGCAGCTCTCTCCGCTGAAGCTTTCTCTGCTGCAACTGTATCCGCTCAGGGATCCCTCACTCGGAGCTCTTGCACGAGGGAGACTTTTCATTTCGTCAGTCCTAGAATAATACTCTCTAGAAGACTCTTTGTCGGAGGGATCTTCGAACCAGACATCCTCATTACACAAGCTCCTGTCCGAGAAGTCCACGCTAGAACACTCGGTCGAAAAGTCGGAAAAATTATCCTCGCTGGAAGCGTAGGTATCTTTGTAGGTAACCATATTGTCCAAAAGAAGGTGCAGGATCAAAACACGGAAGAAAGCAAGCAGATTCGAAGGTGTATGTATTAGTGAAGAATTTTCAAATACCTGGCTCGAATGTCATATTACGTAGAACTCTGTTGGATGATGGTGGCATGTGGTCACCCCGGAGCTGTATGCCGGACGAAGAAGATGATATTCCAATTGCGTCAACTCTTCGTGATTTGCTAATATTGCTACGTTGACCGACTAGCAATCCACAGGAAGGCAATTGTGAAGACCTCCTGCGCGCTGTCCCAGTCCCAGTCACCGAAACAGACAGACTCACTTCATTCTGCTAGAATCTGTTGTTTAGTATCTTCCTCTTTCGTCAACCACCCTCGGCAATGTCGGTCAACCTTCAACGTTGTTCCCGCACCGCTCAGAATGATGCTAAAGAACGCTCATATCCGGACCACCCCATGTCAGGTTGGTCGTGCCGGCACCCTTCGGACTCTTCACCTCCATCATCAGCTCGCCATTACCTCCATGGACGAACACCATCCCCAGCGATGAATGAGCCACCAATATATCCCCTCCGAGTCCTGCGCCATCCCATCGTCCCCCCCAATCCCATACTAGCCGAGAATCGCCCGACCCTCAGCACTGACCCATCAGGCATAAATGGCACATTGCAGGTCGCGTGGTGCCTGGTTATTGCCACAACGTCACGAAGAGGCAGTTCAGGTCGGACACTAATACGGGGCCTTCGAGGAAGGAGTCGAGCGGGTTTCCGCGCTTTTGGTTGATGGAGTGCTCGGACAGGCCTGGCCTGGTCGGCGGAATTGAGGAGAGACTAGTCCAACTCATGGCTTCCATGGGGGAGAGTCCGGTGGAATCGCTAGACATTGTTGGGGTTTGAGGTGTGTTTGTACTTTGTCCGCCTCGGTGCTGGGGGATGCTTGTGGACTGAGGGATGGATTTGCCCGTCTGACCCCGCGGGTGTAGAGCGGCAGATGTGGATAGCTTGGCTGCGTGGTGGCGTCTCTTTGCTGACACGTTCCGAGGGAATGGGCCCTAGTATCATGCAGCGATGTGTTCAGGCTCTCTTCAGCAAAGGGACGTGCGGGCGGATGCTTCCCGAGAGCGGCGGGAGACATCCGCTTCCTCAAACCACGATCTAGTTCTACTGAGGACTATGTATACACCCCGGATCCAAGCTGCAGTCATAATGTGCGACAATTATTCCCATGGAAATCCTTTCACCCGTTTCAATTTCTTATTCCGACATCCGAACCCTGTTCCTGAACGCACGTCCAAAATGACATTGGTCCACATTGGTCAGTTGCCTTCGTGACCCGTCGCTCGATTTAATCTCACCCTTCGGCAGTTCTCTTCAAGTTCCGCCCCGAGGTCACGGAGGAACACAAGCAAAAGTTCATCACGGAGTTGAAGAAACTGAAGAGCCTACCTTGTGTGAAGGGGGGCCGGCTGCTGGTCGGAGGGCCCAGTGTGACCGACCCCATCGAGCGCAGCAAGGGCTTCCAGATCTCGTTGGTTAGCTTCCATGAGAACCTGGCGGCATTGACAGAATACCAGGCAAGTCCGGAACATCACCAGTGAGTACTATTGACTGAACACTCTCCGTGATTACTACGAGCTAATTTATTTTAGTGTCACATCAACGTACATGTTCCCCTACAAGGAAGACCTGATACGGTTCGATTTCGAGGTGGATGCGGAGGATGATGAATATATGTGTGGTTTCCCGTTGGTGCTGTAGAGATGTGATGCGTCATTTTCCCGGTAGCTTGTATATAGGATGTGTGTTTCAGAATTGGAGTGGAGAATTTCAAGACAGCCTTGTCGCACTCCCTGCATAGATAATGAATAACATCGATCGCATCCGAAAGGCAACAGAATGTAAAGGGCGATGAGATGCCTCGTTTCTCAGGCCTGATCACATGACCTCGTCACGGGGATGGGCCGCGACCCAGCAATCCCCCCCCACTCCTCCTCCTCCTCCTCCTTCTCCTTCTCCCTCCATCTTCACTTCGTCGCATCCAGAAGGTCAAACAACTGGAAATGATACGTGTTCACGCTTGCTGGACTCGGCTGCTTGATGATATCGATCTCTAGGTGATAAGCAAGGCACGTGGCAACGGCCGCATGAATCCCCCCCAACCAACCCCACCATCAGCATCCCCAAGAATTGAAATGGAGTCGCCGCGGAAGATCCGGAATCGCGCCGCGTGTCGACGCTGTCAGCGACGGAAGATTCGCGTAAGTGGCTTGGCACACTGCGCTGTGTGGGTACAAGCTGACGATCGCAGTGCGATGGAAACGAGCCCTCGTGTGGATCTTGTCAGAAGGCAGGGGTCGCCTGTGTCAATGATGGCAAGCAGGAGGTCACTCGCAGATACATTTCGAACATGGAGAACCGCATCCGGTGGCTGGAGGCCATTGTGAAAGAGAATTGCTCTCACATTGACCTCCGTTGCAAGACACAGGCGGATGCTTCTGATGACACGCGGCCCGGCCCAACCGACGATTCTTTCCACTACCCCGTCCAAACCATCAGCAATGGTTCGCAGCAAGAAGAGGAGCCCAGACTTGAAGAACAGCTACCCTCTATGAGTGAGCAGCACACATCAAATCCTCCATCTGGTCAACAGCAGGCCCACGAGGTCGGACTGGTGTCCTTGTCTTCCGGGGGAGGCGCTCGGTACATTGGGCCATCCAGCGGCTACTTCTTCGCAAATCGCATTTTCTCTAGCGCTGGTCGCTGTCGGAGAGAGAGAGGAACGACCAGATCCAACGCCCAATCGGCCTATCTTTCAGCTGAGCTCCTGAATAACCTGACACTTCTACCCACTCGGAAGGAAAGCGCCATGGAACTGTCAGCCAAGTACTTCCAGACCGTTCACCTCACCTACCCCTTTCTGCATGAGCCATCTCACAGAGCAATCATCGACCGGGTTTACGCTTCCCAGGAGGAGAACCCTCTAGACCGTTTCCAAGTCTATCTGGTATTAGCAATCGCGGCCCTGAACCTGTCACGCCAATGCAAGGTTCATCTTCCCGTGGAAGGCTACTACGCATCAGCCATGAGGTATGCTGAGAATGTCTGTACAGACGGCTCGATGGCTGCGCTGCAATGTCTCTTGCTTCTGATGGTGTATGCTTTGCACAACCCTTCTTGTAACGTTAACATCTGGAACCTTAACTATCAGTGCCTGGCTAGTGTGATAGATTTAGGACTCCAGCGTGATGTGCGAGCCTCCTCGTCATTACAAATTTCAGTGCTTGAACAGGAGATGCGGACCCGTGTGTTTTGGGTGGCCTACACGTTTGATCGAGCCATATGCACGATGATGGGCCGTCCGATCGGAGTCCGGGACGAGGCGTGTGAGATGAGAGTAAGCCTCCAACCCCAGAGCCTACCCCTACCAGTCGTGTCTATCATCGCCCTGGCGTCCGGATAACTGCTGTCGCATAAAGATTCTCCTGGATTGTCCGGCGACGGACCCCTGGGTTAGGGTCCCTCTTTTGCGTGAGGCTAACGAAATGAAGTTTCCCCTAGATATTTCAGACCACAACCTCGTTCACCCCGATGCCGCCCAGCACTTGGCCGAATCCCCGTCACCCATGTCTCACTCAATCCACCTATTCAAGCTGGCGAAGATGAACTCGGAGATCAAATACATCATGCATAGCATCCAACGCGGCGTGCCTGCCTACGCCTACCCCCCGATCAAGGACATATTTTCGTGGCAGCGGGACATGGTGGACTCTCTCCAAACCTGGCTCTTCGAAATACCCCAAACAAGGAATTGCGATGATGCAATGGCCCAGCTTTGCAAAGCCAAGTACCACGAAACAATGATCTTATTACTACGACCCAGTCCGGCGATTCCCGATCCAACGGAGGAGATCCTGGATCTGTGCTTCCACCAGGCCGTTGATCTCCTCCAAGAGTTCGGTGGTATGTACAGGTCCGGCAGTCTGCTGTACAGCCGGCTCCTTGTCCACTCTGTCTTCCTGGGCGCACTCGTCCTCCTCTACTGTATCTGGAAACTGCCCCGGACGACAGCCACAGTCCGAGTGGACGAGCTGATTTCGAACCTGGGCGTGGCCCAAAACATCCTCAGCAGCATTGGCGAGTACTGGGCCGAGGCCACCCGCGCGCGGGACTGTATCGACGAGTTGTCCAACGTGACCATGCAACGGCTTCTTAGAAACCAAAGCTCGGCGACCACGGTACATACAGCTGATGCCAACCGGAGAAGTTCCCGATCCGGTCCCATCCAGAACGCCGAACTTGTGCACATCCGACATCTGCAAGAGCTGTATCCCAGCCCAAATCAGGATTCCTCGGAGAGACTTGTGAATACAAATTCGGACTGCTTGCCTTTAGTTCCTATGCAGGGAGATATGGCTGGTACGGTCGAGGATCAGATGAACCTGTTCGACGACCTTTTACAGGGCGATTTTCAGGGGTGGAGTGGAATGTCCGATATCGATGGGCTTATGTGGGAGCTGTTCAATACTTTGCCGCAATAAATTACCATACTCGGATGCGAGGCAATACCACCGGTCTCCAAGTTAATCCGCTCATCAGCCGGCTTCTTTTTCACGATTTGGAAGTGACAATCAGCCAGAACGGCTTGAGCAGGAGCAATGTGGGGCCTGGTAACAGTCTCTGATCTCAAGGCCATGTGAATCGTGCCATAACTGCGATATCGGTGGTAATGGATGAAGATGGGCACCACTCCCTGGAAAGAGCGCTTTCTGGTCTGGATGTCACCGAATCTATAGCCCTCCAATCGGGGCGCATCCGCCCCTTGCGCGGATGGCCTCCGTGTGGGGAATGCGAGATCCCAATCTGGTTAGACGCGGGCGGGCCCCGTGTCGGACAGGATGGCCGGCCCTCCCCGGCCCTCCCCGGCCCTCCCGATCCCACGTCATAAAACGGCCTCGTCTCATTCCGATGAACAACACGAGGCGTTGACATACCTTGAAACATTCCCTCACAATTCAAATCCCTCCCCCACAAAAATGTCCGAACCCTCCCAACAAATCCACCACATTAACCCCTCCGACCTCGAGACCTTCGTCCACAACATCCTAGTAGGCAACGGTGTCTCGAAAGAACATGCCACCACCATCTCGAACTGCCTCGTGCAAGCCGATCTCCGGGGCGTCGACACCCACGGCTCCAACCGCATCCCATCATACATGAAACGGGTACGCCAGAAGGTTCTCGACCCGTCCGCCACCCCCGAACTCACCCAAATAACCCCCGTAGTTGCGTCCGTCGACGGCAAGAACGCATTCGGGTTCGTCTCGGCGCACCTGGGGATGGAACGAGCCATCGGAATGGCCCAGGACTTCGGCATCGGGATGGTCTCGATCAAACACTCCAACCACTTCGGGATGTCCGCGTGGCTGGTCCAACAAGCCATCGACGCAGGGATGATGTCCCTCGTCTTCACCAACTCCTCCCCCGCGCTGCCCGTCTGGGGCGGCCGCTCCAAACTCATGGGCGTATCGCCCATCGCATGCGGCGCGCCCGCTGGGACCGAGCGCCCCTTCATCCTCGACATGGCGCCCTCCATCGCCGCGCGGGGCAAGATCTACAAAGCGCTCCGTCGCGGCGAGAAGATCCCCACGGACTGGGCCCTCGACGGCGAAGGCAACCTGACCGACGACCCCGCCCGGGCCCTCGAGGGCGTGATGCTCCCCATGGGCGGACCCAAGGGCTCGGCCCTCTCCATCATGATGGACGTCTTCTCCGGCGTATTGTCGGGTTCTGCCTTCGCGGGCCACGTGACGAATCCGTATGATCCGTCCAAACCGGCTGACGTAGGCCATTTCTTGATTGCCATCAAGCCGGATCTGTTCATGAGTTTGGAGGATTTCAAATCGCGTATGGATTATCTGTATCAGCGGGTTGTCGGGAGTGAGAAGATGGGGGGTGTCGAGAGGATTTATTATCCGGGGGAGATTGAGCAGATTACGAGGGATAAGCGGTTGGTGGAGGGGATTCCGTTTACGAGGGCGGAGATTGAAGCTTTGAATGAGGAGGCAGAGGTTGTGGGGGTGGAGAGGTTGAGGGTCGAGTAGATCTTTTGTATGGGTTTGTGCTCTGGGTGGGTGTGACGCATTGCAGATGTCTGGGTCCGGGATGCAACGAACTTTTGAGATTACATCCATCATGATGGAGGTGTACTGGATGAGTTGTTAAGTTACCGTTTTTCAAATTGGAAGATTCGGGGGTGGTGTAGCGAGATTATATATTTTGAACGCTCAGTTGCGTTCCCAATACTCGATTTCCAAGTGTCATGTTGGCCATCCATATCACCATGAGGACAGCTACAGAGTCTATATACCCAATATGGCTCCCAAAGAGGTCACTGAAAGCAACCGAGACAAGATTTGTCCAATCGCGTCGCAATCCAGGCGCGCAGTCCAACACATTTCCCAATCGGGCAACGGCGACCACGCCCCATCCGGCCTAGCGCATGACTCCCGGACAGGCAGGCGGTGAGACGTGGCAGCGGAAAAGGGGTGTGCTCGAGGGTTGCTCAACACCGCCCCTTCCTATCCCAGCGCGCAATTCTCTCCCTTTCCATTCCACGCCATCCTCACCTCCAACCATCCACCACCACACCACCACACCACCACACCAAAAACACCCTCGACCACCACCAACAACACCACCCCATACAATCCACCCCAACTCACCCACACCAACCACACCACCCATACAATCCACCCACACCACCCTCACCCCCCATGCCCCCAACCCCACAATCCCACCCAGGCTTCGGCCGATTCAGCATCGCCTCATCCCGCCCACAAACCGATACCGCCACACCCCCGGCCATCAACCCTCTGCTCCCCCCGCCGCCCGAACAATGGTACGCGACGCAAAGCGAAGCGCTCGAGAAAGTGCGCCAGTTCAGCGAATCGTACGGGTACACGGTGGTGCGGACGCGGTCGAACAAGGGGAAGGACGGCCAGCCGAAATCGGTGTATCTGATCTGCGATCGCGGGCTGCAGTACGAGTCGCGGGGACGGAATATTCGCACGCGACGCGTGCCGAGCAGACGCATCGATTGTCCGTTTAGCATGGTGGTTAGCTTTCATAAGCGCGAGGGGCTGTGGTTGGTGAAGGTGCGGAATCCGGTGCATAATCATCCGCCTGAGAAGGGGGTGGAGGGGGAGGGGATCATGGAGGGGGAAGGGGAGGGGGATACGATGACGACGGCGATGGAGGACGATGGGGATGGGGGCGGGGATGGGGGGGAGGTGCAGATGGGGAAGGATACACAGGGTCCGGGTCCGGGTCAGGATGGGGTGCCGGTGCGGCATATCGTGCCCAGGGCTGCGGGCCCGGTGCAGACGCCGGTGCAGAATCCGCGCGTCTCGATGCTGGGCATGCAGTCGGCGGGGAGCACGTTGTCGACGCCGCAGATCCCCGATAGCGCGCCGCGGCCCGAGAGGATTCGCATTGCCGGGCTGAGGGATGTCGCCGTCAAGGCGTACTGCGAGTGGCAGGAGTCGTATGTCCAGGATGAGGGCTTCAAGGCCGAGTTCCGCAAGGCGCGGGACGTGGCGTTGGAGAACGCGCTGGATCTCGAGCAGATCCATATGGATCAGGACCCGGGGTTCTTTATGGAGAATGGGGTCAAGAAGGGCATTGCGCGGCGGTTTGTGGATGATATTAAGGAGTGGGCGAGCATGATCAAGGAATAAGGCAATGGGGATCGAGGTTGATCGAGGCTTGGCGATAACTGTTACTGGCACTGATCGGGTGTCGGCCATTCTGCAGGTAAAACGGACAGTCGTTTGGCGTTGTGTGAATTTAGGATGATGGTGTACTTGAAAAGGGGACTGGTGGACTGGCGTTCTCGGGGGTGTTTTTATTTATAGTCCGGGCAGGGGTCGGAAGATCTAAAAGGAACTAATATCATTTCGGGTTATTGCATCGTTCATATCTTGAAAATAACGCGTTCGATGATATATGGGAGCAAGACAGGAACATTTGTACTGAAAGCAGTGAACCGCCAATGAACAATGGCCCTAACATCCTCGATAACGGACATCCGCATTGACCAACGACAAACCCTCAACAACTCTCCTCAAGCCTTCACAATCGAGTCGGTCCGCGCAACTGCCCCTTCGAATCACGTCATCCCATCGCATTTCCCCTCATCTTATCAGACCTATCACCGCGTCCATAAACGCGGAATTAAATCCATCCGACGACGAGGAACAGATGAGGGCCGATACATAAGAACTACATCCACCCCCCATGCCTCGCGGACCGCAACCCCCCCTCCCTACTCTCCAGTTCAACCGCCAACCCTAATAACCCTATTCCAACACCCGAAATGCCCTCTACGCAAACCACCACCCCACCCCCCAATCTCCGAGTCGGCATCATCGGCGCCGGCCCCGCCGGCCTCGGCGCAGCCATCGAATTCGCCAAATTACCCTTCGTAGATGTCCGCGTGTACGAACAAGCGCGAGAGCTACGCGAAGTCGGCGCGGGCATCAGCATCCAGCATAATACGTGGCGCATGTTGGATGTGTTCGGGGTGTATGAGAACATCGACCAGAGGGATCTGTTTCGGCCGGCGGATGGACATGCGGTGCAGCATCGGTGGGTGGTGTCTGGATTTGGTGGAATGGGTTGATTGGGTTGATTGGTTGGTTAATTGGTTGTGTTGCAGGAATGGGCGGACGGGGGAGTTGGTGCTTTCGAAGGGGCAGGAGGGTGAGTTTGAGTTTTATTCATTCATTCATTCGTTCATTCATGGAAGTGTGTTGGTTGAGTGGAGAGGCTGATGGAGATGGATTCCAGGAACGCCGGAGCGATACCTCAGCGCGAGGGCATTGCGCTCTGTGCTTCAGAAAGCGCTTCTCAAGGGCGTGGATAAGTCCAAATTGAGATTATCCAGTCGACTCGTCGAAATAACCGACTTACCCTCTGGGGCTTTCTTTCTGAGGTTCGAAGACGGACTCACCGACGAAGTCGACCTCCTAGTTGGAGCGGACGGCGTCCGCTCAGTCAGTCTTCCCATCAGAACATATACCACAGTGAATTGTAACCCTGACAAGACCCCAGGTCGTCCGCCAATTCATCTACCCCGACCACCAACTCAAATACATCGGCACAACAGCCTACCGCGCGCTCGCAGACGCAGACGACATCCTCAGTATCCCCGGGTTCCCCGACTCCGTGACCTTCTGGCACGGCCCCAATGATCGGTTCTATACCTGCAATTTGAACAACAACGTGTATGAGATTGCAGCGCGTGTGCCCCAGACGCCGGATACCGCGCCTGTCAGCTGGGGGCAGGATGCGAGTGTGGAGGAGTTTAGGTGGCGGTATAAGGTATTGATTTCACTTTTGTTGGGGGGTCTTTTTTTTTTTTTTTTTTTTTTTTTTTCTTTTTTTTTTTTGCTAACTGGGAATAGGATTTCTCGCCTATGCTGCAAAGCGTACTCGGCAAGATCAAGGAAGTGAAGAAGTTCGCACTGTTTGCGGGACCGCGGCTGTCGAGGGTTGTTTCGCATGGTTCTATTGCGTTGATTGGGGATGCGTCGCATCGTATGTTTCCATCTTTTTTTTTTTCCCGAATGTATTCATCCAGCTGACCAGGACTAGCTTTATCTGGGGCATTCGGTGAGAGCCATCCATAAATTATTGACCTTCGATGGAAAACTGACTCTCTAGGCGCCGGCGCCGGCTTCGCCCTCGAAGACGTATATGTCCTCACCCGCGCGGTCAAATGGGCTCACGATCGCGGATTACCCATCGGGGAGGGATTGGAGCTCTTCGATAGAGTCCGCGCTCCGCATTATGCGGATATGGTATGTCCTTGGATCTCCCTCGGATTATTGCAGATAACGCTAACAAGCGTTAGTATACCATCCTAGACGGATACGGCAAATCAGACGTGGCCGTGAAAGAGACCGCGAGTTTCGACGAGGCGGTCTCTCTGATTGTCGCGGACAAGTGGAATGATGATCACCAGTGGCTGTATCATTACAATGTGAGTGTTCCTTGCCACTGGTATGGGAGTATTGGTTGATTTCGTTTAGGTGGAAGAGGTATGGAGAAAGGCTTACGAGGCGGAGGATGCCCGACGGGCGAAGGGCGATGGATCCGTTGCACACGGGGACGTGGCGAGTTCGCGGTTGTAGTAGATACTAAGTAGATGTAGATTTTGACCCTGCGAGTCTCTAGAGGACGAGCGGTTTGACAATATGAAGGAGGCGTTCAACGACGTTGAAAATCATGGAGATGTGGTCGACTTCGGATGTTTGTTATGAGTAAAGCTTTGATAAATGAAAAACAAAACCAAAACAAAAAGAAGAAGAAGAATTCTATCAGGCACATATGAGGAAACCAAGAAGTGCAGTTTAGCCGACGAAGAGAGAAAGAAGAATTAAAAAAAAAAGAATAATGCGAATAGCATGTCCTGGTTTCGATCCAGGGACCTCCGGGTTATGAGCCCGGCGCTCTTCCCCTGAGCTAACATGCTGGTTGGGTGACAAGGAAGCCCGTGCTATACTACAGGAGCTTACGTCCTTATTGCACTCCCAGTCCAGAGGGGCAACCTCCGTAGGTATAATAGACAGGCCGCAAACAACGCTGCCTTCTGGAAGATAGTTTCCCGCACCATGTAGTCGCTCTAATTGAAAGATTCTCTTCCTTGACTCCTGGCCAAAGAGCACGGACGGGTTGATGTTCGACCTCCTCGGTTCTTCTTCCAATTTGAAGGCTCTCTACGTCGCGCCTAGCGAGCAGGAGCTAAACTTGGAATCGAACCAGTTGTCTGATCGCAGACGCGAATAAGAGTTTCCGACGCGTCCTCTTAGTATTGTCTCCCAACTCGCCAGAATGAAGACCTTGAACAACTACCGTATTTTTTTAACCAGGGGTGCACCAACTCACATCCATGAGGAAGCTAGAATCCGACATCGCCTTAATTACAACTAGATGATTCTCTTAGCCGTCAGAGAGGATGTGAACCGTAGGAGTCCATGACTTGCAAGACAACTGTGACACTCTCACCCCGCGATAACTCCAGACGTGTCAAGCATTCAGAGACTAATGGAATCCCTCCTTTTTTTATTTACGAATGAACCATGAGAGAAGACTAGGCCATGATGGCGATCACTCTGAATTGGCGCTAACCCGATCGGGCCATCCGAAATGAAGCTGCCTGGATTTCCCAACTAGGCAATTGTTTCAACATTTACATGTTGCACTGTCACCTCGATTTTCGAAGCACTGCAGGAGAAAAATGAATTGTGAGTGCTCTAGGACTAAAGCGTGTGATATAGACCAGAGGAATACACATCGCCTAGTATGCCATTTATTGCACTTTATTTATGTGTGGGGGTTTTACCCTGGTTAACTTATCCTCTAAGTAATACACCGGATACTATGATATTTCTCTCTATTCCAGAGGTTAACATATATTTGAGTGCGGAATATTCATTCAAAAGTAAACTCTCTAGAGGCTGCAGGGGTTGTATCTGTCAAGATCGATTGATACTTTACACTGTAGCGCTGGAGTATCCCTAAAGTATTGACAGACCCCCAGCATACCAGCTGATGTCCCCTTCCCTCCGCAGACCCTCTCCAAAGTCTGCTTGGGAGGGACCGGTATCCATTACCACAGATATGTGAAAGCACTGAAAAGGTCTATTCCGGGTTTCGGTATAAATAGTAAAGAAGATATAAGCGACGGTAGTCAGACTTTCATTTCCGGCGAACACACAGTGGGTACGCAGCTCGAAAGCACCCCAAATGGCACGGTAGCGCCACAATATACAGGCTGATAAGGATGGTGTAGGGTGTCTTTCCATTTATCATGGAAGGCGTAATCCATGACCACGTAGTTGTATTCCGGCAGCGTGACGATGGGTTGGTCGAACTGATCCGATATTGCAAGCCAGAAGGCGTAGCTGATTTGTTGGAGGATCTAGCGGAGTTTGGTGGTAATAAAGAGTGCTTGGAATTACTTGGAACCAAGACCATATAATACCTCTCAATAGTCGATTTCATATTTGACATTCTCGTTTTTAACTGAGTAGGATCGTGTATTGTTGTCGAGTATTGCCTCTGAACAGATGATCGATGTTCTCATAGAAATGTCCCTGTAGTTAGCGTTAGTTGCCAATATGGATAAATCTTTTATAGGCAGATTGAGTTCTCTTCCTGCTGCCATATATGCAATTGGTATTTGGTTTGACACCTGGCTGGCGAGACCTTATGACGCATCGGACTCTCAATCGGCCCAAACATCTAACTGGAAAGCCTTTGGTACTGGATGAGAGGCAGCCGTTTAGCGTCAGCCGGTTTCGAACGTTTTATGTGCACGTTATACACAATCGTAGCAGTTAAGAATGCCTATTGTCTTCATGAGGTCATCTGATAGCAGAAGGAATTAATAGAATGACTATGAGATGGCAATGCAGCATAGTATGTGTCTCGTGGGTTAAGGGGTCTCGGAAGGTATAATACTAAGAATGTAGCGGAGAGGAAGATGGAGATGGAGAGATTGGGAGGGGTGGAGAGGGTCTTTAAAAATTTGGTCCGGGCGATACATATGGCTTGTGTGAATATGCCATTACCAGTATGTATGGTCAAGGATGTCCCATTGCCCATACTGGTGAAGTATGCAATAGATACAGAGCGTTCATGATTTCTATTCATCAGGCTTACTAGTGGCATTCCCACTTACTTTGCTAGTGACGTGGATGAATCAAATAGCATTTCTTGAGGAGCGGTTTATTTTCTGACGATCGAAAATTTACTGTCACTTTGAAACGTCTACGAAGAAGTGTTGAGAATATGTTGAGTATATCTAGCAAACCCGAAATTGCAGTGATCTAGCTTTCAGCAGAACAGTTAAAAACAGGCTATTGACAAACGGTTGAGAACCGGTCGTCCTTTTCCCGAAGGATCTTCGATGATCTGCGCGCGACAGTGGATCTCCTTGAACAAAATCCATCACGATATACGGTCCTGCCCAGCAGATCCCAGATCCCAGATCCCAGATCCGAAGACCTCGGGGACCGGGATCGACGTGTTTTGTCTTAGGTACCTCATCGTGGCGACTTCGTTCTCGAGTTTCTCTCTGCGGGGGATCGCCCGCCCAAGGGCAGCAAACCGGACAATTACATGGACTCCATCTTCATACCTCACTCGGTAGCAGATGTTGAAAGCGCCGCCTGGGGTTTGCCGGAGTGGTGTTGTGCAGAACAATGGCCCAGTCAGCCGAAAAGGCTGAGAGTCGAGAATCTGAAACCGTGTGCCGGTCGTGGAGCTCGCGGGCCACTCGGGGTCCTCGGAGGGGAAGTTCACGCCGATGAGAGTGAATAGGCTGCGAGTAAATGCCGCAGTGATCTTCTCTATTTGAATCCAGTACCGCAGAAGTGAGAACCCGTTGTTCAGCCGTTATAATATCCGGTTCTTAACAGGGAATCCAGAGTCCTCTGCGCTGAGTGTGAGCCGGAGTGCCGACAGAATATCGCCCAGATTTACAAAGATATTATGAACATCGAACAATAACAGGAGGAGGTAGGTGTAGTGCTATGAAAGCAGCGAGAACATGGCAACGAAGTCCTTTGTCTTGGAAACAGTCATTGTCTCGACATGCTCGATGTGGATGAGATGGGCAATCACAGCGGTGGGCTTGGTTATATCAAGTGGCCCGGTTCGATGACTGGCAACAACTAAATAAGCATGAACATCGTCGTCGGTGGTGGCCTGGTGCTTCCCTATTTTCCCGGATCATATCCTGACAATCATTGCAGATGTGTGTGATACCGTCTCTGAGTGGAAAGGAGACGCTGGGTCATGCCCAGGACAAGTACGGATGTAATTGGGAAAGCAAACTCCCGCTCCAAATGTGGACCATTACCCATCAAGAGGATGCTGTTATGTCTTTGAAGTCTATGAAATTGATCCAAAGCCCTCAAGCGGAAGACGTAACACGTCTTTCTAACCATGTTCGACGGTTCTCGAAATGGGATACTACCCACATGATACAGTCCCTGGGTGGTAATTGAACAATTGATCGTGATATCCGAAATCACTAGAAACGATTTATTGGAGCCGGATCTTCAGCCTTTCGCCCCGTGGAATCACCACATATCGGGCTATTTTGAGGATTCTGCATTTCGTATCCAAAGAATTTTGTTATCACCTGGAGCACGCACCACACGCGGTAGACGAAACTGTATATACAAGAAAAAATAAATTCCCACTGGGCATCATAAGCTCAATGGGTCGTATTAGGTAGTTCATGCCGATGGACACCATCCAACTCATGCGTCCGACGACCGGGGAACGTCTTCACCCCGGAGGCGGTGGTCGATGCAACATCATATCCGCCCTGCGACACTTGATACATCGCAGGCGGGGCCTGTTGAAGCCGTACTCGCTTTTGTCGTTCGTAATAGGCAAATGCCAACGACGCGAGGGCAATGATGCCAAGAGGGACTCCGACTCCCGCGCCAACAGCCACGAGGGTCGAATGACTGACGTCGTTGCTTTTCCTTGCCACGTTGGCATCGTCGGTCGTGGTGGTGCTGACAGCGCACGTAGTGGTGTTGCTACTGCTAGTCGTGACGTTCGTACTCGTCGTCGTTGTTGTTGAAGTGTCACTGCTATTTGTGAGGACAGTGGCATCTGCCAGGAAAGCGACACCAAATATAGGACTGCCTGTGGCGACCTTGATTGGCGAGACGCCATCAGCGCAGCCGATGGAGCTGGTTCCGTTTGAGATGATTGAGTTGGGACAGTACAGCTGCTCCCCGTCGACGTCGCTGTATAGAATTAGGGAGCATGCGGTGCCCCAGGCCGTTGTTACTGTTTTTGGAGTCAGATTGTGGGAATAAAAAAGTCCATGAAGATGGTAACCTACTTCCATGACACACATCGTCACAGACCGATGTATCGTTCCAGCTCTTGGTGGTACAAGCCCCCCGTCCAAGAACGTATGGCTGGTGCATCGATATACACAGACCATTGCTCAGACAAATGGAGTCCTCATTGCAGCAGAAGGAATCCCCGCTGTCCGAACACGGCATGTAATCCGTCGCGACGTTGCCCTCCGGGAAATAACATGTTGCTGTTGCGACAGCAAGACGCCCAAAGACAGCCACCGACAAGAGGCGTTGGAGACGCATCCTTACAACGACCAACGCGTGGTGGGATGATCCTTTTTATCGCACACTGGAGGGTAGAGTACAAAGGATCGCGTGGACATCCATCCGACGGGGAGGACGGAGGGGCCACGATCTCACCCCCCTGAAAACGCCGGAGGCCCGCCAGATAAATAGATCACGGCGTATTTTCTCCGGGCTTACGGACGCCCGGAATGTATCCTAACCAATAGCAATCGGGGCATGACGACGGAAATTAAGACAGTAAGCACGACCGACACGAAGGATTCCAGTTTGAATAAGCAAATTTCCCTTCGCTATGAAAGCTTTGGCACCGCGCTAGCTATTCCCGCTCTGGATGGATAGGGCCCGCGGAGATGATTCCCGCGTGGGTTAACATTGGTTCCTTCAAGGCGGGGGGACTGTTCAAGAGTGTCTATCTATTGCCAAAATGAACAAAATGAAAGGATCAGCACGCCATCCACTACGGTGGAGATCCGCCGACAACCTGCCAGGGTTGGTTAGGGCCGGGCCGGGAGGTGCATTAGACTGCTTGGAGACGTGCTATCAGACGAACAGGCCAACTGGGTTCGCAGTCGTTGGAGTGATCAACAGATCATCATGCGCAAAAGTAACAATTGGTGACTTGCGGGGAAGGACTTGCACATTTTCAATGTTGTGTTGTGTCTGATGGAAGGATTACAACTGGCAATGTTTTGGCCCCAAGATATTCCCGGCTTGGCCAAGTGTATAGTTACGTGCATGTTAGGGTAAGAGCCCCCAAATATTTCAATACCCTACAGTCCTCCGAGTGACTAGTAGTATGGTGAATGGACTCAGGATCAATGATTCCTTCTGAAAGAGCTCTATATATCCTAAGCAGGTTCTCCTGACTGGGTAGCGAGAACTATTCCTCCCTCGTGTACATATCTCATGTAGCCACTGGCCTGTGTCTGTTTGTTGACTGAATGGCTAGCTTATGTGTCCAAGTATGGACCTTGCCGTCCGAGATATATAATTGTGCGCCCGGTCAAAACTAGGAAGATCTGCATGTCAAATTTCCCTGTCAAGTGATGAAATACACCAGGTCTCGAGAAAAACAACCTCATCGCGAAGGATGAAGGTATCCCACGCATCCCGCATGCCATCCCGCACGCCGATTGGTCCGCACCGCCGACGCGGGATGACGTCGGGCGGAACCGGATCAATGCGGCAGCGGCAGCGATGGGCATAACATTTTCTGAACCCGCCGCAACTGGGACCCCGGCAGCGATCCCCTGCATTTTGACTCCCCCTGGCACACATCCCAACTACGCGGATCACCACAAACCCACCCACAATCCAGTTTATATGTCTATATCGACCACCATGACCACACAAGAAAGGATCTCCCTCCCAACAGCCCTAATCACCGGCTGCAGCGCCGGCGGGATCGGCTCCGCCCTCGCCGAAGCCTTGCACGAGCGCGGGGTCCACGTGTTCGCCACAGCGCGTTCACGCGAGAAGATGTCCCACCTGGAGAAATACCCCAACATGACCTTCCTGGAGCTGGACGTAACATCGTCCTCGGACATCTCTGCGGCCGTAGAAGCCGTGAAGGCCCAGACGGGCGGGACACTCAACTACCTCGTCAACAACTCCGGAGTGCCGCTGGTATTTCCCGCGTTGGAGACAGATCTCGATAAAGCGAAGGAGCTCTATGACGTCAATTTCTGGGGGGTGGTGGCGATGACGCATTCGTTTGCACCGTTGTTGATTTCCGCGAAGGGGACGGTCGCGAATATCTCCTCGATGGGAGGTGTTCTCTCGTTTCCGTGGTGTGGTATGGTTGCCTTCCTTCGCGATTGTGAAATCGATTGATTGGTGGGGGAAATGTTAATCGTGGTGTAGGGTTCTATGCCTCCTCCAAAGCCGCCGTTAGGGCATATGGCGAGGCCGTGCGGCTGGAATTAGCCCCGTTCGGGGTCAGAGTCGTCACTGTTATGAGTGGCCTCATCGGGACGAATATCTTCACTCGGTCGCCGGAGATTGATCTGTCGGGATCGATATATGAAGGCGCGACCAAGGGGGTCAGCGATATGGCCACCGGGGCTGTTATCAAGGACGTTACCCCTGCGTCTGTCTACGCGGGGCGTGTGGCAGATGACTTGGTGGGGGGAGCTAATGGGGTTATCTGGAGGGGGAAGATGTCTTCGATGGCGTGGTTTCTTTCGACTTTTCTGCCCGCGTGGGTTTTGGTAAGTGTGCTATCGATGAAACAAATCCGAGATGAGGGCACTAACGCGGTGATAGGATAAGATGCTTGTTTCGGGAGCAGGCCTGGAGCAGTTGGGTTGATCTGATCATGAGCCTGCTATTGTTGTAAGATGGTAGGGTTCTGCTTTTTGCGCTGTATAGATACAATTGACACTCTACTCCTTCATTCCGATCGGGATATATGGGTCGACGCCCGCGTGTTCTTTCCCCATAGAGTTAGTTGGGTGTGGAGATGGTATGTGGGGAAGCCAAGCATTCCACTGGAGGTAAAGTCGACGTTGCTGAAATTTCGAAAGTCATGCTGCGTATGTCTGAGGATATGTATTTGATGTATCATGCACAAAAAAGCGACATCAACAGACATTGTGCTCTCTACGGGCTCAGATTATCCGAGCGTCAAGGACACCCGACTACGGTGAGAAAGAAACCACCCAGTTAATGCAAAACCAGCCATTTCAATCGAGTGGATGGAAGGATAAACCACCCTGAAAAGCGCCTTCTACAGTGTCAAGTTCGAGGGAAATGAGAAGGTGCTCGTCCGCAAAAAGGAGAAGTTGCAGGTATCATTTATTCGTGTCAGCGACCGAGATAACGACCCGGAGCCCTAGAAGCGCAATGTGAATGTCTCGCTGCGTGCAGTGCAGTTGATGGCAGTGAGACAGTTATATTATTGAGTTTAGTAAGTGAAAGGCGGGGTCCAGGCGTTAAGAAAGCGGCTGGTCCGCGATAGACCATTTGATGTGTTAGCGAGTGGCTCTGGGGCTATGGACGAAAAGGCTGGGAGATGGGGAAAAGTGCAAGAGAAGTGACGCGTATTATCAGCACGGGAAATTACTGGGAAATGTTCATATATCACCCTTCTAGCCTATTGGAAATGGTTATGCCCCAGGGAGAGAAGGGAAAAGGTCAAGTGCCATTATGGTTCAGACAAGCTAAGCTGTCATGGGTGAAGGGCCAAATGATCAAGTCCCAGTATTTTTCTTCATACTGGACGATGTATGCCAGTCACAATCCAGAGATCGAGGATGAGACAGCAAGAAAAAAGAAAGGAAAAAAAGCTATAAAATGCGGGGTGGGGTATACGAAATAGAAAGAATGTCCCTTTCGCCCCTATCTCTCTGGGGATCCAGCAAGACCTGCTAATGATAGGGCAAGCCAAGCCCGACCAGCCGCCGGGTCACATGATGCGGCCCCGTCGTCGCTCCCCAAACAATCGCTCCCCGTCTTTGATGTCAACACAGCAGAGCAGTACGGAGTACCGTCGTTCCTTTCATATTATTCGCCGTTACTGTTCTCCCTCCCCGGGGAATGCTTTGATCTTTGCCAGCCCCAGCACGGAGTATCCGAGCCCCGGGCTATCCTTGCATTCTTCCATCCATCCCTGTCCAGCGGTAACTTAGGAGGGCCATGCATCACTTTTGCGCCATTTGCGGCGTGTTCATTAGCCCTTCCCAGGCGGGCCTGGCAGGAGCGCCACCAGAGAGTTTGGAATGGTACCAAATCCTCCGTGCAGGTTGGTTGATCATCCCCATCCCCGGCACCTCCACGGGCTACCCACTTTTTCGAATTTCTCTCGCCTGATTGGTGACTTCCATATCATCCAGTCCAGCGCATGGGATCCCTTCCTACGGCCGCACTTAGTGGTCTTGGTTACGTCGACGCCCTGGGCAACATCACGGCCCCTCCCGGAACTGGAAGTTCCTTTCTGGACGAGAATGCGTCTGTTCAAACCTACGCTCCCTTTTATGACCCCGAGACCGAGTCCTGGACTTTTACAATTCACGGACTATGCTGGGAGGTTCTGCTACAGCGAATTCCGGCAGGGATGTCGGATGCCATCAGATCTGCCACCGTCCTGCATGATGTCTTGTATTGCTCCACATGGAACAGACGCTTCCTCCGACCAGGCCATGACTTCGGAGGCGCGATCCTGTTTCAAAAGCCCGTAGGGGACCCGATCCAAGCGATTATTCGTCAAGGTTATACCCATCTCCTGGCTGAACCTTCACAGTATAACTGTCTGGATGATCTGTTACGCACGGTCCCTAACACCGGCAAACCCTCCGCGTTGGTCCATGTATCGGGTAGGAGGGGAGCCTTCCCAGCCTCCGACATACTATCTTGCCTGCCAATTGAGGTTGTGCTTATCGTTCTTGCATACCTCCCGTCTTCCTCCATCAAAGCTCTGCGGACATCATCTAGATCACTTGCGTCTGTGACTCATCCGGGATCCCTTCCGCAGCATTTCTGGAAAACCAGATTCAGCCTGGAATTTGAGATGGGGTTTGCCTTGCCAACTAGGACTGATGGATATCAAAATTGGCGTGAGGCCTATTTTGCAATCAGGAAAAGCTTGCATGACCCGCAGGGTTCCGAGAAGCTCAAAAGCAGACGTAGGATATGGGATATAGTCAGTGTCAATGCTGCTCTGATTGAACGGTATTTGAAAGCCTCTACTCCCGCCGGTGTTTCCTGCCCCCAGATTGATTACTCGGATTCCGAACCTGGCTTTTATGGTGTAGAATGGCTATCCAGCCAGTTCGTCTCAGCTGCACTCTCAACGAATAGCCATGATCTCCTGCATTTCGGGACTAGGAGTATGTATGGGAGGCAAATTACTTTGCCTTTCCAGGAGGCTGATCTGTTGACTGTCGGTATCTCAACAGTGGAATTCAATTCTCGCCAATTTGTTGCTGGCATTCGTTTTACGCTGATTGACGGGACTACCGGAAAGCAGCATACCCACTCTCTGGGTTATGTATCGGCTTTCAAAGAACAAGTCATTGAGCTTTTTCAACAAAGGATGATAGGGATTGACTTGGCTGTATGTGCCGGGGGCATTATGGGCATGAGGATGGTCTTGTCAAACGCCTTCCACGTTTCTAGAACTACATGGATGGGGAGCGCCTCGCCTGATGGGGTGGAGGTGTCCTTTGGAAATCTATGCTTCGGAAACGAGGCTAACCAACTTCGCTTGGTTGCCGAGTTCGATGTATGTATCGGACTATCCATAGCATAAGTGAGCCGCTTGACTGACACCTAAAAAGGCGTTTAAGATGGTCACGTTTGGCATAAGTGACAATGCCTCGCCCATGGCAAACCGTCCGGGGATGCCTCAGCCAATTTGGACACCCAACCACCCGAGAGCCGCATCGCGCTTTGTGCCTAAGCCATATAACCTCTCATATCAGCAATTCAATCGATACCTCAATGTCGACTTTGGTGGGGTGTGCGGTCAAAGGCTCCCACACCTGACGCGGGTAGTAGCACACATGCTGATACAATCAGCTCCTATTATAGGCCTGCAGTTTTACTATGACGACCAGCAGCCATTGAAGTTTGGTGGACAGGGACTCATAGAGATTTCCTTCTTGGTGGACGGCCCGGGCGGAGAAAGAATAACCAGTGCAACATTCGAACAAGCCTCCACTGTGCATGGGATCGTTTCACTCCAGGTACGTCATACGGAGCACCCGCCGCAGTGGATCAAGGGACTGATATTGCTACCCCAGCTGCAAACAAACCACGGGAGAAAGGTTGTATTCATGGCCAACGAGCTTGCTGGTCCTTATGTTGCAGATATATCCCCAAGACTACGCCTTCCAGGCCATAAAGGAATTAAGTATACAAAGCAGACTCTGCAGGCGCCCGAAGGTCAGGGTATTGTCGGCTTTACCTCGGTATTGGAGGTGAGTAACGTATTGTGTTCACCACTTTCATATAATCTAGCAACTAATTCCACTAAGGCTAGCTCTGGGTCTTTTCAGACCCTTGGCTTGCAGTGTGAAGCCACAGGCCTCCGTCCTACGTCAGCTGCAGAGCTTTCAACCATTAATACCTCTCGACCCTCCGCAGAGTTGGCATCGTCACTGGGATCGCAGCTGGCCGGTGAGGCATCCAAGGGCTGTACGGGATATACATCTGCGACTCTTCACAAAGTCAAACGGATACGCTTTTCGAGAGGAGGTGAAGATCGTCCGCGTCTCTCTAACGAGATTTCTGGTTTATGGCTGGAGTACAGTGATACTTGGCAGTCTGCAATTGTGGGACAGTGGATTTCGGAGGACGGTGGTTTCGATCTGGCAGACGGTGAAGCAATCACGGGCATTGCTTTTTGGTCATCTAAAAGTAGAATCTGCCATAACGAAAGATACCCCCTCGGTCGACTCGTTCGCATGGAAATTTCAACGAACCTAAGATGCGAAATGTACCCGACTGTGAACACCCTATCCGCAGACGAATATACTGTCCTACGGTTCCGGGAAAACAGTATAGAAATACTAGTAAGCTACCCCTCTACTCCGTTTGAACCCTCAGTCCCCCAAGAGCTTGGCATTTGACATTGCGCCACTAGTCTCAAGTCGTTTGGGCATTCAACGACGCGTGGGACTTTGTTCGCATCATCTCAACTCCAAAGTCAACCGCTCGTGATTTAATCCTCTGGCACAACACAAACTATCTCGAGGTGTACCCGTGGATCGTACCGGAAAAGGCGTTTTGGAAACTGAATGACACCGACAACCTCGCATCAATTACATGCTTTCGACACCCCGCATACCAGTATACCATATCAGGAATGCAACTTACCTATCAGTCGGGCCACACCCTCGACATAGGATTTGTGAATCCTCGTCACCTGTCGTCTCAGGTACCTTTCCAACCCGATGACACCATTGACAAAATCCAGCTATTTGCAACATCCCGTGGTCTTTTCGATATTTCGGTATGCTCATCCTCATCCGTTTCCCTTCCACAGCCTCCAGATAGCCATCCTAACTTTAGCTTGGCAGTTCTTCTGCACCAATAAACAGACAGAGGCCACCACTACACGCGCTTTCAGTGACACTGCCTCCAGTCATATGGCTCCTGGTGCCAATGATGCCCCTGATGGCATTGATACGCACACAATTGACATTGCCCGACGGAATTATCATTACTTTTCCACTGCCGGGTATCAGCGCGAAGATCAGGATATCGGTGAGGGCGTCGTTGTGGGATTATGGGGATTTGATTGGGCAGAAAAGGGGTTATTGGTTGGATTGGTATTGTTGCAGGAAAGTTGCCAGATGAATGAATGTCTTATCACCGAGCGAGAATGAAGAATACACCGAGGGTCATAAGAAAGTTCAAATTTCACAGAGACCAAGGCTCGCGGGTTTGAAAATAGGATTCGGGGTTGGGGTGAGAATAACAGTATCAATATATTGCGGCTAATGATATCCTATTTGTCTTGTTTATTAAACCGTGTGCCATTGCCAGTCTCGGCACCATCCTCCACTCACATCCCCTAGTGACTTGAGCTCGTGAGCGTAATTCACCCGGAAAGCTCCACCTGATATGGAATGCCATCCAGTGGGACTTCAGCCAGATCCTCCTTTATCAAGTCGAGATGCTTGAAAAGGGCCGCGCGGATCTTCAGAGACGAAGGCAGCGAGTAGAGACGGCGTACGGTGTCCTTTGCCTCCAGCTCCTCCAGCTTGAGACATAGGTATTGCCAATTCAATGTAAGCTGGCTGCAAGATCTGACCTCGAAGACCACCTTACTATTGATTCTCGATCTCCAGTACGCATCGGGAAGCGACCAACGAAGAGCCCGCTGAATCCTGAGGGCGTCCTCGGGCGGGATTCGATCCATGATCAAGTACTGAAGCTCCAACGGCAAGTAGTTCAGACGGGAGTAAACAGCCCTGTCCGAAGTTTCAATCAGGATCTGAGGCGGGCCTTTGCGTCTCGGCGTAGCCTTTTTGATCAGCAACGGGACGGCACGAGTCGCGAGCGTTCGAGTATCTGTCGGATATGCACGGTCAGCAAGTCTATCCCACCCACCCACAAGACAACATCAGGATCCGCACAGGCGAGCCTCACCAGCGCTAATGAGGTTTGTCAGCTCAAAGGCCCTCGGATGCGGGAGCGAATGCATCTTCAGGAATCTCAATCGCACCGCCCGCGAAACATTCTGCACGTCATACTCGAGATACCGTCCGAGGTGCTTCTCAAGCATCTTCCAGCACAGTGCGTGGACGGTGTATCCGACCAGACGATCCATCTTCTCGGGGTCTTCGTTTGCACGGAGCATGACGGGGTTGGCGAGACGGTCGGTAAACTCAGCCTTCAATTCCCGGGGGAACCAGACAACCCCTTCGTACCATCTATGCGGAACGAGGTAATCGCCCGCATGGATCTCGGGGGGCTCCTGACAGGTGCCGCTGAGGCGGTATTCCCGTGTCGCAGGATCGTAAAGGACTGGAATGTCGACCGGATTAGCTTCGATTGCAGACTGTGTGATTGGGTATTACTTTATTCGTCAAGGAAGGGACACACATACTCATACGATAGACCGTCTGCCAGGTCTTTGCATACCATAGGTTCATCTCTTCCATGTCCCAGGCTGAGTGAAATCCCCAAGATAGCCTTTGCTCCAGCAACACAGACGGTTTCAGGCTATATGCCTTTCCGAAACCTTGGATCCATCCGTTGCAGATTTGACAGAGTGGGTTTTCCGGTCTCCACAGGTGAAGAGTACCGGGAAGTGTTTCGTAGCCCGGATAGAGCGTCGCTGGATCAACGGGCTTAAGCGGAGACATGGTGGTGGGTCAATTCTGTCTCTTGATACGGGGATGTGACTGATGATTAGGATTGAACGGGACCAAGGTATGTATTGAATGAGTGTAGGAATGAGCTTGGTTGGAACGGGCGGACGATCGAGGTCACTGGGATGCTGAAGGTGAGAGAATCGGACGGGTGGGAGTCTGGGGAAGTGATTTTATAGTGTCCCTTAATTTCACTTCTACTATCGGGGAATTCCTGCGTTTTGGGGACGATGGGACTTCATGCAGTTTACTTTCACGGCGAGTCTCACTTCACGTTTAGATTGGCATGATTCCCAGGATTTGTGTCTACTCTATCCTCGGAGCGATTGAGCTCTCCCGCTTGTCTCCCATTTCACTCTTTGAAAAGTCAGAAGAGCTCGGGGAAGGAATACTGAGAGTTATATGGTGGTGACCTTAGTTTCAGAATACTCCATCCTCTGCCTGAATCCCGTGGACGTGGTGGAATATCTCTGACGACGAACGGCAAGCAATGAGAAAAAACCCCTGACTTTCGAATCAGGTACGAAGAACGTACATGAACATGTCTATGAAGTGAAACGAATTACACAAACCGGCAAAATGAGTCCGTTCCTTATCTCGTTCTTTCATACTACGCTGGATACAAAGGGATGATCCGCATCTTGACAGCGGCAGCTACAGCTACGACTCGGAGATTTTCAGAGAACTTTCATTGAGATTGATTCAAAGTAATGAAAGCATTTAAGCGTAGAGACCAAAGGGCAGGGACACTAGATGTCTGCATGAAGCCTGGTTAGCTATTTGGTATCCACTAAAACCGTCAGGCCTTTGGCCTCGACATTCGCAGTAATTGCCCAATTACTCTTCGAACAGCTCCATGAACTCTTCAGCTGTAACATCAAGACGGACCGGCGGATTGAGAGACCTGAACTCATATCTGATATCCTCGGCATTGTCTATATTATGCACCGTACCCTCGAGCAGGAGATAAGGATGGCCCGCATCGTCCCGTCTGGGATACCAGGTGACCGTCATGTAAAGGAAGTTTCTCGCGAATGCCAACGTCATGATATCCCACAGCCTACCCATAAGCAGCCCTTTTGGTCCATCCTGAACCGTGGACGTCGGCTTGATTCTCCAGGGAAACGCCATTTCGATCTCGAGACCCCCCGTGGTCTCAAGCACACCAAACCGGGTCGGATAATTGGCCAGCATCATCTTCCTCCAGGAGGATTCCGGGCGAAAAAAGGCCCTGTGAAACTGCGTTTCAGTACTCCAACGTTGACTCTCCAGAGAGGGAGGTCCAAAACAGGATGAATTCAGGCGTCGATGGCGAGCCGGCGAGCCAGGAAAGAGGAACGGAAAAGACCTCGCCAGAAGAGGGTTCAACCATACTATCTCGGACACGTTCGCAGAAGGTTCCATGAAGAGGGCCTGTCTGAGGGGCAGGGACGCTTGGATCATGTGCCGCCAGTTCTTGCAGACACGCTGACAGTTCACGAGGAGGTCCGACGGTGGGACATTTTCGAGAATCATCTCGAGCAGCTCGGGAGCTCTACGTCCACTTGTCACAGCATCCATGGTTAGAATCTTGTATCGCTGTGTAGTACCAGTGCGAATGGTCTGTCAGTAACCGAGATAGTGCGATAGGAATTGACCTTCTGTCGAAGCATTCAATCCTAGAATCCTCCCAGAAGGAATAGGTCGTTGGTATATATACTGTCTTCCGTCCAAGACAAGGAACTTGCCGCCAACAATGAAATACAGGCAAAGAGCGGAAGTTCCCGAGAAACAATGGCTTGCAGGCGGAGCGTTCCTGTTTCGTTGGCTAATATGACGGGAGAAGCCTCTTTGACGGCCACTTGGAACAAAGACCACCCTGAATCCGTCAGGACGTCTACAGTAGTCTCCCAGGAAGCTTTGCAAGGGGAATTCTCCTTTTTTCCTCTGGGGCTTTTATTTCAAAATCCGTCAGCGGTTGAGCAAATAGCATCTAACCATCAGCTCTCATTGTCAGTATTGTCGACGGGAGGATGTCCAAAATTGGGGAGTTGAATGCTTGATCATCGAACATGAGGCGATTGCCTGCCCGGGCTATGGGGAATTCTTCTCCAACGGCATCTGGGAGTAAAAGGCACTCCCAGCCTATCGGCAGTTGTGTACATAGATCATGTCTGGGTGCATGAGGGAGGTATCCCCACCCGTCCGGCAATCCGCTCCGATGCCATCCATCCGGAAGGATCCCTGGAAAGCTTCATTTTCGATCAATTATTGCATTATACCTGGTTCGAGCAGACTAGGAGGCTCTTTCCGGGTCCTCGACAGCGAAAGGTCCATGACTGCGGAGGTTCGCCAGAGAGCCTCATGAGAGACCACAGTTGACAACGCACTGATCACCACTCACCTGGTATATAACCCCCGTCCTCTCCACAGATACAACCCCAGGAAACGACAGGTTCTCCTTGTTGAGTCCTCCGCATTGACAGGAAATAGCTATGCGATTGACGTCTCCTCCCAATGCTTCGCACGTTGATCCGCTTCCTATTTTTCCTCCTACTCCTCCTCCTACTCCTCCTCCTGTTTCTCATTCTTCTCGTCCGAGCCCTGGTTCTCGCCATCATGGTCAAGCTCCCGGTAAGTCCCCGGGCCGCCCTCCCACTGATGTGCGTCCTTGTCCTGCCGCTCCTCCTGCTGCCGCCGCTCCTCCGAGCGACTGTCAACCTGTTGGCCCTGGCCATCTTTGGACTCGTGTCCTGCCACGTCCTCCTACGAGACCCCGTTCTCTTGCACGATGATGAGGTCGAGGTGCTGGAAATGATTGATATAGATAAATAAATTTCCGTCCCCTCGCTCGAGTTTGAGAGGGGTTGTGTAAGCACTGTGTATTTTGCTGTAGACAATCGGCAGTACTTTGTAGGTCAAGTCCCTTGTAACTGAAAGCTGATTCACTCTGATCAATAAAGCCCTGGTGGACTCTCCTATCTTACAACCATTTCGTCGGCATGTTAGAAACTACGCTCAAGCATGCGTTTTACAAATCTCAGTCCCCACTCGCTAGTTGGACTTGGCCGTGTGCAGTTCGATTACATTTTGATCTCGACCCAAGAATCAATAGATTGACCCAGTCACTACTCGATCATGACGTTCTACGGAATTACATTACGATTGTGAGATTTCTTTCGTGACACCAACGGCCAAAACAGCCATGAAATTTCATTTCAATTTCCAGCCAAAAGTAGACTAGAGCAGACCAAACAACCTGGAAGACAGACTTCCAGACATCCAGGGACTCCTGAGAATTCACAGAAGGGCCTGAAACACGAACCCCTGAGGCACTTTCCACCTCCACGTCCCCCATCACAGAAAGTCCATCACATCATCCCGCAGGAGCGTCGGGCGCAAACAACACCACAACAACACTTCACGAGCGCCAAACGTATCCTCCGAACAGCAATGGCCAAAGGGATCGGCCTGGATGCTAACACCTCGACACTCTTCAACCAAGCTCTTGAGCTTGTGGCTGCTCCGGTGACGGGCCACCCTCCCGGCTGCGGTCTCTCGCCGGACCAGAAGATAAGTGTCCACGACCCGATCATGGAGGATACCCAAAGCCTCCAGATCAACATGAAGACTGTGGCCGACCAGCACCGTATCCGCGTTGATATACCGGAAGACCGCTCGACGGGCGGCTTCCCATCCGTACACCGTCTCGCCGCGGCTCTTCCGCCAGTGCAGCAGCGCCTTGGTCATCCCGCTGTAAGAGGTTCGCCAGTCCATGACCGGGGCGGTGGGGATGACCGCGAGATCGAGGATGAGCTTTCGGGTCAGCACGTCGACGAGACACACCTGCACCAACTCCTCCCCGTCAGGGTAAGTTCCAACCATCTCGCAGTCGATGGCGACTGCCTTGCGCGCCTGGGGGTTCTCGCTTTCAAGAGGAGTCCGTTGGAAGAGCGGGTCCTGACTCCATCCCTCGGTCTGCCAGAGGGGGGTGGCCTGCTCGTTCAGGTATTCCATCACCGTTTCCTTTGCGGCGTCGTCCAGCTGGCTCCAGGTATTCCAATCTAGTGACCGGGGGTGGCGGGGCTTGCGGGGGGGAAGGGTAGTGGTGTCGTCACTCTTGGGCTTGCTGTAGGGCTTGATGTTGTGCTTCCAGTTACCCTTACCCCTGTTTTGCAGCATCGCCTTCGGCGCGGTGGGGACCCCAGCGGGGAATGAGTTCTGAGGAAGTGTCATTGTGTGTGGAAGTGTTGGAGATGGATAACGGAGTGGAGAGGATTTCAAGATCCGGCTGTGGAGATGCTGTGATCGAAAAATGGGAATTAGATTTGAGAGGCCCGCAAGGACGGGCTTTTATATAGACTTGGGGGGGGGGGGGGGGGGGAGTAAGACACGGCGATTCCCTTGTCAGCGTTTGGGAGGGTCAATTTCTCGTCGGGATATTCCTCGTGGGAAGGATGTCTCCGTGTTGCTGAGACGAGCTTGATCGACAAATGCCGACATTTTACGTCCAGGCGGGATGGCAATTGGTCAGATCTACGGATACAGACTTGGAATATGTTGCAGGCTGTGTCACTTAGATCTCTCGACCCCCGTGTGGCGTGGCGTTCGAGGCTGGGCCATGCAGGAAATGACTAAGATATATACACTGTGAGTTGGGCGTGGGACTATGAGAGTACTTCGGTCGATGGGATGGAGGGAGAGCTCCATTTACGGAGCGAATAGTCCATCTACGAAGGGAAAACTCCATTGAGAGGGGGATTCTTTGTTCCCGACCTTTCCGCATGTCCATCTTTCCTCCATCCGAACAAGATCGCGAGATATCAGGTGATGTACCGTCTTGAGACCCGAGAACAGAACGATACCGTACGAAAGGGACAAGACCATTGTACCCACTCTGAAGACAAACCCTCTGTTGCAGCCAAGGCTGTATACATCAAGGCAGGCCTCCTTTCCTTTGTCTCTTGCCCGACGCACACTGTCCCGTACGGGGAAACCGCCAGGAAAGAAATGTAGATTAATTGGTAGTAGTCATCATCCATGCAGCAATAACTATATATTCGAGTCTGTCGGTAAGTTAGGTCTCCTGGACCTCAAGGCACGTGACTCAACACCGCATGCTCAATAATTTCAGCCTACTGTCACAATATCCTTCATGCAGAAGCCAAGTGGAGATGGAAGGAGATTCCAAGTAAAAAGTGAAGACATAAATTGATAAATTACAAAACTATCACGTCATCCACTGCACCAAATAAAAGAATTTTGAAACAAGAAGAAAATAGTTATCATCATGTACATAGCAGTACGGATATCATACTCCCCTACCAATCGGTCAGATCACATCAAATCACAATCACGTATCCCATCAATCAATCAAGAACCCAAAGCATGCGATGGCCAAAACTCCCGGTATCTATGCACGATATACAACCCGACCCCATCCAAGCCGTACCGGACGTACGCAAACACTCAACTCACTCACGCATTCTCAGCGTGATACGCGGCACTCTCCTTCCTCGCGCGCTCCTCACCCTCGAACTGTCTCGAGTGAAGCGGAGGGACATCATAGTCGGCACTCTTCCACGGCTTGACATGGTTGACGTACATCCAGTCGAGCTCCTCGAGGGTGCGGCCCTTACCCTCGATCACGAAGAAGTAGACGACGAAGGCAGCGACGAACAGACAGCCGGCGAAGACGTAGCCGTAGGCGAAGTCGATGGCGGAGGTGATGAAGGGGGTGAAGAATCCGATCAGGAAGTTCCAGAGCCAGTTGGCGGCGGTGGCGAGGGCCATGCCCTGCGCACGGTACTTCGAGGGGTACAGCTCGGCGGTGATGGCCCAGACCATGGGGCCCCAGGTCATTGCGTAGGCTGAAGGGGATAGGGGTTAGTTTGTGGTTCTGTGTGGAAGAGGGTTGGTGGTGGTGATGATGATGGGGACTTACCGGCAATGAAGAAGCAGGCGACGACGATCATGCCCTTGCCGACATTGGGGGTGGTCTCCGGGTCGCTGACGTCGAGCATGAAGTGGCCGATGGAGGAGAAGATCATGAAGCAGACGAACATGAAGAGCGCACCGCTGATCAGGGACTTGCGACGACCGTAGTTCTCGACGATGTACAGACCGCCGAAGGTCGAGCCGAAGTTGACGGCGCCGAGGATGACTTGCGTGATGAAGCTGTTGGAGATACCGGCGCCCTTGAAGATGGTGGTTCCCTGGTGGGGTTAGCATGGATTGATCGATGAGGGAGAATGGGGATGGGGACATACGTAGTAGAAGAAGTAGTTGGAACCGGTCAGCTGCTGCAGGGTCTGCATGGTCATCCCCAGGACGACACGGTAGAACATGCGGGGGGCGGTCAGGAACTCGTGCCATTTCTGGCCGGCGGACTCGGCCTCGAGCTGGTTCTGGATCTCGTCGAGCTCCTCGAGGATGACGCGGTGGTTCTCGGGCACGCCATACAGCTTGGCCATGGTGGCCCGGGCGCGGTCGACGCGGCCGTGGCGGTAGTCGAAACGGGGGGACTCGGGGAACATGGCCATGCCGAGACCGAGGGCGAGGGCGAACAGGAAGGTCAGACCCAGGGTGATGCGCCACTGGGCGGTGCCGTGCAGGGTGTTGGTGCCCAGGTTGATCAGGTAGGCCAGGAAGATGCCAATGGTGACGAACAGCTGGTAGCAACTGATCATGGCACCACGGATGTGGCGCGGGGCGCTCTCACCCTGGTACATGGGGACCAGCAGAGAGCAGGCTCCGACACCCAGACCGGTGGTCCAACGTCCCATGACCATCTGGACCCAGTTGCCGGAGGGGGCGGAGATCTGCACGATCAACCCGATGATGAGGATGAAGGACCAGAGGGTGATCGACCACTTGCGACCCAGACGGTCCGCGATGGGGGCGGCAACAAGGGCACCGATCAGTGTACCGATGGACAGCAGACTAGTGAGCAGACCGGAGCGGACATCGCTGAGGTACCACTCTCCGTCCGCCTTCTGCATGCCATATCGACGAATATAGTCGCTCTCCTGCTCGAAACCGGAGATCTGACCGGTATCATACCCGAACAGCAGACCACCCAGTGAAACGAACATACTCATGGCAAAGGAACGGAGGGTGACCCTGGGGATGGGAGTGTCGACAGCCATCGGGGTCGGCTTCTCGAAGCCGACGGACTCCTGGCTGGAGTGCTGGGGGAATGGCGCGACCGCCGGGGAGATCTCCCCGTGGTCTGCGGATGTTTCAAAACCCATGGTGGGAGGAGGGTAAATGGGTTGTGCTTGATCAGTGGGGTATCAGGAAAAGGGATAAGCAAGAAGAGACCCTCGGAGTGGATGATTGGCGATCACCGTGGGTAAGAATGGAAAGAGAAGATCGGGGTGGAATGGAAGATGGAAAGTGCCCGACTCGAGAGACAGAATCTGGGGAGACAAGCCCCCTTTTATGCTCCGCATCGTATGAGCGACGCAAGAAAAAAAAATCAACAGGGAAAAAAGATCCACGAGAGCCGACCTGTGGAGAGCCGAGTGCAGGCAGCGTGTGCCGCCGGGGCATGGCATCGGCCGCCAGCCATGATGCTGGCTCGACGGGCTTCCTGGTCTGGAGGGCCGGCCGAAGCCGACGGGCCAGTCAGAAGGGCCGGAATGCTGGGGAACGGCCGGTGGTGAGTGGTCCCAAGGGGCGAGGCAGAACCTCGGGTTCCACGGCCCTCGTCGGGGAAAGGAGGAGGAGACGGGGGACGGGCTCTCGTTGGCCCACGGCATCGGCTCTGGCGTGTGGTAGAACCTTCGGGGGCCCATCTTGGCCCGGGGAGGCCAGGGGATGGTGTCTGGCTGTCTGGAACTGCTCGCTGGAACTGGATCGGGGCGCATGTCAAACACGCCCATGGTTCCCGGATCTCGATGACATTACCAGAGTCGGAAGCGAGCAGCGATGATTGAGTTCGAGCCGGGTCCGACCGTGGTGAGCATTCGGCATGCCTAGAGAGGGCCTGGGAGGGAGTGCCTGGTTTGCGCGCGGCGAACGACGGCTGTGGCTGACGGCAGCTGAACTGCAGGACACCGTCATCCGAGCAGGCCATCAAACTCAAGGAAGGGCAGGCGAGGCATTCTTGCCCAACGTGGAGAAGGGCCCCATTCGGGGGCCGACTAGGCCGACTAGGGCGCCGCTACTCGGCACTAGGCCGAGGCTTCACCCACAACTCCAGAGTTCGGCAAGCCAGTGGCCGCTCGTGGCTCGGAAGCGGACGGGACTGGAGCCTGGAGACTGGAGAGTGTGGGAGGGCGACGCAGGGATTATTTCCTGGAGAAATCCATGCCTAAAGCGTTGACCGGTGAGGCCTCATCCCGGATTTGCACCACCACGCAGGGGAGGGGGAAAGGAGGGGAAATGCGGAGTCGAGCCATCAGTGATATCACTGCTCACTGCCAGTACTTCCATTCGCGATTGACATGCATCGGATCCTGGAGAACCGCCAACAACACCGGTATGTTCGCTCCTGCGACACAAAGCCATCCCGACGCCAGTCCCATGACCCCCCGACCGATGTCTAGTGTGCTTCAGCCGTACGTAACAGCATCCATCCACGGCCACCCGATCCAGTCGAGTCGGTCGGTCCCGAAAATCGGCGGCAGCGGCCAGCGACCAGCGACCAGCGGCCAGACGGGCAGGCTGACTTGACTGCCTTCGTCAGCGCAATATCCCGACCGAGCCGACTGCGTTTGGCTTGTCAGTGGCGTTCAACGGCGGATACCACTGGTTGGTTCTGGCATCCTGTGGACGCATCCACCCGGGCTGGGGAAGCTTTCTGGCTTCCTTGGCTGCGACAGGCCGAACGGCCGGCTTGGGAGCTATGACGACGTTGGCTGGACAAGGGTGCAGCGAGCGTGTGCTAGACAGCTAGTGTTGCTGGGCATATATTCGTCCACGAGTGAGAGGGCGAGCAATTGTGCGATCGTCATCAGGAGCGCAGGAGAGTAACAGCCAGCAGGGGAACAACACGGATGACTAACCCCGTCGCTCTGGCCGGAAAAGGTGTCATCCCCAGGGTTAGGGCAGCGGGGGCACGTGGTGTCGGCTAGCGCACGGTGACGTCAGGTTCTTCCCCGTCATCTCCGGCGGCACCCCGTGACCCCGCTTTCCCCGTGGACGCGGCCCAGAACAGGCGCCCGGATCATGATTTCCCCGGCTTCGAGAATCACGACCTCGCCAGAATCATCCATCATAACCCAGGGCACGGCCGTTGACTCGGATCAATCCCGGCGTGCCTGATGACGGAGGTGGCACCAACAACAAAATCAGGGTATCGGACATCTGGGGATGTCCCTGCATCCCAGTCGCGGGGAGCCGGTGATATCCGGGTGTACGGAGTAGTGTCTAGGGGTGCCTATTCTTCTTCTCTCCAGTCTCCAGCTTTCCTCCGCACCCTCCACAACAACCTAACCTAATACCCACCTCAGGAGGGACCCTACGATGGTCTCACGCGACTCGCGAGACTACTAATCACACTCAATCACAGATATCAATCTACAGTCCCTACTCTGTACTCCATACCTGGTCCAGTCCCGGCACTTATAGTAATCGGCAACTGCCCGCCCGCAACCGCCACGCCTCAGAAACATTCATCCGGCGCGGTCCGTTTCAGCCCTTTCAGCCTCCAACGCCATCCGCCCGCCACGTCGCCTGACCTGTCCGGTTCGTTCATTCCTACAATCACAACCAAGGAATGTCTCCCGAGCGACCTCGGAATTACCACCAGACCACCAAAACCGCAACCATCTCCGACCCTCGCCATCGGCGACATAGCCCTCAGCCCTCAACAACGAACAACCGCAACACCAACACACCACCCGATCCAAGGATCCCTCCCTCATCGGCCCGATCTATCAACCTCAGCACTGGACGTCTCCAGATCCCAGAACCCCCCCTCCCCCCCGGGACTCCCGAAAAATTCGTTTCCAACCCTCCCGACACCCCATCCGTCGGACCCATCCCTCTTCTCTTCTCTTCTCTTCTCTACTCGCAAATGTTGTCGGACTCGGCATAGACTATATCCACGAGATGACTGATCTCGCCCCCGGCGGAGATTAGTGTCCTGCGGGATGGCGTCTCGACCGCGGGGTTAGTCCGGAGTGGGACTAATGCGTGGTCGGCGGTGACTTGAGGGGGCGAGTGTGTCTGGAACGGGTTAGATGGGTGCAGAGTTTTTGGATTGGGCGTGGCGTTGGGCGGAGATGGGTCGGTTGTAGATAGGTACAGGTACGGAGTACTATCTCGGTAGGGAGTAGACTACGGAGTACCGTAGAAGGGGATGGAACGTGGGAGTAGTGCGAGGCAAGGGCTGGATGCCATGGTTGGTCTGGTTGGTGTTTAGTGTAGGGTGGGTGTACTGTGTAGGTGGGTGAGTGATGAGGAGATGGGGATGGGGATGGGGATGAGGGGATTTAAAGTCTGTGTGGAGGTGAGTGTGAGGTTTTCTTCTGTGGGAGGGGATGAAGGAGTGAGCTGTGGGGCACGGAGTATACTACTACTATCTGTCTGGTAAGTGGTGTATCAATCTATATTGTACGGAGTAGTTAGAAGCGGCTGAGGTTGAGGTTGAACCCTGGCCGCATGCTGAGTAGTAGTACAGGGTTCAACTAGGATGTAGTTGGAAAGGTGTCTTCGGAAGAAGAATGAAGGAGAGAAAGAATTAACCGCATTTAATAATACTCCCACTTAACAGAAGGGTCGAGTAGCGAGGATGTTAGATCCTTAAGGGTACCCATTTAGGTAGTTAAGCCCTTTATTCTGCATGACACATCGATGCATAGACCATCACGGTTATTTATCATTTAATTGACAATTTCTAATATATGTTTAGTATACTATATATAGTAGGGCAGGCCTTTGCAGACACCCTTAATGGCCCTGCACCTCCACTATTATAATTTGATTCTCTGCCAGTAAAGTGCCGAGTTAATCCTTAGATAGTATGTACCCAGCACCTGGTTTGCGTAGGACATCCACTGTAAAGGGGGTTCGTGCTCAGTTATTGGTCTGGTCTGTATTTGTCCGGTAGTCAACGAGATATACTATATATTTCGTACCGAGGCGGAATTACAAACAGACAAATTGGTAGATATTTCATCTAGTATTGTACTGGCGTAATGCAATGCACATTCCCCTGTGCAAATTAAACTATGGAATTGTTCATATATCATCAATTGACCATCAATAGCACAACTTCACCACTCCTTGATCACATGACTGAGCCCGGTTTTCATTACCCCACTGGCTACAAATATCTACAGCACCCAGGTACGTATTACGGCATGGCTGACTGCGAAGGCGTACGATGAGTATTGTCTCATGGCAGGGAGTTCAAAACAGTAAGTGAATAAAGTACAATCAAAAATAATCCCATTTCGCCTCAACAACAACACCCACAAGCCCAGATACTACCCCCGCCCGCCAGCAGGCCACCCACTCACCACCCACTCACTCAGCATTCTTCTTATCAATCGCCGCGACGTGGTCCGTCACCAAGCAGGTGTAATCACTCGTGCCATAGTAGACGGTGTTCCCATCATCGGGCGACTCCCCGGTACTCAGGGTATCGCCATACTGCCAGAACAGGTCGCCGGTGACGCCGGTGGTGTTGAGGGCGGTCTGCTGCCACGGGCTCTCGACGCTGCAGTGGTTGGACGGCACGCCGTACTCCTCCAGCAGACACGGCTTGCCGACGGCCGCGCAGGCCGCGCCGTGCGAGGTGATCCAGCCGTTGCCCCAGGCGTCGGTGGTGCCCCCTTTGTTTTTGTTAGTATTATATTCAACAAGCAAAAAAGGAAAGAGGGACATACAGCTATCCGGGTACAAATGGAAAGTGGCGAAATCAATGGTCTCGATACCCAAGTTTGCGGTGAAGTTTGTTCCCTCATCGTACAAGTACTGGAAGCTTCCATCGGAGTCGATGTCCAGGCCAAAGCCCTCTGTGCATTACCACATCTATTAGCCAACCACTCACTCAGAAGGGAGAGAGAGAGAGAGAAAAACAACTCACCATCACCAATACAAACGAGATGCTCGGCGTCCAAACCCTTAATATACTTACTGGTCTTCTCGACCCAATCATAAACAACGGAGGTATCACAGCCAGGACAACGGGGCTCATTCGCGAGCTCCCAGGCAAACACCGCGGAGGAGTTCTTATACCGGGAAACGACAGCCTCGATATATGTCTGATACGCGGTCTGGATGGAGGTGGTATTATAGAAATCGTTCTCGGTGGACCCGCCATAGGCACTGACATACGCGGACATGCCGCCGTAGTCGGTCCAGTAGTTGACGAAGTTGATGATGAGCTTGATGTCGTGCTGCTCGGCGGACGAGACGACGTAGTCGAGACGCTCGAGGCCGTCGGCGCCGGTGTTGATGGTGGATTTCCCGTTCTCGTGCAGCTGGAACCACACCGTGCCGTCGGAGGGCTGCGTGGTCACGTCGTTGAAGCCCCAGACGCGGAGGATCTTGAGGCCGGAGGATTTCAGGTCGCTCATCACTTTGTCTACGTCGGCGTTGTCGGTCAGGAACCCGATCCAGTAGGAGTTTGTGCCGGCGAAGTAGCCGGTTGTGCCGTCGATGGTGAATTCCAGGCCGGAGGTGCTGGGGAAGGAGGAGGAGGAGGAGGAGGTGGTGGTGGTGGTGTGGGAGAAGGGGCTGGGCAGCGCGGTGGCCAGCACCAGGCTGGCCAGGCCGAGGAGCGTGCGGGTGAGCTTCATGGTGGTTGGTGGTGCTGCGGGCCCTGCCTGGTTGTCTTGCTCTTGTCCTGTCTAAGGGATGCTAGACGGGAGGCGCCGTGTCTGCTTTATACCCGCCGGCACCGCAGCAGGGACATGAAGTACGGACGCCCCTCCGTTCTGAAATCAGACACGGGGGGCCTCGGAGCGCCGAGAGCGTTTTGGGTTTGTCAGAGGACCCTCCGAGAGCCGTGTTGAGCACGGAGCGGTGGCGATCATCGCGGCAGTTAATCAATCTGGCTCTGCAGGTGTTTTGTCCGTGCTCGATCGGGTATGGCGAGGCCCCTGTGTTTCAGAATCCGGTGACGCGAGTGGGGTTCTGCAGGGTTGCTGGTTGCTGGCGACCGTTCTGCATCCCGGGGCGGTTAATCAGCCAGGGTGCAGCTGCCTTTAGGCAATTCAGAGTGCGGGGAGCTCAGGCTGGGGTGTTTGGCTTTTCGCTCCCCATGATGATTGTGAGGGCGGATGATTGGAGATTGGACCGAGTTGCCGATATAGCCCTGATGGAGTGTGGTTTTTGCGAGGAATGTATGGAGGATGAAACGAGTAAGGGGGTTGAAGATGGACGACCGAGTCAGGAGCCATGGAAATAGCGCGCAGCATGACATTTCCAGTGGGTATAGGGCTGGTCAGGAGGCGGCACTGCTATTTATGTTGTGTCAGGGTTGGCGTCGCTGTCACTCCCGGTGGGGCCCGGAAATTGGCAACCGGCCGGTGGGGACGCGTGCCAGTCACGTGGGATATTAACGGGTGACACTCATGTATAGTTATAGTATGGTATGATGTTGGAGGCCTGATGCTGTGAAGATTGAAAAGGTATGTTTTTCTCTCTGTAGTGGTGTGCTCAGCAAAGCACGGTGGTGACCGAGATATATACCTCGACGTACTCCGTGGGATCGAACCTTGACTGTACAACACCCTCCGAAGATACAGCTGGAGTGAATACATCGACATTTACCCCCGAACAGAGGAAGACTTTTCTTTTTACTACTCTCCGCAACAGCAGTAGAAAATATATTTCGATCAACTCTGTTTACTGTATTATAACAACCTATGCCCAAAGAGAGATCGTCCATGCAAAAACCCGGGCTCGCTTCGCTGCCTTGCCACTATGCCAAAACAATATGGACATAGCACAACACATGAACATAGGATCTATAGGTTGACCCCATAGCTTCCCAGTAAACCCTCCGTTTTTCTGCGGACAGAAAGGGAGGTCCTGTCCCATTCCCGCCCCGCCCTGGGCCGTGTCTTCAAGCCGGAAGCACAGCCCCCACGAATCCAGGTGGGTGGCACAGCACAGCCTGTCCCAATTCCGCCTGTCACTGTCCCTTCTAGGGAGATGGCTATTATTTCTCGAGATGTATGGAGACAAGGAGCGAAATGAGATCTGAAAACAAGTATTTCATGGTCGATATCTAGTAACAAGCTCATTCACTTCGCCACTGACAAACCCGGCCGAATCTCAAACCGTTGGACCCGATTCTGCAGCAACGTCTCGGCCAACTCCGCCGTCGCCTTCTCCATATGCCCATACAGCCCATCCCTCGCATCATCAGCACCAGCATCAGCATCAGCATCCCCCCGTCCCTCCCACACCAACACCTTCCCCTTAGAGTCCCACCGCAACACCGCACCCTCCACCCCTGCACCTCCCACCCGCCCTGCACCCTGACCCCCCCTTCTCTTCCACCGCCACCTCGCCCTCGACCAGAAAAACCGAACTCACCCCCCCAAACCAATGCCAGAACTCCGCAAACGGATCCTTCTCCACCCACAGCAACGCGCGTGGGACCGCAATCCTCCGCACCTCCGGCGCCGGACATCCCAAATTCCGATTCAACAGATCGGGCTCGAACTGCCGATCGAACGGCTCGCAGATGAACTCCGTCCATCTCTCCAGGGAGACGTACATGGCGTCCGTGCGCGGGTCATACGGCTTCGTGAAGAAGACACACTGCGCCGCCGGGTCGAACCTGACCGCGATGGTGGGGTGTTTCCGCAGCCAGGAGACGGTGAGATCGTGGGCTTCGCGGTTGACGAAGTACAGCGGGAGGGAGACTTGCATGGGCGGGAGACGGGTGTGGTCGAATTCGAAGTTCAGGTTGCTGTCGGGGGTGGAGGGGTCGTAGTCCGGGTCGGAGGGGGTGAGGTGGCGCGGGTCCAGCAGCCGGGTTCGTAGATGTGGAGGGAGGGCGTGGTGGGGGAGGGGAGGGCGTGGTGCCAGATTTGGTGCCGGAGCTCTGGCGGCAGGGAGGTGAAGGAGGGGAATGTTGGGGGCATTCTGGGTGGTGGTAGTGGTGGTGGTGCTCAGTTTGAGGGGGTTGACGGAGGACGAGGGTTTTGAAGGGTTGAAGGTGAGATGATGCGAACCGGGTGATGGGGATGGGGATGGGTGGTGCCTGACGGATTGGCCCCCCACCGCCGGGACTCAAGCCTTGCGGCTGGGAAGCTTCGCTGCAGGGGCCAAACGCGGTTGTTGGTTCGGGCGGACTGCAACTTGGACCCCATCGGATTAGGGCACCTGATTCGCTGCTGGTTTGTCCTTCCCGTTGAACAACACATTGACGGACTGTGACCGGGAAAGGAATACTCGAAATACTCGGAATACTCCCCAGTCAATGTGGCACGTCTTCGGCACTTCTGATCTTAGCCTTACAGGAAGATCTTCAGATAATCGAATTCTACAAAAGGCCCTGGGGATTCTGAACCGACCATGTCATATTGTCAGACAGCTCCAGAGGCACTCCATGCGAGAGATTTCAGGGGAATGTATACATCCCTCCTTGTTTCACAGTTGGGGCCGGGGCCAAAGGGTGGATTTCCGATTTCCCCGTTTGGAAGAAGTCATCGAGCCATTGAACGATCGAGTTGTCTGTTGGATAGCCAGCTGGAGTGGCCATCATTATGGCAAAGTGACGGTCTCTGGATAGAAACGAGTCTGAGCAGGCCTGTCTCCCACGCACACAGAAAGATATATAAACCACCACAAGCACCCGCTTCATAGTAGTTCCAAGCACACGCAGCATCACTCATCACTCCGCCTCCAAAAGAACATCTACCATCACCACCACCACCAAAACTGCCAACATGAAGCTCCTCTCCCTCGCCATCCTCCTGCTGGTCACCGAGGCCATCGCCTCCAAGGTCTCCTACTCCACCAAGTACACCGAGGGTGGCATCTCCGGAAAGGGCGCCAACGAGGTCAAGGCCGGCGGCACCATCGACGACGACAAGGATGATACGGTCCTCGACATCGCGAGCTGGAGTGAGAACAAGTTCACGGCCAAGAGAAACGCGCGCAGCGGAGTGATCATCGTGTCGAAGAACGGCAGCGTGAAGACGAAGAGCGAGGCGACGGAGTCCAACAACGAGGCGCAGCAGGCTGTGAACAAGAAGCTCAAGGAGTAGATGGGTCTGTTGAGTGGTGAGTTTGATTCTGCAAGTTGATGATAGTTATGATGGCTGGGTGGATGAGTGTTTAGCTGACGGACTTCGATCGCTGGAAGACATTGATTGCGTTTTGGCTGCGGCTTTATAGAAGCTCTACTACCTAGAAAATCAGAATATTAATAGCGTTTTTATTAGCTGTCCCTAAGCCTCGTACATACAGAGAGCAAGAAGAAGAGGCAACCCCGCGACCGTGATGGGTCACGAGCACACTAGCTGAGTCGGTCTAGGCTAAAACCCTTCAACACCATCTCCTCTTTTCTCTCACATGTAAACATTGTCAGCGATTCAAACAGGGGCTCGGAGGGGTGCTGGAATTTAATGGAGGGCGTCAGACCGGACTGGGCGGCCTTCGTCCAATATAAACCACTTTTCCAGCTCAAACCGATCTTTTGACCAGAGCCTAGGACGTATGACTGCTTTCGGGGGCATAGCTATGCATTCATGTAGAGTTACAGGGAGTCTCGTCATATAACTGAGCTACATACAAGCTACAGGTAGAGAAAGTGGTATTTCCGTGCCGATCCATTTATCGAGGATGCCGCATTCTCTCTCCCAAGCCCCCTCGACGACACCGTCGAAAATCACCTGTCGTGGGGGTTTCCAGCAGGCGTAGTATTCTTGCCTGAGGCCGAGATCCCCCGTCGATAGAAAATGCGGAGCGGCTACTGAGTAAATCCGAAGCCGAAGGCCGCGAGCGACCCCGCTTTTCCTTCCTAATCAAACCCCCAGACCTGTCATGGATGCCCTCAAGCCTCCGGTCCCTTATACCAAGGGCCAGAATTTCAGCATACTATCTCATGTTGCACCCCCACCCACGCCTGTGACATATGGCTGCTGTCTGAACGGCCCTGCTGGGAGGGAGGAGCAAAGCCATCTCACACCCGTTGCTCGATGCCTACAAAATCCCCCCCTACCGGGAAGTCCTGGCTCATCCCGCATCGATCTGACAGTTGTCGATCCGTTCCGAGTGGGCGATGGCCATAATGCGCAAGTCTTTGCCGCGAAGGTTCAAAACAACCCCCAAGCGCCCGACGGTGAATCAAAGGTACTAGTAGCAAAGGTCTTTGATCCGCTTTATCAGGATGACGACGAGGGATATCTGAATCCCTTTCTTTGCATGAATAAATACTATACCCACGAGGTGCATGCCTATTCTATACTCTCCGAGTTTCAGGGTGGTCTTATTCCTAGATTCTACGGGTCCTACACACTAGATCTCCCGGTCTCTGAATCAGCCGTCCGCGTTGTCCGACTGATTCTGATCGAATATATCCCCGGGTTATCCATGCTTCAGCTCAAGCCAGAAGACTTTTCGCAGCCGTGTCGTCAGCAGATTATGAAATATATAATTGATTTTGAGAGCTTAGCCTGGAAATATGATGTCGGACTCACCGATCTAAGTCCTAGAAACACGATGTTGCTGGATTTCAACTGCCATTCTCAACGGAAAGTAGTATTTCTGGACTTTGCAAGCGCGATTTTCGGCCGCAGACTAGACGGCCCAATAACAGGTCCACCGAACTTGTTTCTCGGGCAATATATCTCCCCGCGTTTGCGATGGAACAGAGACTTGGCATGGCCTTTCAATGACTGGATCGACTGGGAGTTAGTGCCCTGGATTGAACGCGAATATGCCCACGAAGAGGCGTTGATCACGCCGGAAATGAGGAAGGAATACTGCTCCCCATGACCGTTGCAGTCGACGGGATGGATGTGACCAGGCTGTGACCAGGCTTCCCCCTACCCATGTTTGTCGAACCGCCCTGTAAGGGTCGCACATCACTCGGCGCGACTAATTTTAAATGAGTAGAAATATCAAGTGAGATATCCTATTTTTCAGCATCAACCATCTACTTGGTATAACCATGCCAGTCCCAAGTAGGAACGGCAAGAGCGGAATTGGCTTCCGTCGCCGCCAGCCTCAGGCTGCTAAGTAAGTTCGACCTCAGGCAACCGCAGGTAACCGCGGCGGCCTGGCAGCCTGATCGCCAAGGCCGCCAAGGCGGAGTCCGCCTGCCGCATCCGTTGTTCTGTTGTCTGCTTCTCTCGCTCTCTCGCTCTCATCCCCCATTCCTCATCGTCTCCATTCACATCCATCACTCCCACAGTGCCCTCATCGCCATGGGCCAGCCGAGTGACCCCCCCCCTTCCTACGAGGACACCATCGCCAGCGATCCACTCGTCTCCTCCTCGTCAGGTCCACCACCCGCCAACCCCCTCCCCCCGGACAGCCAACCGCAATACAGCGTCCGTGCCGACACGCGCGATCCCTCGTCCGTCCTGCTTACCCCAGCCCTCAGCCATGATGCCTCCGCTCTGCACGACCTGCTCGTGCACCAAGCCCGCATCCCTCCGCACCCGTACCTGAACGTGCGCGGCTCCCACACCGAAACCCGCCGCGATGACACCCGCAAGAAGGACGAGTCGGAGACCGTGATCGACTTCAACTTCAGAATCGACCTGTCGGGCTACATGGTGCGCGACGAGCCCCCTCCCATCACGGACGATGACTACGACACCGGAGTCGAGGTGGATCCGCAGGATGGCTGGCGCGTGCTGGGGATCGTGCGCGATCATGACGGACAGAAGGCTTATCGCGGCGGTCGGACACGGTCGGAAACATGGACGGGACACACGCGGACCAAGAGATCGCCATCCAGACAACTGGAGGCGGGCCCGGAGAGCGAGAGCGCCGAACTGGTGCCGCCGGACGAGAACGGGCCTGGGCTCATGGGCTGGTGTGAGCGGTTCTGCGAGGATCCCGCCCCGGTCAAGTCGTATGTTTCTCCCCTGTCCCCATCTTCAACGAGTTTCTTTAGATAGAAACCTGATTGGTGGCCAGATTTGCCTTCACCCGCAGCATCGTCGGATTCGACTCGTCCGTCGTCCGCTCCGCGTTAACCTCCCACCTGCGCAGTCTGCAGTACCAGGGTAACGTTGACCTCACGATCAGCCTGGAAAACAAGACCCTGACGGTCTACTCCCCGCATTGGACGAACCGGTGGCGCAACAACGGCTATATCTTCTGGATCTGTGTCATCCTCCAGCTATGGATCATCGCCTGGCCCATCCTCTGGTTCCTCGAGCACCGCTATGATGTCGTCAGCGCGGTGTGGTATTTCTCGCGGGACGAGGGCGGGCAGCGCCACTATGCGGGCTATCGCGACGAGGCGGCGGTGGCGGAGGTGCTCGCCCCGGCTGTGACGCAGGCGGCGTTGGAGCGACGGCGCGATGGGAAGACATTGACCGTGCAGGAGCTGCAGCTACTGGACCGGCTGGGCCGGGAGCGACAGGGGCGCGGGGTGATGGTGATGACTTGGGATCGGTTCCAGCCGTGGGGTCGAGACTCCTAGGCGATATGGGAACTGCTTTTCTGCGTGGCATGGCTGGCGTATGCGTGACTGAATGGTCACTGGCGCAATGGCATTCTTATCAGTTGTCTTGCTTCTCCAGATATGTTATTTCCGCTGAGTAGCTTGGAGATCGCCAATGACGACGGATGATTGGCTGGGATGACCCCTTATCATGTGCCCTGTAAGGCAATTTCCACGAGGCCCTGCAGCAGCACAACGTGAGTACACCGTGGCTTGATGTGCGTCGCCGACAACTACCCGAATGCACCGGGATACTTCTCCCAGACCGGTGGCCGGACCGGTGGCAGGATGTTTGAGTTGGGACCGGGGAGCAGAGGGATTTCGGGGTATTTAGGGCGGCAGACTGGCAGATAGTCGACGGGCCTGGGATAGGGCAGAGGGTGCAGCCACAGCCCCCTTCGCTTACCGGGGCCCTAATCCTGCTGTGAATGTGAATGTAAGCACCCCCAAGCGGCCCGTGGCTGGCCATGCCCAGAGAACTTCCCCGCATCTTCTTATCTCTGGCGCCCCGACGTGAGCCAAGCGGTTACACAACCTTAACCCCGACTTTATAACCACGCGACTCCCGCCTTGCACAACCCGCCGCTTCCATCCCCGTGCGATGCAACCCTGACTGTCACTTGCGACTCCTATCGCATCTTCATCCGCCACCATGGCCAACGACGAGAAACCAGCCGTGGCTCCCACCGCCCATCCCGATCCCGAGTCCCTCGCCGCCCCTGGCGATGTGAAAACCGGCGCCATGCACAATATGATCGAGCGCGACCTGCTGGATGAGCGCTACGAGATCACCCAGCGCGGCCTCAAGAACCGTCACGTTCAGCTGATGGCCCTAGGAGGCACCATCGGCACTGGTCTGTTCGTCGGGTCTGGCCAGGCGCTGCACATCGGTGGCCCTCTCTCCCTCCTCCTCGGCTACATCTTCATCTCCGGCCTCGTCTACGCCATCATCACGGGTCTCGCAGAGGTCGGCGCATACCTGCCTGTCCACGGCGGCACCATGGGCTACCATGGCTACCGGTACGTGTCGCGTAGCTTGGGATTTGCCATGGGATACCTGTACTGGTACTCGCTGGGCATCCTCGTCCCGTACGAGATTGTCGCCGCCTCCATGGTCATCGACTACTGGCACCCGGACGTCAACCTCGCTGTGTGGATCACTATAATGATCGTCGTCATCGTCCTCCTCAACTGCCTGCCCGTGGGCGTGTACGGGGAAACCGAGTTCTGGTTCTCCGGAATCAAGATCCTCACGCTGGTCGGTCTTCTCATCCTCTCCTTCATCTTGTTCTGGGGCGGCGGTCCCAACCGGCAACGCCTGGGCTTCCACTACTGGAAAGGCCCTGGCGCCATGAACACCTACCTCGTATCCGGCGACGCAGGCCGCTTTGTCGGCCTCCTCCAATGCATCGTCAAATCGGCCATCGCATTCATCTTCGCCCCGGAACTGATCATCATCAGCGGCGGCGAGATGGAGTCGCCCCGTCGGAACGTCCCGAAAGCCGCCCGTCGATACATCTACCGGCTGGTCTTCTTCTACGTCCTCGCCTCGCTCGCGATCGGGGTAATCTGCTCGTCGAACGCGAAACAACTCACCGCCGGCTCCGGCACCGACGCATCCTCCTCCCCGTTCGTCGTAGCCATCACGAACGCCGGCATTCCCGTGCTCAGCAGCATCGTCAACGCGGCGATCCTCACCTCCGCCTGGTCGGCGGGCAACTCCTTCCTCTACATGTCCTCCCGGTCACTCTACTCGCTCGCGGTATCCGGCAACGCGCCCAGCATCCTCAAAACCTGCAACCGATGGGGCGTGCCCTACCTAGCCGTCACCCTCTCATCGCTCTTCTCCCTGCTAGCCTACATGGCCGTCGGCAGCGGGAGCTACACGGTCTTCAACTGGCTGATCAACTTCACCAACACCTCGGGTTTCATCTCCTGGGCCTGCTGCTCCATCGTGTACCTGCGCTTCCAGAAAGCCGTCGTCGCCCAGGGCATCGAGAAACCGTACTCCTCGCGCATCCAGCCCTGGGGCATGTGGATCGGTCTTTTTGGCTCCGTCTTCCTCATGCTCATCAACGGCTTCACCTGCTTTTTCCCCTCCCAGTGGTCCGCGAGTACCTTTTTCACCGCCTATATTGGTATCCCTGCCTTTGCGCTGCTGTATTTTGGCCATAGGGTGCTGTTTTGGAACGATCCGTGGGCCTGGAGGAGTGGGGAGGTCGATCTGGTTACCGGGCTGAGGGAGATCGTGGACGCGGAGAGGCCGGAGAGGGTGAGGCGGACGTGGTGGGATAAGATGTTGGTTTTGGTGGAGTAGATGGGTGGGTTGTAGATATCCACTGTTCGCGATAGGGCGGTGCGCGGTGGGAGTGGGAGTGAGGGGGATCGGAACGGTCCGCGATGGGCCGGTCGGGAGTGAGTGGGTTCGCTGGGTGGTGTCTGTCGCATTGTTCACGATAACGGACCTCCTGGATCCAACGGTTAGATTTTTTGTACTACATGCTGTGCATCTCCGCAGTGCATCGGATTGAATTGACTCTCTTTCCTCCCAGAATGGTGTCGTGGTATGGCTGACGGACTGATTGTATATGGTTGGGTCGCTGCGAGTCGAGTCGAGTCGCGGGGTGAATAACGTTGCCAACTCCATCATGGCCAGGCTCAAGGTCGGTCTGCGTGCGTGAGGCTCGCCTCAATCAATTTCGTCATGATTGGGGCTCGGACTTGGTGGTTTGGACTCGTCGTTTGTCTCTGTCGTGAATCATCATAATGCTCGAGGTGGTCAGATTCGGAGGAACACGCCTGGGCGGCTCGGCTGGCCGTTCACTCCCTTGGAACTTCCTCATGACGCAACAAAAGAGGTAGGCTGGTCTCCTGGCCGCATGGGCTGTCTGATGGCAGGGCAGCCTATCAGGATGCTCAGGGTGAAGTCGATTGGCCATAAAATAATAAGGCGACTGACCGTATCTTTCTACTCGTCGTCTGTGCTGCTAGTGCAGGCGAATAGGTAAACAACCCCCCCCCCCCCCCCCCCCCCTCTCCTCGAATAATTACACTCCCGATCATAATACTAACAATAAAGATCGTGATGGTTGCTCTTGACAGTCCCTGTCGGCTACAGATCAACGAATTGCCTGGGCGTGAGAGATTGGTACCTTTTATAGACAAACCTGTCGGGAACGTGGGCTAGCTCCACAATACTCTAAGTCTGAGTAAATCTGAGTAAATCTGCGCCAACCTCAGCCTAAGATTCCCCTCTGGAGATTTTTAAAGACAGAGATAATCTATGGTCCCCCAAAATAATTATTGAAATTAGGATAAATGGTTCCTACCTTCATAATCAGGTTGATTCCAGTATCCTTTCCATGTCATTCCTATATGAAAGGTACTGACTGATTCATGGAGTCAAGGTGCGTCAGCCAGGCACCGCAGGCGTCGAGGATTCCCTGTCGGGCACAACTTCACAGAATCACAGCCATGTCCGCCGTCCGCTCGGATCGGAACACTGAGGCTTTCCTATTTTGGATTCTACGGAAGCCACTGTGGGTCTGGTTCCTGTACGGAACATCGCCGGTGTTCGTCCTCCGTCGCCCTGGCGCTGTCTAGACCGCTCCGCTCTCCAGCCGGTGCCTGGTATTGAGTATTGTCAAACCCGGTATCATTCAGTATCACGCCTACGTAAGTAGGTGTCTGGACACCTTTTTGGCCGAGTGGTCTGTAAGCCATCCCACTTGCATGCCCGTGTGTAACCCTGTCTAGATGGTTGCATGCAACAACCAATAAGCTTCCCAACAGCTTCCAGTGCTTGCATCACCTACTTTTTCTCCCGACTGCCCCTGGATGTACCGGGAATAGTAGCAAGTGTCTGTATCACTCCGCACTGCCCATATCCTACACGGTCCTCCTACACACTCCTAGAATATAAACGGCATGTCCCCCCAATCGATCAAGCCATTATTCTCCTTGCCGGCCCGCTCAACTTTCCACCGGTGGCACAGCATATTTTCGATTTCAACAAGCTCAAGCGTCACGCAAGCCCAGCCTCGTGTATTTGATCGCCGCGCGTCATGTCCGACAACCGCTCCGCGAACCAGAAACCCTCGTCGCCTGACAGCGTGGGTTCTAACCACACAAACACCACAACATGCAACTATCTTGATGCAGGTTTCAACCTTGATATCGAACGTGCACAGCTTGACGAAGCCCTTGCATTCTACTTGCGGAACACAGATCAGCCCAACCCGGCAGCAATGGAACAAGCGGGCTATGCAAATCTCCCCGGCACGCTCCCCCCCACCGACATGGTCGTCGAAATTGGAGCGGGCCACCCCGTATATAACATGTACGGCCTCAACAACAGTATCTGTAACACAGGCCTCACTATCCCTCCCCAGACCTACACCAACCTTTACCCGTTTCCACCTTCTTCACCCAACCTCATCGCCAATATCGGAGACACCCCTCCCCCCATGAGCAGCCACGCAGGATGCTCCCCAACACTGTATGCCCCACCACCCACCACCCCACCACCCCACCCGATCTCCAGCCCACCTAACATCCTCCAGACCTCCCACCTTCCCATGCCGATGGGACCACTGCATGAGGGCCTTCAAGCGGAACGCCGATCTCAGAAGACACGTCGTGACCGTCCATGTATCGCTCAGGGACCAGAGATGCACGCTATGCGACTATAGCTCCCCGCGGCGAGATCACCTGCAGGACCACCTGCGACGCGCGCATGGGGTGGTGGTGCCTGTTCGCGCCCAGACTGGGAGGACTCCTAAACAATGTATGCTCAAAGCCCACGCCACGCCCGTACTAACCGAGCAATGAGAACATGGCTAACATGGCGGACACATCCCAGAACCCAAATCACAATCCCATACCCACCAAACCAGATATTTCTTTGCCGGCCCCAGAACAGAACAGCATTACTTGCTAGGCGCATATGACCGATCCCCTCACGCATGCCAAGCACGATCCATACCAACGGCTTCGCAGGGCCTCCGGATTAGCCCACATTGCAATAACTCCTCATATCTACGTTTCGGCTACCATCCCATTGTTCAAATCATGTATTATCTCCGTCTTATTTATTTCATGTGTTTTTCTGCTGGTTGGATAACAGTGCATACCCCCCCCTAATGGCCCCGCTAGAACACAGAGTTTGTATTTCTATTATTCATGTTATCGCTGAATCAAGCGCAGAGGATAGACCTATCGGAGAAGGGCGTCTGTGGGTGGGTCTATGGTATGTTTTCGAGCTCTTCAGGACGGGATTGATAGACGCGGAGTTTGTTTGATAGTTGCTAGAATTTAGCGCCCTATAGTATTTTAGCTGTGGTTTCTTTTGAAGTTGGGAGATTGTTTGGGGTAGATACGTCACATAGGCCAGACTGTCTTGCCTGAGTCTTCAGGCCCTGAGCATGTGATGGGGCGTTAGCGAGAAACCTGGTATATTTGTCTTCCCCGTTCGTACTAGAGCAAAAGAATCGGTCAGTAAATATTTTGCCAAATATGTCGACTGAACTATATTACTGGATCGAGTTGTTTTTCGTATCGTATCTGGATCAAGACAGAAACTGATAAGACATAGTAGCGATTCAGGAAATTCCCTGCTATTATGCGGATGGAAGGGAGTACAGTACCCGGCATCTCGACTGTAGACGGTTAACATCGTGGTCGAGATCGAAGATGCGCCCGGGCGGGAGATCCCGCACGCTCGATGTGGATTAGCGCAATACCGGCTGCAGGCTTTTTGCTCGTCTTTTAGGGGTTGTCTTTTTTGTAAAATCGGGATATAGCCATGCGACGACGGGAGCCCTATCTAGCACCCGCGCCCCTCGCCCCTTTGAACTGTTTTCTCTTTTATCGTCTTTGTCCCCCCCCCCCCCCCCCCCCAAATCAATTTATTCTCGCATGGATACCACCACCACTGCAGGTGTGCAAATGAATTGGATGACCCAATAAAATGAATAAGTCGACATGGGCACAGGCATCCATCCAAATATGCAAATTTGGATGACATAACGGGCGTAAAATGAGTCCGTGCGGTGCTGAGGTTTGCCAGTCCTGAGATATAATATGGCTCTCCCCCACAGCAGGAAGTTGGCTTGGACCACCAGTTCCATTTTCTATACACCCCTAGCAGCGCCTGGAGGCAATAGTTTCCATACTGCCCTTCATTCCACGAGGCCCATTTCAGACGTCGAAGCGAGAAATTCAAGATCGACCATAGCTGCTCAGAAAAGTACTATCCGGGACACAGAACATAATGTGCATCCCAAAAGAAATACCAAATGCCCCCCCAAAAACAAATCCAGACCCTCGGCCAAAGAAATCGCGGATTCCAGACCAAGAGCTTCCACCAAGTCAGAAGAAACATCTAGCCAGGTAGAACGGCCTTCCACTAAGGGCCAAAAGAGACGCCCCAAAACGCCTGCACCATCACCACCTACCATGTCCGAAGAGCAAACTGCCACCAAGCCCAAACCTCGCAAGTACGCCTGCCACTGGGGAGACTGTACAGTTACAGGCAGCAAGCCTAGCTCTATCGCCGCACATGTCGCTGCTGTTCATCTCGGTATGAGGAATCATCCATGCCCGCATTGCCCCGCTCGCTTAAAACATGCTTGTAGTCTACACAAGCATTTGGGTCGATTCCATAAGTAGGTGATAGATTCACGACATACGGAGAAATTTAGTTGGTATTCGTCAGTCTTATCCGCCTGGGTGCGTTTCTTCTCTTGATACAAAGATCGGTTCGTCAGACAGATTCATTCCCCGTCGCGTTGGGATGGAATGACACGCGCCAGCTGTATAGCCTTTCGTGTCGGACATGAAATGACCCGGAAGGAAAAACGATCGATTAGAGATAGCTTGGTGTTAGATTGCACTCTTTCTGGGAGCGGATATTTCTATATTTTCAATACTCAATTTCGCTTGGTTTATACTCCCGGGGTCTTTGATTCAGGTTCCGTAATTCCTAGCTTCCTTATACAATAATCGTATATCTAAAAAGGGATTAATTTGCATTTCTGGGGATTTCCATTTCATCTGATTCATAGGAGACCACAAATCGCCTCTGTTATGTAGTTACTGTTCTGGCTGTAGGTCCCTCTTGCTGAGCGGCAGGCAGGGAGTGTTCCTTTCGCCGCGATGGCGCTCATCCGGTACGGCAGTACTCTGTACCACACAGGTCAACTGCCTCCTCCTCATAGTCATAGTCATAGTCCCGAGCCGTGACTGCCACACGATCCGATCCTGTAATGTCGCTGGGGCAGAGGGAGGCCAGTCGATCGTGGATTAGTAATAATAATGTCTTGTAGATGGCGATTTCCGTTCTATCATCTCCAGTATTTATCTAGCAATATCTTAGATTATCGGAGCAAGTCGGCCCTAGCGCTTAGAAAGATGGCCTCCGGGACCACTCATAGTCCGGAGAACGTGATATGACAATAAGCATCAAGGTAACTTCCAGCCGCTTTGGTGGCATATCCCATATCGGAACTGTCTAGTCGCTCGTCTGGAGATACACCAGGAGGAGCTCTCCTTTTGGCCCGGCAGTCTCCCATCTGAATGGATACTGTCAAAGCTCAAGTCCTTGCAGACATATACGAAGAAGGAACATCCCATCCTAGACCTAGATATAAAATGCTTACGTTGGCCTCGGAGAGCGAGCGTAAGTATAGCAATCACAAGAACACTCTAGTACAACACTCTATCGCAAGAATACTCCACCATAATACTCTACCGACAAATCCAATCTCGTGCTAATTTCAACATGTCTTTCGAAGACAATAATGCAGGACAAGGTCCTTCCATATTCCCACACCGGTTCTTCACACGAAACATGTCGAACGATGAATTCTTCGAACTAGGATATGAAAGCATAGACCCGAGGCTTCTGAGCATGAACCCAGATGACATGTTTCAGAGCTCCGCTGGGCTATCGGAGGTTCCTACCGTGGGGTACAAGCTGATCAGGTTTGTCAACTCTGTATATCTCTATGCCTATCAATTGCTAATGAATCTTAGACATCCCGACGGCTGCATTTATTGTCCACGGAGCGATTGCCAGGTGACATTTATGGGACTCCCCGACGTGATCAAACATCTTGAGGAGTGGCATGGGGCTTCTGAGAATGTTATGAAAGCCTTGTTATGCCCATTTGACGAGTGCAAGGCAGTCTTCATGCTGAGAAATTACTTCGATATACATGTCCGGAATGCCCACAACGAAGACCCAGCAAAGTATGAGGCGCCTTTCCACCCTAATAGGTGTGACATTGATGGCTGCACCAAGTGGTTTGGTACTCAAAACACCTTCCGAGGTCACTTGTTTCAATGGCACAATGATGCTGATACAGCAAGGGGCCGTTTTCAATGTCCATTTGTGGACTGCACAGTGACAACTTTGCGCAAACTATACTTCGACGTACATGTCAGGACTGTCCATGGTGAGGATCCTGCAAAGTATGTCGTCAAGTGTCCATCGGAGGATTGTAGCCAGTTTTTTACGCATCAGAAGTTCGTACAAAAACATATCATCAATGAGCATGGATCGGAAAAGGCTGAGATGACCAAAATGCAATCTTCCATTGCCAGTTGCGCACAGACTTCCGAGGATCAAGGAGACCTGTTCAAGTGCAATGTGGAGGGATGCGGCAAATCATTCTCAAAGGAATGGATGTTGAAAAGACATACCAATGTTTCTCACGGCACGCCTGATAGGTTGATGTGTAGTCAGCCCAACTGCAGATCAACCTTTACTTCCCCGGGACGTCTGGCCAGACATGTCAGCGCCATACATATAAACATCCCGGATAAGCGCTGGAAGTGTCCGAAGGTTGACTGCGAGGCCTCTTTTGGGAGCCTGGGAGGCTTATGGCACCACAAGAGAACTCATGGAGATGCTAAAGGCCCTACAGGATACACCCAGTGCGCGATACCGAGCTGCGGAAGGTTCTATTGCTCACCCAAGAGCTTAAAGAAGCATATCAACATGGTCCATAAACGCAAAGCAGTTGATCCTGGTGAGGGCACCAGCGGACTCAGCAGACCCAGCAGATACTTGAAGTGCCATGAGACTGGCTGCACGAAGGCCCATGATACCATTGAAGAATTGAATTATCATTTGATAAAACAGCACAAGGCGGGTCCTCCAGATAGAGACGCCGAGGTCGTGAAGTGCCATAAATGCTTCTGTCATACTTTGTTTAAGTCAATCCCAAATTTGGAGGTACATCTGAGAAGGTCGCACGGAGGGGATCAGGCAACTACGATCCCAGATAAGGTCCCTGGGAAGTACAAGTGCGAGACGCCTGGTTGCGGGCACTCCTACCATTTACTTCAAAGTTTGAGGCGACATATTAGGTCGAAGCATAGAGCAGGTCATACTATCCAGGGCTCTGGAATCTGCTTCAAGTGCAACCAGACTGGGTGCCAAGAGTCCTTTGCAACTTCAGATGACTTGATTACCCACGTACGAGATTCTCATAACAGGGATGTTAACTACTTTCAATGTGCGGGGTGTCGTATCGCCTATACCTCACCAGATTCCTTGGTGGTGCATCAAAAAAACTGCAAAAAGTACCTAGCTGCCCCACAGTCTCACTCTTAATTATTGTCCTCTTGTGATATGTGTGGGAAGGCTTCACCACCAATGCAACTCTCGAACTCCCTTTATATGTCATTATTTTCGAGAAAAATATTTTTCTGCTTTTCAGCTCTTTCGTCTTGAGAAGTTTCCGTTCTGCAATAGAATTACCTCAAGATTCAACATGAGGCTTCTTGCCTATTTTTCTTTACCCAATTAGCTTCCAATCCTACAGGAGTTTAAATATGATTATGGCATGAAGTGAGATGATTGTAAACTGTATTTGTCGGAATGAAACTTTGCGGAATGCCCTCAATTATTACTAGTTTTTGACTATTTATCAGAGTCAATATTATCAAAATCTGTTTCATCTTATCTCTCTCTGCTGATTTGATAGTACAATGAAAACATCAGAGAAGAACCTGAAAAGCGTATTGATGAAGAGGATTGATGATTATGTAGATTTAAAAATAGAACTTCAACTGATATGAAGAAAAAACTCACTATTGTGAAAGATGACCGACCACCTAGGGATGTTACTACCAACAGGAACAAAAGACCAGTATTACCCGCAGTAATACGTGGATCATAATAGCAATCTCCGACTTACCTCTGATCACTTTGACCAGCCCGACCCTCTCCTTGATGTATAAGAGATTGGCCCGTTCCCGTGTAGTATGAGGGGGGATTTTCCGGGGGGAGACAGAATGCCGGGAAGTGAGCTGGGACAAACAACCCAGGAAGGCGTATAGCGGATCGCCTCAACTGTAAAGTAGGACAGGTAAGGTACTGTAAGCGAGTCACAGCGTTTCAGTGGAAGAGAGGGGTGATCCGTCCTGACTGTCCTGCGCCTTCCGATCTGCACGGTTGGGGAAAGAATAGTAATTGATACCAGGGCTGATATTGCCAGGAGAAACATGTCTACCCGGGGGTAATAAGCGATGTCAGACTCCTTTGGGGTCGCCGACAGGAAACCAGTCGCCTCTCATAGAAAAATTGCCAATGACGGTACTCTGTATCACATGAGACAACTGCGGGTTGGTCACAGTCATACTCCGTAGTCCTGGGCCGTAACCGCCACGCGACCTCGAGTGTAGCGTACAATACTGTATTGGAGAGGATCCTCTGCCAACAAGAAAGAATTCCCAAAGAAGACCTGGCTTTCACCCAGGTTATCCACAAACTTGATTTTTTTGCATTCACTAGATGACCACCATGGCTCGAGTGCGACCGCCTAGACTTTTCACTCTGGCGTCTTCGAGAACCCCAATCAAATCAGCACCAGCATGAGCCAGAGTGGCCAGAAGCAACAACATCATCAATTCCACCCGACCCGGCGATCCTGCCAGCCTCTCGGCACGGGCCTCTTTTCGGGAAGGCCCGCGAATAGCGCTTTCTTGGCTCCCCCGCCCACGAGGAAACCTCCCGACTTGTTTCGCAATTATCTGTTGTGTGAACCTGAATTCGAAGTGATGGAGTAATTCTTGCAGAGCTGGTGGGAAGTTCTTAGCTTCGAGTTACTCTTAGAAATGGGAAAATAGAAAGTCCCCGCGCCTGTTTCGGGGCCATCCTGAAGCCCCTGCTGCGGTTTAAATACGTTATATATAAATCCGTGTTACCCCACTGTTCAACTTGGGAAGGTTCAATTCGTATTCAATTGAACTTCCCATCACCTGTTCCTGAGTATCCCAACCATAACCATAGCGCAAAGCTTTGTCCACCTGATAAGGACTCTGGTTTGGTCTTTGGCGGCGCACAGTTTACAGCAATCAATCACAAGCCTCAAGCAACTACACCTGCTATGGCCGATCTGTGGGCCACCCCCGCTGCACAGGCCGCTCTGAACAATGAGCAACACACTGACCTCGTGCCCGGGGCTGCAGATGGCCACGACATTGTCACTGGCCTAGAATTCCTGAGCCTGGACTCAGTTGTGACAGACTTGAATGCGCCCGGAAATTCAAACAGCAATCAACAGCCTACCGATCGCGTCCATAGGGCAGCGGATCAAGAAATCATTGATGCACGCAACCAGATCGTATCTGGAACAGACTTGAATCGTCCTTACCTCGACCAAATCTCTCCCCATCCATTCGGGCCTTCCGAAACTTCGAGTGACCCCCCGGAAAAGCCTTTCGTCTGTGGATTGCCCGGCTGTATGAAATCCTTCACCGAAACAAGACCGCTGAGTCTCCACTATAAACGTATCCACCGGAGATACAGATCTTTTGTCTCCTGGGATAGCACATCCGAAAGTCCGAGAATTCCCCCAAGAGGGCCCTTCATCTGCGGTTCGATTGGCTGTATGAAGCCCTTCTGGCGAATAGACCATCTAGATCGGCACTACAGCACTGTCCACCTGAGACTTCGTATCCCCTGTGACTGGCCCGGCTGTGACAGGGGCTTCCTGGGAGAGAAGAAAATGAAGCAACACCGCAATAGTATTCATGTACGACCTTGCCGGTTTGTCTGTTTGGAATGCGGACAGGTTTGCAACCTAAAGGGAACCTTAGTAGCCCATATAAAAGGGGTGCATAGTTGCCCCGGGGTAGGAGAAAGACCGTCAACTGAGGTATGTTGAGACTAATCATCCCTTCCAATATTGTCACAGTTGCAGCTCACCTGTACAAGGCCGGTGTTCGTTACTTCTACCCCATTCGACCGGAGGGGATCACTCAGTAATAGCTCCCTAATGGACGGTCTTCCCCCCCCCCACCCCCCGAGCGCCTGAGTAGTTTTATCCTTGCGTCTTTGTTGGTGGCGGGCGCAGCGTATCCTGGATACACACAAGACGTATGAGGGCCCATTAGACCGTTCTCTTCCCATTATCGTTAATTTCCAATCTTCTTGAATAGGTGCTTAATTCATAGAGTAAGACTTTTGTTTCTTATTTAGTCCGGTCAGCAATATAAAGTCTTCTTTCTCCTTCCACTGATGTAGACCCAATAAACGTGTATTTCCGTACGTCAAAGCCATGAAAGTATTTCCTTGTCCCAGCTAGGAAGAAAATTAGGGATGCGCTACAGGCACACCAGATTGGTACAGGCACACTTGTGACGTGATTTATCTTTTCACTCAGGAAATTGATATATATAAATGAATCAAAGTTACACACGCAGGCAGATTGGCTATATGCAGGTGGATAAGATAGATACGCAGGTGGTCAACTACGCGCAGGCAGGTTAGCTACACAGCAGGCAGGCAATGATCCTATATAAAGGCGGTGGGGTAATATTCCTAAGTAGACAGGTGGAGTAGTAAGAGGAGTGGATATATCGAAATCCTGATATGCCCGTGGCATTCCAGGTGTTCCTGTAACATCTCTCTGGAATTAAATTTGCTTGCTCTTAAAATTAAACCCAAGCTTATTAGTAGATCACTATTCCATCCTATCACAGCGCATTTATATTACCAGGAAACACAGGTATACCCCCTAGACCAAAACGATGCCTCAATATTCTTCTGGCTATGAAGGTCTGGTTCTTTGGCTAGTAGATATACTTCGCCTATCTAAGGCCTCTCTGTCCGTACTGGTTCTTTTCTTTCCCTAGACAAAATTCGTAGATTGTAATTCCTATTTGCATTCAATTACATGCGCAGGGCTTCTCTATCTACCATAGGAAGCCTTCAATCGGCCAATTTTATCCCCTTACCAAGCCATAACCTAGCTAGAAGATATCTGATCCGCAGTAGATCTAGAGATCGGCAGTGATCACCGGTAGCGATGTAAAGCCCGGTCTACGCGCAAAGCCGAGTCTCCCAACGAACGAGAAGGATCGGACCGTCACCGGCTTCTCGCCGAAAGCGGAAGTCCACGTGGTCTGAAAATACCTGGGAAACTTCTACACCTTTTCATACCAAGTCCATGTCATGGAAGGGAGGAAGTCGATGGATGTTGCATCAGTGATCTATAATATCTGGCGAATTCCGCTGGATCCTCCCCAGGGTTTATCCAGCACCCGGGAGAATGCCGTTTAGTATTATCCATTCTTAGATACCTCCATGGATGGTACAGAAGGATACCCCCTGGTGGTCATAATAGCAAAGCCAAATTGAAGGTAATCACCCTTCGTCCGCAGGAAAACCCCATTGAATGGTGTCTGGTTTGCAGTGATTAAATGGCATCTCCCGGGATTGTCTTGATTTATGCTGGAAAAATAGGAAACTTCCTTGATAATGCCAGTCCCAGACATAGATATAAAAGGATGGTGCCAGTTGCGAGGAATCGGAATAAACCATACGTTGCACAAAATCAGCTGGAGTACTACAGTCGATCAACAGAAATCAACCTCAGATTCATTCAAAAGTCAAAATGTCTACTATCCGACAAACCTATCCTGAGAGCCCAGAGAAAGGGGAGATTGTTGATTACTCTAGCGATTCTTCGTGGGATGAAGATAGTGCTGAGGAGGATCATGGCCCTACGCTCCCTACCAAGCGTACGTACGAGGAGTATGCAAGTCAATCCTCGAACAATGATATCTACCAAAGCGACAACTCCGGGGCAGTGAATCCTACCCAAGATATGGGAGCCTCCGCTGACCCATCCGCGGGCCATGCCAGAACCCATAAATCGTCTAGTATTGCCAGGGCGGTATTCTTGTGCCCACTTTGCCAGGATCCCTTCATGAAAAGAGACTCATTTGACGAGCATGTCCGCAATACTCACAAAGAAGACCCAGCAAAGTACGATAGGCCTTTTCCACCTATACGGTGCCATCTGAGAGGATGCTTCGCATTCTTTGGCAGGTTTCGTGCTTTATATAAGCACCTGCGGGAAGACCACGAAGGGGTTGATATGTCTCCAGGCAAATTCCACTGCCCATACAAGAATTGCGGAACAGACTGGAAATGCATGGCATATTTTGAAAACCACATCCTTCTCGCTCACTATGGCGTGCGATACAAACCTTATTTCAAGTGCCCGTGGGCGGGCTGCCCCAACTTCTATACTGAAGAAGTCTCAATGAGAAATCATTTCCTCGATCAACATTATGAAATGAAACCTAGGCGTTTTGACTTCCTCTGCTCGTTTGATGGAAAGACCTTCCGAAAACGGTCAGAGTTTGAGAAACATCTTTCGGATGATCACCATGTTGGTACGAAGGACCATGCTCCCCAGTTCCTGTGCCTTCTGGATGACTGCACGGAGTCCTATGTCGACAAGGAGGATTTGGAAGATCATATAAGACAAAACCACAGATTCTGTCGCAGACGTCTACTCCCTGAAGGAAGCTTCATATGCATGATAGGTAATTGCATATTTTCGTGTGAGCGTGCAAATGATTTATGGGAGCACCAGAGGACCAAACACAACAGAATGACATGCTATGTACATGGATGCAGAGAGACATTTGAAAGTCAGGACGAGTGGACCTCTCATATGAAGGCTACACATATGCAGCCTGTACAGATGATGCAGCCTGCACAAGCAGAGCCTGCAGAAGCGGAGCCCGTGAGAGCAGAGCCTGCATACACAAAGCCTCGGCCTTCTTGTTGGGCTTGTCCAGGATGTAGTGCAGACTTCCGGGAAGGGAATGCCTTGTTCGCGCATATGAGCAGTTGCGAAGGATATCCTGCCGCTGAGCAGCCGCCGTTGTAGTCAGTTTCTCTATCTTTCAATTTCTGTCAAGGGAAGCAAAGGTAAAAGCCCCATTACAGGGAATTACTTTGTGGAAATTCGTCCCGCCTTTCTTTCCATAGAGTTACAGAGTGTAGCTTCCCGAATCAGAATTATCATCCATCTTACCCATTCTCACCCTGATCTGTGAAGGGGCAGCTAGCAACAAATAAGTCATTTAATTACACGTAGCCAGCCGGGAGACGTAATGATTTCCATTTCCATTGCATGATTTCTTGAATATAGGATGAAATAATACCTGTCCTTAATCCTGGTGAGCTGCTACAGCCACACTGGTCAGGGCTCCTGCCACACATATCACCCACCACCTACGCGTTGTTAATCTGCCTGCACATGATCAAAATACCATTGCTAGAACCATAACCTTGCCCTTGACAGGAAGGAATAACTTATAAGCGAAGTTTGAGTATGTTTTGTTCAAAAAAGCTGGCTCCACACCGCTAAGCAGGTAGAGAAGCCAAGAGGGAGAATAGTTCCATTATCCAATGGATTTAATACCTCCCGTTGTTTCAAGAAAGATGTCGCCGAAGATAGAAGCTCGTGGGTTAAAAGCTCTGGCTGTAGTAGACCACCTTAACAAAGCCGACGAGGGCATTGGTTTATTTTTTACAAGTCTCTGCGCTGCCTGTTCGTGATGGCGTCTCTTTCTGTACCCCAACTCATATGAACAAATATTCCACAAAACGGAGTTGATCGTCAGTCCCAGTCAGGCCTAGCGCCTGCTGCAGCCTCTTTCACCTCGCTTGGCGAGCGCACAGCCTGCCCGTTTCTGCTTCTTTGTGAACGACCGCGTAGCTGGAGGATATCCCCCTCTTGTTTTCTTCGCGTCTTCGGTCTGATCTCTGTCGCCCAAGCCGTGGAAAGTGATACACACTCCAGACAATAACTACCATCACCGAAAGATGTTGCAAATATCAGACAGTCATGCCAGGGAACCATCTCGAAGATCCAGGCAACTGGCGAAACTTACTGTTCAGATATTGAAAGGGCATACTCCGCACACTCTGATCCACAGCCCAGGTCTTGACAAGGAGCAAAACAATTCATGTTACAGTCGAAACGTCTGCGAGGAAGGTAATCGCTGCTATATAATGTTCTGAATGCATCCAAAAAGCATGCTATAGGAAAATGTTTTCTGTTCACTGAGGGAAACGACATTAAGAACCAGTACCTAATGCTCGGATACTTCCGTGCGCAATTTTTGCCCAGAACCCCCGAGGGTAAATAAGAGCTCCTGGCTCGGACCTTGCCCGAAAGATGTCACAGACCACCCTGGCCCGCAAAGGGGGAACTAACCGATGCCAACAGCTTCATTTTTTCATGGGGCGCAATGAGGTAGTCTCACGGCATGCTACCATATCACTATAGACAGGAAGTTATCTATCGGGACCCTCCTGAAAATGGTAAACAGTTAACGTAACATCATTGTATGTGGCATAATACAATGTTGACCTACGATAAAGACTCAACAGAGCCTCAGGCGAGGAATTCGATTTGTTCCGCAGGGGCTTTCCGTCAAAAGCATGCTCTATCATGCAACCCATAGAGGTATAAATGATGGCGATTTTCTTGGGGAGTCATAGTAGAACAGCTTCAGCAATATTAGATTCAATACAGCATTATAACTTCCAGTGCCACGTTGAACGATTTTCAAAATGGACACCACAACAACCATTGACCCCGCTCTCCTGAGCCTCGAGGAAATGCTCTATTATGATGACGATGCTTTGGAAGGTGAAGATGAAGATGCTTGGTGGGAGTTCCCCAATAATGACGATTATCTGATTGGTGAGTCTGAGATGGGTTCGTATGAGGGTACTCATGAGGTACCGTCATCGAACAGGCCAGATGAAGATATTTTTCAAATGGGCAATTTCCATGCGCACCATGGCAGCAGCTTCCAGGCTGTGAGTTATGACGCTCATGCTCAAACAGAACAAAGCGTAAATTCCGACATAATGGGAAGGTCGGATGAGGACTTTCTTCAAATGGGTGATTTCTATGCGCACCACGGCAGCAGCTCTCAGGACGTGAATCATGACGGTTACGACCAAACTGAACAGAGCAGAAATCCTGATATATTGGAAAGGTATGTCAACTCGCAATCTCCCTATACATGGAGGTCTGTGTACTAACACAGCCTTAGCCGTCCTGATGGCCATCTTTATTGCCCGCAGCGGAGTTGCCAACTAACTTTCCCCAACGACGTTGACATTTATAAGCACCTAGAACAGGACCACGGAGTAGCTGACGGTCTAGAAGGACTTTTTCAATGCCCATTTCCCAAATGCCAAGTTGTCTACCGGCGAAGGCATTATTTTGATGTACACGTCCGGAACACGCATAACATTGACCCAGCGGTTTATGAGAGGCCTTTTCCACCTTGGAGGTGTGACAAGAAAGACTGCTTGAAATTTTACGGATCTCGAGGTGAGTGGGAGCAACACCTCCTCAGAGGTCATGCGGGTCCGGATTTCGATAGGACCATAGGCTTTTTCGACTGTCCTTTTGAGAATTGCGCGACAGCCTTCCGGCGCAAACTTTACACGAATGCACCTGTCCGGATTGCTCATTACGATGACCCAGATAAGTATGACATCCGTGATCGGTCTTTCAAATGTCAGTGGGAGGGCTGTTCGAGGTTCTTTGGCAAGGAGGAGATTTTGAAAGAACATGTCAGAGATCATGAACGGCCCTGCCCCGGGATTCTCTATTATCTCTGTCCAGTGGCAAACTGTGCCATAGAGTTTGGCAAGAGGTGGTCGCTTCAAAAACATATTAGGGATCATCATGCTGACAACCCTGGAAGATATAAGATCCGTTGTCGAGTCCAATGCAGTTGGCCAGGCTGTAGTAAGAATTTTAGAAACAGGCAGATCTTGCAGCAACATGTTGATGGTCAACACATTGTTAAGGAAGATGAGATATACAGGTGTGACCAGCCAGATTGCACAAGGTTCTACACCAATCAAACATCATTGGAGAAACATCTCCAGGATGAACATAATATCGACAAAGAAAAGAAATGTTTCAAGTGTGATATAGAAACATGCCAGAGATTGTTCTCTAGCAAAGATGGGCTGTTGAAGCACATCAGGTATTCCCATAGGGCTGACGAGAATTGTGATTTGGCGTGTGATTGGGAGGGATGTACATATACCTTCCGAACACAAGACACGTTGAATCGGCATAAACGAAACATTCATGGTGCAGGTGCATCTAAAGCTGACGCCGAAGTTCAATACAAGTGTGAGTGTGGCAGGTCCTATGGTAATAATGGGGTTTTACTGAGGCATAAGGAGACGTGTGATGGAACGCTTGATACCATTCGAGAGCGTAACACTCTTCGAGGCAGTGAACTGCGTCGAGCGCGTAAAAGTGGTCAGGCGGTTGAAAGCAGACCCAGTGAGCGAATTGATTGCAGTCAAATGGGTTGCACCGAAACCTTTGAGTCACGACCCCAGTTGTATGCCCATATTGCAGATGCTCACCCGATATTTCGCACCCCGTCTACCCGTTGCGTGTGTGAGGAATGTGGCAACTATTTCGCTTCACCGGGAAACTTGAGGAAGCATCAAAAGGCGTTTCATAAACACTTGGCCGCCCAAGAGTCCAACCCCTAGTCATGCCGGTCATTTGAAATATCTCAAATTTGAGAAGAAAACTATGCACAAGATTACTACTTCAGTCGATAGTTTCCTTTACATAGATTTCCTGAATCATGTTGATTATTGTTCTGTTTTACATATTTTAGTTGGCCGCTTCTCATGTCCAAGATGAGTCAAAACGCGATACGTATTATCTCACTGCAATTGCTTTGCGGGCAATGGATTCTATCGCCTCGAACGGCCCCCATAGACAAATCGCGGCGGCCATAGTAGACAACCAGAATTTGACAACAGTATTACAGAGTTCGATCCTGTCCCGAATACAATCATATTATACAGTACACGAAGCTTTAAGTTCACTTATTTTATACCAAAAGCCGAGTGTTGCTCACAAGAATGTATTCCACATCGTTAGGAATCCTTAAAAGGCCTGATTCACTACAAGCCTGTGCTAGCTATACAGCAAGTAGCCGGAAGAAAGGTGAATAGGCAAGTCATACAAGACCTCTCATACCACAACCTATCTCATCAATGGGACATCTCACCGTGAGGGGTTCCTGTAGGGCGATCGTTGCATGTTCTGATTAGACGGCGAACCTGTAAACTGCGAGAGTGCTAGTAGAAAAGAGGGGCCGGAAATAGGATGTAGAGCAGTACCACCGGAAGGAGTGAAGATTGGTAGCCAAATATCGGGATAGAGAGTCCACGGTAGAAAGGGAGGTTGATCGCAAAGGGAGAAGAATTGTCGGTGATGGGCGAGCAAGGCCTCGGCCGAGTCAAATATGCAACCACAGATACGACAAGAAAGGATGGGGATATCGAAATGAACCATCCTAGTGTGCCTCAACGCAAGAATCGGAGGCCCAGAGAAGGTACACCCCAAAATGGGGCATCTGACGGGCGATGAGGCCTTGTCAGTCTCTGATATCGCTCTAAACGCGAAGGAAAAGCCTCGCAGTTGACCAGTTGACGTACCTTTCCACCGGCATTCCGTAAAAGTCCTCCCCGTTTGTGCTCTCGGGCTTTCCTTGTTGATCTTCTGCCCACACTCCGTCGTCAATGGACCATGATGGATTATGTGGGACACCGAAGCTCGCTACGGAGGATCCAGTCTCATGATTCAATGTTTGCAAAGGTACATCGTCGGCATCGTCACAATATTCATAATCAACCTCGTCATCCGCCCACGGATTTCGACAGTCGATCAAGCTAGTGGTCGCCAAAACATTTCTCTCGGAGTTTAACTGGGACGAGAGCAAAGAGCTGCAATCATAATCAAACGAGTCCCACGATTCATTACACAAATCTTCATGTTCCACGACCGAGGCTTCTTGTTGTTCCTTAGCCTTTTCGTACTGGGATACAGCCAGTGCTTTCCAGAGGGGTGAGTAACCCATCTTGAAGCTATGGCCACGAAGAAACCCAAGGTACGCTTGCGCGTGGGGAGTAAAGAAGCGAATCAATCAGGGCAGTTGGTGAGTTATATACTCAAGTCGATATATCCGGAATGCTTTGTGATCCAGATCTTCCAAACGGCCGTGGGGGGGTACACCTAGACAAAGGAATTTGTAGGGGTCAGTAGGTAGGAACAATAGCATTGATTAAATGCGAGACAATGTGGATCAAAGCAGCTAGGAAATGCTAGAGCAAACTGTGGTGGTCAATTCCATCAACAAGCTGTATCTATTGGGCGAGTTGCGATGTCTTCACTTGCTTTATTACTTTTCGATAGCCCCCTGGTAAGCTCCTCACCATGTTTCATTATTGAAAATCCCATTGTTGTTGTATTGACCTTTCTTTAGATCTCAATGCTGCTCTTTTTCTTTGTCAACCTTCTTGATATGATTGACGGTAATTACCGGGTACCTCCTCATTGTTTGACAGAAAACCACTACGGCAAGATGAGGACTTATAGCCTGGGTCTTCCCAGCGTGGCCGACACCATTCAGCTCCATGAGACTATATACCAAGTGGAGATGAAAATGAAATCTGATCGACAAGGTCCGTGTGAAAAAGATCTGTTGAGAGCATAGTAAAGTTGGTTATCATCCATAACATCAGCTATCACAGGTAGACACCCGCGTTAATCTGACTTCAAACCGATGAGTACCGTGCTGGAGCGGAAATTTTCGCACATAGAGAGAGCGGAATGCTTGGCAAAAATGAATTCACCCGCTGTAAGAACATACTAGTATGGATGACTGGAGAGAGCCTTCCAGGAAGTTGCCGGTGTGGCCATTGCCATATCCCAGATTTTGAATGGGAGAATTCCTACAATTCAAAACGCCAGCAGTTCAAGCACCGGAATACGCCTTAGCCCATTTCAAACTATACATAAAGACCTCGCAGACCATTCTTTCGGTTCAAGCAAAAGACAACCCAGATTATTGGAATCATCCTTCACAATACTTGGGACGTTCTGCAATCCGGGAGAGAAACCCCATTCCTAGGTGTTCTCGTTCGATCCAGTTTCATCATGTCTTCCTCATACTCCAACCGCCATGACCGTGACCCGAAGCCTAGCGATCTGGAGGCCATCGAGTGCACAGGAAAGGCTTTGAGTGACAATGGCGTTAGTTCCCACCCCCCGGGAGCGGACAATGAAGCCTCGAGCATCTGGGCCACCGATGTAAGGGAAGAACTGGAATGGACCACGGGCCGTCGAGTCCGGCGCCCCCGACGCGTGGCCTGCAACGATCATACCGAACGCGGTTGTATCTGGCACATTCACCCGCTACAGATCCGTCGAAGGCAGTCTGACCTCGGGCGGGAATCTGCCCAGACTGTTAAGAAAGTTGAGAGAAGGAATATATACACCGCACGTCCAAGAACATTTCCGTTCGGAGCAGGGAATAAACAAGTTAACTTGGCTAGTGAGCCTTTCCGGTGTCGGTGGGAAGGATGCTCCGCGACAGAGCCTTTCGAACGAACAAGCGATATCATGGCTCACATCGCATCTCAGCACCTGCATGTGGAGCCACCTGCGTGTTTTAGTTGTACAGTCCGCTCTTCCAGGAATCTCACTCTCGGCTACGGTCAGCCATTCCCTCATTCGGAGAAAGATGCAAGTGAGAAATCCCCCGAGATTTGATCTCACTCCGCCTTTGTGTATGTGGCCTTCGAATCGGGGTCGCATGTGACACAGGACCACTGTGATGATGTGGACTGTGTGTTTTCTGAAGCTTGTCTTTTTCGGGAGTTTTCTCCCGACTATGTGCTAGGATTAATATTTTTCTAATCCACATTTCAGTATCCTCAAATTCGCTCACAAATTGCGTAAAGATCCGCTGGCAGATAGGTGGCCAGGTTCGATCAAGCACCGGTCACGTTCAAGACCGTCGTAGCTGTAGGGTAGATATTATAGAGTGGTCGACACAGGGTCATTCGGTGGCTGAGATAAGCTTTGAGGCTCCAGGAGTCTATTAATGGGCGACATTCTTCAGACTCGCCGATTTAGGGCTCGGCATTTGTGTGCCTGAGGTTCATCCCATGGTCAGAGCTGTGAAGTATTGTATCGGGAACCGACGGTCTGTTTGCAAACATACTCGACTTCACCTGAAAGAATACTTCAGCAGAGTATGATTTTTTCTATAATAATGCTGCAATGCCAATATTGGAAATAGTCGCATGAATGCCCATCCCGTGAGCCAGCCGGGGTAAGGGAAACACAGACAGACAACTGGTGGTTACTTGATTTCCGTCGTATTGGTTACATCATAACTGGAAGGATTTTGAAACAAAATAATATTCTCAAGGAATACGAAAATTTCAACCACAATCGCGAGTATCCCTGGATGGTGTGGAAGAAGTGGTAGCCGTATAACACATGTGAAGACCACTTCGGAGAAAAGACAACTCCCCGCCTGTGCCTCCCTATAGGGATGACAAATTTGAGAAAAGATGACGTGGATCTGATCCCTGACCAGGTGTAACCTTCCAGAATGGTACATGCAAAATACCTCAATTGAGGAGGAATACTCCATGCTTTCCAACTCGTATGTCTGGTTTGTGGGAACGTCCAAACACGACCGACACGTACACGTGAGTTAGCACTCGAAATGTAAAGAAAGTAACATGGTTTGGGAGTGGGGGTCTTATGACTCAAGTTCAATATTCACCGTGCGAAAGTTTTCTCTTTCTCCGGCAACCCCAACCGCAATTTCCATCCCAGTGAAGTCGTAAAGTCGCCTTCCGGGTGGCTGTCGGGTACTTCCGACTTTCTACCGTGCGATCGAGAAAGGAAAACCCCGTTTTAGCCCATTCGAACGACGTAGCCTGCTTCAGGCATGTGTTGTGTCTTGCCGTCTTTGTCTAGACTCGTTTGTCGCCTTGTTCTCACTTTCCCTCTCCAACTCCTGACGTAAACCCGTACAATCATCAAGTCCTGGTTGGACCTCGATCCAGAATCCATCGGGCGCAGAGCGTTACCACCTGTAGTGCGTCGTTGCTACTCATGTTCCGATCCTCCGTGTGACTGGGAGGTGCCGTCCCTGCGTCTATCATGCTCACCCCCCAGCGAACTGGCCTTCCGAACATGGACCTCCCGCCGAACATTGGAGTTGCAATGCGCTTGAAGAACGCCGCAATCGCCCCACAATACCCAGAAAGCGACGAAACTGGGTTCCTGCCTGAAGAAATGTAAGATCTTCTTACTTCGTACCTCTCCACAATCCTCACTGATTTCCAGAGAAACACCTGTGATGTTTAAATGTGAGTGGAAAGGATGTCAGTACAAAAGCGCCTTCAGCAGATCTGCTGAGCTGCTGAGGCATCTCAAAACCATACTTGTTTCGTCCCAATCTCACATATGCCGCTTTTGAGGCTGCAGTCGAACATTCAATCGGAAGGACAAGTTGGGGGAGCATATGCTCGGGGCGCATTACTTGCCGAGGTTTAATGATATATGATGGGACTATTCTACAGCGGGAAGTTATTTTGAATTTTGTTCTCGGGTATGCTAAAGTTGCTAAAGTAAGAAGAAGAAAGGCTATGGAAAAATAGCAAGCATGTCTATTTGATCTGATTTGATCTGGTTTAGCAAAAAGACCTGACAATGAACACTGAAGCAAAACTCCGACCAACACACAATTAACCCGAAGGCCTTGTCGTCAGAGCAAGAGGGAACTAAAGGGCAGTCCCCCTCCGACACACATGCACACTTCTACCTCATAACTTGTGCATGGTGCTTTCATGCCTCAGCCTGTTTGCGTAAGATGAAAAGGTTTCCTCACAGCCCTCCCCCCGACATGGAATGAAATCCCTTCCTATGTGGTCGTGGGTTATATGGCGCATGAGGACATCTCTGGAGGGCCAGTGGACCGTCTTGTCACAGCCTTTCCACATGCACACACGGCGGTAGTCCCTAGGTTGCAATTAGTATGTGATATCGGGAAGGGGATGGCAAATTAGAAAGGCTTACTCCTCTCTGTCTCCTTGTTCCTCGGTATCCTGCGCGTATTCGACGTGTCTGTTCTTCCTGGTGGGCTTGAATGACTTGAAATATTTGGCCGAATTGGATTGTTTGGATAACTTGGGGAGTTTTGTGGGCTTCTTTCCTTTACCCTTCATTCTCCGGGTGGTATCTTTTCTGTTCCTGCAGGCGGTTAGTATTTGATTCTGTGGAAGGTTGCTGGAGTAACTTACTTTCGTAGGGGCAATTCTTCAGACCCACTCTCTTCCACTGCGCTCTCTTCGGATTCTTCGCTTTCTTCGATGAACTCACTCCCCGAAGATTCATCCGAAGGGGTCTCCTCCCGGGGACGCTTGGTCCCCAACTGCACATTACCATTTTTCCGCGCAAAGTGCCGGATGGGTCCAGGCAAGAGGACATTGGGTGTGACACGCGTATTTTCCGTATCGGACTCGCTGGGGGATTCATCGACCGTACTGGCCTCCTCAACATCACAAAATGAAGTATCAACAGAGTCCGTCTGGTCGCAGGAAGGCTCCTCCTCCACCATGTTCTCCTCTTCCTCGGGAATTGGAGACAGGTCGGGAGAGAATGGAGCCCTAGGAGATCCGTCTACCCCGCTGTTCTCCTGGTTCTGGTGCAAAGAGGCATCGGGAATATCTGTGTCGTCACCGAGGAATTCGTATACTATGCTGGCCATTGGGGGCTCGTCGAGGTCCAGTATAGAAGAAAAAGGTGGAGTCTTAGGAGATGCCACCACCCCACTGGTCTCCTGATTCTCGTGGAAAGACGCATCGCTAAGGTCTGTGTCATCACCAAGGGATCCGTCAACAGTGCTCTCCATTTCGCGCTCCTGCGGATACGGCAAAGAAGGATAGCTCGGAGACCTCGGAGCCTCCACCATGCCGGCCTCTTGTCCGCCCTCATAAGAAGGGGTCTTGGGGGAATAGTCCCGCTGTGCGGGGGATTTGTCGACGCTACCAGCCACTCGGGCCTCATCATGGATAAGACTGGGGGGATGATCCTGCTGTCCGGGAAATCCGTCGACCCGACCGGCCACTGGGACCTGCTGATGGAAAGAAGTATTAGCGGGATGATGCGGCGGTCCAGGAAATCCGTCGACCCTGCCGGCCACTTGCCCTTCATACACCGCAAGGTCCAGCGGATGAAAGGGCAGGTTTCTGGGAAGATCTCTCAAGCCGGAGACTGGACCCTCATAGGTACTTGGTGGTGGAGGATGAGCCCATTGGTTCCCGGGAAACCCGCCACCGGGTGCAGCGAAGCCCGGCATGTTATACCCACCCCAAAGGGGAAGTCTCGGGTCATGATATCCGAACGGGAAGTTCATCCAGGGCCCTGGGATGGGGTGTTGCATCCCGTACATGCCGGGATGCCCAAAGGCAGGGGGACCCTGCCAATAATTCACCGCCCTATACTCCGGAGGGATGTTGGGGGCCGCCTGATACGCCGCTGGAGCAGATTGCATCCCCTTGGTATCCTGGTGCTCGTGGGGAGCAGGCCCGGTAGGGAAATTAGACCTGATAGCATCATGAGGAAACCCCATGTCGGGTCCACCTGCGGGATTCACGGGCCTACCCTCATACACGCCAGGTGCCAGCCCCACGTGCCGCTGTGCGATGTGTTGGCGCACTGCGTTGGAATCTTGGGGATCGTTATGATGATGAGCCGGAAGGGCTGGGCTGTCCACCAGACGATTGTTCTCGTCAAGTCTCAGGTTCTGGAAGTAGGCTGGTGACTGCATTATCCCCGAAATGGAGCTCGCACTACTGTCCTCCATGGTCTCGTTGTCCTCTGGACATGACGCGCGATCCTTAAGGCTCCGACGGGCCTTGGACGCATTAATCCGCTTGAGAGGCGCCGACGAGCTTTCAGGCTCCGGGGAGAGAGATGGAGATGGCGCACTGGCGCGACGGGTCCTGGGCTTCGTGGTGCGGCCTGCAGGGCTTTTGGGGGAGCTTCCAGTCTTTGCGGACATATGGTCCCGGTTTGTGCGCCGGCTGTTGGGCGCCATGGTTAACACTGTTGAAGGCTCCTACCAATATGTATGCTGGGAGATGGCCAGCTATTTCTCTATGCGGTGAGACACAGAACTATACAAACAGGCTGCCTTATGGAACAGCTCAATGGTTTATTTATGCCAGAGGGACAAAGGTTTAACAATTATCTTCGTAGAGAACAGATTAGTCGAACGATATTCTCAGGCAATTGTCAGAGTATCGACAGTCAACGTCGAGAAGTATCGTTGTTCCATGTGCGAATTGCACCAATGGCGACCTGCTCATGGCGGAGGGATTCTCCTCGACCCCTGATGCAATCAACCCTACTCCCTTTATTTTGGCTTGCAAATGGAGATGTTTGACCGAAATAGAATCCCTCTGCCATGCTCCATAAACCTCTCATCTGTCCTAGTCGACGCTTTCCCAGGGGTGTATATTTGCGTGACTTCTCACGCCAGTTGGCCGCATGGTGTAATAGCGATTTTGCTATCCTTATTGATATCCTAGGGGAAAGCCGCAGGTTTTCACTTCAAGTTGAGCATAGAGCAGCACGGATGCTCGCTTTATGTTGAGGAAAGAGATGACCGGCTCGGTGTGCAACAGAATGGTTATATGCCGACGGAGGTAATGTGCGTTTATACCTGATCCAAGACACTCACTGTATCTACTCTTCGTCCCAAGCAAGCCTATAGCTTCTGGAACATGCCGCCTTTACAGAAAGGAGCAGCAGCGGTGGAACAAAGGTTTTCCGACCCAGGAGCGAATAGCGGGTAGTGCTCCCTTTTCCCGCAGCGATTCAATTTGAATCTCCAGTCGAATCCCAAACATGCCCTTCCCCCGACCCAACAAAAAAATGAGCCCAAACCACAGGAATGTGACCCGCATCAACCGACGCACCACCCCGGACGATTCCTCACATAATCAAGACGGGCGAAATCCTTGGCAAAATCTCCGTCCACTTCCCTGGCCCTTGCAGCTGCCAGATGGTGGGTAAAACGGCAAGGGCGCGGGGGATATTGTGAAACAATGTCTTCGAATAGATGCGCTCCATGTAGCGAGCGAAAAAATCCCGATGGGCAGGATCGGTACTATCCGCGGCCGCCATAAAGCAGGGCCAGACAAAGCCATGCGCGCCGGGTTCTGCAGGGTCGATGTGACAAAGGAGCTGGCGGAGGTCTTCCAGGGTGTGCCACGAGTTTTGGTTTGTGATTGCTCGCTGCAGGTAGATTTGCACCCCCTTGCAAATGACCTGCTTGACGAGAGACAGGGTTTCAGTGTGGTGTGCCTTGACGCCGGAGGGCATCCACACGCCGGGGTCGATGGGGTTTCGGAGGCATTCGAGGCCTTGGGTCTCGTTGAGGAGGGGCTGGCCGAGGAAGGCGAACATTTCTGTTTGCTTCGCGAGGAATTCTTGTAGTGGGGAGGTTCCAGGGGTGGTGATGCTCCTGGACAGGGTGAGGAGGGTTCGGAGTAGGTGGATGTACTCGGGACTTCCCGTGACGGTTTCCCCCACGAGAAGCACGATCAAAGTCGCCCAGGTCGAGAGATTGAAGACGATATCGGGTGAATCGATCTGAGACGCATGCCGTAAGCGAGAAATGACTGCCGACCGTCGTGATTCCGCTGCTTCTTGCAGGACAGGCTGTCTCGGGACAAGATGTTGTGTGGCCACCACCACGATCGCTTCCTGCAGAAGCTCGTTCTCAAAGGCCATGGGAAGCAAGATATCGCGGTATCCGTTCGATATGTCGAGCACTACCATGACCGGAGCAACGACTTGGGCGAAGTAATCGAATAGCTGCCGGGTTTTGGCATCCATTGGTGCGATCCATGGCTGGAGAGACGGGCTCAGCGTGCCCTCTGGCAGGTCATTTTGAACGAGCTGTTCTGAAGGAGCAGCACAATGAAGGTTCACGCCGGATCTCGAGTGGAACTCCTCGCTCCCCATTATCGAAGTTTGCATGGCATCTCCGGTACGGCCCACTACCTTCTCCTGCCCGCCTGCCTGGCACACCATTTGCATACGTCTATCCCATTCTGGATCCTCCCAAACAGCCGCGACCCCTTCGCGACCGAGATTCACCGCAGCACTCCCGCTCGTTCGCAGCTTGTGCTTCTTGGCTACTCTATTTCCCCCATCACGCCATCGCACAGAAGCACCAGTATGTATCGAGGCGGGTTTATTTACGGCCTCCGGGTCGGCATTGGGCACAGGAATAGTACACCCCTTCAACTTCCCCCGCATGGCCACACCGGCAGTGAAACGGAACCGTCCCAGCCCGGAGCACTCAATCCCCTTCTTCGCACACTTGAGACATGTCGGTTCGCCTCTGTCGCAGATAATCCGGCGCTTGGAGCATTGGAAGCAACCTGACACAGAGAGGAAATTAAAATCAGCATGGGCATCCCCTGGGCGTGTCGGAGAGAGAGAGAGAGAGAGAGAGAGAGAAGGGGGGGGGGAGGTACCTCGTGGCTTGGGAGTACGGGAATCCGACCCTGTCATGGGGACCCGCACAGTCGCAACTCGGAGACAGGAGAGGGATACAGGTTGCCAGATGCGGACATTAGCAGGTGGTGGCGCTATACGACCGACGGCGATGGGGTGACCTGGCGGAGAAGTTGGACGTGCGGCATCGGAAGAGCGTTGGTGAAGTCCGCGGGATCTCCGGTGGCAGCCCGGCACGGAGCGGGTCATCTGTTTCCGAGGGGCCCCGCAATGCCCGTGAAGGGCGAATGCCCTGCTTGAGGTAGTGCTCCATGGTTCCACTCCCCTCTGTTCCTGCTCGATAGCTATCTATCTATCGACGGAGTAGTATCGTATCTACTGATGCCATCACTCCAGGGACGCCGGCAGCCGAGGTTGCAGTTCGTATATTCTGCCATTCTCTGCATTAGCGCTCTCTCATCGGCGCAAACAGGTCCCTTCGCAGCGTGCAGGGAGCGATGTAGGGTTCCTGCACCACGTGACCGGTCTCAATGATCGGTGCCGGGTGAGATCAAGCATTGTGGCCGCGGGTTTCGACAAAGCTTGGCCTCCCTCTGCGACACTGGGCCCATATATTTCTGACATGACATGTGTCAACGGTGGACGTGTGTCACCGTGTGTCACCATCGAGCAAACTGTCGCAGAATGGCAGGGTGACGACCGAGCGTCCTCGGGCTCTCTGTAGACGGCGAACACATGCCCGAAAGTCCAGTTTGACGGGCTGCAAATTAAACCGACCCTCCGCATTAGTTAGGCCTAAGATAATGGCGTTGTTGTTGAGGGGCTTTCTTCACGACCTCCGCGGTCGCTCCGGACGCTAGTGGGCGGACGGTTATTAAGTTATCAAGGTAGCAATGTAGCTTAGTTAGCTATCAGCAAATGAATGGGCGATATGGTTCTTCAACACCGGTTAGATCAAATGGAGCTCCGGACTATGGCCGAAAGCGAGCAGGAGCATCTTCTCAGCACTCTACCTCAGCGGCAGGAATCCTACCTTGCATCCTTCAGCAGGCGCCGGGGCTCCTCCTCATTTCCCCTCCACGCCCTCCACTCCGTCCAAATCCTGCGGACTCCGACGCGCCTTGCTTCTTATCTGCGGGTGGGCCAACCCGTCGCCAATCCGCAGCCACCGCTGACGCAAAGCTGCCTATCAGCAATATCCGTGCTCCACGCCGTTGTTGCTGATCGTCGAGTAGGAACTCGTGCCTGGCCGCTAGCAGGCTGCACTATACGGCCGGCAGCCAGTCGCAGCGCGCAGCTGTTAACCGCTACTTCGGCAGGTTGCGAGATATCCTGTCGATGTCGCGATAGAGGAGAAGCTCCCCCTCCGGTGATGTGCGCTGCAGACCAGCTCGGAGCGAGCACTGCGGGCGGCGGGTGATAATTTCCCAGCAGCTATATAACATCCCGTCTGCTCCCCCCCTCCAGTGCCAGTCTTCCGTTCCTGCCTATCAGTCAATTCTACAGTGGTCGCTGCTCATCCATCCCCTCGCCATCATGTACTTCCCCACCGGCTCTCTCGTGGCTCTGTCCCTTCTTGCTGGCGCGGCCTCCGCCGCGCCCACCCCCATCAAGGGCAGAAGCATCGTCCGCAGAGGCACCAACCACACCATCTACAAGCCCACTGCCTTCTCCAGCGCCAGCACCTACAAGACCACCTCCAACTACAACGCCCTGAAGAAGATCAAGTCCAAGGGCTCCGTCAACGCCCGCAGCGCCGCCTATGCAAAGCGCTCGACCTCCAGCGGCGACTCCACCCTGATCTCCCTCATCGAGGGCGAGGAGTTCGCCACCGAAATCACCATCGGCTCTGACACCTTCGATGTCATCGTCGACACCGGCTCCAGTGACACCTGGGTTGTCGAGAAGGGCTTCACCTGCATCGACCTCGACACGGGCCGTGAGACCACCGAATCCGACTGTGAGTTCGGCTCCACCTGGTCTCCCGACAGCAACTTCAAGGAGATCTCGGGTGAGGAGTTCGACATCGAGTACGGCGACGGTGAATACCTGTTCGGAGTCATGGGCACCGAGTCGATCACCCTGGCTGGTATCACCGTTGACTCTCAGACCATGGGTCTGGTCACCTCCGCTGCCTGGGAGGGTGATGGAACCACCTCCGGTCTGACCGGTCTTGCCTACCCCTCTCTGTACGTATCCCCTTGCAGCCCTGCTAAAGCATGGCTAACCACAGCCCGTCTCATCACAGCACGAGCGCCTACTCCGAGCAGACCGATGAGCAGGTCGAATACAACGGCATCATCACCAGCATGTGGAAGGACGGTCTGATCGACTCCTACTTCAGTCTGGCCATCGAGCGCGACGTCTCCGGCGACGCCGGCTACCTTGCCCTGGGCGGTCTCCCCCCCGTCAGCTACACCGGTGACTTCGCCACCACCCCCATCCTGGTGACCAACATCGAGGGCTACCCCGACACCTACGACTTCTACACCATCAACATCGACTCGATGACCCTGAACGGCGAGACCCTCTCCGGTGCTGGTGGTGACTCCGTCCAGTACATTGTAAGCCCCCTCCCCATCCCCATCCCCATCCCCCAACCACCCAACCACCCAACTAACAACAACCCCAGGTCGACTCCGGCACCACCCTGAACTATGTCCCCACCTCCATCGCGGAGGAAATCAACGCTGCCTTCTCCCCGGCCGCGACCTACAGCGAGGACGAGGGCGCCTGGATCGTGGACTGCGACGCCACTGCCCCGACCCACGGCGTGACCATCGGCGGCACGACCTTCTACATCAACGCGCTGGACATGATCCTCGAGGCCGGCACCGACGAGAACGGCGAGGCGATCTGCATCTCCGGTATTGTTGACGGCGGCAGCGACACCTCCGAGGACCTGTACATCCTCGGAGACACTTTCCAGAAGAACGTCCTCACCGTCTTCGACATCGGTGCCGTTGAGCTGAAGTTCGCCGCCCGTGAGGACTACACCTCCAACGATACCTACTAAGCGGAGCGGGGCTCTGAGGGGGGGGGATCCGCCGGGTGGGTTTGTGTATATACGATGTGAGGGGGACATGTATATGTATGGTTACGTTACTTGATGCGGAATGAATGATCTGACCAGTTCCACTGTTATTTTTGTGTCCCCGACATGTAGATTTGTAAATTTCGTCTCAATGTTCTCGTTCTGAATGCTTGGCCCTGCTGTTCGGGAGAGGTCTCATCCGTCCGTATGCATCTCCGGAAACACCCCATCGAAAGAAGCATCTTTCACTCATCACCCAATCCCACACTCGCCAAAATACCTTCCCACATCCTCTCATAATCCTACCCAGTACCCCTTCCATTCTTCATGACACTCAAAACACCCCACTGCTCGCAACCCCATTCCCCTTCCAACCCAGGAACATGAAACACCGACCGCCTCACCCCACACACCCCGGCGCCAAACCCCTCAATATCTCCCTGACATCTCTAACACCCGCGAATCATTTCCATCCGATCAACGCACCACGTGTCTTGATTGCCGGGGTCGTCGGGATTGTTGGCTGTTTCGAATGGTATATATAGTTTGGCTGGGTAGAGGGATACGTAACGCCGTTGAAGGGGGCAGGTCGGGGTTAATCTTTTCCGCACGAAGCTTGTTTTCTCTGGTTGAGACATCTCGGGGGCCTAAGCCATTATAATTATAGATTGGTTGTTCCGGAGTGGGTGGTTTTATTGCACGGGGTAGGAGAGGGTCTTTCTGCTATGTTGATGTTTAGATCAAGGGTTATATATATAATATATAATTGCCGGGCGAGAGCCCTAGGGTCGAGGTACTAGATGTGGAACTTGGCAACTTTTCGGATACTCGTGTAAGAAACACGTCCCAAGCCACATGGGCTCCATGATATCAGCGAGTTCAAATATGTTTATACGCTGATGTAGCCAATGTTCAGAACTGTCATGACCCGATCGCGCTGATGAAGCTCCTGCCATCAAAGGTTCGCGTGACGATCTTCGAACAAGCGACCGAGTTGAAGGCAGTAAGCACCAACTTCGGAATCGGCCCGAACGGACTCCGGTCGCTCGAGAAACTGGGGATTGAATCCGGTCGGATCGAAGATATCGCGTTTCGACAACCGAGTGGTCATCCGTTTGTTTCTCTGCATTGGGAGACTGGCGAGGTGTTGAACCAGACGGTGCATAGTGATGTGTCTGAGCGGCGGCATGCGATGGCGAGGCTTCATCGGGCGCATTTGCAGCGGTTGCTGCTTGAGAGCTTGCCCGATCGGGTGGAATTAAGGTTGTTCAAGGGGATAACGTCTGTCAGGGGGAAATCGCCGTCTGTAGGGGATGAAGGCGTTGTGGTAGGGTTTCAGGACGGGAGTATGCTATGCCAGCGGTGTAAATTGGTCTCTATTAGCGCTCGAACCTGGTATCCAGGGGCCTGCCGTGAAGCAGTCCTGATGGAACTAGGCTACATTCCTTGAATCATGAACAGCACAGCCCTAAGACCAAAGTACAAATCGCAGTAGATATATAAATGCTTTTTCCGGGAGCATAAGAAGTGACGTTTCCTCCAACCCGGATTTAGAATCCATATAACGTACAATAGCCCCTCGCTGAACCAACAACTGCAGAACAGTCCCTGGTCTTCTTGAAACCACTCTTGCTCACTCCACTACCCGCGTTCATCTCTTGGAATGAAACCTCTTCTTCATCCCATGTGTGCGAGAGGATAGCATACGGCGGGACGCTGTTATCGCTGAATTCCTCGACGGTGTACCTGTCTGGACTGGTGGGAGGTGTTCGAGGGCCTAGTTATTTAACATAGCACCTGCATCTTCCAGTCCCATCATACTCACCCAATCATACGTTGCCACGGTATGATGCATCCGAAAGACCAGGGATCGATCGGGGTTATTTACGGCACAGCCACACCGGGCAGGCTCCAGCCACAGTCCCGCCACAGACTGAATCTATTCAGACAGGCGGGTTTGCGAGCGAACAATAATTGCCTCGGTCCAGAGCGGGGAGAAACAGGCCACGTGATATCTTTCTTCGTCTCTGAGTTTCTGGGGGCAATGATCAGGCGGTGGGTAAAAACGTCTCGGTGTGGCTGCAGCGGCACCCTCCGACGGACCGATGCGCCCTGCGGTTGACAGCAGCACCGTAATGATTGCGGGTATAAAATGATGGCATCGCAGCATCCCCCTCCATCCCTAATGCAACATCCACAACCACAACCACAACCAAACACCAGAATGTCCTCCTCAACCCCCACTCCCACTCCCACTGCCACTGCCACTCCCAGCCCAACCCCCCTCGAACCATCCTCACCTACCAACATGACTCCACCCTAACCACGCACCAAACAACCCTCACCTCCATCACGCCCTTCCCCGCCCTCTCCCCGGCCAACCAGCTCTTGTTCAAACAAGGCACCCCCACAGACTACATCCTGACCACAACCTCAACGATCTTCCACCCCCAAGGCGGCGGCCAGCCCTCCGACACGGGCACCATGACCTTTCCATCGGGAACAACCTTCACGGTGACGTCCGCGCGGATGGACGCCGAAACAAACACCCGCGTCCTACATCTGGGCACCTTCCCCGCCGACTCCTCCTCCATCGCCCCCACCAACGGAGACCCAATCACGCAGGCAATCGACCCCGACCAACGCCTGCTCTTCTCCCGACTCCACACAGCCGGCCACGTCCTCGGCTCCGCAGTGCGACACCTCGTCGGCACCCAAATCGCCAACTTCGACGAGCTCAAAGCGTCGCATTTCCCCGACTCCGCGTCCTGTGAATTCCAGGGCCTGATCGGGGGGGAATGGAAGGAGGGGATCCAGGGGAAGGTGGACGAGTTGGTGGCGGCGGACTTGCCCGTGCGGGTGGAGTGGTGGGACGAGGGCGATTTCCGGGACCGAGGGCTGGCGAGGTTGATTCCGGGCAGCGGGGTGGGCGGGGGGTTGGCGCCGGGGGAGAAGTGGAGGGTCGTCAATATTGTGGGCGCGGAGGTGTATCCGTGTGGGGGGACGCATGTGGAGAGTACGAGCGGGTGTGGGAGGGTGGGGGTCAAGAAGGTTTCCAGGGCCAAGGGGAGGTCGAAGGTTAGTTATGGGGTTGAGTAGGGGGGTGACTTTCGGATTGGTCGGGATATTATTGTGTGTGTGTGTGTGTGTGTGTGTGTGTTGGTTTTCTTTTATATATTTATAGAGAGAGAGTGGGGCATTTATGGCTGGAATCTACTCAGAAGATAGAGAAGGATTTTCGTGCGACTGTAAACACCATGGTCACGATACAGCTTTCAAACCAAAGTTATCATAATTCAGTACACGGTTGCAGAGTATAGTCCCCAAACCAACACAACAACGAGCAAGCCCTGACATGACTACATGGATCATAATGATCTTCATAAATAACAACCCGGACCACCAGACCCAACCACAACACCCAAACACAGCCCTACAGCCCTACAGGCCCCCGCTCTCCCTCCCCAGCAATCAACTCGGCCGCCCTCTCCGCCACCCCATAAACCGTAGCAATCGGATAGGCTACCGCGCCCACGGGAAAAATACTCGCATCGACAACCCTCAAATTCGCCGTGCCGTACACCCTCAACTGGCTATCCACGACCCCACCCTCCTCCTTCGGCGCCATGACCGCCGTTCCGCAGGCATGATGCGTCGCCAGCGCAGACGCCTTCAGGACCTCCTGCAGAATGGCCAGATCCAGCGCTTCAGCCGGTAAATTCGGCGGGGGGATGAGGAATTCATTGAGGGGGGAGGTGGACGGGAGGGATTGCAGATTTCTGAAGTGGGAAGCCATGAGGGGGAGATCGAGGGGGTGGGAGAAGAAGTTGGGGTCGATGGTCGGTTTCTCGTCCGGATGGGGAGAGGAGATGTGCACGGAGCCGCGGGAGAGGGGGTAGCTGGGGATGAGACCTAGGAGGGCGATGGAGGGTGAGAGGGTGGTGAGGAAGGTGCAGGCTGTCGGTTCTGTATCGGTGGATAGCAGGGTGTGCAGGGGTGGGGGGATTCCGTGGCCGTGTTGGGAGAGGAGGTCTGCTTCGGACCCGGAGCGGACGAAGGCTAGGGCTTGGATGCCCGGTGTGAGTCCTGCGGTGTCTGGGGAGGCTTTGACGGGGATGGGGAGGATGGCGAGGAGCTGGTTCTGGAGATTTTCGCCGACGGAGGGGTGGTCGATGAGACAGGGGATGTTGTGGGTGGTTAGCAGCGATGCGGAGCCGATGCCGGAGAGTTCGAGGAGTTTGGGGGTTTGGAAGGCGCCGGCGGCGAGGATGACTTCTTTGGTGGCGGTGATGGGGTCGGGGTTGTTGTGGAGGAGGACGCCGGTGGCGGTCATCGGGGAGGTGGAGGGGTCGAAGAGAATGCGCTCGACGGGGGTGTTGGTGAGGATGTGCAGGTTTGGGCGCGGGGTGGTGTAGTGGGTGCTGGCGCTGCGGAGGCCCCCGGGGGTGATGGCCGCGGTGTAGGGGCGGGTGCCAGTGGTGGTGGGGGTGGGTAGAAAGGTGTCGCGGAAGGGGTAGCCCTGGGCGGCGAGGGTGTTGTTCCAGGCGTCGATGAGCGGGTGGTTGCCGGGGGTCGACAGGGCGGGGTAGGTGACTGCGACGGGGCCGTTGGCGGGATGTGCGGGGAGGGCGCTATCAGCCGGAAGGGAGGTGTGGAAGCTGCGCTCCAGGGCCAGGGATAGATTGCTCCAGTTCCAGCCCGGGTTGCCCAGCGCCTCCCAGGCGTCGATGCCCGCCGGCGATGGCGGCACAAAGGCCAGTCCGCTGATGGAGGACGTGCCGCCCAGGACTCTCCCCGCGGGCTGGTCTTGGTGGCGGTTGTTCAGGCCAGGCTGGTCACAGTCAGAGCAGACAGTCTACAGGATCCGAGTAACACACCTGAGGCACGGTCTGGAACTGCCAGTCCACATCGGAGCCGGTCAGGGTGGGCCAGGCGGCCGGATCCTGGACGCGGCCCTCCGAGGTACGGTCCGGCCCAGCCTCCAGCACGAGCACCTCGATGTTGGGGTTTTCGGCCAGGCGATTGGCCACGACCAGGCCGGCCGTGCCGCCGCCGATGATGATGTAGTCTGCACGGGAGGGATGCGAGGCCATGGTTGTGGTTGGAGTGGTGATGGGTGGGACGGAAGGATGGCAGGAAAATGTGGGATCGCGTCGCTTAAATCTCGGGGCTCACGGTCGGAAAGCCGGAGTTGGCCGGGCGCGGGTATTGTAACCAACCGTCTTGGCCGTCAGCTTTGGGGGAATTAGAGCGATGCTACTGAGTAACTAGTCAATGCTGATTATGTGCTCGATTTATGAACTCCGGCAATGCCTCGTGGGACTTCGACTGCGCAATGCTCCCTGCCATATCCTGATGTGCTCATTCTAACACACTGCATGTACAGGCAAGCTACCATAACACCTGATCAGATATTGCCATGTGCATTCGTGATTATCCTCATTACGTATCAGCGAAGAACACCCCACCTATTCACTGAGCTGTGAAGTACAGATCTAACTCTTCAGCAATCAGCGATCAGCGATCAGCCCGACACAGCCGTCCATCGCCCATCTCCTCCCACACCTCGCTGCCCACCGCCTTCAGCCCATAGAAGATATGCTTCGGATCATACCGATTCTTGATAGCGTTCAGGCGATCATAGTTATCACGATAGAACGTCCACTGCCAGTCGGGCTGGTTCGGATCCGCCTCATTCAGATACGCGCCGCCCTCGGGGGTGAGGGTCGCGAGCAGGGGGAGGAGGGTGTCTGTCATGAGTCGCTGGTTGACGATGTCGTGGGTGCGATTGTAGTAGTCGAAGGCACTAGACCAGTCAGTAACGTGGGTTGGCAAGTATGGGATGGAATGGACGGGGGTATCTTACGTCCCCAGCACGATATCGATCTGCGCATCGCGCCACGACGGGGTGACCGCGTTGTTGGGGACATCAACCCGCGACACGTTCAGGGAGATGCCGGAGATGATGGCGCCGTAGCCCGTGATTGAGCGGAGGGCGTTGATCAGCGCAGGGAGATTGTTGTCGACGACGGTGCGAGGGATGAGTCGGCCACCGAGCTGGTATTCCGTCACGGTTGTCCAGGGGCTCATGTCCGTGAAGCTGTCGTAGAAGCTGTCGTACTGGATGATGTTGTACGCTGGGCTGTCAGTGTGGAGCCTCGGGTCGAGACGGGAGAAGGGAAACTGACCATAAGGCATGTGATTGTCATTTAGGATATCCAGAGTATCTTGCATCAGACCCTGCAGCTGCTCCTTGGTGCCGCCTGGCAGCGTCGTCGGGTAGACTTGGAAGGTGCCATTGGCGACCTCCCAGATAGCCACGCCGCCCAGGTCCGTCAGGGTAACCATGTCCCGGATGTAGGTCTCGATGGCTTCCCAGAAGACGTCCTGGCTCACTCCGGCATCAGTGAAGGTGAGGTTGGCGCTCACGGTCGTGAAATCAGGGTACAGCTTGCTGGTCATGGACAGAACAGCGGCATAGGTGCCACCGCCACCACCGCTCAAGGCCCAATGCAACTCGGAATTGTCCGACGGAGAGGCGGTCCAGTGCATGCCAGTGGCGGTGATAATCTCCCACTCCAGCACCTGGTCGGCAGCCAGGCCGTACATCGACACCAGCTGGCCGTGGCCTCCACCCTGCGCGTAACCGCCCGCGATGCCCACCGTCTGACAGTTGCCGCCCACGACCACGTAGCCCTGTTTATGTGCGGCATCCAAGGCCTCCATGACCTGCACGCCGGCGCCCACCTTGATAGCCGGGCCGGACCAGCTCCGCGACGTGTAGTTGAAAATCTCGATATCCTTCAGATGGTGAGTCCAGAGCGCCAGGGCCCCAGCGCCCGTGGATCTGCCGAGGAAATCATGGCCGGTGTTGCGGATGACCAGGCGGATGTTATGAGCCTGGGCAAAGTTGATGGTCACCAGATAGTCCTCCGCGCTGCTGGCATTGACGGCATACTGGACCAGCGAGTCAATGGTGCAGGGGGTGTTGGGCAGGTGAGGGTCGCAGGAGAAGTTGGCAAACCACGCGGCCATGGGTGAGTAGCTCGTCTCGGAGTGAGTGTCGGTCACCTGCCACCTGTCAAGCAAGTCATGACAGGCATCGGCGTCGTAGGGGAGGAACGTGCTGTTGGGGTGGCAGACACTCGCCGCGGGCACTGTAGCCACAAGCTTGCCTCCAAGCGTGTGGTTGAAGGCATTCCAGCGCTGCGGGGATGGCCAGCACGCGGACCCAGGGAAGCAGCGGCATGGGCATGGTTTGGTTGCACTGGCTGCGAGAAGCAGCAGCGAGAGGAGGAGAAGAACAACACGGCCTGCCATTGTAATGAACTCAAAGCGTGAAGGATGACCGGTAGGTGGGATTCTGGTATCCGATCCTGCCACTGTTGTTTCGGGATCCTTGGGGTGGTTGACAGGATAGTGGGCTGGAACCGGGCGATTCGCGCCCGCCTGTGAGTCTGACTCTGCCGACCATGAAGACAGTGAATGCCACAGGTGAACACATGTTTGTATCCGTGAGTGAATGGCCACAGTGACTGCTGTCTGTAGAGGCGAATCTGCTACCTCTCTCTTCAGCCCCTCCCCCTCACGTGGCTACTCATCTGCAGGCAACCGCATAGCAGACACCTCCAGGTACTTTGTGCCTGTGGTATCCGACATTGTGTGTAACACAGTTGACCATGGACATGTACGCACACTTATCTCAACTAAACCAATTTAAATATGCGATAGGTACTGTACAGACTGGTACATACACAATCATAACCAACACAAAGCTCCATCCATACAATACACGGAGGGGCGGGAGATGCGCCGGCTGCGACTAGCGCAGGCCCTAACCGGTCATCTTCAGGACTTCGGAGGTCGGGGCCTACGCTAAACTGGAGCTATCCTCTAGCGTTGGCGTTGCATCAATCCTGCAGAAACACGCCGCGTTCCTGCTTCTGCTTGTTGAGAGTGGGGACTGCCATGAAACGGTGTGGGTTGTGAGTAGATTGCATCATCAGCTTCAGCAGAGCGAAGGATGGGGGGGGGAGCTAAATTAGCTCCAGACTCATGCAGTCCTGCAGGCTACGGCATTACGCTGCTTCGCTTCCGGCCGAGAATATATCCAGTACGGACGGAACTAAATCCCGGAATCCGATTCTGGCTCGTTGCATACTTGTGTACATTTTATTCAATCATCGAGACAAGGCAACCCCCCCCCCACACACACAACGAAAGCAACAGCCCACGCCCAACAGCTTCTAGATATCTCCCCTCACAAACCCCACCTCGAAACCCACGGAAGCAGGTACAGCAGCACCAGCCAAAAGCACCATAGCCTCCACGCGGCAGCATCAGCGCGGAAGGACCGCGCCTGGGTAACCAGCCAAGCAACCGCCACCGCGACGGCAGTGGGACCGAGGTATCCCCACCACGGCAGTCGCCAGAAGAAGACGCAGGCCGGGCCCCAAGCCAGGACGAGCACGGCCAGCGTCCAGCGCGACACGGACTGGCCCAGTAACAGCGGGATGGTCAAGCGGCCGCGGGCGCGATCGCCTTCCTGGTCCTTCAGGTCCTGGATCTGCATGGTCGTGAGGATCACGCCGCTGATCATCGCTGTCCAGAGGTAGCCTCGTCGGGAGATGGGCGTGCTCGTGCTCGGCCCCACGGCGATGATCAGCGACGCGGCATTGTACAGCCCGTACGCTACCGCGATGAGGGGGTTTCGTATGATCTCGTCGCCGCCGCCGAGGTCGTTGTAGAGCCAGGTGAGGATCAGGATGAGGGCCATCTCGTGTTCGATGTGCATGGTGTAAGCGAGGGCCAGGGACAGCGGGATGGCCGCCATGAGGAGACGGCGGCTCTGGAGTGCGGTGATGCGTCCGGTAGGGATAGGACGCCATGGCTTGTTGATTTGGTCCTCGTGGATGGCGTCGGGAGCGCGCTGGTTCGCAACGTCGAAGATGAGGACAGCGACCCAGTTGAAGAGGATCACCAAGGGCAGCCGATGGAGGAGGATCGTCGTGGTGGACGGGACGCTCGAACCATGGCTTGCTCCCTCTGCTCCGTCCGTGAGGGCAGGACCGGCGAGGGCACCAAAGATCCCAAATGCCGAGTTGGGCAGGACGAACGTGGGGAAGTCGCTTTCGGTGAAGAGCCAGATGATGGCGGGGAGATCCCGCCAGGGGAATCGAGGCTCGCGGGGGTTGAGAATGGACTTGTCCATGATGTGCAGGGGTGGAGGGATCGGATTGTTGCCGGAAGGACTGGGGAGAGGGGACAGTGGCGATGCGAGATCTGATGTGCCCGTGCTAATGGTGTGCGTAAATTGGCTTTATAGGCCGGTACCGATCCATCGAGACATTCACAGTATGCATTCCGTAGTTATCCGGAGAGAGGGAAGGATGATCGTGGACTGCCCTGATCCGGCACTCGTAGGACAGACCACCAGCCACGATCGGGACAGTGGTCCCTGCGTCGCGTTGGGGATGTGGGTTGGTGGTCACGCATCAATTGGATGCCCCATCCGACGTAATGCCTACTCGCTCGGATAGCGATCGAGCATATCTACCACCTGCAATTGGACACGGGGAGCAATTACGGGCCATGTCGGGTCAGTGCAGGAGATTCCACGCCAACGGCATCTGTCTAGTGTCTAGTCTAGATAGATACTTCCTCACGCAGCCAAGTGGCTTCTGCGAGTCCCGCGCTGCCGCATCCCCCAAACCACGCTACTGCACCACCATGCTCCCACGGGCTATGATCCACACCGTATCCGGTGTTTCCGGACCTGTTGGGCTGGTAGCACAGGAAACCCCTCTCTTTGTCGGCTGGGACGCACGGCGCACTTGAAACGGCGATACGGGCGAGATTGAGACCCGGCACGGGCGAACGGGGTGGGGTTCTGCAGGCGCACGGTGGAATCGGCCAGCTTCGGGGTCTGGAGGAGCTGGCAGGGGGTAGGAGACAGGAGATAGTGTGTGTGTGTTGCCGTGCGGGATTTACATTTAAGTACGGTGAACATTCCAATTGCGCTGTCGAAGTCAATTCCAATCCCACGATGGAGAATCTGGTGGCCGTTGCCCTCGGGGCCCTGGGTGGGATGGCCATCCATCGCGGATTGTTCATCCACGGCGAGTGGCATATCCAAGCGCCGACTATTCTGCTCGCCCATCTGGGTGTGTTTGCACTGGTTATTGTCTGCTATCATGTAGCTACAGAGCATGGGGATACGTTTTCATACGATGTGCCCTGCCTGTTCGCCGCTGGTTACCTGGTCTCGCTGTTTGCCAGCATGACCGTCTACCGAGTCTTCTTCCACCGGCTGTCGGGGTTTGACGGTCCTTTCTGGGCCCGAATCACCAAGCTCTGGCATGTGTGGAAAGTGCGCGACGCGCAGAATCATGTGTTGCTGGGTGGTTTGCACGAGAGGTATGGGGACTTTATCCGCACCGGTAAGTGCCAACCGGGTCTGCTTGGTGGGTACCTCTGACTATCTCAGGCCCCAGCGAGATTACGGTCGTGCACCCCGACGCCTTCATGGTGGTTGATGGTCCGCAGACCAAATGCATCAAGGCCGAATGGTACGACCTGTTGCATCCAGGCCTGGCCCTGGTGACGACCCGCGACAAGAAGATCCACGCCGCGCGCCGTCGGCAGTGGAATCGCGGGTTTTCCTCGCAGTGTATATGCCCTCTCACCCCGTCATTACAATCGGTGTAAGCGTATCTAACCATCGCAGCCCTCCGCCAATACGAAGAAAAAGTCCTCTTCTACCTCGGCCAACTAGACGAGATCATCGAGAGGGAGGCCCAGACCGGGCAAATCTGCGAGATGACCGATCTCTTCTACTGGTTCGGGTTCGACGCGATGGGCGACTTCGTCTTCAACAAGTCATTCGATATGCTGCACGACCAGCAATGGCACCACATGATCGTCATCCTGCAGCGGGCGCTGGATATCCTGGGCCCGCTGAGTCCGGTCCCCTGGCTGATCCAGATCGCGTTCAAGTTCTTCCCCAACTTCTGGGTTATCAAGTATTGGTTTACCATGAAGGCGTGGTGTGAGGAGCAGATGCGGGAGCGGATGCAGGTATAGTAGTAACCATCCGATCCCGATCCCTAACCCCAATCCCAACGAAATCCTAACTAGTACCAAACCAAACCACCCCACAGATGAACCTGTCCAAGGATCCATCCCGCGTCCCCGACGTCGCACATTACCTCACTGAAGACGTCGAAGAATCGACCGACAGCTGGACCTGGCTCTCCGGGGACAGTATCCTGGCCATCGTGGCCGGCAGCGAGCCCACCGCCGCCGTGCTGGTCGGCCTGTTCTCCTGCCTCGCTCGCCACCCCATCCACGCTGAGACTATCCACGCCGAGCTCCCGGGCGTCGACATCACGGACCCGATCGCCCTCTCGAAGCGCTGTCCGCATCTCGAAGCGACCATCATGGAAGCATTGAGACTCTTCCCTGCGCTTCCGACCGCGGGGCTGCGCAAGACGCTGGACGAGGGGGTCGTCATCGCGGGGAGATATATCCCGCCGCAGACGACAATTGTGGCCCCGCGGTGGTTGATTGTTCGACGTGCGTATTCTTCTTTTTTCCCACTTCCTTCCTTCCCTTCCCTTCCCTTGTCTCCCTATAGTATCGACAACGAATCCATTTGTTTGCTGTTTCCGAATCGCTAACCAATGCACCCCTTTTCCAAAAAAAATATAGGAGAAGACTGCTTCACCCGCGCCACAGAATTCATCCCCGAACGATGGTACAAGCATCCCGAGATGGTGAGGAATAAAGCGGCGTATAACCCTTTCGGACTTGGTGAGATTTTCTTTCCCTTCCTCCGCTTCCTTCGTTCCTTCGTTCCTTCATCCTTCATCCTTCGTCCTTCGTCCTCATCCTTCCAATCCCACAACAGCGTAATACTGACCAATCGACAAACCCAGGCCACAACAGCTGTCTCGGCAAGACCCTCGCGACGGACTACCTCCGTCTAGTGACCGCCCGTCTAGTGAGCAAGTACCACATCCGGCTCCCGGAGGGCGAGACAACCGACGAGGTGGTGGGGGATCTGAGGGATCGGTTTGCGTCCAGACCCGGGCGGTTGAGGTTGCGGTTGGAGGTGAGGTGAGATGAGGGGTGAGATTGTTTGTTTCTTTGTTTTGCCTTGTTGTTGGCGTTGAGAGTAGTCAGGTCAGGTCAGGTCACAAGATGAATGTTCATGAGATCATAGAATGGAACTCAAACTGGAACCGGAAGTAGAGTGGAGTTGTACGTTTCGAGTTTCTGACAGGGGAGATAGGGTAGGGTGTCTTGATGCGTTGGCAGTGTTACTTCACTCACTCCCAGTCATCCTTTTCCGTCGCGGCTCCCGGGACGGAGTGGTGAGTTGGCAATTGGCATGGCATGGCATGGTGTGGGTTGGTGTAACAGGAGATGAATACTCCGTAGAACCGAACTTGCCTGTACGGAGTAGATAGAGGGGGAGGCAGAAACGCCGGTTGTCAGTGTCAGTTGTGGGTGGTCCTGTTTTTGGTTGGGTGTGCAGATCGACAGTGGCGGACAGGAGAATTGCTGGTTTGTCGGTGGTGTGGAGACGCCGCTTATGGCAGGTGAATAATAATCAAAATGTGGACTGTGTGGTGGTGTTGTTCCTGTCGGGCTAGATAGAATGATGGTGGATTCTCCACCTCCCTCTAATCTCGTCTACTCTAGTCTAGACAGTCTAGCCTGTTTGTTTTGTTTTGTTTTGTGATCGATACAACACCCCTGAAGCCAGAATGCCGTCGTGATGGTGCAAAAGAGGATATGATCCAGATGACGGAGCTACCTATTTTCTTGTTAATCCTGTTTACCCAACATATTACTGACTATGGACCCGTTATACCTCCCAAGTTTGAATTGCGGGCCACAATGTCACTTCGGGAGAATGGGAAGTGGGTACGGAGTACTCTCCCACTCCCGTACACTTAACTAGTTACTTATTGGGCTCAGTGTCACCGCGCCAATCAGCCAAGCTTCAATTGGCTTTCTGACAGACGTGCCAGGCTGCTTTGGATACCTTCCTCGGAGCTATTTTTTTTTTTTTTTCTTTCGCGCGGGGAGTCAACTTCCTCCTACTCTACAGATGATCTGCATACGGAATACTGCATAGGCATATGCTGGCGGGCGGGGGATATGCAGGTTGTTATGCCGATGATTCTGGCCTTTCCTGCCTGGCGGTCTGACTATTTCTGAATAGGCAAGACTAGAAAAGAGAATTGTGGCTTCGTCAATGTTGGTTAAAAGCGCGTAAATTTAGTTATTCCTGAGAGGGATTGGCGCGGAGAAAAAAAAAAAAAAAACGCCACACATGTCTTTTTCTCAGCGGCGGTGGGTTTGACCGGGCTTTGTCTTTTGATTCGGTCCGGTTTGGAGAATATATTCCCGAGGATTGTAGATCCAATGCTCCAATTCACTCCCAAGACCCGCCAAGGGTTCGCACCGACCAGGTTGAAGCCAGGTCGTAGAAGTCATTAGCTGCCAAGGTCGCAGCCATTTAAACTGCCCCGTTAGATCTAATCCCAGCCAGACTGCTTAGTTTCGCGTCAGGTTGTTTCCCTAGAAACCTAGGGTGGTAGCTGTTTGGGGTGAGACAGAGTGACCGGAGAAAACCCCGCAGTCTCGCCAGTCGACAGCTTTCCTATCACAATCACCTCTCTTCTTCATCACATCCGCCAACATCATGATCCCCCCACTCCCCTCGATGACCCCGACCTGGCGCAATGACACATACGCCGCCATCTCCCCCGCTAGACCGGAGCTGAGCGCTGTCGGGAAGACGATCATCATCACCGGCGCAGTGAGTACCCCATCTCCAGGTCCAAAGTGCACACACACGCATGAGTCAAACTTGTCTGACACGTACATAGGGCAGTGGGATCGGTCGCGCGACCGCTTCGTCCTTTGCCCAAGCCGGCGCCAGCCATATCGCGCTGCTCGGTCGCACGGAGGCCACCTTGCTGGAAACGCAGAAAACACTTCCCTGCAAGAGCTCCGTTCATGTTGTCAGCGTCACAGACGAGACTGCCCTGCGAGAGGTGGCCTCGACGATCGGGGCCTGGGACGTCCTGGTCCTCGGCGCGGGATACGTCGCGACTCCGGGGTCGGTTGTCGACTCCCCAGTGGATGACTGGTGGCAGGCGTTCGAGGTATGTCTATATCCACCTGCGACGATTGTGTTGGCTATAGCTGCTAACCCCCCCCTCCCAGACAAACGTCAAAGGTACCATGATCCCAAGCAAAGTCTTCCTTCCGACGGCGAACTCCACCTCCGCAGCCATAATCACTACCAGCGCCGCGGTGGTCTTCCCCCCGATTATGATGGTCGGCATATCAGCCTACATCAGTTCCAAGCTGGCCGTGGTCAAATTGACCGAGTTCCTCGCGGCAGAGAACCCGTCCGTCTTCATTGCTTGTCTGAGTCCGGGGATGGTCGAGACAAATATCTTCATCAAAAGTGGTGCCAAGGCAGACCAGTTGCCCATGGATACCGGTTAGTGGCCTCTTTCTCTTCACTCTTCCGGTCGGGCATACTAACACGACGAATAGTACAACTTCCGGCTGATTTCACCGTCTGGCTGACCAGTCCCGAAGCCTCGTTTCTGAAGGGGCGACAGGTCTGGGCGAACTGGGACGTGGAAGAGTTGAAGGAGAAGGCGGGCGAGATTCAAGCGGGGCTGCAACTGACCGCGAATATTAACGGTTGGCCGTTTCCGAATATGTAAATGGATCGTCTGGGGACTTGTGTCGGTAGGTCTAGCTAGCTAAGCGACCGCTGACAAGACAGAAAATAAAACGAAATAATCGCATCCCTTCTCACTTATCCCCAAATAATCCTCCCACACCAACCCGTATTACACGGGTATACACTTTCCCCGACATAAACCAACCCAACCCGTCCCCCTTCCTCCACTCCCCCCCGAAAACATCAACCATCAAACAGAAAGCGAAACAGAATCAACCACCCTCCCCCCCTCCACAAAAACCTCCTCCCACCCGGCCGTCAATTTCGCCCCGGGCTCAAAAACCCTCTCCTCGCCCGCAAACAGCGGCTGGAACTCGGGGTCCGTCAGGATCGCCTCCATCGTCTCCATGCTCGGCACGTACACCGACACGATGAGATCGTAGTCGTCCAGCTGCCACCCGGGCTGGATGGTCCAGGGGATCTTTTCTAAGATGAGGTTTTTGCTGGATTGGGGGGTGTGGAACTACCCGTGGTTTCCGGCATATAGGTCAGCATTCTGATTGTCCGGGAGGGAGGGGATGGGGGTGGGAGGGGAGATGGTTGGAATGCGAAGAAGTAGAAGAAAAAGGAAGAAATACAAACCTGCACGACCTTCAAGGCACCATGCCGGGCCTGGATGATGGCAGACTGCGGCCCGTGCGTCTCGATAAGGTATTCTTGGAATTCCTCGTCGGAGATGGTCGCTTTCTTGCGGCGGAAGGCGGTTAGGTTGATCACTTTCTGCTTCTGGGGGGACATGACGGGAGGGCGGCTGGGAGATTGGTTGGTGGCAGGGCAGGGCAGGGGAGGGAAGAAATAAATATGTTGCTGTTACGGCTACAAGCTAGTTAACTGGAGTAGATACAAGCTCGTCAGACTTGGCGAGGGGACTGACTTTCTTTATCCTTGGGGATACCGATACCGATACCAATGGGACGGACACTTTCGATCGGTGGTCTGGCCCGCCCGCTAGTTTGACGAATGTTTCTTTTACATTTCACCCGTACTCCTCCTCCTCCCCATCGATATGGCTAGCTGAAAACGGGGTTTAATGGCAAAAGTAAGCCCCAGGTCGCATCTCTGCCTCTCCCCGTGCCATGAAGATCGGCGTTGTTCAATACCGGGAAAGCAACAAAGCAATCTCGGCTTCAACCCGTGCTTGCGCCCGGAGTGCCGCCCAGGACGGACTAGATACACGGAGGAGTTAGACTGGTTGACCCGGACGGAAGCCCGCCGACAGCCCCGTGCCGTCCCCGCCGGTGAGCATTCATTCATTAACTGCAATCTTCTATAGTCGGGGTCGGATCTGCAGCTTTCCGATCCGGACATCTGGACGGGTTGCACGTCCTGCTATAGTTCGAGTAAAAGGTGCTGGTATTTTCGTCGGCCTTGCATCGCGGTAAAGCTCCAACTCTTCTCTGGAACGCCATTCCGGTGGGGGGAGAATGGGGCAGCTCTCACAGCCGCAAGAAATCATTCCAATACTCCCAATTCAACTCCTGATCATCGATGACCCCAAACCCATGCACCTCCAGCGGACTCCCAGCACCAGGAGCAGACCCAGGCACAGACCCAGGCACAGGCACAGAGACCTGCCCCCCGGAACCACCCACACTATGCCTCCTCTCCCACAACGACTGCACAAACCAAGGCGTCACCACACCCCCTTCACCCAACCCTTCACCCTCCCCCTCCAACGCCTTCCTCCTCGCCTCCCACGCCTCAACGGTCAAATCACCCAGGGCGACAAAAAACGAATTCTCCACATCCTCCACCAACTCCACATGCTCCGTAAACAACTCCTCCACCAACCGCCACGCCAAGTCGACCCTAGCCCCCATACACCGTCGTCTCAGATCGCTCAACACACAAATATACGCATCGACACTCGCCCGGGACGTCAAATGCGCCAGCAGATGAAACGAAAACTCGCTCCGCTTCAACACATCCACCATCTCCAACCACGTCAACGCCGACTCGAACAACATATCATTCTCCTCTCTCGTCACGTACAGATCCGCGCCCATCATCCCCGCCGCGCGACCCCGCGGATGACGCGCCGTGAAGCGCAATCGCGCAATCGCCAACCGCGTCATGGCCCGGGTGACAGCGTGCAGCGGGATGCGCTCATCGGTACACCGGAAGTATTTTTCCTGGTAGATGGCCTCGAGTTCGCGGATCGCGGCGTCCTCGAGGTCCGTCGACGTGGGGGCTTTCGAGCGGTGCGGGCCCTCGAGGATACTCTCGAAGACTTTCGTGGCTGTCGGGGATGACTTTCGCCAGAGCGTGACTTCGAGTTTCATCAGCACGCAGAGCATCTCTGTGGGGCCGGTGTGCTCGATTGGTGGCTCCTGCATGTCGGGGTGGAGGTCTGCGTCGTTGACGTTGCGGGGCAGGCGGAAGTCGCCGAGGGAGGACACCGGCGGCGGTTTCATGGCCGGGGTGTAGACGGCGCGACAGCGGAAGTCCAGTCCGCGGAGCTGCGCCCATAGGCGGACGCGCATTTCGTTCTCGAAGATGGAGAGTTTGGGGTCGTGGGTCGTGCGGTCGAGCCCGAGTTTTTGCGCCACCCGGATGGCCGAGCCGGTTAGCGTGGAGGTGAGTTCGCATTCGGGGTTGGAGAGGAGGAAGAGCACGAAGGCTTGGAGCACTTCCAGCGTGCGGGTCGTCAGGAAGTCGGCGGCGATTAGGGCGCGCAGGGTCGCGGTGCGGTAGCGGGTGAGAAGGGTGGCTCGGGATGACTGGAAGGAGGTGGAGCAGCTGGTTGGGGAGAGGGCTGTCACGGCGTGCGTGTAGATGGCGAAGAGCATGGCCGTCAGTGGGGCAGGGGTGTTGGTCGGGTCCCAGCTTGCGTCCAGGATGCGCTGCTGGAGGGTCGGGACGTGGATTATTTTCGTGAGGGGGTTGACGCTTTGGACGAAGATCTGCCAGAATCGGTAGATGTGTCTAGGTTCAGGGTGGAGGGAGTCCAGTGGAGGTTGCGGGGTGCTGCAGATGGATTCGAGGGATGGGGTGGGGTGCAGGAAGGGGTCGTCTTTGTGGCGGAGGGATGGGTATTTGAGCTGCTGGCGTGTCAGTAGAGGTATTGCATACGATACGAAGGTTATACTTGGGAATTATACCTCTGGGCTCAGGTCCGACCATAGATATCTGGAAATGGGTTAGCTATGACACCTGAGCCGTGCAATCAGACTCACCGTTCGAGATTTCCTGCTGGCTGTGAGGTGGTGATCTCCGAGGTGGGATTGCAAGGCGCAGATACCATGGAAACTGGACTCTCGGGGTTCTCCTTTATCGGCCCCTCCAGGCCCGAATGCACCCAGGAATTGGCATAGGGGGTGAAGTCGACGTTGTGTTGCCGCATCAGGTCTTCATAGCGGGCCAGTCGCGCGAGCAGCTCTTCATCGGCGGCTCTCTTCCGCGGTCGATGTATGGCGGCAGAGTCATATAGGCACTCTGCGCGTGCCTTGAGGCAGTTCGAGCATGGGTCGCCTTTGTCGCATTTGACCTTGCGGCGGGCGCAGAGTGAACAGGCGAGCCGGTGCTTGGGCGCCTCCGGGCCTGGCGTTAGCGGGAGGGACGTCATCCTGTTCAGGGAAACGAAAGGCTGGCTATGGTATTGTGACTTCAAGGTTCCGAGTGCTTCTTTTTGGGGCCAGAAGAAGCAGTCGGTATAACAGGAGTCGTCGGGGTGAAATTGTCCGAGACGTCTCGAGGGCTTCGGGTGTCTCGGGTCTGAAACGGGTTAGCGCCCTCGGGCTCGGGATCCGAGCTGGCCGACTTACTAAATATATCCTCTGTTCCTTCTTCTCGGTGTGTTTATTGCGGATGCAAAGCCTGATGCGGGTAAGGGCTAGACTCGGGGGAACTGATTCACATCCACTCAAAGGGAAAAGGGGCACAGAAGCATCGAAGAAGACAAACTAGTTCCGTAGGACATGGTCCTTGCAGCCCGGAGAGTGGACATGCTCCTAGCCCGATCGGGACGAGTCGGGCCCGAAGGCTCACAACAGAGGCTGTCCTGCAGACAGTATAGCTACGCCGGCGGCCGATTGCGTCGGCCGAGGATGGATATTCGCTTTTCTCCAAAGTATTTAAGTGACCAGACCTCCCAATGTTCCATCAATCACCTCTATTCTTACCTGGATATCCATTGACCTGTTACTACTTCCTTCGGACCGTGGCACAACCGTCATCACGATCCCAAGCTGCCAGTCTGCTCGACGCCAACACGCACATCATGCTGAAAGACACGGAAAACAAGCTACCAGGGGAAGCAGGCACAGATGGCAAGTCCCAGGATGTTAAAGATGCACAGCCCGATATTGTGTACCCCTCCGGTGTCCGTCTCGCTTTACTCATCTTTTCTATCTTCGTCGGCATGTTCCTCGTATCCCTGGTAAGCCCATCACGCCCAGTACCCTAATGGTGCTACTCGTCTAACTACCCCAGGACCGCCTCATCATATCCACCGCCATCCCCGAAATCACCGATGAGTTCGACTCGGCTGGAGATATCGGCTGGTACGGCACGGCCTACCTGCTGACGAACTGCGCGTTCCAGCTGATGTTCGGGAAGATCTACCCCTTCTTCAGCATCAAGGCTACCTTTATCTCATCTATTATCATCTTCGAAGTGGGCTCCGCCCTTTGCGGCGCCGCACCCAGCTCCATTGCCTTCATTATTGGCAGGGCCATTGCCGGAATGGGGTCCGGAGGCGTCCTATCTGGCACAGTGAGCTCTACCACCCCTTCAATCGCATTCCTCGCTCATATTTATACACAGATCGTGGTCATCGTCTACGCCGTCCCGCTGCACAAGCGTCCCAAGTACCAGGGACTGGTCGGGGTTGTATTCGGCATCGCCTCCGTCACCGGTCCACTGATAGGCGGCGCCTTTACCACCAACGTAACATGGAGATGGTGCTTCTACATCAATCTTCCCCTCGGAGGTGTTGTCCTCGTGCTTGTCTTCTTCCTCCTCGACATTCCAGACCGCCCCTCCACCAAGATCCCCCTCCAAGACAAACTCCGCCAGCTCAACTTCGTCGGCATCCTCGCCCTGCTCCCCGGTGTCATCTGTCTATGTCTTGCCCTACAATGGGGTGGCACCAAATACGCCGTAAGTACCACCCCCAAACACCCCAAACACCCCCAAACACCCCAAACACCACCAAACACCACCAAACACCAACTCACACCACCCAGTGGAGCGAAGGCCGCATCGTCGCCCTCCTCGTCCTCGCCTTCCTCCTCCTGATCGCCTTCGCCGCCATCCAAGTCTGGAAGCCCGAGCAAGCAACCGTACCGCCGCGGATCTTCCTGCAACGCAGCATCGCCTCCGGGTTCTGGGTCAGCTCGTGCCAGGGCGCGCACACTATGATCTTCGGTACGTTGGCCCCATAACCCACACCTTCCAGACCTACCCCCCCCCTAACCAACCCCAGTGTACTACCTCCCCATCTGGTTCCAAGCAATCGACAACATCTCCGCCGTCAGCAGCGGAATCCACCTCCTGCCCCTGGTAATCCCGATGTCCGCCGCCGCACTACTGACGGGCCAACTCGTCACCCTAACAAGCTACTACACGCCATTCCTGATCTTCGGCGCATGTCTGATCTCCATCGGCGCCGGGCTGCTCACGACCCTCAACCTCTCCACAACGGAAGCCCAATGGATCGGCTACCAGCTGCTCTACGGCATCGGACTCGGCTGCTGCTCGCAAGCGCCCAACATGGCCGCGCAGACCGTGCTTCCCCGCGAACAAGTCGCCATCGGCGCCTCCCTGATGTTCTTCGGCCAGCAGCTGTTCGGGGCCATATTCACCTCCGTGGCCGAGAATGTCCTGGATAATCAGCTCGCCAAACGGCTGGCGGACATCCCGGGCCTGGATGTCACCGCGAAGGTTATTCAGACGACGGGGGTGACGGCGTTGCTGGGTGAGATTCCGCATCGGTATCGTGAGGCTGCGTTGGGAGCGTATAATGATTCATTGAGGGAGTGTTTTCGCGTCGGGCTGATTTTGGCGTGTTTGGCGATGGTGGGGGCGTTTGGGATGGAGTGGAGGAGTGTCAGGAAGGGGGGGAGTGGGAAGGGGAGGGCAAGCGGCGAGGACGGGGCGGAGCAGGCTGTGTTTGATGGTGATGGGAAGAGGGATGGCGAGTCGGTGATGTCGGAGGCGACGCGTCCGGTGTCTCAGTCCGAGGAGGCGTACATGTTACGTCCTGTGCGCGATGCGGCAGGAGGTCGATAGTCAACGGCGGATAATTATTAGACAATAGACAGTAGTTATATAGAAACCCCACTTCCACTCCTACTTTTAATCCCATCCCAGATCGCGGATCACTCCTTAATGGCATCCAAATACCATCGAATCTTTTCCCCTGAAACCCCCTCCTCAAACCATTCTATCCACGTCTGAGATTGGATGCATTGAGAATTATCCCCCATGTCTGGTACATGTACGCGATTATGGGGAGAGCGTGGAGTGGCAGTGTGATAATTCAGGATGTGGGCTAAAGAGGAGAGACATGATACACCTGAAACCATGAAAACAAGTCACTAAGTCATAATCTCGGAAGGCTATCCTATCCGACTATCACTTTCCTGGCCTATTTAGACCGTTATGACATCATTCTGACAGTTTGCCCGAGGACAGTGATAGTACACACTGCCCGAAGGGAGTAGAACCCTGAAGGCAATGGGGGATTGGGGAGACTAGCTGCTAGTACAGGAAAAATCCAGGCAAGTAGCAGGGCACGCCGGGTCAAGCAGGGGAAATGATAGAAAAGAACGGTAGTAAAGGGGCGGGGGCTCGAACCCGCGTCCTTGAAAAGTTTGAAAAGGCACTTTCCGAGTCTGCTATGGATGACGCTGTGCACACCATTGCGCCATCCTGCCACGGGGAAAGCGTAGGAAATTGTAGGAAGGTGCTAGTATCCAGGCCGGTCATGTGAGGGCGCTCAAGTACAAAGTACAAAGTACAGTGTCTGATCCAGAACCCAAGCGGGATTCCACTCATTCAGCTTTTTTGGACAATATTTGATTGGCGGTTCTCAATCCCCACATTATTCTCATCATCAGAAGCAAATGATATCTCTCTCAGCGATGGGGAGTGGGCTGGCACTAGCGACTTAGCGTCCCGGGCGGGGGGTTTTCAACCAGCCAACGCCCGTACTGGCATAGGAGCGGGTCGTGTAGCGCAGCGGTCTAGGGTGGTTGATGTGGCCACTCTAACCGCTCCGCCCCACAGCCCCCCCGCTCCCGCGCCCGGGCAGAGTGGGTTGGCTGGTTCGATCCCGGGCGTGGTAATGACTTCACGAATTTCCTTTGTTTTTGTCTCCAAGAGCTATCTATCTATCCATCTTTTTTGCTTTTTCTTCCTATTTCGTTGACTGGGTTATATTGAGAATATTTCTGCATGCTGTGCCCTGCCTTTTAAGTGATCTTCTGAGGTTGTGGTTGCGTGGTTATGGTTCTGTACGAGGCAGCTGTCAGGTATACCAGTATCACGGCTATCTGTAGATATCTGGACGCCTTTTTTGGTCGAGGGTTTTGTTGGTCTGTATCTTCGTCAGAGGTGATTTTTCACGGAGAGACTGGCTATCCTTGGACGCAGTGAGCAATTTTCTCGCCCAGAAGACCATCACCTTCTTTGTATGGGTTGAGATGCTGACATCACACCCCATATATCCATCCAGGCCTATAAATACCGCCTCCAGCTCAGCACGCCGTCCCGCATCTGATACCCCCACGTAGATCATCCTGCACCTTGCGGGCAGAAGGGCGTAGTGGAACAATGTTCAGACGCTAGTGGGCCATCGCGCATATCACCCCGCAGGGAACGCGATCCTTTACTTGGCTCCCCATGGAAAATATGCATGGACCGTCCTTCCCACGGTGTTTGTTCTTTTCTGGCCAAATGGAAGAAGAGTCTTGACTCTTTGGAAAACAATCTCTTTTTTCTCCATCATGGCTTCACTCGCTGCTGGTGTTGAAGTTGCAAAGACTGTCACGGCGGTAGGTGCGTCCAGTTTCCACCCTTGTCAGTCATTCTTACAGGTCTGACTATAGACAGCTACACTGGGATTCGTTCCTGTGGCTATCCACTTCCACCCGTTTGACATATTAGCCAAGTTCGGCGGGCCAGTCAGTGCGGAGCAAGTGGCAACAGCATGCCGCGAGGATAGAGCAAGAGCAAGAGAAGCGGAAGTGGACGTGCCATGTGAGTTTCTCGGTGAATTACCTCCCATTCGATCAATTCACTAACATAATGGTCGAGGTCCACGGCTAATCGGTAAGATCTGGGCAACACTTTCTCAAGGCATTGGCTGAAACTTCCCATCTCTGGGTGTAGATGATACCCTTTTCGCCATGACAGGTCTCGGGTTTGTTCATCTTGTAGACGGCGGCTTATACCGAGCCAATGACATTACCAGGCGTTTGGAAGTAATCCCTTCGTGGCAGCATGGATTTTCCACTTGTATGGAAGCCATTTTGTACTTAGCCCGATTACTCGTTCGATGGTTCCACTAACATAAATCAACTACCACGCACGACTGAAACACTATGTGCATCAGCATTTCTAATGCGGAAGTTACAGGCGGAAGGCTTCATATACCCTTTCGACGAGCTTCAAACACCGTTGTGGACAGTCTGACTTTCTTTCTATCTGGGTGCTGACGGCTTTGGTAATCCTCGGTCTCCTTTTCAGATATATACCGTCAACGCTGGGCCCTTCCCCGCGTCAGCTCCCGAGAGCGAGCTTGGGGTGTGGAAGACCTGTTATATATAATCCCATTTGCCTTTGATATATCACATATAGTGGTCGTTCAAAAAAGGTTTCATACAGTCCTATTCGCTCCGCCCCCCGTGATATTTCTCAACCTACGAGGCAGTGTATATTATGGCCTTGGAAGGCATTCGTGGTTTTGAACACACAATGAAAGAGCTGGAGTCATGAAATATGAGATTACTTCCCAACCTCTCGGTAACAGGCTCTTCTGAGGCAGCGGATCTCGACGCCCAGAGTAGCAAAGGTGAGTCTCACACACCTCAACTGAAAATAGCGGCAAATAATCGACTGATTTCGGAGTGATATTCTTGGTTCCAATGGAGAGATCATCTCTCGATTGTACAAAGGAACCTGAAAACCTACTTACAGCTCGATATAAAATCTCTAATATTACTCCTTGAACACCTCCAACCCCGTATCCAGGGGAATCACATCACCCAGAAAGTCCGACCAGAGTCTATCGATATATTCCACACCAGCCGGACTCTGCAAAAACGGCGGCCCACTATCCCCGGAATCAGCAAACCATCACGTAAAAGCGAAAGGAAATACTCACGCATCGACCCTGTTATTCTGAAAGAACTTCCCATGTGTCTCCCTCCCAGCAACAGCAACTACATGCATCGCCATCCACCCCGCCTGCTCCAACGTACGACCCCTGAATCTCCTCAACACGCGCATGATCGCTCTCAGCCAGATGGGAATACCCGCGTCCAGGGCGGTTCCCGCCACCATCCCCGGGCAGAAATTATTGATAATGACTTCCGTATCCGGGACCGTGTTAGCAAGGCGTCGGATAAAGGCATTAATGGTGAGCTTGCTATCCGAGTACCGGGATAGGCCCTGGTAGATGTTCGTGTCGTCCCAGTGGGAGAGGACGTTTTCGTTGGCCCTAAGGGGTGTTTTTGAAAGGGTGTGATAGTGTTGCGTGCCGGAGCCGACGATCGTTAGCCGGGAGGGGGTTCCGCGTTTGAGGGAGGTAGATTTGAGGAGAGGGAGGAGTTCGAGGATCAGCAGGAAGTGGCTGTAGCAGTTTACTGGGGGGGGGGGGGGTGTTAGTGTCGAGCGAGGATGGGTGAGAAAGTTCAATCGAAAATGACGTGTGTACCTTGCATAACCCTCTCATGTCCGGTCTTGCTCCGCTGGAAGTCCATTATATTTGTTCCACCATTGCAGATTAGTATATCCAGCTCGCGCACTTCTCCTTTGACTTGCTCGCAGAACTTCATAACAGATCGGTAGTCGTCGAGGTCGAGATGGAATGTTTCAACAATCGCTGTCGGATTCTTGGATGTGACTTCTGAGTCTTTGCGCAGTGCAGCCACCGCCGCTTGTCCCTTGGAGACGTCTCGCGATGTGATGATCACCCGCGACGCGTTGAGGGCGAGTAGCTGGCGAGCGATCTCGAGTCCGATGCCGGTGTTTGCGCCAGTGATGAGACATGTCTTGCCTTTCAGGGATGTTCCTGCAGGAGTGGGTATGATCGATGATTGTGGCATATTGTAAACGCGAATAGAAGAGAAGGGGATGTCTAAGTGCTAGCTAGGGATAGAAAGGTGGTTTCTGTCAAGCTTCTTGAAGGAGAATGTTTGGAGTATTTATAGCAGACCCTCTCGCGCTCTATTGTGGGCATTTTCGATTTATCAGCACGACAGGCAGAGTAGAATCTGTATATTTTCTCTTTGGCATTCTAGAGCTTTCACTCGGCTTTTATCTGAGTTTTCGATGTTAAAGGGTGAATCTATCCGCATATCCACCACGCCACGCCCTATGCAGTTAGGGCTTCAATATAGCGGCTAAACCACCCCACTCAACACCCTCCTCCGACCAACCACCATCCTCCCTGCAAGACGACTGACAAGGATCGGGCGCTAAAACGACAGGGGTCGGCGCGCTAAAGGTGCAGGGATCGGCCCCCACTTTCAGGAGACGATTCGCCGCACTCGGCCGGGACATCTCATCTCATCGCTCTTCCCTTTCCTACTCCATCTTCACCTCATGCCGACCCCTGCCCACCACCACCCGATCCCTACCACTGCTATCCACAATGTCTACCGCCGCCTGCACATCATGCAGATCCCGTAAGCAGAAATGCGACAAGGCCTTACCTGTCTGCTCGCGCTGTCAGCGGTACACACACCAGGCCTCTGGCACCCTGTCCCAGATAAGACTAGCACTAACAAATATAGACTCCTCCTCAAATGCCACTACACTGCACCAATCCCAATCCCTTCTCCCCCACCAGACCCAATCAGCACAAATCTCCTGGACTTGGGATTCAGCGCGTCCGAGAACGCCCTGACCCAATCCCTGTCCCTCCTCCTCACCCCTTCACACTCAGTCCATCTGACCACCCTGATCCACAACCACAAACCCCAACTAATCCACATGGCCGAATACTTCCTCTCCACATGCCAGAAATGGCTCGCTGTCGTGCACAAAGACGCGTTCCGCTCGCGCTGCAACGATACGCATCTCGCCAGCTCGAAGGATTTCATTAGCCTGCTCCTGGCCATGGGCATGATCACCCGGCCGCTGATGAGGGGCGATGAACCCGATGCACTGCGCGAAGCGATGTACGAGGCAGTTAAGACACTCTTCTGGGATAAAGACTCCGTCTCCCGGCCTTCGCTGTCGCTGATTCAAGCGGGTCTGCTTCTCGCTGTGTATGAGTACGGACATGGGCTGTTGAATGCGTCCTTCGTCACTATCGGCGTCTGCTCCAGTATGGCGCAGCTAAGTGGGCTGTGTAATCCGGGATGTCCACCGTTACCTCGAACAGGAAGTTTGGTTTCTGAGGATGAGATGTTGCATACTTGGTGGGGTATTCTTGTTCATGAACGGTCTGTCCCTCTCCCCCCCCCTGCTCTTCTTCCATGTAACATCATGGTGTTGATATATATTCCAGCATGCTCAGTCTGAAAACCAACCTTCCTGTCCGTCACCTGCACATCCCGCCCCAGGTAATGGACAACTTCACTCTTGAGGAGGAGATCCGATCTCTCATGCCAAAAGTCCTTCTCGATCCGCACTACCCGAGCTTCTATCTCCAGGCTAGAGCGGCGCTTTGGCTTGACCGTGTCTTACAACTGGTTCGCAGTCCGACCGCTACATCACCAGAAGGAAGAATGCGGTTCCAAACGCTGGATCGAGGGTTACTCCACTTCTTGCGGATACTTGTTCAGTTGGGGCTGGGCACGTGCTGCGAGGCGATTTCGATCGGGATGAAGTATGTCGTTCCCTCTGCGTCTCCCGTTCCATTGCTGTCCTGTCCACTGAATGCCGAGTCCGATTTGTTTGCCATTTGGAAAATGCGATAAAAGATGAAACGCTGATATCAAAAACAGCGCATTTTTCCACCTCCACCACTGGCGTCTCGAGGCTACATCCTCATCTTGTATCTCGGGCCAAGATCAAGAAGAGTCCGCGCAGGCTATTAGAACACTCATTACGGTTCTGTCTGATATATCAGGTAACGAGGTGCAGGGGCATGCTGTGCAGAATGAGCCCGATCGCCTGATCGAGCCGTTCCCGTATACTATTACCATGATGTATCAGCTGTTACTTGAGCTGAGGGGTCAGCAACGCCAGTGGAGTACGCAGCCTGGGATGGGGAGAACACAGCAGATTCGGAGCTTTGAGGATCAGATGGGCTTGATACGGTTTGTTTTAGAGAGGCAGAGTGTTCGGTGGGAGATTTCGCGTATGTATTGTTCTCTCTCCAGTTGTCGGATCGGGGCTCTAGACCGAGTTCATGGCTTCTTGTGCTTCTCTAATGGGTTATGTTGTGCTGACACGTTCCTGAAACATAGGTCAATACGTTATCCATCTGGATAGCATGTCCTGATAGCCGCTCGCTCTAATCATAGCATCCAAAGTAAAAATGATGGTTATGAATGTTCCTACCTACCTACACTTCCCCTATCCAACGACGAGAATCATAATTCCTCCACCTCACCTTTCCTAAGAATGTTCTGCTCACCACCCCAACCACAACCACCAATCTCAACTCAACTATCCAACACCACATTCTCCCCCGGCAACTCCAAACCCACCAAATACGCATCGATCGCCCTGGACGTCTCCCCAAACAGGAAATACGACGTATGACCATCCCCCCTCCTCGTCAACAACACACTCTCGCGAATCTGCTCCCTCTGTCCCACCACCCACTCCATCGGCGTCAACGGATCAAGCTCCACATTCACCAGCAAAATCGGGAGAGTATTATTGCTACTCGCATTATGTTCCCGATTCTCCACCGGAACCGGCCACCCGATGCATTGCACCTGCGGGATGTTCACCTCGCAGACCCCCTGGGTATGCGGCATTAGGGTGGCGGTATTATCCTGCTTATACTTCACGTCAGCGACGGAGGTGTCGCGCGACCAGTCGAGGCAGTAGATTGCTAGCTCGGGGAAGAGGATTGACGCGGGGTCTGTTGCGAGGGGGGTGGAGAGGAGCGTTGCGTTCCCGGATTTTGCCTGCGCCAGGGTGAAGGCTAGATCGTTCCAGCCGGTTAGAAGGAGTTGGGGTGGCGGGTCTTTGAATGGCAGCCAGTTGCGCAGGTTGTCGCGCAGTTCTTCCCCCGTTACGTCGGAGCGACATATCCCGGACACGGCACAGACAGGGGCAGGGAGGGGCGTTTCGTCCGCTTGAGCGACCAGGTCGTCGAAAAGTTGCAGGACGTCTGTGCCGTGCAGCGCACACGTGCTGTTCTGGGCACACCACTGGCTAAACCGGATCAGACCCGTCTCGTGTGCAGCTGAGGAAGGAGTGAGACTGTACGTCCGCGCCATGTTATGGTCGACGTTCCCGTCTAGCGCCATCGCGCGGATATTCCCCGGGAAGAGTTGCGCGTATTGCGCGCCGAGGACTGTGCCGTATGAAAGACCCAGGTCAGTGAGCTTGTCGTCCCCGAGGGCAATGCGCACAGCCTCGATGTCCATTGCGATGCTGACGCGGAGTCCAGGTGCGCGATGAGAGGGCCGGTGAGGTTCGCGCAGCTTTGGCCAAGGGTGTGGTATTTCTGGACCATGGTGTCAAATTGCGTGGTCGTGGTGGGGAAGTTGGATACTCGGCTGTTCTAGATAATGGGATCGCAGTGGATCGGGGAACTGAGGCCCACGCCGCGTGGATCGAGGCCGATGATGTCGAAGTGCGTGAGGATGTCTGCGCCGAAGGCGTACGGGGCGTAAGTGACCACGGTTGATGCAGGACTGCCTGGCCCTCCGGGGTTGACGATTAGGCTACCCAGGCGTTTGGAGGGGCTCGTGGCGTTGTGGCGGACCATTCTCAGGGTTACCTGGTCGCTCTCGGGGTCTGTCCAGTCGATTGGGACTTGGATGTTTTCGCAGTCCAGGGGATGGGGGGTGGAGGTGCTGCAGTTCTGCCATTTGATCGTGGGGATGCTTGCCAGAGCCTGGGATAGAAAGGTGGCGGTGAGGAATAGCCAGATGGTATTGCGGGATTGTGCCATGACTGGGGACACGACTGACAGAAGGAGGTGTAACTATGTGATATTATTACAGGGCACATCCATGGTATTTAAACACCCGGAGGAAGCCACGCTGCTGTACACCCCCTCCGACTTCCGCTGGGCAATTGCCCGGTCGAAGCAATCCCAAGCTGCAGACTCTGCTACAAACCATGACTTAAGCTTAGGTGGGAGAGCTCGTGCGTGAGGGTCTAGCTCTGGTCTGATTGAGACAGCCTGGCTTCGGTCATTCTTAAACTCCAATCCTCGCACCCTGAAATACCACTCTTCACGCCCTGATATCATATGAACCGTTTGATTTCACCCAATGAACCCAGACTTACACCTTCTGCTCCACCTCCTCCTGGGACACCACCCCATTCGTCTTTTTCGCTTTCTCCCTCCGCTGCTGCACCCACGCCTTCCCAGCCGCCTTCTCCTTCGCATCATCCTCCCTGGCGAGCGAATAATCCTTGACGAAACACACACAGAGCAGGAACTGCACGCCTGCAAGGGCAGTCATCATTTGGTAGGTGACTTGGATGCCCTTGGCTGTATTACCCATGGAGATTAGCGATCGCATAGATAGAGCAATATGATGCGAGTGAACACAAATATGTTTAAGATAGAACCCACCATAAGCTTCCAACGCCTCCGTCTCCTGCACCGCAGGCAGCGACATTGACTTAATTTTCGTGGGATCGGCGATGATCTCCGATATAAGCGATGGAGAGAAGTCAAGGGTTTCGAGTTTAGACCTAATCCCGAGAAAAGTATCAGCGAAGATTCCTGAATCATCAAACCCCCTCCCTAGCACTCCATCTCAACATCAGTAGAGAATCACAAACCCACCGAACAATATTCCCCACAATCGCCGAACTCGCCGCAATAGCCAACGTCGACCCCATCATGCGGAGATAATTCCTCGCGCCCGTAATAACGGCCATCTCACTCCTCTTCAGCGCCGCCTGGATAGCCACCAGAGTAATCTGGAGTGTCTGTCCGCTACCCAGACCGGTGAGTAGCTGGAAGATTACCAGTTTCCACGCGGGTGTGGAAATGGTCACGGTTGTGAAGAGACCGGAGGCGATAGTCCAGAGCCCGTAGCCCAGGATCAGGTTAATGCGGTAGCATTCCCATTTGCTGACGATGAAGCCGGAGCTGAAGGAGGTGACGATTTGGGAGACGACTAGTGGGAGGATCATGATGCCGGAGCGGAGGGCGCTGTCGCCTTGGACGACTTGGTAGAATTGGGGGAGCTGGATAGTGTTTTAGTCTCGAAGTGGGATAGTGGAAGAAGAGGGTGCTCACGTAGTAGAGGTTGATGAAGGTGGCGAAGCCGGTCAGGAACGTGGTGAGAATGCAGATGGAGACGTGGGTGTTGCTGAACATGTGCACTGTGGTGTGTTAGTGGGGATGATTCTCGAACGAAGCGAGGATTACTGACGGGGGATCCTGCCAACGTTAGAAATTGTCTATACTGTATGAGAGCCACTTACAATGGTAGCCTGGCGACTTTGACCTCCACCACAACGAAGACCCCGATGAGGGCTAGCCCAATGATCAGCGGAACGAGCACAGCCGCAGAGGCCCATGAGTACATCGTGCCAGCCCTACTGGAATCAGCATACATCATAGCGGTAGGAACGAATCACGAACCAGGATATAGGAAGAAGAATCGAAATCGACGCGACAAAGCTAATCAGACATCCCCATCCATCGATCTTCTTGATCTTCTCCATCGCGTGGCCCTCAACCTTTTTAAAAGGCAGGGCGAAAGCGACGATGATCAAGGCCACAGCACAGAGAGGAACAGTGATAAACTACCCGTTGTCAGTGGACATATACATCTTCCTGTGAGTGAAAATATGCAACGTACGAAACACCACCTCCATGACACCTTCTCGGTAAACAGCCCACCAACAACAGGCCCAATAGCCGTGCCAGCCGAGACAACCACCCCAATAATCCCCTGGTACTTACCCCGATCCTTCAGCGAGACAAGATCCGACACGACGATACTAACTGTCGTGAGGATACCTCCGCCGCCAATCCCCGCCACAGCGCCTGATGTCTATTAGCGACGTCGACATGCGATCGGGAGAACTTACGACACACGATCAGCATGGTCATGTTCCTGGATACGCCGCACAGGACGCACCCAATGAGGAATACTGACAGGGCGAAAATAAGAACAATCTAGAATTTAAGCTCCTGAAGAGGGAGGGCGTTGGTAGGTGTATGCAGAACATACCTTCCTGCCAAAAATGTCCGATAGTCGACCATACAGCGGCTGACAGGCCGTGCTGGTGAGCATGTATGCCGTTCCAACCCAGGACGAGATGTTGGCTTCATTGAACACCGCGCCGAGGGTGGGCAGGGCCGTTGATACACTGATATGTCAGATAGGTCTCCAGCTAGGGTGCAAACACATACATCGTTTGATCGAGCATAGAGCCTGGAGACGGTTAGCGTCAGCGGACGGAATAGGGATGGTGGTTGCCTACACAGCATGGCGACTGATAGTCCCGGGAACACTACCAGCAATTGTTTCATGGGCAGGATATTCGTTTGCGTGGTGAGCTGCGGACCCTTGGTTCCGCCATTGGTACTGTCCCTTGCCTTTTCGGCTTTCTCGGGATCGGACATAGTTGGGATTTCCGAGGTCGGGTTGTCCGAGATTGAACGATCCGAGTCACCAGGGGGAAGAGGTGAGACATGGTCCACGTGGGGGGGTTCCTTGACGGGGCATTCCACCGTTGTGGTCCGCACGGGGGCTAGTGTCTGGTCGTCTTTGGTGTGCATGTTGTGGTGTGAGGAGGGGATAGTTTGGCCGACTTGATTGGGATAATCGGACAGACGCCGAGCGATATTTAGTCTGGTGCAACCAGGACACCTGCGACGACAAGGGGGAAAGGAAAAGGAAAAAGAAGAAAGAGGGCGCTGGAACGACGAGTTGAAAACTCGCTTCTGAAAAGACAAAAATCAAGATAAGCAGAGGCGACGGTCGCCTACACGCAGCCGAGCGATGGATCGGCTCGTCGAGCGCCATTGTGGGCCCGGCTCTGTGGGCTTGGGTGCCCAGGAACCGAGCCTGGAACGCTCCACCAGGGGATGGAACAGAGAGATCGTCAAACCCACTACAATATTCCGCCTTACCACTGACAAGCACCTCTGTATTCAAGCTATTATTCACTACGACCCCAGCCCTGAAAACGGAAATGTCCCGGGAGGACCAAAATGCCCCGACCCGTCGACGTCGCCAACATGAGGCTGACTGAACTTGGGAAGAAGAGGATCGAATCGGGACATCTATGTCAAAGGTGAGTGTTGATCGGACCAGTGTAACGAGGAGTATCCCACCTCTGCTTCTGCAGCCCATGTACTAGCAGTAGGAGTACTCGTGGGCGCACCTATCCATACGTCCGGAATTGGGTCCCATGGGGAAGTCGAAGGTGGCTGGGGGTGCTAGCTGATAATTAGCCAGGACACCTTCGCAGGAGCTCTTTCATATTACCGGTAGGAATGATGCGTCCACCTCATAGCCTCTGATTGAGGATGTGGCACCGTAAGCCGTGCAATCTGGGAGGAGTTCCAACAAAATCGCGTTGAGGCTGGCTTCGTCCTAGATAGCACACACATCGGTTAGCGGTGTATTCAGGACGTTGGAAATACTCGAACTCACCAAGGCAACCTTTTCGGCAAGACGGCTAGCGTCGAGAGACTTCTGTCGTTGGAACCATGGCAACGGGGGAGTCTCAGGGCGTCTGGTAGGGTTAGTTTTTGACGAACCGATCCAGAAGACAGGGCTACTCACGATTCAGTTTCCGGGGACGTCTCCAAAGACAAGCCGTGGCGGGCCAGCATACGACGCATTTCCTTGAGCTGGGAGGTCTAGCGTCAGCAACCGGCGGTCTTTGGTCCAAATAAGATACTTACCACCAGATAGACGGGATGGAAGTATACACTCGTACGCTCTACAAAAGCAAGCATAGTATCCACCCTGTCTTTCAACTTCGCACCATCCACATCATCCGCTGTGTCTAGTTCCAGCTGCACCCGAATCGAGAGGTAAACCACATGTGCGATGGTATGATCGTATATAACCAGCGGCTCGCCCGGCGTCTCTCGAGCCACAAGGGCCAAAATATCCGCAATCGCCTGCGCGTGTCGCAAAGCACCCTGCCGCGTTTGCTCGACCCATCCCGCAGGCGCAGTGGAGAGGAAATTCTCCCCCAGAGACTGCGGATAGCCAGAGAGCGCGACACTACACAGCTCGACGTGGCATTCATTCCACCACAAATAAAACATAACAACCTGACCCAACGCAGGCTCTCCATGTCTCCTCGTCACCCTGTCGCGGGTGAGCTGGAGTCGCACGGGGAGGGATTCTCGAAGCCAGGCCAACTTCGCCATGCACGCCTGAAACGGGGAGTTGGGACTCCATGGCGCTGGTATATTCGTGTTGCATCGCTCCCCTGAAATCGTGCTTATGGTCTCTCGCAAATTATGGAAATACCGCCTGATCATCACCCGCACGCCAACCAGCCGCACCCAGAACCCCATCACGCCTACATTCCTGTACATCCACGCGGGAACATGGGAGTCATCCGTTTCAAGCGCCGACTCGGGCGTTTCGACATTCAACTCCATCTGGAAGTTGAACCCGTCGCACGGAAGGCGGAGTTTGATGCGTGATGCGGGACATTGGATTGATTCCGGGGTCCCATTTGCGATGAGCCGGTTGGAGGCGTAGCAGGCGAAGAAAAGCCGACGGTCGCGTTCGCTGTGCACGAAGGAGCGCGTTCCGGGGGGTGATTCATGGTGGAGACCGAGGGCGACGGCTTGGCTGATGGCGATGGTGGACCATAGGTGGGATTGGGTGAATCGGCCGGCTTGCTGGGTGTAGATTGTTAGGAGGAGGGATGTTGTGATGGTCTCTCGTGACGCTTCCATCGCGGTCGTGACGAGGTGCCCGGCTTGTGCGGCCCATTCTTTGGCGACTTCTTCAGGTTCCGGGGGGGAGGTGAAGCGCGATCCGATGGCACAGAGGGCAAAAATGATGGTCTCTGAGAGCGTTCTTTCGCGGATGGCAGCGAGGGTTCGGTCCCGGTGGAGGAAGGCGTTGGCGCGGTAGACGTGGACGTGTTGGAAGAAAGCGACGGCGAGGCGTTGGATACGGTCTGGGCTAGGAAGATTGTTGTTGGACATGCGGGATGTTCTGGGAGTAGACCCTGTCTCCTGGGTGGGGGTGTGGTTATGTTGTATAGCCACGCCAGTAGTGTCGGCTGCAGATTCCACAGTAGGTCTCTCCTGGGGAGCCAGGCCAGCACGACCTAGACTGGAGGGAATATCGTGATTGGTGACCTCTCTATCGTCCTCACGTTGAGAATTCCCCGTTCGCAGCCGTTTCATCCATGCCTCAGCGGACGAAGTAAGTGCCCGCCCTTCCGTAGGCTTTGGATACTGACACTCGTGTCTGTAAAGCAGACATCGTGCGCACGAAGGCCTAGCTTTGGAGCATTTCGAGCGGGCATACCTACAGGTAAGACAGGCCGGTGACTTGGAAGTGATTATCGTGGACGGGGTAACAACTAAAGCTGCTATAACACACATTCAGGGGGTGAACGAATTGCATCAGCGGAATCCGGGGGAGAGAGTAGACCTACACCACTGCCCCGGCGACCCATCAGCCCAGCGACACTCGACCGTGAGATTCCGGCAGTGGTTGCAGGCCGGGCGAGCCTCATCGCACTTGACCTTCCGGGCGCGACACGTTAAACACCCTACTCTGCATCAATAACCCATTTGTGGGGACACATTCACTGGGTTAGGGCTTCACCCACCTGTCTTGACCCGCTTTCGTTTGCGGGGTGAGGCAGACACCCCCGCATTAGCCACCACTCCCTCGTTGGGTTCATGATGCGGCTGTGAAGAGCGGATGAAAGGCTCTGGACCATCTGGCATACTCGATTGACAGATCCGGGCAAGTGTGGGTGTCAAAAAATAGGCGATCGATCCCGAGGCGAGCGTCGGCTGTCGGGTTTATAATATAGTTGTCGGGGGCGAAGGAACTCGGACTTGGCTACCCGATTCACCCTCGCCTCGCATGGATTTACCCCGCTCTGTCGTGCTCTCCAGTCCAGTCAGTCGTGGGCTGGAGATAAGCTCTTCGCCAAATCCCAGTCGTGCAATTCTCCAGGCCGCGCGGTCTGGATCTGTTTCCACCGAATGCAGGGTGCCGTATAGCTATCTATCTGGAGCGAGAAGCCTCGTCGCCGGAGCAGGTGATCTTGCCCATCATGACAAACTCCCTGCAGAAGTCGTTGTCTATGATACATAGGTATGTAACTGCCCCATTCAGGTCTTCCAGGTTTCTATCGAACGCCTGAAAACCTCCCCAACAAAGAGAATTGCGTATCACTGCGCGTCAGAGGGCGTGTCATGTGTAATAAGCTACCCCCACACTACACAAGGGTGTACCAACCGACATTATGTGGCCCAGACAAACACGTTGAGAAACTTGATTGATAAAAATAACATAACTAACCTACGAATCCACCTCAGGCAACCGTACAATCCCACGGCCCCGTGCAATTCGCCTTCATAATGTACGCATTATCGCCGCTGGACTTATGGCATATCTCCTCCTCGATAGTAAGCAGGGTGTAATCATACTTGACGCACCGCCCGGTATTGCGTCCACTGGCATCGGCACAGTCCCAGATGCCCGAGTCCGACGAGGTCTCGTTGCACCAGTATGTCACGCCGCCGCCGCAGATGCCGTCGGGGAAGCGCATGCTTTTGACCAGGCCGTCGATTCCCATGCCGTTCTCGGCATTCTCGACGACGTTCCGGTACTCGCTCGAGCAGATCTCCTTGCGCTCGCTCAGCATCGCTACGAGTATCCCGCCCTCATCTTCGCCGATGCAGCTCGCCTCCGTGCAGACGTCCTCGTATTCGATCCAGTCCCACAGTGCCCAGGGGTAGGCCCCGGTTGAGGTGGCCGCGGGAGCGGTGGAGATGGTGGTGCTAGATCCGCTGCAATAGGAGATGGTTACGCCGTCGACCTCCCCGAAGCCTTCCGTGGCGCAGGCGATGACATCGCCCGCTCCGTCGCTGAAGGTGTACGGGTAGGGGTTTCCAGTGGGGTTGATGGAGAGGGTGATGCGCGATCCGCTGCAGTATGCAACTGAGGAGCCCTCGACGGCCACGAAGCCTTCCGTGGCACAGGCGATTGTATCACCATAGGGATCGGTGAAGGTGTACGGATACGCGTCAGAAGTGGTGGTCGTGGCTGTGGCGGTGGGAAGGGTGGTGTAGCCACAGGGGTTGGATCCAGTGATTGTGGGGAATGTCTGGTCCGACCCACTGCAGGAGCAGTATGTGCCATCTGAGCCGCTGTCCGGGTCCTGCTCAGCCACGCACAGAGGACTTGTTGAAGTGGCCGTCGCGGTGGCCCCGGTACTCGTCGCGGTGGCCCCAGCGCTGGCACTTCCGCTGCCATACATCGACAGCCACCTGGAGCTGAGGAGGCTCGAGATGGAGTCCAAGCTCGCGATGCTATCACTGGTTGGGAAGGCGAATTCGGGATAGTCCGTCGTGGCAGCACCTCCGAGGGTGACAGTGATAGTGGTTTCGCTGCCACTGCTGGTGGATGTGGAAGATTCGCTATCGCCATCGTCCCCTCCACTGCCTCCACCACCGCCACCACCGCCAGACACATCCTCGCCAAAGCCCGGAGGGCACAATGGACAGCCTCCAACACAGAATGCGGCACCTAGATGGGGATTAATGTGTCAGCGTGGACGGAGGACTATTGCTGAGACTGGGATACTTACAATGAGTACCGCAATGCTCACTAGACGAGGAGCAAGTCGGCCCGGAAGACGACCCGGTTTCCACCTTTGTGGCGCGAGTGTTCAGTACGGGATCGGGGCTCCCCGTCGTAGTCGGGTAGGGGTGAGGAACTATCGTCGTGGTGGATGGAGACAGGACGGTTCCATTAATCACGGACGTCGTACCTCCAAAGATCCCTATCCACGAGGTGCTGACATAGGTCAAGTTGCCCGAGGAAAACGTAAACCCGGGAATGGTGCTGGTGGTGCCGTCCAACACGGTGGTATTTCCACCAACAGTTCTAGCCCGGTCAGTATACGAGGGTACTATCGGGGCATAGTACTCACGGGGTGAAGGTCACAGCGAATGGAGAAGGCTGAACCGAGCTGGTCTGATGGACAGTGGTCTGGCCCGAGGTGATCTGCTGATTCCACACGTTGATATAATCGGTCGTGACTGCATCGATTAGCATTTTACTGCCAGCTGATTGATATAAAGGGGCATACCCGGAGAGATCGTCACACGCGTGGGAACAGTATAGCTCTCGAACGAGGAGTATGTCAGAACACTGCCATCGCTGAATGTTGTCGTCTCGGTAGCCGTGGCTCTCCATGTCACATGTGTGTCCAAGTCCGGGAAATCGATCGTGGTCGTCGTGGCAAGGGGAAGAGGTGGCATGATCATGTAACAAGGCGGCGAGCAAGTCACGGCCGGAGTGGCTTCGGTCCAAATCTCAGGATCGATTGTGAGAGTCTGCCCCCCTTCTCCCTCGCCATCCTCGGAATGCCCGTCGTTGGGCTCCAGATCAATGGCCCATTCGGCTGTGCCGGCAAAGTTCCAGGTCTCATAGTAGGCCTTGCGGCTAGCCCGGGTTGTATTGGTCATGTAGCCGACCCACTGCGTCTCATTGTAGACGAGAATGTCCGTGACGTTGGTGGAGTACAGCTGTGCCGTGGAGTCGTCAGCCAAGATGTCATCCAGCTCTGCGTTGGAGATGTAACCAGCAGTCACAGTGCACGGTCCGGCAGCCCCGGCAGCATCCCAAGTACAGGACGATGAGATACAGCCCGGAGTGGTCATTTGGAAGGATCGACCGTAGCTGGTCACTCCCACCATGACCTGGTTAGTGGCCACACCAGCCTTGGTCATCATCGCCAGTGCCCACATGGTTTCCGTCATGTTGACATGCGAGAAGAGGCAGTCTCCAGCGGTACAGCCCCATTGGGACCATTTACTGCCCAGATCCCACACTCCATGCATATCATAAGTCATGTAGTTGATATAGGTCACCACCTCGGCAATCTCCTGAATTGGGAAGGCCTTTAGGTACCAATAGGAGGACGGGGCAGTCACCGAAATGATGATATCGTCGGGCATGGCGGTCCGCAGGCTAGTCAGGAACTCAAGGTATTCCTCGCCTTCGTCATCGCTGCCAGCTGGAATACCGGGAATGTCAGGCTCTCCAGGATACTCCCAGTCAAAGTCGACACCATCCAAGCCCTCGCCAATGACGAAATCGACGACGTTCTGCACTAAGGTAGCGCGGTTGGCGGCTGCGACACCTTCTCGGAAGATCATGTACGTGTCAGCATCCGTGGAGAAGTCCCAACCACCAAAGGAAACGATGCGGTATACATTTTCTAGAGCGACGAAGTGCTCGTACTCTTCCTCCATTCCGTCCATGTTAATGGAGAAGTCGGAGGCAATGTTTCCAAAACCGAAGTTGACATGGGTGTATTTGGATGTGTTGATCGAAGAGGCGTCCATCCGCAAACAGGTTCGGTTCATAGCGCTGGCCTCATAGTATCCGACAACGGCGTATTGCGACGGAGACTCCACCCAGTTTGTGATACTTGTTCCACAGTTGGAAATACACCCGTCCGAGCCTTTGGCCGCAGTTCCCGGTGCCCCGGTTGAAGCCCGCGCGTCGTCACAATAGAGAGGGGTGGTGCCACACTGACCCCAAACATCGCAACAGGCGTTGAGCGGACATGGATTGAGAGCTGCCCAGTCATTAGGTCCGTCGGTGCCAGTAAAGTTGGTCCCTGGGACCTGAGGTCCACATTGGGCATTGGCAATGGCCACTGGGTAGGGGGGGGTGCCCGTGGAGAGGCAGATAGCTTGGCCCGCCTGCAGATCGTCGCACCCGTACCAGCCCCAGGTCTCATTGTTGTAGGAATCGATCTCATCCACAGTCAGACTGTACGTACCCGCCAGTGCAGAGCAACTGTCTCCCGACTCGACGACGTACGTATAACAAGTGCCGTTTGAATACGCCGAGGGCGAAAAGTCTGGGAGCGAGCCGGAAGAACAGCAGACGTGCTGGCCGACTGCGAGCGTGGAACAAAGGTCCGAGGAGGGATTGTACTCGTAGAATTCCGCTGCCGTGATCCCGCACTCAGTCACCAAGCTGGAGCAGGAATCCCCAGAGACCACCTCAACGTACGAGCAAGTGGTCCGACGTTGATGGCTGTGGCTGTGGCTGTGACCAGAGTGAGACCTGGAATGTCCAGAGGAGCGCCTGGATATGGTGTTATTGGTTGTCGAAACCATATTGGTGGGCGCGTTGTCCCGGGTCCAGAGAGAGGTCGTGGCAGACATGGTCTTGTCAAACCCAGACACACATTCAGCATTGCTCCAGGCTTGGACGTATTGTTTTACAGCTGCAATGTCGCCGCTCAGATCAAGAGCTACACCCAAGGTGTGATTGGAATCCGCTCCACAATATTGGAGCACATTGCTGTCAAAGGTCGTCCTTTGACTGAAACTGATCATCTGCTCCAGGGCGAAGTCGATGTTGGCAACCTCCTGAAGGCTGCCACCGATGTACACGCCCGCTGAGGCCTGGTTGGAGTAACCAAAGATTTCAGACTTCTGAGTATTCGCAGCGAGGTAGGAGCGGATGTTCTCAAGAAGGGTCTGCGTGTATTGGTTCTTGGATAATGCAGCAGTTCCATTCCACGCACCGATCTGGTAAGTGACATCCGTCTTCGTGGCTTGCCCAGTTTGATTACTCGCGGACGCCGTCAACTGGTCCAGGTCTGTGGCGGTACAGGTATGTATAGTGGAATGGGCTTGGCTGTTGTTCAGAGCATTGAAGATGTTGAAGTCCAGCAACATGGTCTCATTGCACTGCGCCACCCGGTCGACACTCGGGTAGACAAACCAGTCGGACGGATCATAGCTCGCACAAGATGCCGGGCAGGCAGTCGGTTTCTTGACCCGAGCCCTGGCGCTGATACGTTCGCTGGCGGTGGTATTCCAACCGGCCAGGGCTTCCCCCGCCAGAAAGCCGCCGATCAAAGCAGCGGTGGCAACTTTCGGAGAGAAGCGCATGGCTACTTTACACCGAGTGAGCCCTCAGTGAAGAACAAGCTCACACCAGAGATGGAAAGGAGAGAAGAAGTGAGAGACAGGAGGTGAAAGGAGATGACAATGAAACAGTGACCAGGGTGCTCGTAGAGAATGTATCGGAGCTATCCCAGTGGACCAAAGAATGACCTGATGTTCAGCAGTCCGACTGGGGTTCTCCTCGCTCTTATACATGTGTGGTTCCGATGGGATACCCGATATGTGCTCCAACCATTACACGCGATGCCATATTCGCCATGTGCAATGTATTTGCCGTTTCCGACGAAACAGTGGATAACGGGACTCCTCAAGCCGGACGGAACAGGGCAATACCCGGTGCCGGCAGGTTGAAAGTGCCTGTTTAATTAGCACATCTGTATGGTGCGGACCATCTGCGCGAAGGAGTTCAACTAGTCACCCCCAAATCGGCCCAACAGCCTCGAAGCAATTTCCCGCTCAATGCAACGGAAGGTTCTGTTACATCCTGATCAGCAACATCTCCGCAGAACACACGATGAGCGCAAAATTTTTGATCTCCATATTCGCAGGATTCTGATGGGCCATCTTGGCGTTCAGCGAGAGCCGCATCCTGCGCGGATCCACTGCACGGGGGTCAATCTCGGTAGGCACTCCGTACCGAAATTTGATCAGGCTTTAATTACTGCAGTCCGCTAGCAATGCCGGAGCCAGGACGGCTGCTTTGACTTTTTATCTAGCGTTGAGTAGCGCAGGTACCCCCGAGTCCTGGTGGCCACCCGTTCGGTGGCGCCTGCCAACTGCGCCTACCCCCTTTCCTTTTGCATCAACTTAGCAGACTGTCTAGATTCTACTACTAGTAGCTGCAGGACCTGTACCTGGCTGTTACTCTAGTAAGCCTTCTTCCATGGGGTGGCGGGAGAGCCATCGTATTGCCTATACGGTAAATCTACCAATCGGAAACCCCCCTTGCTTCGCGCCTGGAGTCCACCAGAGCAGGAATCACCGAGAAGATCCACCTCCAGACATGTTTCGCTGTCATTGTAATGACAGTCGAAATTGCGACACCGATTCCTTCGGCCCCTTGGGCCGATAGTGGTCGCTTTCGCCGACATATATCACAGCGACCTTTTCCCAGTTTCAATCAGCTCTATTATCAGACAACCAGGGCAGCTTAACCCGTTGTGCAGTCGTTCTTTTGCAAGGCCCTTTGAAGATCTTTGCTACCTCTTGTCCATCTACCTTACAGTGCGAGCAGCCGAGACAATGCGATTGCCGGATATTTCATTGCTAGGCTTCGTCATCGGACTGGTGGTGAACCAGGCGGCCGGCGCTATTACCGATCGCTTCAACCTTCCCAGCGGTTCGGGGAGCTGCGCGTCATATTCCACCTTGCTCGACGACTATCTGGTTGATACCACCACGCTCATCAATGGCATGGTTACCGCCATGGATCTCGCCGTCCAGGTAGAGGACAGCGAGGAAAAGATGGTGGCGCAGAAGTTCTTCAACGCCTACCTTGCCGTACTTTTCCACAATCAGGAGAACGTTGTCGATGTGTATGGTAATGCTGGATTCTCATGGGACACAATCAAGAGTAGGTTGCTCCAATCAAGCTGTGACGTGGATGGACGGCTAATCCTCTTCGAACAGGTACTATTACGCTTCTGAAGGCATTCGTTGATACCGGCGATTATCCAACTTTCACAAGGCCCCCACACTTGTTCTGTGCTAGCTACGGACAATGGTTTTCCTGGGATTCGGCCGTATTTGACGCCTCCGGCAAAGAGTACAAAGACGCCAACGGGCAGTCTCAATCCATAAAAGACATGTACGCAGATTCGTATGAGGCTGACAAAACCCGAAAGCCCTACTGGATTCCGGCCCTGAAGAACTATGCATTCCTCCAAGATGTATACGATGAGGATATTTGTGCGACCACAAAGATGATCGCAGTTCCTGGTGGATATGAGAAGTCCGAACCACTAAACGGAATGGCAGCGCCGGGCCATGACAAAAAGACCGTTGTCCAGAAAACTGACGATGCCGATACTGCTGCCTCGGCTACCAAGGACGCGAAGGAAGTATCCGAATTGATTCTATACGAGGCGCTTGCCGACTCTATCTTGCTATGTCCCAGGGTCTTAACCACCGCAGATGAGGATACCTATTCCTTGTTAAAAGACGTCCCATATGTTAAGCCTGACAGTACGACTAAGCAGCTTTCTCAGCTCTTGCCCCAGAGTGCAAATCTGTTCCATGAATTGATTCATGTAGTCACCTTCTGGAGGGAGGAAACAGAGACCACTAGTTCTAAAAGGCTATTAGGTCGTGCGAGTGACTTTCAATGTGAGTCCCCCCAGTTTTATATATTACGGTGCTTCTGACTGTATATGCAGATGATCTATGGGAATGCCTTAAGCTCGCATCCACTCCGACCACTTATGGGACGGCTCCGATAAATGTTGAGAGCTATACCTACTTTGCCATGGCATGGTGGTACTACAGGAACGATTGGAGCGGGCAAGAACCCGTTGCTTTTTACTATGGACTTCCCGAAGAGGTAATCTGGCCTGAGTCCGAGCCCGAGTCAGACGACGATGGAGGCGGCGGTGACGATGGATACGGCGGTGACGACGGATACGGTGACGACTACGTGGGCTCGGATGGGGATGATGCGTAGAATGGTTTTCGTGATATTATATCTGGATAGTTATAATCCAGTGGCATCCGCATTCCTGGCCAAGAAACTCGGCTAGCAATGTCACACGCATACTATTTTTTTCTGATACGATATATCCTCTTCCGCACACATAACTGTTACCTCTCTATGTACACGTAATGGACATAGGTTAAAATGATCAATTTCATGCCCAGCAACCTTCCGCCCAAGTTCAGGGCTTTAGAAACGAGCTTGAAATGTATGTAAATCGCTAATCGAGATGTGATTAACCACTACGACAACTGGTCAACCCCCTGGCCTCGGCCGCATGGTTTGATCGGCGTTCTCCGTGAGTCTGGACACTATATAAACGCCAAGGTCAGTCAAGTTGCCGATAGCCGATGCATGTGTCTGCCCTAACTCCTTCGGTGCTATACCCACCGGAGCCTATACTGTTTTACCGTAATCCAACATTTCTTACCCCAACTCATTTGTGGGTTCTCAACGGATATTCCTGGTATTCCTGCACTAATCCTCTTATAGAATGTAAGTGGCAAGTGAAAAGTTGAGCAACGGAAACTCAGGCCATAATCCGGGATCGGTGGCACTGAAATCGGCGTGTTTACTCCAAAGGTTCTCGAATACAGAGATGCCACTCCAGATTATCAGAAACATGTGTCTGGCTTGATCCATCCTCGCTAGTCTGTCATTAGTATTGTGAAGATTATACTCCGGCTACTGAATGAGCTGTTACTTCAAGTTCCTGCACAATGCCACAAAGCATAAAAATGCTTAAACGGACATGAATCGGCCCATCAGTAAGCACGTGGATAGAGCCGGATCGAGGCTTTCTGGAAACGGCCCCCAACCTAACTTTATTAAACTATCACCATGCCAAGACATGCGTACCATGTTTAATCTTGTTGCCTTGAGGCATATTGTCAAAAATCATGAACGATGGGATTAACTCTGCACCCTGGAGGCGGGGCCTGGTACGTACCTGGACCCTCCCCTGTTGGCGCCTCGATGGCAGCCGAAGATCTCCCGACCGCAGACGTGCCCACGTGGAGGGGGTAAGTGCATGATCATGTTAAACGACCGATCTAACATCCGAAATGTAGTAGCGTGCCGAGTAAGCCCGATCGATATTAAGATTCTCACCCCCTAATAACCTGACTGCTTTACAAGGTGGCGATAACATTGATGCGTCGAATCGGGTAGTCCGAGCCGAACCATCATCGGCACATCCGAACCGAAGGCCTAGGATCGCCGGCTTTAATCTGACGGAGATGCTCGGGGTCCAAAACAGCCCCCAACCCAATTTCACTAGGGATATAGATATAGCTGTCAACCTGTCAGATGAACTAGTCTAGTCATTAGTATAATGGAGTCACACAGATCAGGGAATTACAGATCCCGCCGGGGTCCGAATCCACCCCTCTGTCGACTGTGCGAAGCGGGTCATCCCAATCCAGCGGAAAATAACTTATGCGATCGTCGTATAACAATTGTATTCCGAGCATCAGAACGTGGACTAAATATATGCCAGGGCTCCTGAGAGCTGTCAGTGTTTTGCATGGCGGGATTGAGATGACAAGGAAGTGGGAGTACAATCAACTCTGCGACAGCGCCACGTGACCCGAGACTCGATCGATTGTGCTGCAGCGACCACCACGAGCAATCATGTCGATACACTCACTTCCGCCTGAGCTCGTAAAGATAATCGAACGACATATGGATCTCTCTTCCAGGTGCGCACTAAGACTCACTTGCAGAGCTCTGTGTGCAATCCTGCGGATGCCCATCTCCGAGAAGGATTTCCAGATCATCGGCCTCTTTGTGACGAGACACAGCCTCAAACAACTAGAAAGTATTTCCAAGCATCCAACCGTGCGACTGTATGTCCAGCAGCTCTGTATCACACCGGAGCTGTTTAGTGGTCGTTCTATACCATACAATCTATCAGTCCATCCACCACTTACACTCAGACGAGAAATAAGACCACCTCCCCCGGGTGACCAAGCATTGTACTATTCTATGGTCACTGATCATGTCAGTACTATCCAATCTGACTCTCTCGTCGGGATCCTCACACGCGTCGTAGGACGCTTTGAGAATCTGAAAACGCTTGGTTTTCGATATCATGCGGAGAATCATGTCCTTGAGAAAGACCCTTTTTTACAACGTTGCGGTCTGCTTAGGTCGAAATACCGGCTTCTGAGAACATGCCCCAAGATTCCTAACGTTCATAATCGCCCTCGAATCAAGAAAGACATTGATGTGTGCGCACTGACTTTTTCGGCGCTTCTCAAAGCGGTAGTCTCAACCAGACGAAAGCTCAAAGAACTACACACCTGCAGAGGTTCCCACAGTTGTGTCATACCGGAGAATCTTACGCTGATTCCATCTCAGTTCGAGGATCTCCTTCCTCTGGTAGACGTACTCGAAACTCTGCACCTCTGTACCAGTAGATTCGGGAAGCCGCAAGAAGATGCCTCCTTCAAGGGCCTTCTCAGCATTATCCCGGCAGCTGCACCAAACCTCAAGAATTTGACACTCTCACAAGGCAATCCAGAACATCCACTGGACCTGCACTATTTTTCTGACCTCGCCCAATCTGTCAGCTTCACGCGGCTCGAGGAGCTTCACCTCAACTGGATCGAAATGACCCCAACAGCATTTAGGGTCTTTCTTCGCACCGCAGCCCCGACCTTAAGGGTCCTCACCATGACCTATGTGACTCTCAATGAGAAGACCATACCAGACAGAATTCCGCACGGTATGAGTCCTGATGCACCCCGGCTCGCGCGGCAAATGTGGGAATTTTTCCACGACAATTTGTCCCTGCGGCACCTTTCCATCCATGAACTTGGCTTGGATGGGAAGCGGATCGTCGTGCGAAATATCTTCAATGGGCTCGAGCAACACCGCCACCCGTTTGATAACTCTCATGCTGTCTTTCACGAGGGTCGGACCCCCATTTCCTTTCGCGAGTGGGTAAGCAATCTGGGGATAGAGCCTCGTAGGATGATCTAAGGTTCGGACAGTCCGTGATCGAACGCTACGCGCAGGCGACTGGGATGTCTTTCCGGTCGGTGTAGTTTGAGCTCTGTTGCAGGAGGATTAGGTAGGCAATGCAGTGCTAGTGCGGACAAGCGATATTATAAGCCGTACTTCCGTGTCTTCGATGATTGATGAACAAGAATGACAATACCAATTGCATCCTCTGCGTCCGATCGCTCTACCTCACGGCAACTGTTTGCTGGTGACTCTTTCGGTGTTCAGTTGGATAGAGAACTGCCACAGCATTTGCAACATTGCTCATCAAAGCAGAACTGTCGGTAGGGCTCGAGTATTCCAGGCGATTCGCAAATGCCCATATTTCTCCCGGAGAGGGGTTGCAGTCAGCGAACAGAGAAGGTAGCTATACCGAACTGAATATCTCTCGCACATAACCTCTCTAATCAATGAGGGCTTTTTGAGCTCCGCTCATAATCCGGCAACGCCCACTCCACCATCCACTCTGACTTCAACACCTCCTCAATAGAAATCCTTTCCTCGGGCCTGAACGCCAGCATTCGACGGATCAAATCCAGAAATGCGTCCCTCTCTTTCCCCTCTCTTTCCCCTCCATTTCACCCCCCCCCACATCTCCGTCTCTACTTCTGTATACCAAGTTCAAATGAACCTTCTTCGAGCACAGGCCATCGATCTTCCTTGTATGACTGCAACGGGCTTCCATCCTCATCGAAAAACGCGCTTCGTCCTTCCCACCGCTGCCACCAATCCAAAGGCCCAGGTTCGAGCACATCAATATGCTGAGCAATTATCTCATTCTCGGGCACGAAGTCCGTACTGAAAATTGCCTTCATTCCCATAATCTTCCAGATTGCAGTCGAAGGCTCCAGATATCTGATGAATATGATAGTGGGGTCTGGGGTTCAAATTTGGCTTCGGGGACTTGAAAGGCTTGGGGGATGTGACAATCTTCTCCGAGTCAGACTTCTGACGCGGGTGAGAAGGCTTATCCGAAGTCAGTAAGAAGTAATCGCGCGTCGAATAATTGGAACTTTTCAGCATATTTGCCCATGAAGATGGGTATGACTGCTTTGGCGGGGACGTGGATATTTGGAGGGATGGGTTCCCCATTTGATTGCGTGATAGGGACACCGTTTCGGGCTTGCCGTAATTATCGTGGAATTGTTCAATGGATAGGTTGTCGAAGCTTGACGGGTGCTTGACTAGAATATTGCTTAGGTGGATATCTAATTGAAAGGCCGTCATAGAAGTTAGATTAGCTCTCTCCCTGATTCATTATCAGCCTAACAAATCCCCATGAACATAACCTCGTGAATGCGTATACGCAACCGACTGTGCAAGACTGTATGACAATGCCCGAGCAACCTCAAGAGAGAAACGTCGGCTGAACGAGATCTCCCTCAAATCTCACATTGCAGGGGTCACTGTGTAGCACGCGGGTCTTCCATTAGGACCTTCCACCTCAAACTCATGTAGAATCCATGCACAAAGGATACATCTCGTGTGGATGACGATGTTGCGACGGTTGTCTTCCCTGACACAGCTGGTTGAGACAAAGCTCTGAGGGCTTTGATCTCCCCCGGGACCGAGTCTGCAGTGCTCAGTCTAAGCGCCACGGATTGTTTCTGGTGATTATCGCGGGCAAGCCAACCAGTGGAGTAACCACCATGTCCTAGCTTATCTACAATAATGTATCGATCATGCAGAATGTCCCCAATCATAACAGGATGGAATCCTCCGGGTCGGTAGTCTTCGAGCGTCTCCACACCCTTGATCCAGTTATACTTGATACGATGGGCCTCGGCCGTTGTGGAGCTCGGGCGCGTGAGAGAACCATAGTTGGGGTTCGAGGGGCACCAATACGATTGGAAAATTGGAACTAAACATCTGGATCTGTTCTTCGGGGCATGACGCGGGATCAAACGCGTAATTCTTCGATAATAACACAATTTAAGGTGATAAGGTGGTTGTTGAAGGGTGCGTGATGGTCGAAGCGCATTGTTTTTCTGCAGGAGCGCTTCTGATTGGACGGGTCACGTGTTTTGGTCCGGAACTCGGAGTATCTGTCGTGCCGAGATGGAGGATCGTGCCATTTACTATTCACCCTGTCGTGCCTCATTTCCTGCTTTCCTGACTCGCAGGATGTGGCTGAAGCATTCAAGCTGATGAGACAACAAGCACTGCCCTCCACATGTTTATGTAAGAAGTATCACCAGACTGAATCACAATGACATTGTACACAGCAGCAGATATAGTGGGGAATACGGGCAGAGTGGCAACAGCGTCTCCCTGAAATCAAACAAGCCTCGTAAATCCAAAGAACCAACCTATCACCCAGGGGCGCTAAGCCTCCGGATTGCTCGGATTCGGACATCTACACCCACCGCGGGCAGCGACCCGAGGGTTCTTCCCCAGGGCTGTGCGTTGCTAGGGGCTTGGCGTTTTTATGTGCCTAATCGGGTAAGGTGCCCTAAGCCTTGTCGTAGCTGGCCTCATGCTGCAGACACGATTTCGAGGATATATAGGTGAGTGTATCCCACTGTCTCAATCAATATTCAGTTCATCATTCTCTGACTTAAGCACACCTTTTCTGTAAGTTTGACCCATCAATCGTGACCCTTGAGCCAAACTCCAGGAGATATATATCTTGGACAAGCCTTGCCGAGAGACGACCAACGTTAGAGGCAGAAGATTTTCGTGTGCTAACCACTGCCATCGTCAAGTATAGACCCCAATCTACAGTTATCTACATACCTCTTCACACCTCCCATCAGACCTCTTCCACCACACACAAAAAAATGTGTCTCGCCCTCGGCTTCCTCTTCAAAGGCAAGGACAACAAGCCCAAGTCCTCCGGTAACGGGTACGACATGGGACCCCGACCCACCAGGGTCCCGGTCCAAAACCAGGGCTCAGTACCATCGCAAGCCCAACATTCACCGATGGGGTCTGCGCAATAGAGCTGCGATTGTCAGTGTATCCTTCTTGGTTCTATAACGTATGCTAACAGTGGTAGGCCATGTTTTATGACGATAATTGGGCTATAGACATGGGAAACTTATCGGTCTTTTTTTGCTTTTGATTTTGTAAACTTTTGCTTGTGTTTTGAAGCTGGATAGGTGCTGATTGGACTGGATATTTCGATGAGAAGATGTTAGACGTATAATGTGATAGATGGTGATGGCTTTCCGACTAACGCTTGTTGGATTAATTATTAGTTTTCGTGAGAAATCAACCGTCTCTTTCCTGGTAGACACATTGAATGGGAAATGGTATCTCTGAATTTACAGAAGACTGGCAAAAAGTACACGCGAATTGGGTGGGGTAAGGGAGAGGTCAGAACAATCATGAGTATGCACAGAGCTGAACTTTTCGGTTGTCATTTTCTGGTCTGAAAATGCAAAAGCTTTGGAAACAATCTAGAGGTATTCCATGAGAAAGTACAAGATGTCGCAAGAAACTTTTAATGTTATCTTCACGATGGGAACCAGCTCAGCGAGCGAATATGAAAAAAATGAAAATGAATTAGATCATGTAGTATGAGAAGCAAGCTCGACATCAAGAGTAACCATTCATATCGGTAGTATTTGACAAAAATTAAACTAATCAAACTTCCGAACGAGCAGCAGACTCGACAGCAGGTTGGACGCTTGGTTCAACCACAGGAGCAGATGCGGGAGCAGTTTCAGCAGCAGCCTCAGCCTCAGCCTCCCGCTGCATCATCCCTTCCAACTTCGTAACCGACTCCTTCGCCTCCTCCTCAGTCGGCAGATTCACAATCAAAAGATACAAGACATCCTTCTGCATCATCTTCATCGCCATGCGCATGGGGCGACTCTGCTCCGGCCAGCCATTCTGAGACTTCTTGCCTCCGACCAGCCGCTTGACACCGATCTTCCGCTGGGTGGCTAACACCATCTTATCGAACCCCGGAACAGGAATCATCCCACCAGAAAGCAGTGCGATGAAGGAGCCACTATTAGCCGGATGATTTGGGTCATTGAAGCGTGACTTCAAGGGGGTGCGTCCTTTGGAAGGTACCGCAAGCGAAGAGCCGGGATGCTCGGCTTCCTGTTTTATCTCATTGTTAGACATCCACAGGAACCCAGACGAGTATGGAACTCACATAGAAGACATGCGCTCTGTTATCCATATACCCACTGACCCACTCTCCCGCCCCCTGCGCCTTCTGACGCAGTGCATCCAACTTCGACACACGTCCCTGCTCCTCTCCCCCTTCTACAGCCTGTGCCACCGCCCGATCAATATCAGGATATACCAGCTCCGCAGCCTCGGGTAACTCCACTTCGCCGTACGTTTTGCCACTCTCCAGTCGAATCGCGTTCAATCCTCTCTTGAGCTTACTTGGTTCGGGGGTACGGTACTTCTCAACGGTCTGGTTGATGTCGAGGTGTTGTTTCGAGAAGAGTTTCCCGAGGGAGCTGGACAGCCCGTTCTGGTCGCTTGGGACCCGGTCCTTGAAAGCCATGATCATGCCATAGAGACCGCGCGGCATGAGGATTTCTTGATTCACGCGGTCGAGGAAGCTGTTCTCGCGTTGTCGCTGCTGGAGTTCGCGAGCTGTTCCTGCCACGATGCAAACTACCAAGCTGACGATCATGGCTGTCGGTTCGGGGATGTAGCCGCAGGCTTCTCCGGCGAGGAAAACGACTTCGATCCAGGCTGATGCCTTCAAATGGCGTTAGTCACTCATTCATCCATCTGACACAAAACAGACGTGAAAACGAAGCAGACAAAGAATATTGGGACTCACCCTATTCACCTGATCCAAATAATCCACGAATTTCAAAAACACATCCTGCCCAATGCCACAAGTTTCCAGAACTGGCGCATACGCACGAACAAAGCCGCGCTCTTTTTTTCTCGGCCGACGCTGCGGAATAATGACAGAACAAGGAAGTCGTTGGATTTCCTCGGGAGGAGGACCTGCCATGGCGACGAGCTCGCGGACCAGAGCCTCCCTTTTAGCGACCTTCTCGCATTCGGTTTCGAGTTCATTCTCGGCCGCTTCGACTGGTTCCTCGGATGTGGGAGATCTCATGCGCTCGGCCATTTCATCGAGTTGCCATACGGCTTCGTCTTGGTTTAGGTTGATGGGGGCTCCTGTGTCTGTGTCGGAGGGGTATTCGGTGGGTTCATTCTTTGGGAGTTGGTTGGGCTGGGGGGGTATACCCTCCACATTGTCGCTGCAGGCAGGCGTGCTCTTTGGTAGGCTCTCGGGGGTTTCAACTGGGTATGTGTCACTGCTGCGTAAGGACGCATTGTCACTCGCATGGACTGTAACCTCCATCTCCTTTGGAGCCTCATCCACAGCGGAATCAATAGGTAGTGCAGCAGAAGAGGAAGATGAGCTCGAGCGCGCAGCATGAAAAGCTTCAGAGATGAACCCGAGGCCTGCGGCCGCGAGCTTCACCAGTAGACCCATTTCGACAACGCTATGTGAAAGCAACCGAGTTTGGGGAAGATGAGTTGGGAAGTGAAAAACGACAGTCCAGTAGTTGGAAGATAATGGGCGCACCCCTATCTACATACCTCCGAGACACCGCGTCGGAGGTATGAGACCGTTTTCGCCGACGATGGCCTCCACTTCTATACCATACTTTGCACCAGACATCAATTCATGTGGATCATCGCACCAATCACGGAATGGCCGTCTACAAAGTAATCCCTCCGACGCGCGATGATGTCCGGATCGCCGGCCGAGGCGGCTTAGGGCGGAGCCACGAAGCCTTTCGTTGAAACACGGAGCATCCTGCCCGATGGATCATGGGATCCACTCCACTGTTCAGTATCGGAGGGCAGCGTGGTCGCCATTCTTGTCTATGACTTGTCCGAAATATATTGCCGCGCTTGCTTATTTACAGAATAATAAGATACCCGTCAGGGTTCCAGACCACACTACTCTAATTTGCTCGCGTCCGCGGCGAGAAGCGTCGCAAACGCATACGATCGATCAAAGCACACATCCCAATGCGTATTCCCCGAGTCCCAGAAACGCTCGAGCACATGTTTCGCTGTCACCGGCATGTAGGAACCGGTGTAGTGGCTCATCTCTACGAGTTCCTCTCGGATGAAATGCCGCACGGATACCCCGCCGTTGACGGTTTCCATACCAAGGACGACAAGGGGCCATAGCATGAATCCGCGGATGGAGAGGGAGAGCACAGCTTTGCTGAGAAGCACATGCAAGAGGTGGCTGTGTGCAGTGCAGTTCTTTCTCAGGAAAGAGGTGATGGGTAGAACGCCGATGCTCTGGAGGGAGTGGATGCAGTATAGAGATACCGCGGCTTGGTAGATGCTCGCTAGAAGAAGCCAGTCTTCTTTTGCGACAGGCTTGGACTCGGCCCATTTTTCGGGTGAGAAATCGAGGACTCGTGTGAGTATTTCGTAGGCTTTGCGGCTGTGATCTTCTGGGCTTGTGGTGGTGTCTGTGGAGGCTCGCACCCGGAGATAGTTTATGTTGATGATTTCGGCGAACAGGGCGCTGGGTCTCGACATGAAGGTACGGCTACTATTTTCGTCTCTCTTAATCAAAAATTTAAGACCGTCCAGATCGGACTCGGTCATGGCAAGATCTGACACGGGAGACGTGGTGTCCCCGAAAACGGAAAGACTGGTTGTTGATTAGCTCCCATGACAAGACTCGCTTGTTTACTTTGTAGATCACCTACTATACGAAGCTGACCAGCAGCGACGCAACGCCCTTAGACCTAGCCACCGCTTGGATGCCGCCACGCAGCCCCATGATTTGCCGAATACCGTCAATATGACAGCGCCAGTTGGTTGAGGCGCCTTGCTGAGCCTGATGGGTAGACATGAGTCAGTACAGCCAGCCCAGTGCTCACCACCATCAAACAATCAACTCACGTCAACAAGTAGAAGCGTTAAAATGCCCCCAATGACATGATCACTCGTGCGTTTATGGTTTAAGTTAAGATCTTCGACGAGAGAGCGAATGATCAGCCCACGGTAGTGCAGGAAGCTTTTTACTAGGGTCGCGGACCTGGGGTCATTGCGTGAGTGGTTTACGCGGTGGCTGAGCGACATGCAGACAATAATAAGGCGGATGTAGTCTGGTTGAGCCATGCCCTGCTGGAAGAGAGGGGGCGAGATCCGGTAAATCGAGCTCGTCGGACCCAGTTGCAACATGGGCAAGAGGCTTGGGTAGATGCAGGAGTTATCTGTGCAGGAGGAAATTAGAGTGGATCAGAGGGTCTCTGTGGCGACTGCAAAGTACTGACAGTATTGTGTCGCCTCGAGAAACACATGGACATCGCTCTTCAGTTCCAAATGCACTGCCGTATTGTTTGTCTTCTTGTCTCGGTCCGGCATGTCTGCAGTTCTCCGATCTTCGACGCGCTGGTTGCTTGCGACCTTCCGGACTCGATATTTCACCTTTCCCGGCGCTAGCCACCGTAGTCTCACTGGCGGTGTATCGCCATACCCGGGACAATCGACATCGGATGCCGAGCACCGATTGCAGGCGGGGTGGGTGAAGTCGCAGACTAGCCTGCGTCGGCGACATTCCCAGCAGTGGCGTTTAGGAGGCTCGTGTGTCTCCCACATGGCGTGTCACAAGCGAGAGGGTCCGGTCTGGATGGTCAGCTCGTGGAAAGAAAGTAGTGTTTAAGTGGTTGCCACGTAAGGTAGATTGATCGGGAAGAGTAGTGGGGAGAGAGAGAGAGAGAGTTGCGGCGTCGAAGGCGCCGACAGAGGGGGTGGCACATTGGGCACACGTCATCAGTGGCTGAATCTCCCAGACTCTCAGAGCCTTGCGCTAAATTGGACTGGACGATCTCGGTGCTGCGGCTGGCCACAGCTGCGGCAACGCGGTAGATGGCACGCACGGCACGGACGGGAATAAGCACACTTTCCCCGATTAAGGGATTCGGGTTGCCAAGGCGCCAATGCAGCTTGGTGGAGACGGCTAGGTCTACTACCCACATTTCTGTGTGCGGGTGCTAATGGGTTGGGTCCGCTGATCGTCTCCTCGTGTATCTGGGGTTTCAATGATGGAATGCCAAGCTATGATCATCGCGTCTTGTACTAAGTAGGGGTATGCCAAGAGCGTCGCATAGGAGCGGAGAGTACTTTTTGGATATTATTCCTAGGTGTCAGTGCATATCCCGAGCCTAAAGCAAAAAGGATACAGATTTTCTTCTATGTCTGAACCCACCGGTCGAGCTGACTATATGCGTGCTAATCCAATCAAGCAAGAATATGATGTCCATATGGTTTACAACTACCCACGGCTGCCCATGTTGTAGCATCGCTAGGCACGAAAGGTCAAGCAATTGGGATGAGGAAATAGGATATAGGCAAAGAATATCTTGAGGGCTCAGGTCAGGTGTGAGATGTATAGATTAAGAAACTGAAAATAAATAGGGTATAACCGAAGCTGTCTGACAAGTAGAAAATGGTAAGTTCAACAAGGAAGAGAGATGAGTGGAGCAAGAATAACACGCAAAAGTAATTAAATGTCGTTATTACTTCAGCGGTTGAAGCAGGTGAATGCAGTATTAGAAACATGTTCGAGTTTGGTTTGTTTACAATCATGTAAGGAACACTAAAGGTGTGAATGTGTCAAGCAATTTTCAACTTGATTTTCCCGAATCAAGACAATAAATCCAACGCAATCTAGTTATGCGAACGCAACATAGGTCAATAAAATGTCAGAAAGATAATAAAGCCCAAATGGAACACCCATGAAAATAAAGACACGCCATAAATTCTCCACAGAATATCCATTAATCTAGACCACCAAGTCGTCATCGTCATTGTAATACCCAGCCCACGGCAGAGACAAAGTACTCGCGGTGGATAGCCGCTTAGGGCAGCCCAATACTGTGACGCAGGAGTCTGCGACGACCGAAGTGAGTCCGAGCTCCTAGGAGACCCATACCCATGCCCAGTCCCATCCCAGTATCAGCAACAGTGGAAGCAGGGACAACAGTGACGGGAACAGCGGTAGCAGGGGCCGCGACAGGGGCAGGGGCATTGTGTTTTTTCCTAGAGCCGTCAGCCTTCATTCATAAGACTCCAGCTTCGAAAGAGATCCTGCAACTTACCAGGCGCTCGTCGCCATATTCATACCAACAGCACCGAGAACCGCGCCTCCGGCTGTTCCAAGCGCTCCACTGCCGGCATGATGGGCTGCATAGCCGCCAGCAGCACCGCCAATAACGGTTGAACCAAGACCCTTCTCCCCGTCTTCTGTGGGTCCGTTCTGGCCAGGGGCGTATTCCTGCTGTGGCAGGGGTTCCCCGTAATAAGAGGCGTTCTCACCGACCCGCTCGTATGACTGCTGAGGCGGGTAGGGAGATTGGCCACGCTCTTGAGGCATTGACTGCGGTGGGGCGTATCCAGGGCCAGCGGGGTAATGGTTCTGGGTGTAGTGCTCGTTGTAGGGAGGGTATCCCTGTTGAGAGTACTGTTCGTTGTTGTATTGGGACATGGTGGATGGTAAAGGGCTTCCTGGGAAGGAAAGAGATGGAGGGAATTATGAGACTAAGAGACTAAGAGAGGCTGGAGATGAGCTGGTGACTGAGAAAGATGATTCTGATGGATGGATTGTATGAAACTGCAACTGGGGAAGAGATGGGCATATATATATCTTTGATGCCGCAGCCGATTTGCCTCTGGAAAACGCACGAAACTACTAACGTACGAATTACGCGGTGGAAAGTGAGGTGATGAGGCACAGCCTGTTCTCACAGCCTCTTTCCCATCATCCACCGATGTTAATACAGTTGAACGGGATAGTGGGCAGTGAAGATCCCCAGATGACACGGACGATCCCCAGCAATTAGGGCCTTGGCACCTGTATTGTCCCGATCAGGTAAGGCGCAATGGGCCCGCTCACCACTGCCGATCCGATACACGAACACGAAGTTGGTTGTTGATAATTCTTTTCCTGACTTGATCGACGTGAGTCGCGCATGCTAGGGTTCTTGGAGGGGTGGCAAATTTTGTACATCTGTCACTCTATTCGGCCTTACATCCGATGGCTCTGCTCTGTCTCGCGACTCGGATCAGCTCTCATGGAACATCAACCCCCTCTAAAGCATCTCTGAATAGATATCTTGCAGACCCACCAAATGATAGCAGAGACCCTGGGCGATTAAGAACCAATCTCCCACCACAATTGTCAGAATAGTGCTTAGAGTCGGGTGGCTTTTGGGTGATTCTGAATCAGGGGACAGTATTGCTGCGATATTCACTGGGATTACCTAAGAAGGCCACTTTTGCCTGCTTTGTTTACTTGATTTTGTACCTCACATCTCGGTCTCTCAGTTGTGCAACTCCCAGCAGAGCATAAGATTATTTTTTGAGACACTTCGGAAAGTTCCTTAACAATGGAGAGTTGCTACCTACACTGCTGTTACAGCGGCACAAACGGCACTTTTTTACCCCGCCCCGGTTGCTTACATGATCGTGCAGCTGGATGCCAACACATCGATAGACATGTCAGATTGGCATTGTTCGGAATTTTCTGAGGCCTTGACATGCTTTGGGGAAGGCACTGTTTCATTTGAACCTCTACTATCACATTGTTGAAATCCACAAGCATAAACAGTTCCAAAGATGTCTCGGCTTCTATGTGGGCTCAAATCTACACCCACAAAGCACACGCCTGGCTCGGAAAAGGAAAGTGCTGCGTGCAAACTTTGCCAGAAGATCCATGCCAGCATATTGACGGGGAGAGAGGGTTTTAAGCAATATGCCTTCCATGATGAATGCGAGGAGTGCTCATCAATCGAGGTCACGGAAAGCCTATCTCTTTGTTCTTTTTGCCAGCACTTGAGGCTACGACATATTGTTGTCTGCTGCTCGTTACATGGTTATGTGAATTCTTGTTATATCCGGAGGGACATTCGTGTCTCAGAAATGCGAAAGGAAGGGCCAAACTGTCAGCTTTGCTCTTTCATAATGGACCTCATCAGCAAAGCCACAACATCTTCTGATTCGAAGAAAGGCAAATTTCTGTCTATCTCCGTGGATGAGGGCAGAGTTGGAATCAGCATGTCTGTGAATAAAACCTTCGCATATTCTAGCCTTGACGCATGGATCCAGCCAGATCGGATCAATCAGAAAACACAAATAAGTGCCATGCCAGATGAATTACGACATTTAAACTTCGAAATGCACTACAAGGAACTGGATTCGCCCCCTGAGCTACAGAAATACGTCGATTGGGCAAAAGTCAAATCGTGGCTAAGTCCTGCTTCTCCCAATATCATGGCAGAGAATAGTTCATGGAGACCGGAGGGATTCAAGTTGATTGATGTCACAACGAACCGACTGGTAACGCCCCCTGAGAGCTGCGAGTACTTTGTACTCAGCTATGTATTTGGAAATGTCAATGTGAAACAATCCAATTCAAACGAAATCAACCCAGATGATTTACCAGCAACGATTCGGGATGCTATAATAGCGTGTGTGAGACTGGGTGGCCAATATTTATGGATTGATCAGCTCTGCATAGATCAAAGCGATCAACAGGATCTTCAGGAGCAAATTGATTGCATGGGTTCTATATACGAGCATGCATCTTGTACCTTGGTTGCTCTGGCTGGCACCAACTCTCTCTATGGCCTACCGGGAGTCACATCTCCCCGTATCTGGAACCACCTCAGACTGGAGATCGGCGATGTTGTGCTCGCTGAAAAGAGGCCATCCCTCGAAGAGTGTTTAAGTAAATCTACGTGGTCAACACGAGGCTGGACCTTTCAAGAAGCCATCTTCTCATCGCAGCTCCTGTTCTTTACTGACTATGGCGTTTATTATGTATCCAACAAGGGGTGGGGAACTGGCGGGTGGTCGGAGTCGAGCCCAGAGCCATCGGAATGTTTCAACCTCCCAAAGGTCAACGATGTTTTGGAAGCACATCGCATGTACAGTCGAAGAAATCTCACAAAAGGCAGTGATGCCATTCGTGCATTCACAGGCGTCTTGCAGAAGGCATATGGGTCCGCCATCCATTATGGTCTCCCGATCAACCATATTGACCAAGCAATGTGTTGGATTGCAGATTCTGCATATTGGAATGACACGGAGGAATCCTCAAGGAGCAACTTTCCTTCCTGGTCATGGGCTTCGCATAACGGTATTATCAAGCACAACGAGGTCAAAGCTGGCCTGGCTGTGTGGGCGATTCCTGGACGTGGAGACGAAGCAGAAATTACCATCTGCACTCCCGCCAAAGACATTAACTGGGGCAATAATTACCCCATAAAAGACTGGGGCAATGGTCACCTGATGATTGACAGGGGCCATATTGCATGGTCAATGATATTATGCGGGTTGGAGGGCTGCATACCAAGAAAGCTTCCCTTCGAAATCAGTCTCAGTTCGCCAGTTAATGAGTATCAAGAAGTCCTAAAAAGATGGCCAACATATGATGCGTTCTGGCGCGACGCTTATGAAGGATCTGATAGTCTCCATTACTTTCCAGGCAGAGATAGACGGATTGCAGCATCTAACCCGGGTAGCATCCTTGTGTACACTCAGACGGCGTGTTTCTTTTTGGACACGTCCCTAAGCTCGGAGCAAAGCCATTTTCATACTTTGATTCGGGCAAGCGATGGAAGCCTTGCTGGCAGTATGCACCTCCCTGGCTATAATAGAAATGTCAGGGTGCATGCCCCACGAGAGTTCATACTTCTTTCCGCAAAACAACAGAACCACTTCATGCCCGATGAAATCGCTCGTTTCATGTTAATCGGGAAACTGACGTATGAGGACATCATAGGTAATCGCTTTCACCAAAAATGGGTTCGAGATAATCCGTCCGGAAAATTATATGAACCATTGAACTCACTAGCGTTCCACGCAAACAAAGCCGGCTCTCTTTTTAATCGAGCGTGCTCGTCTTTGGGGGCGAAGAAAATAAGTGATCAGGAGGAAAGGAAACTCCAGCAGGAATATCTCGATACCCTTGTGTATCGGCATCCCGATGGGCGGGCGTATCCACTTGCAGAGAGTCGGAATGAAGCATCCACTTATCAACTGTTTACTTTACTCAACGTGATGCTAATTGAGAGAGATCCGAAGACCAATATTGCCCGTCGGCTAGGAATAGGGGAGGTATTTCTCAAGAAATGGGTGGCTGCACGTCCAGAGTTCAAGACGATCATTTTGCAATAGGAACCAAATCATTTGTGAGAAAAACTCGTTCAATCATCTAGAAAGTCCGTGTACAAAAACCGACGATATCGACGCCTATCTTGGCAAAGGGCTTCCCGATCTCGGGGACTGAATCTAGACGAAAATTATCACCCACGTGGACAGGGGACTGAAGTGGAGTACTTGGGGGTATTCTAGACATTATCCACAAAAGTCTGCGGCTGAATGTATCTTTCTGGCTTAGGAGTGGCGTCGGTGGTAGACAGATGGGAGAAGCCTTCAGCTGTGGCTGCCACGCCCCTGAAAGATCCAACGATCCACATTGAGCATCGGCGACGCCGTGCATCCAATTGGACTCGACTACCAGAGCGCCTGTTATTTCCGATCGCCAAGCTGGTTTACCTCCTTCAGCTTCAGGGGCAGGAGAGAGATGGTGGACCCACCCATCGGCTGGAATTCCCGGGGATGGAGGAGGGTAACCGGACTGCGTTAGGGTTCCGAGCTATCGGATCGCCGCCACTCGAGCCATCGCCTATTCTATCCCCGTTTCTCAGCCCGGGCTGAGCTATTGAATACGACCTCCCACCAACCCAAAAAAAGAATACGAAATGGGAAGGGATTTATTCCATTCTCCCGGCAGAAGCAAAGCGCAGAATGACTACATTATCCTCCAGTCCCCCCTGCCAACGCGGTAGGAAATAGGAACCAGGTCCACGACCCAGTCACTCGTTTTTGCTCGGTGCAGAGGGAGGGCCACCCTCGGTAATTCATAATGCCCGCCCTTCGTTCGCTTCTGCTGTTTTCAGGGGCCCTGTTCTCCGCCCGTTTGGCCGTTGCCGACTCGTGTACTGCCACCGATGTGATCGAGGGCGGTTCATCCAGCTATTCCTCCTACTGGAGTATGAGCGCTGGCCCGGATCCGGAGACGTTTCCCACCATAAGCACCGGGGGTCCCGACGGGGGTGCCTACCTGTAAGCATATTCCAGCTCATACGAATTGAGATTTGTCTAACGCGCTATCAGAGAAATCTCCGACTGGAGGTATTACTATGTGATCGTCCGTCAAAACATTCCCTCCATGGTCGTCGGCGACACCTACGATTTGTCGCTGGCATGGTCAATCTCTACCAACACTAGCACCACGTCTGAATGTACACTGGAAGTTGCTGTCAACTCGGTTTCCTTCGTTGGTGCCGGCGCCGGTATCAGCCCTGGAGGGCATTCCAACTGGGCTACCGTAACCGGATCATATGTTGCCACCAAGTCGACTGGAGTTCCCTTCGTGATCAGCATCAGCTGCTCTCAAGGTGGGGGCTGGGAAGGAAACCCCATCATTGGACTGGCCGACATTTCTTTGACGAGTGTGTGCAGCTCATCTTCGACATCGAGCAGCTCCGTGGCGACCACCAGGTCTGCTACAGCCGTCTCGAGCACCGTGAGCACCAGCAGCGACGATTCCCTCGGCGCTATCACGACGAATGCGTGGAGCACCTTGACGCTTCCTACCACCACCGCCACAACTGATGCCAGCAGTGCTACTACCACCGCAACTGCTTCCTCGTCTAGCACATCATCCAGCACCGCTACATCCGGATTGACCGCTTCCACAGGCACCGCGCAGACGAATGCTGACGGCACAACCACAGTGATCGCTGACAGTACGAGTGGAACCTCTCTCGATGCCTCCCAAACTGTCGACAGCTCCGATGATTCTGCCTCCGTGTCTGGAACCTTTTCCGTCTCATCAGCCGATACAGTGACCACCAAGAGAAAGAGATCCGCTGCTGTTTCGTGCACATTGAGTGTTTACCAGGACACAACTCTCCTAGACAGCACAACTCTCACTGTGGGGTCATCTTCCCCCTTCTCCGCCTGTTTGGGTAGCCAGTCTTCGGATTCCTCTTCTGTCTCGGTCAGGGTAGTCTGTACCGGCCCTGGAGCCGTGGTGGAAGTATCTGGATTCGCAGTCGACAACACCGTCGCTGCCGTTGAGCAGTGTGTCGCTTCCGCTGCTGCTGCGGCTGCTGCTACTGCTTCCAGCTCGCAGGTCGTTATTCCAGGCTCCTCCACAGTCCTGTCCATTGGTACATCGTCGTCCACTCTTTCATCCTTCGCTTTGTCGTCATCCATTCTTTCGTCCTCTGCCCTTTCAGCATCCACTCTTTTCTCATCCACTCCTGGGCCGGCCACTTCCGGCCTCCCAGCCTCGGGAACCCCAAACTTGATTATCGGGTCAAGCTCTAGCATCGCACGATCCTCCGGCCTTATCAGATCCACAACCACAGGCTCCCAACCCACTGCTGTGTCTGGTCCCGGTGTTCCGCATGCTTCAAGTGTTATTCCATCCGGTGCTACCAGCTCTCAGCTGCTTGTCGTATCTAGCTCTGCTGCTGTTTCAGGTTCATTAAGGTCATCCTCTGCTCTTGTCCATACGTCGTCTGGAGCTCGGGTTACTGGGTCTTCTTCCGCTGGTTCTACCTCTGGCTCCTCTGGCTCCTCTGGCTCCTCTGGCTCCTCTGGCTCCTCTGGCTCCTCTGGCTCCTCTGGCTCCTCTGGCTCCTCTGGCTCCTCTGGCTCCTCTGGCTCCGAACCAGGTACCGGTTCGGGCTCGGAAAGATTTACCACCTCGGTGGTATCCCATACCTCAGTGTACACTGTCACTGCTTGCCCGTCTTCAGTCAAGAACTGCCCGGCATCCGGCCAGACCACATACCTGACGACTGAGACCATTGTCGACTACACCACGATCTGCCCGGTGACTGCTACTGAGACCGGGGCCACGTTCACAGCCACTCCCTCCATAACCCGCGGATCTGAGGAATACACCACCTCTACCGTGTACGCGACATCCACACATACAGTGACTGCATGCAAATCCAACGTGAAGAACTGCCCAGCTTCGGACAGGACAACCTACCTCACCACCGAGACTGTTGTAGATTACACGACTGTTTGCCCTGTGACAGCTACCGAGGCGCGTGCCACTGCCACGCCCGCTATTGTGTCTATCACCCCTGGGAGCGAATACACGACCTCGACTGTGTATGCCACATCCACACACACCGTCACGGCATGCAAGTCCGGCATTAAGGACTGCCCAGCATCAGAGAAGACAACCTACCTCACGACCGAGACCATCGTCGACTACACAACCATCTGCCCTGTGACCGCAGCCGAGACCGGGGTTCCCGCGAACCCTACCCGCGTCTCTGCCACTCCTTCCACCCAGTATGCGACATCCACAGTGTACACCACTGCAGTCCATACCGTTACTGCCTGTCCCTCGTCTGTCAAGAACTGCCCTGCCTCGGAGAAGACCACTCACGTCACCACTGAGACTGTTCCTGCGTACACTGCGACCTACACTGTTGTGGTTGGTGAACCCGTCACCACGGCCCCATCAACCAAGGTATCTGGCTCATCTGAAGGAGAGGTGTACACTACGTCAATCATTTATGAGACCGTTGTGTCTGCTGCCACTCTTACTGCCTCCGTGGAAGGTGAATCTTCTCCCAAGGAGACGGTGTCTGTGTACACTACTGTTGTCCCGGTTGGAACGACTGTATACCCAGTGAGTGGAAGCGTCAGCTCTACTAAAGCCGCTGCCGGCTCCATTGTTTCTTCCAAATCTGGGTCTGAAGCTGCCGGTGCCATCGAATTTGGTCAGACTAAGACCGTCGCGGAAACTACTGCGGCATCTGGTCAAGGTAGCACATCTGGAAGTACATCGGGATCTACCGAGGGTGCAGCAGCAGCAAATGCTCAGTCTAGCGCCTCGGGTAGCAGCTCTAAAGCTACCCAAGGTGCCGGTGCCGCATCTTCTGTCGAAAGTAACACCTCCAGCAGCACATCGAAAGATGCTCAGGGTGCTGCTGTAGGAAGTGCTGAGGGTAGCATGGCCGGAAGCACCGGAGTCAGCACCACTGGAACAACCACCGGCAGCACTTCAGGAACAGCTGGAGATAGCACTGCTGGGACTACTGGAGAGGCTACCACAGTCAGTTCTGGAGGCAGCACTGGAGGTAGCACCGATACTACTGGAGGGACTGCCAGTGGATCTGCCCAAGGCAGCACTGCGGAAAGTACCACTGGAAATGCCGCAGAAAGCAGCACGGTTAGCACATCAGGGGAAGCCGAAGGTAGCACAACCGGAAATGCCAAAGGTAGCACTGCAGCCGACACTGCAGGAGCCTCTACAGGGATCACCACAGGTAACACATCGGGAGCTGCCGCCGTGGGTAGCACGACCCAAAGCCTCACCGGAACCACTGAAGATGGCACGGGCAATGACCCCGTCGCCTCCAGTGGCGAGGGCTCATACTCATCCTCATCCTCTTCCAGCGGCTCCAATGCCCAGGACACTTCGGAGGATGGATCTATTTCCGTCACGGCTGCCGGATCAATCCCTACTATGCCTTCCAAGGGCCATGCTACTTCTCTGGTTTCCTCTGCCAGGTACCCTGTCAGTCCTTCTTCCTCGATTGTCGCCCCCTCCAAGGCCAGCCATCACTCCGTTTCTTCACCTACTACTCCGGTTGCGTCCGCTTTGTTCACGGGCGCGGCGTCGTCTTTCTCAGTTTCGTCTGGGCTGGGATGGACTTTGTTGGGTGTTTTCGGGGCGCTGTTCCTGTAAATTAGGATACGGATAGGAGAATGGAATACAATGATGCGAATGTTAAATGAGCCTCTCGTAGGGCAATAGTGGTTGTACTCGTACTGAATATTTAAAAAGGTCTCATGTGGAGAAGATCAGGCCCGAGTGGGGGGATTTGAATAACGAGAAACCTGAAAGGGTTAAACAAGACAATGGAGATATTATTGCAGGGTTTGCTTGGGCATTGAAGCGTATAAATGCACCCGATGCGCGGGTAGACCCGAGAGTGTCGTTTAGAGGCAAAGCCGTGCGCCAGTCGCCGGAATTTGTGTAACAACGCCCATAAATCCCGCTACGCCGTTCTCCAGCAACGCAAACACCTCAAATTGTTTCTTTTCTTCCTCCGACCATCCAGAACAATCAGGAAAATCAACAAAAATACATACAACAGAAGGGATTCGCTGGTGGTCACCCACCCAACTACTAACCTCCCGGCGTGTGGCTTAAGTACGGCTGAGCGGACGGGAAGCCCTGTTCTCCACACCCTATGGTCGTATGTGATTGACTCTCGGAAGAGAAGAGCTATATCGAATGCGCTATGCATCTCTAGACCTTGTTTTGGAAATGGTGCGTTGGGTTCAACCCCCTACCATTGACTCCTTTGGCATTCAAGGAATGTTTTCCTCCAGCAGTTCTCAATCGACGCGGATCCGGGCTCATTACCAACCAGCACTTTGCGTCCTGATTTTCAAACTGCAATACAAACCTCTTGCCCATTAAACTATCGGACAAGACAACAAGATAGAATTTGAATGCTGAGAACCCGAGGTAATAGAAATAATCGTCCGGGGCAGAAGCAGTCTGCATCTCCGTCACTGAGAATGATTAGTTTCATAATCCTTGCTTGGCTTGCATCTTGCATGTCCTAATGCACTTCCAAGCAGTTTCATTGGAAGTGTCTAATCACCAGGCCAGGTGACACGACATCTACTGATTAATTGTTTGCCATGAGCAGAAGATTCGAGGGCCCCCGCCCCAGTTTGACAGATTTCTCAGAAACCTTTTCTCAACATCTTATCCCTAGACTTTGCCCACACCAACATTGACATTAGATACCGCTATCACATGCTCCTTGGACTTATTAATCCCATCCCCTTCATCTCAGCTCTCCAACGGAGACCCAGGAATTTCAATACGATGATGCCAAGTAACGCATTCCTCGGCCGATCCTTCATAGTCACCGGGGGTGCCTCCGGGATCGGCTTCGGGGTAGTGAAGAAGCTCCTCGGTCTGTCCGCCACAGTGCACGTCCTGGACCTTGCGGCATCACTTCCCAATGACCCTCAAGGCGCTTCAGACCGGCTAAATTTCTACCCCAGAACTGACGTGAGCTCCCGAGAAGCCATCAAAGCCACATTCCAATCGATCCTTGAGAAATCCCCCGACATCCACGGTCTAGTCAACTGCGCCGGTATATCGCCCCGAGACACCTTCATCCCGGAATCTGACGAGGACTTCAACAACACCATGGCCGTTAACCTCCACGGTGTCTGGAACACCGGTGCCGAGTATCTACGCTACATCTCTGCAAAATACCCTCACGACAGACCAGACAATGTGAACATCGGCAGCATGGTCAACATCGGCTCCACGGTGTGCGGCGTACGCTGCTAGCAAGCATGCGGTTGTTGGTCTGACCAAGTCGTGGGCGAACGACTTTGCTCCGCGCGTGAGGGTTAACTGTGTGGCTCCCGGGATTACGGAGACACCGATGCTGCAGAAGCAGGTGGCTCTGGGGGAACGGATGGATGCATACAATGCTGCGATTCCCATGACTCGACTGGGAAGCTGTGAGGAGATTGCCGATTCGGTGGTGTTTTTGTTGGGGGATGGCTCGAGCTATATTACGGGACAAGTTCTTCCGGTCAGTGGTGGGTTGGTTTAGATTCGTATGTCGGACACTCCGAAAGGGTAGGGTATCTTGGCAGTGTGGATTAGTATTCTTGTTGCGCTGCTAAGGTTCATAAAAAAGCTGAAATGTCTATACTACTCCATATTCTTCCTAGTTCTGTAAATAGTCGCACCGCCACAGGCACCGACAGGGGCATACAGTCCGAAGTATCCACATCCCGTTCCAAGGGTTCTCTCCGCCGCCATTCGGCAAAAGTTCCCCTGGGTGATTGATTCAAGTGAATAGGTTGGATTATGGATTCTGACTGGCTCGCTCTAAAACTACATACATTTATGCTCATTTCATTGCTCTTCCTCACAGCTTCTTAATCCCCCCCGTTCGCCTCTTCTCCCACAGTTCCTTCGTCTGGGGTTTGTTCTTCGGCTGTGCACGTTCATTCTTTTTTTGTCTTCCCTTTGGGGTTGTAACACACTCGTTTAATGGTCAACTGTCACTCCTTTTATTTCTTCTTCCTGGGCCAGGACTCGTAATTGCTACTTGTTTTGAACACAAGATGCGGAACTTCAATCTACAAAAATGGGCCCCTTTCCTACTTCTCCTCAATCCTCTTAGGGCTACCGGGGAAGAGATTGTCACTTGTACCTCGTTGAGTACGCTCACCAATCCCTCATTTGAAGATGGATTCAACGGCTGGGGCTACGCCTCCGGTACCACTGGATCGGTGGTCAGCGGAGATGCGGCGGATGGATCGTACTACCTGTATGCTTAATCTTCTTTTTGTTATTCCCACGCAGTAGCTGACTCGCTCTCTAGAGAGGCATCGAATACCCAAGTTCGCGCGCTGCTGATCTACCAGCGTCTCAGCAACCTTCTGGCGGGCGATGCGTACACGGTCTCCTTCGAATATCGTGTTCTCCCCAACACCAACCACCAGAGCATGTCCTGCTATATGCAGATGTATATGGATTCATTTACCACCACCGGCCGTCTTGCTGAACAAACAGTCGTGGTTTCCTCTACCGCTGTGGGTTGGGACACGATGTCTGGCTCGTTCACCCCAGGCAGTGCCGGAACGCATACATTTGAGATCTATGGCTACTGTAGCGGCCTAACCGACTATACTGGCGCTGCCATTCAGATCGACAATGTTGTCATTTCAGGGCCAACCAGCAGCACATGCACCACCCAGACCGTGACCCCGACGCCCACCCCGACGCCCACCTCTACAGCGACATCGACATCCACACCGACACCAACGCCAACCCTCTCTTACAGCTCCCAAGGTTCTATCGCGTCGTCTAGCGTACCAGTCGCCGTCTCGTCCCTCGCGGCGCCGTCACTGATTGTATCATCTTCGGCTGTTGTGACATCGTCCTCCTCCTCTGCGATCCCTATCAACTCCAGCTCATCAAGCTCGTCGGTATATAGAACTGAAGCCCGATCGGTTGTGTCGTCGTCTTCAGCCATCATTTCTCCCAGCTCCACCCACCCGGCAGTTTCGTCATCGGCTGTCGTAGCCCCGTCCTCTGTGACCTTCATCCGCACTCATTCTACGAATCCCGTATTTTCTCGGCCTGCGAACTCATCATCACACGCTGTTACGTCGTCTATCGTTCGTTCGACATCGACTCCTCTCCAGCAACACAGCTCGTCACCCATCCCCTCCATCCCCTCCAGCTTGAGGGCTTCAGGATCGGTCTCCGCTCCTGCAATCGTTTCCAGTGTCCCTCTAATTCGTCCGAATCCGACCTTGAGCCTGTCTAGCGCGGCTGTAAGCAGCATCGGACCAAGCTCGGCTCTCCTAGTGACTTCCTCAACTGCCATCACCACTCCAGCCGCAGGGACCAAAGACTTGAGTAGTATCACCAGCGAAACAAAAACCATCACCGGTCCAGGATCCCTCTCCGACGACAGCCAATTCACCACATCCACTGTATTCAGCACCTGGACAGCCATGATCACCGCCTGCCCCTCAAGCGTCGTCGACTGTCCTGCTCGCGAAAAGACTACATACCTCACCACGGAGACCATCGCCGTCTTTACAACCATCTGCCCTGTCACTGCCGCTGAAGCCAGCCAAACCACCACCGCCAGTATGACCGGCCATGCTGGTCCCGGCATCAGCGAGAGCTTCACCACGTCAACCGTCCTCACCACCCGCACAGCCACTATCACCGCCTGTCCGTCCAGTGTGACGACTTGCCCTGCCCGCGAGCAGACGACGTATCTCACCACTGAGACCCTCGTTGTTTCTACGACCATTTGCCCGGTCACTACTGCTGAAGCTAATCAAACTGCCGTCGCCGCTACCCCTACCGGTGGTGGTGGAGCTGGAGCTGGAGCTGGTCCTGGTGGAAGTGGGGATAGCTATACTACGTCGACCATTCTCAGCACCCGCACGACAACGATTACGGCTTGTCCGTCAAGTGTGACTGATTGCCCCGCGAGAGAGAAGACAGCTTATCTGACTACTGAGACGATTGTGGTCGGGGCCACTGTTTTTGCTGTTCCTGCCGCGGATGCAACTGCCACTGCTACTGCGACGGTGGTTGTAGCTGGCTCTGGTTCGAGTTCCCACAAGTCTGGCTTTGACTCTGACTCTGGTTCTGTCTCCAGCTCGAGCTCCAACTCTAATAGTTCTGGTGATGGCTCTGCTTCCTCTGGCTCAGGGGCAGTATCGGGATCTATCTCTGGATCTACCTCAGGTTCCAGCTCTAGCGGCTCCAAATCTACCTCAGACTCGGGCTCATCCTCCCCTGGATCCAGCTCAAGCTCCGGCTCTAGTTCCAGCTTCGTTTCTTCTGTCTCTGCTTCCTCTGGATCTGGTTCGTCTAGCCCAGGCACAGTATCTGGACCAGTATCTGGTTCTTCTGGTGCTTCTGGTGCTTCTGGTTCAGTCTCTGATTCTCAACCAGGATCTATCTCTGGATCTGCCTCGACTGCTGGATCTCTACCTGGATCGACTTCAGGATCTACTCCAGGATCTAGCTTCTCGGGTTCTATTTCTGACACTGCTTCCCTTTCCGATTCTACATCTAGCTCTGGCTCCAGCTCCAGCTCCGATTCCGGCTCTTCTAGCTCTGGTCCAGATTCAGTCTCTGGCTCTGACTCTGCTCACGCTGCTGGTTCCAGTCAAGTTTCTGGATCCAAATCTGTCTCTGCCATCTCTGGTTCTGGTCCTGGCGCTGTTTCTGGGTCTGCCTCCGATTCCTCTAGCTCTGAGTCTATCTCTGGCTCAAGCTCTGGGTCGATATCTGGGTCTACCTCCGAGTCTGAATCCGGCCCTTCCATCTCTGGCTCCGACTCTGCTTCTACTCCCAGCTTTGGTTCTAGCCCTGTCTCGGGTTCCAAGTATACCTCTTCGAACTCTGGTTCTGGTCCCGGTCGTATCTCTGTGCCTGATTCCAGTCTCTCTGGCTCGGAGTCTACCACCACTGTAACTCTGACTCCCATTCCGGCGTCCCAATCTCCAATCCCTTCCACGACCCCTCTTGGCGGTAATGCCAACGACAGCGAGGCTTTCAACCCAGAGCCCACTACTGCCCCCGGCGCTTCCGCCAAATCCACTGTCGTGAAGGTAGTTAGCTCCTCGGCGCTTCCCGCGTCTTCGACCTCGCTATCTGGTCCTCGCCATAGCGGATCTAGTTCGTCGACCACAAGCTCCAGCGGTGCCGTCTACACGGGTGCTTCCACATCGGCCTATGGTCTCCTTTCATCGGGTCTGGTTTCTGTTTCCTGCTTCGTATTGGCGATGGCCTTAATTTTCTAGATTCAAGAAGCCATGTCCTCTGAGAATCAATCTCTAGTCTATCATTATGTCTATACATTTTACCTTCATGTCTATAGACCTTTTGTATCTTTATAAATTAGAGGCGTTAGGTAGCAATATTGTCATTATCATTCTACTGCTGAAGCTACACTCCTAAAATTACATCGTTCAGAGTACGCGTCATCAAAAAGAAGCCACCTACACAAGTCCATATCCCGCAACAGCCTGATTATTAAAATCGCCCACAAAAGTAACGAATCCCTCATAGATGGTCTGCGCTTTAGTCGAGCCCGCGACCTCCTGGTCTTCAGCAACGCTGCTAATACGCAGGGATCCCCAATTACCAATCTCCACAGTCCAATCTAGTGGGTAGACGGTTCCCGTGTTCGAAGATTCATACGTACGGCCGTAGTCAGGCGTGAAGGTAGCAGGGACAACATACTGCGAGCCATCCCGCGCACGAATAGTCGCGAAACGAGCAGTCGGACTACCGTTGTCATCAATAGCCCAGATGCTCAATTTATCAGCCGTGTTCGGGAGATGCAGCTCGTGCCACGTCCAGTTCAATGCGCTGATGCTGCTGCTTACGCCCGTGGTTCCCCATTGGCGGTCGTACCAGGTCATTGAGTTAGTAGGATCGATGGTCTTCTCCGTCTCATCGATAGTCAAAGTACCGGCGGTGCGGCAGCCGGGAAGGCCCCATTGATAGGAAGTGGAGGACGAGAGGGCAAAGCTCCCGGTGCCGCCATCCACGAGGGCGACGGACGTGGCGTTCCAGGTGATGTCGAAGGTGGTATTGTCGTTGTTGCTCCAGGTACGCATTCTTGCGATGTTGTCGTCGGACAAAGCTTCGAAACCATTGTCCTCGGCCTGAATTAGGAGACGCTTACTGGCGGTCGTTCCGTTACCTGCCACGATGGAATAGCTGTAGCTGAGATCCGCGAGGTCGAGGACCGACGAGCGGTAGATGGATTGGTTATTGTTACCGGTCATGAACTGCGAGAACACAAAGTATTGCTGTGAGTCTTCGGTGGTTAGGTAGGAGCTTGTCCACCAGGAACCGTTGTAGCTGGTTCGCTGGGTTTCGTTCAGGGAGAAGAGAATGGGGATTTTGTTCTGCTGTGAGGGAGTCAGGTTCGACTTCTATTGGGAAACTATGTCTCGTGTGGGATGTTGAGGGGTAGATACGTACTTCCCAGATCGACGTGGCATTTTCAGGCTGGAAGTTGTAGAGATTTGTAGATGCGCTCGTAATGGCAGTGACAGTGGCTATCACTGGCCACAGCCACATCAGGCCAGCAAGGCGCATGTTGCTATCCTTGGAAAGGGTCTAGTGACGGGATCGTACCGGAGGAAGAGATCAAGACCGTAGGGACCGTTAGATTTGTGGTTAGACGAAGTTGTTTAGGGGTGCGTAGCTAGCATGGAGGAAGATGAGAGAGGGGGGGAGAGGCGAGAGGACAGAGAAAGCTGTCTGGGGAGCAGTCACTGCAGGTGGCAACACCCAGCCCCGCAGACACAATCACGAGGTTATATTCACTAGGTTGAAGGAATAATGACACTTTTTATTTCCAGGTCCGGTTTGATATCAACTCCGGTGACAAGATGAATGTCCTTGAGTTGCCATAGGCTTCAAACTAAGGGGAAATTCATTGTTATTTCTAGGTTCTCTGTCTCTACAGATGGCGTGCCTTATTGAACTGTGTGCTGTTTGAATCATGACCCCACAGACAAGTTTTACACAACACTGACCCGTGGAGCTCATTGCCAGAAAGGATTCCACGAGCAGAGTCTTCTTTCTGGTACCCCCCTGTTCCCAATTATTATCAGCCATCAACCATGAATAGATGTGGGATCGCACACGGCCCCGCCCGGGGAGAACTAATAGTTCTATGTTCCAGGGCCAAGACTGTTATACATCTCCGGGCTTCTAGATATCACGTCTCAGGCAGGCAGGTTGAGTTACTGGCTACTCTCTAGGGCAGGTCGAGACAGTTCTATATTGCGAGATCGCTGCAATTCATCATGGTTTGTTGTCAGTCATATGGCCAACCCTTTCGACACAGAGAACAAAAACGGGGCGGTCGAGGCAGATCGTAAGAAAGTCAATCATCCAGGAACCAGGTTTGAGATCCGAACCACAAACTTAAATAGGCACATCGTCATCTTCGAGTCATAGGAGCGGTCCAGGCCTAACTTTTGCTGGGCTGTAGATTGTATGCAGAATAACTATAGTTGATTATGGAAGATGCTTAGTTTCAACACAGGTCAGCTGAAGTTCGGGATGTTCGCAGCCCAAGTGCCAACAAATGTCCCTGTCGGCTGGAATAACAATGTTCGGAACATCTCCACAAGAAGATATAACCAGGCAAAAATATAGGCCATAATGCCTAAGAGTAATAGAAGAAATAGTAGCACCAAAATCAGTACATAGACACCTTCATGTAAAGGGGGCATTTTGCTTTTTTTCAAGGGGCTTCCTGCCTCTTCATCAGGTTTTTCCACCTGTACATCTGCTCCCTTCGCCTCTCCCTGGATGTTGTTCACCACCCCCGCTTCTGTCGCCTCGGCCTTGAGATCTTGTCTTTGTCCCTTGTAAATAATTGAGTTACACCTCCCATGTGGCTGAATAGCTGGGCAGACGGGAAGCCCTGTTGTCTATACTCCATGGTTCTGTATGCTTTTGTCAGCTCCTTTTCCGAAATTATGCAGCGAGGGTCTGGGCACAGTCAGACAGCTCCGGCGGGTTCAGAAAAAGTTGCGGAAGGAATAACTCTCGGTAAGGGTCAGAAGGCATTGGCAGATTCTTCTAACCCCTGCGGAGATCCTGAACCTTGGTTCAGAGACCGTGTCCGGGGTTATGAGATTGGCTGTCGGGGGAATACGAGAACCTTCACTTCCCGCGCCGGATATATTCAAAGACAGCCGCTACTGCCATATCGGCTAGGCTACTACCACACCTTTCGTCTTTGTAATTAGAAAGGTCCACAGGCAGGCCTACTACAGGTAGGCAGATAAGCAAGTAGAATATCCTAATTATATCATTTATTATTTGTAATGAAAAATAGTGGGATAAAGGATATGGCAGGAGTTGGCCAGTATGGCCAGAGCCGGTGCGGAAGTAGCGGCTCTCTTTTCAAATCGAGAAACGTGGTCTGGACTTCGTCCGTCGACCAATTATTTATTTGTTTTCGAGTCTTTCACCCTTCTGTCATGTGGGTGTAAACATTATGTCACCGAACAAAGCCAGCAGCAGCACCCAACCGATGACTGCGGGTTGCAGAGAGACTTTTACATCCACCAATTATTTAGTAGATCGTCAACGCACCACCTCGCTCTCTACTCTCTCTTGCTCAGTACCTACCTATTAATACTGTCAGTATTCATACTTAACCACCTCCGAAAGACGGCGCTACCATAGCCGAATATCATTATGTCGGGCGAATCGAGAACGTCGACGACTCTGAGTCGCGCCACCCCCGTTGAAAAGCCAACAAAGCCTCTCATCATCCTCTGCGATGGGACCTGGTGTGGTCGAGAGACAAATACAAGGACGAACATTTACAAACTTGCCGAAATGGTTGGGGTTAATTCCCTCGACAAGCTGGAAGGGGTTCGGTACGCTGAAGGCGTGGGGCTCGGTAGTTCATTTGCAGAGTATGTACTATACACACACCATCAGAGCTTTCATGTCCCATGAACTGGATGTATTCAGACAGTCATGGCTATCCACCTGCTCACATCAAGTAGTTACATCTTCAACGGGGTTACAGCGCAGGAGATTGCCCACCAATGCATCGAGACCTATCAATTCATTGTCGAAAATTATACATACCCCCGCCACGAAATCTGGATATTCGGCCTCTCGAGGGGTGCGTACCTGGCAAGAGCGGTTGCAGGCATGATCAACAACTGCGGAATAGTCCGACCGGTAAAGGTGGACGGGGCCATCGACGCGCAGCAAACCCACTTACTTTGCGAGGCGGTATACAATATCTATCGTTCGCCCTATGATATCAACAAGCCACACTCTCCCCAATCACTGCGATTCAGGCAGTCAAAGTCATGGCCCCTTATTGGTGATGAAGATCCGGACGACTCCAACGCTCCAAGATTCATTCCACCGATCAAATTCATGGGCCTCTTCGACACGGTCGGCAGCCTGGGCATACCGGCATTCACTGGAGGTGTGGGCCTGGATTGGCCGACCTTCTACAATCAAAACGTTTCTACCGTCGTCCAGAATGTCTACCATGCCGTATCGCTGCACGACCGGCTCTTTATCTTCCAAGCTTGCCTTGTCTCTCGCGATGAAAGGATCCACAGTGCGCAGGGTTGGAAAGACTTCGGTGTCACACGGCAAGAGTGGCTTCCAGGTGTGCACTATGACCTCGGTCGCCAGAGGTTCCGATTTCTCCGGGAGTTCGGGGGTGGGAGACTGGAGACATTACTGGCGAACTGGAATCTCGCAAGCAAAGTCATCGAGCCGAACCATGTTCTTGCAGACTTTGCCCTACGGTGGATGTTGCTCGCCGTTCGCGCCCACAATACCCAGTCGCAGGCCGGGTATCAGGTCATACCGGGGATCGACGGATTGATCGATCAGGTCACCAGGAATATTCGAGTGAGAGCTCACGAGCCTGGGAGAGTAGGGAGTGGAGACGTGTATGGGAACATTATTAACTACGTTCCTTTCGGATCATTGGTCTTGAATCTCATGAGAATGCTGGGAGGCACCAGGGGCAAGGTCTTCGCTCTCTACCAGCTCTTTTTGGACCTTCGAGATCGTCTTATCCCGGATGACAAGGCGGTCGTATACAATTTTCGTCGGTTTGATTCGGATATCGAGGCGTGTATAGAGGACATTGGAAGCGTTTGTGAGAAAAGGTATCCGTCTAAAGCATATATGAAATGGAACTTGAGGCAGTAGTGTGGAGCAGCAGAAATCGAGTTGAAGCGGCAAGCTTTAAAATACTTACCTCCTAGTTGCCCGCGTTTGATAGATAGATTAGTTATAGCTCTGCGGATCGGAAGCCAAGCTATCCACCACACCTTATAGTCGTTTTTACTTGCGTCCCATGCGGCAGGAATTGTGGAGAGGATGTGCCAGCCCCAGTATCATTCAGTATCACACCCACCCAGAGTCTGGACACCTTTTTAGCCGAGTGGTCCTTGCGATCTGTTAGGATTGTGAATGTTGATCAAGACATGATTCATAGATCCACATAGAGACAAAAGCGGGAATTGGCGGCAAAATAGCGCTCACGTGCCACCGATTCGGGTGAGCCAATCAAAGACAATCTAGCATTACTTTGTTATCGAGGTGTGTTTACCAGAGTATACAGCGGTTCGATAGACCTCTACCCCCTCTGACGGGTGAGAGCAGTGTGGTTGACCGTGGCTCATATCAACCCTTTCGGTATAGAACAAGGGCCACGCCTAACGATAGAACCTGAAAAGCGAAGATTGCGACCAGCCCACATCATGCGTACCTGACGACAAGTGTCGCACTAACGGCTTGGGCGACATGAAAACCTGGCCAGCGTCACATCACGATGGGCATTCATTCCCACGGCATGCGAGTTGCGCCCCACTTTTCAGCCCTACACAGCATCATCACCCATGACGTCACGGATTTCCCCTTCCTACGGCCTTTCTAAATCTTTTAAATCCCCTGGATTCAACCACCACCCGGTTCCTCCATCATTCAAATATCGAAGCGTTACCACTCCGCCTCCTCTCTTGGGACAAACTCAGTACACTATAGCCAGACAAACCCCCTATCTAGCTACACAAACCGCATCAACCGCCATCATGCCCGGAAAGGTGTACGTTCTCCATCCTTGTCTATCTTACTGCCATCCCTACCAAAGGAAGAGACTAACCAACCCTTCCCATTAGCGGCTGCTGCGAAATCATCATCGCCTTCTTCCTCCCCTTCGTGGGCGTTTTCATGCGCACCGGCTGCGGCTGCGATCTCCTCATCAACATCTGTCTGTGTATCCTCGGTTGGCTACCAGGTGTCATCCACGCCTAGTATGTGACACTCCTCTACCCACCTCGCAATAAGTCGAGCGCAACACTAATGGCATCACAGCTACATCCTCGCCAACAAATAAACTGTCTCGAAAAGAGCCGTCGCGGCGGAATGAGGATTACATTTGAGGGTATGGGCGCGCTCGGCGTATCAATTGGAGCGTATTTGAGATTTGCAAGATTTCTGTTGTGATGATAATGTCTACTCTATGATTGTACTGTATATATCCCGCGGAATTAATGTTTATCTATGGATCTTGTGTGCGAAATTCTCCCTCGCGAGCAGTCCCGCTTCGCTACGTAGGCAACGATTTTTCGGCTGTTTATCCACTAGGGCCGTGTGGGATGACGTCATGGTTGAGGGATCAGGTTGGATTGCACTCGGTTAGTCCCTACGTGGAAATATTGTAATCAAGTTCATCTCCTTATCACATTGCCACGATCAAGGGGTCATTGACATGGATTCTAATTTTGTGGCTGCGGATGAAGGAACGGTTGATTGGTGGGGGGGCAGAAGCCGGTATGCATAATTGCTTCATCTGGGGGCGTGTATAGCTTAGTCAGTGGGATAAGTGTGATCATAGCTAGCACTATAGGATGACGTCATCATGGATTATGCACCTTTTCGGTTTGCATAGTAAGTAGTAGTAGTACTACTGTAGTAACCACCACACTCACTTTGTACACTTCCATCCCTTGTTCAATCCGGCATGTTGGACCAATCTCAAGGATTACTTCTACACACCGATTGACGAGTTTCAGTTCAAAAAAATCGTACTCACACATCATGATAATTCGTGGCTCGGAGATATCGTCAAACATGCGAATCGAAAGGCAATGTCCAGCTAACCTTGATACCGATATATCTGCTTTTTTTTTAGGAAAAAACCCCCAGAAAAGAAGGGCCTATCCATCGACCCCATATCACATCCAACCACCCCAATCCCAAACCGAACCACACTCTACCACCCCTTATTCATCTCATACTCCACAATCGTCAACGCAAACTGCACATCAATCAGATCCTCCAAAAACATAATAAACGCCCCATCACCCTCCGTCGTAATAGCCTTCAATGCCTCCGCCAGCCCCCGACTGAGAGGCCTCAGCCTCTGCAGCGTCTGCAGCATATCCTGATCATAATCCGCCTCGAAGAACTCCCTCCTCTGCACCCAAAGTCAATCAGCCCTATCCCCATACCAAACTGTGAAGATATCTGCAGACCTTGTCACTAATATCCTTCAACATCTCCGAAAACACCGGCTTGAGGGGCACACAGATATCCGCAATCTTCTTGCTGCTGAAGTCGTCGAGCTCGCCGGTGGATGTGGCGGTTGATGTCGCCTGGGTGAGATTGTTCTCTAGCTCGGAGGAGCGCGTTCGGACCTCGTCTACATTTTCGCCGGTGAAGGATTTGACGGCTTCGTCGAGCTTGATGGCGCTGAGGCCGGTGGTCAGGAGGGAGGTGATCAGGGTGAAGGTTTCTGCGTTTCCGGGGAGGGGTTCGTTGGGAGTGTTAGGGTTCGGGCCTGGAGGGCTGGGGTTCGGAGGGTTGGGGAGGGCAAGTGTGTAGGGTGGAATGAGAAGGGTGGGTAGGAGAGTCAGGATGGCTGCGGGAAAGTGCATTGTTGGTTGATTGTTGTTGTAGTTATGGGGGAACGATGGACAGCGATACAGTCCGGGGAAGATGCTGGAGCATGGGGGTGGGGGTAAGGGTTCCCCGGGCTATATAAGCCATTCGGTGTCATTTCTCTGAAATTGCGATTCTCGATCAGTGTAATGGAAAGGATGTACAAGTCGGCCAGGAAATTGGAGCACACGATAATGTTTCCTGCGTTGAAGTATAATTCTGAATCACAGGTGCTACTTATATATATTCTAGCCCCATGCTCGCAGATCGAATATTGTAGGACAAGACTATCTACGAAAACGGTCAAGGTCACGCGACCAACTAATCACTAGAATGAGATATAGCAGTTTCTAGAATCAAGTACGCTGGCATGGAACGTTCTAGGAGAATTTGCATTGCACCTGAGTAACCTATCCCATCTTCGGGTTTTCCAACGGTCCGCTCGGACTTTACGCTGGACAATGAGTAACGCTTGGCAATGGAAACGTCTAAAAGTAAAAAGGAGGAGGAAGGCAGATGGGGGAAACACGCCATACATTTCACCAAAGACTTGAGCTTATTGGATTGACTTGTTGTGGCAGTGATAATTGTGTCTATGGCACAGTCAGTGTTGTGGCTATAGAAATTTCAGTGGTACTAGCCGTCGTCAATAATCCAAAGTCAAAGCTGGTCGACGGTGAATATTGAAGTATTCATCTTGACCATCGTCTTAGCCTTGAGAGATGTGTGCCATCTTCCCCATAGTGTGTGTCCACCGTCTTTATCCCATTCCCGTGTGTTATCAAAGTCCCGCTGGAGGTATCGCGACAGTACTTGGTCTCCGTCTCTCTTCTCACTATCCGTAATAGTCGCGTAGTAGTATTGATCAATGGTCATAGTCTCATAACAAACGCCAATAAGTCTCTGCTGAAATTGAAAGGCGTGTTAATATCGATTGATAGGTTCTCTCAATGGCAGTTGGGCCTCTTACATTTCTGGCAGGAACATGGATCTATCTAAACTCTCTGTTCTTTAATTTCACTGTCTCCTTCCGTTCCTGGATGGCTTTCGCCTGCTTTGAAAGAAATCGAGTGTCCTTTCTCGCAAGCTTTCCAGGTTGAATATTCAGATATGACAGCATTGTCATCACGTCTGGAGATACCATGGGCTGCCCGGAATTGTTGATATGAGTATGTCCTTCTCGAGAGTCTCCGAGGAGGCGATTTACTCTGGCTCTGAAGTCACCCAAATCATTAAAGTTGTTCTCTGGATCCGGTTTCATAGTAGCACTCGGGCCCTCATTTCTTCCATAAATTATCCTCCCCATCGGCCGTCGCTTCAGCTGAAGATCGACATTGTTATTCCGGCTGTCGTGGGGGCTACTACTGCCACATCATGTTCGCTAATGCCACGCTCTCTCGGCAAACACCTGGGTTGCCTCGAGTGGCTCAGCTGGGGGAAACATCCAAATATCTTGAGTTGGTCATCCGGACATCACGACCCCTTTTGGTCAAACTCTAGGGTATGTCGTACATGGAAGTAGATTGCATGAGTGGCAAGCAGGCAGGCTGCACGGACATCCAGATCAGGTCAGATGTGCATATGCGGATTCATGTAAATGGCTGGTAAGATCCGGCAACTCACAGCATAAGGCTATTCCAGTATTTGAAATGGAATCGTCAGGTAAATATCCGAGGTTTTTATCATAGGAAATGGGGGCGTTGCCAGATTGTCAGACTTTGGTCAGACAAAACATGATACTAGAGCGAGATTTCAATTTCTACTATACTCTGGCTACACAGTAATGCTTTTTACACTATATAACATATTTTTTTGGAAGCGTGAGGTTGCTGAATATTAATCGCCTCGCTGTGAGACTATATCCTACAATCGAAACCCAAAATGCCGCATTGGTGGAGTGATTGAGGGGCCGAAAACAGCTGGATACTTCAGCTAGGCAATACCTTTCATGCAGAGACTGTCTTAATAGAATAAGAAGCCTGTGGCTGATCCTGTATACATGATGCTATGGGAGTAAGGTTTCAGGCCCTTGCTGCAGATCCCTGGTTTGATCTTACAGAAGCCGACGACACGTGTGTTATCCGCAGGTATTACCCGGGTCTTCACTTATTTTACCATAAGAGACTGCAATTCCCCTGTTCACATGCCTAATATACCTGTTTCAGACTTCAGCATAAGCGGAAAACCCTCATATATTATGCCTGCCACCTAAATTGGCGAAATAAGTGTGAGTGATGATAACCGTCTGAAAAGGGTAACATCCTGCCGAATCTGTAGACTTGCACATTCCTTAGTGGTTACTAAATCGTGAGGTCATTAAACCCCCCCCCCCCCCTTTTTTTTTTCTCTTTTTAAAAGCCATATGTTGCTGTGCTCAGGGCATCAACATGCTTACAATCAGCCAAAAAAAAGAAGTCTACAGTGGACCTTCGCCGACGCTACTCACTTCAACATCATTTTTATCTATCCATAATGGTTCCCGCAGTTGGCCGGGATTGTCGCCTAACAAGGCCGTCTTTGCTCTCCTGTAACACAAAACCCCAACCTCGAGCCTTTCATACCAACCCCCAATCCAACTCCCAGAATCAATCTCAATGGCATCGATTGAATCACAAAACATACAGTCGCCCACTAGACGCATACGAAAAGGTCTTTCATGCTCTCTGTTACGAGCCGTCGCATCGCAGTCTCGATATCTTCACCACCTGCGCACTGGAGACAGAGCATACGACATCTGAAATTTTGGACGCCTCGAAGAAGGTATGGAGGAAGATGCGATATGCCCATCCTACTCTCGATGTCGACGTGATGCCGGATGAGTATCGCTATACCGTTCCATGTGGTCCCTCGATGATGGAGGACTGGGTCGAAAGAACGTTCATTATACAGGATGGTAACTCCGGTCTGGAGGCTGGAAAGCTTGTCACTATCCCACGTCGTGCTGAAAAGCCGATGATGTATTATTTTCCCTCCGAGAAACGGTTCATCCTGACCATCGAGCACATGCTTATCGATGGGAGGGGAGTCAGATTATTCATGTGTGAGTTTCTCTCGGACCTATCAAGTATACTCTCCGGGGAAGCCATCATCGATTCTGGCGAAGAGTGGGGATCAGAGGTTGGAAAGCTGCCGTTGGGAGCATTGCAGGTTGCGGAGCTTGATAACGTCAACGGAGATGGGTGTAACACCCTCCTCTCCACGCTTCCGGAATTCAAGCCAAATCGGGAAGCTTTTATATTTCCGACAGTGTCCAGGCCTCACGAGGCTGGCGTAGCTAAGGTGCAGACCATCGAGTTTACCAAACAGCAAACGCTATTGATCTCGGCCGCGGCTAAGCAATTTGGATACGGGGCCGCGGCTTTCCTCCACACAGCAATCTTACATGCCGCAAGAATAGTATGCCCTGTCGCGGGAAATAAACTAAACAGCACATTTGTAATTTTCGATTCCCGCGGGGTCTGCCAGGCCGCACAGAACGACCGCCCCTGTCCGCCTGTTGCCATCCGTTTTTCTCTCTGGCCTGTCCAGCTGGAGATGGCCGATGACCTGCACCAGACGGCATCCGTCGTCAATGAAGCGTATAAGACCGTTACCCGTCGCAGACCTGCCGCCGTGGCTTCGGCTCCAGAAGCCTTACTAAAATCGGGAAGTATTTTGAAACCCGAATTCGACCGAGGTTTATTCCCAAGCTTCCTCGGAGACACCATGAAGTCGGCGAAATATGAGGCTTTTAGGGTGCGGGAGTTCTGGATGGATGCGCTGCCGGCAGATGAGAAGGTTTTTCTGGGAGTTCAAACGTTTGACGGTCGACTTTCGATTCGGGCAGCGTATAGTTCGCAGTTTTATGAGGATGAACCTGTTGGGGAGCTGCTTCGTGGGATTCAGTCGGAATTGCGAGCGGTTCTGGGTGGAGGCCTGTCTTCCTTTTAGGCCCTACGATTTTGAATATATTAATGGCATAGCAACTTCATGCAATCCTACCAGTTTCGCTAGAGTAGGGGGAGGGGGGGGGGTTCTTCTTGGTGTTAGGTACGCGAAGCAGAATGGAACACCATGGTGAGATTACTAGCTGTTGTTACCTGGTCCTGTATCATGTCAGTGTGGGGTGGCTTCCGTACGGCCGGCTCAAGTCCGAACAACCACGTATGAACATTTCTCCGGACTAGTAGATATTATAGTATATAGTAATTTATAGAATTCTTGCGGATATATTTATCCGCGAGAGAAGCTAGATAGAAGACTAGTAATAATATTTTAAAAAATATAGATACTATCTGAATTTTATAATAAATTTATTTTTTTTATATTATCTTAAATTATATACTCTTATAATTATTAGCTGAATAATTCTGATAGAATAAGCTGATAATCTCAGTCTTAAAAGATTTAAGATTAATAAAAAAAAATAGAATTAAAAAAAATATAAGACTCTATATACAGTGTTATTCCAGTTTCTTTTAAAAATATAGTAGACTAAGCAATAAAAGCACTTCAATACATTTGCAGGATGGCCGCTATTGCCGGCCGTACTCCCCCCAACAACCCATCGCGTTTCTCCCCTCATTCCCCTTGTTTTGAATTCCGCCAAAACATCTTGCTACTAGATCGTCCGATAGTCATCCTAGGCTCCCCATATCATGATTCGAAAACTTGCTTCTCGATTAACCAAGCAAGAAAGAATGCCCTCGTCGCCTTCCACCGGTCAATCGGGGACGAAGCTGAGCCGGTCACTCCATACAGATTGGAACAGAGACCCCGACTTTTTTCGATATACCAGAGGCCGCTTTGTTTCAAATGAAGCTCATGAGATGGCGATTCGTCAAGTCAACTTCAATATTCGCTCTTGCCCCAGGGACCATTTCTGTTTCTGCAGCGACTCCGGCCCCGGATGACAGTATAGGATTTGTCGCCTTACTATCGAAGTCGGTTATAGAGACCGTAGTTCGTCGGGTAGGATTATCGCGTTGACACAATTCACCCAGGCTATGGGGCTGAGCTCTGTTCTCTCTCTCTTAAAACACAGCCTCCTGTCTTTCTTCTTATTGTTTTTATCCGGTCTGTCATAATTTTCGCCCTCGAAGGGGAACGGAGTCTTGAAAGGGCTTACCTAATCTTCCCAGCCTCTCTTCACTCGAAACAAACACGTCTTTCTTCTTCTTTCCCTTCTTATTCCTTCCCAACATGGCTAATCGTCCCAGGGGCCTATTTTCCCAGCTCCATCAAATCAGATCCTCGGTCCCCGGACTAACCCTTCGACAATGTCAGCTTTCCATCTCACCACCGCACAGAGGTATAGCAACACGCATGGAACCCAGCAAAGTCAGGTACGAGTTTATGGAGGAAGTGGAGCGCATAGACTTCTATGTTCCAGGGGGTTATCATCCCATTCAACTGGGCGATGAGCTCAATGCCGGTCGATATGTCATCGCCCACAAACTCGGGTTTGGTCGCTCCGCGACGACCTGGTTGGCAGAAGATCGAATTCAAAAACGGCTGGTAGCCCTCAAGGTTTCTACCGCTGAATCGGCCGAGCGAACGCACGAACTCTCCACTCTTTCGCGGCTAGCTCAGGCTGAGTACGAGTTTCCTGGAAAGCGCATTGTGCAGAAACTACTCGATTCTTTCACATTCTCGGGGCCCAATGGTACTCATCGCTGCTTGGTTACGGATGTCGCTAGGGTTAATCTCCACGAGGCGAAGGACGCGGCGTATCATCAGCTCGTTCGTCTTCCTGCTGCTCGGTCAATTGCTGCGCAGGTAATTCTCGGTATGCACTTTATTCATTCTCAAGGAATTGTCCGCGGTGGTGTGTTGAAAATCTTCTTTCATCACGTGATCCAGTCAAGGATGGGCTAGTTAATCTGACGCTGCCAACAGATCTTCATCTTGCGAATATTCTTCTCCGTTTGCCGCTCGACATGCAAGACATGACTTTCGAGCAACTGCGGACGCGAGCAGGCGAGCCCGAGAAGCAGCAAGTCATCCGCCAAGACGGTGCTCCTCTTGACCCTGGAGTGCCATCAGAACTGATCATCCCCGCATGGCTCGGCCTTGGTGGCGATGAAATAACCCTGGCGGACTCCAAAATCCGGATTGCAGATTTTGGAGAATTATTCTATCCCTGTGAAACAGATAGGTTCACAGCCCACACGCCGCTCTTACTTGCACCACCGGATTTCGCTTCGCTGAGCCCGGAGGATCGGATCAGCCTCTTTCTTGCCCCGGAGACATTTGAACACTGGCGTGCACGATCTGGGATATCTTTGGGGATAATCTGCCGTTTGAGGCGTTCCCTGTCACGTTGGATGAGGTGACGATTGAACATGTTGAGATGCTGGGAAGGCTTCCTGAGCGGTGGTGGAGTAGGTGGGAGGAAAGAGGCAATTGGTTTGATGAGCATGGATGTAAGAATGTGAAAGAAAGCCTGCTTCAGTTCTATAGTAATGATGTCAGAGATTGGGATCAGCGATTCAAGGGGTATATTGAGGAGCCACAAGGAACGCAAGAAATTTTGACACCTTCTCACCGGAGGAGAGAGGGGCATTCCAGAAGATGATGAGGTCGATGCTGGTACTTGAACCGGGCGAAAGGGCGACGATCGAAGAGGTAGTGGGGTGTGAGTGGATGCAAAGATGGGGCCTTCCGGAGGTGCAAAAGATGCGGGATTTGGTATCAAACGAGGCTTAATACACTTTTAACTCATAATTGTATACATCTATGGGCTCACAAATATGATATATCAGTCTAAGGAGCAGGTATGGCAACGACTTTAAAAGTACCCAGTATAGTGAAATGTGTGGAAGCACAGTGTACATACACACTTGCCTCCCTACCCACCCAAAGTCACCCCTTCCTCGTAACAGACCACGTAGCCTTGCCCGAAATCAGGAATTTTGATTCCTTTGGAAAACATACAAGTATATCCTGTTGAATATATCTCCATAGTCCTGTATTATCTCAGCTGAGAATAATCGAAAACATTAAAGTTAATAGCCCTCTGACATCGACACTGTGGGGCTGTATCATCATCCCCAACTCCAACCTGCTGCCTGATTTCTGCCTAGACCCCAGACCCACCCCGACCCGCAGACCCTGCATTATTTACCCACCATCCATCATCCATAAATAGCCCTCCACTCCGCACCCCTTCCTCCCTTCCCTCCCCTCCATACCACCATAATTCCCTCACAACAAAAATGGCACGCACCGCCCAAACCGCCCGAAAAGCCTCCTCCCGCGCGCCCCGTCGTGCCCTGCAAACCACGCACCAATTCCACGACCACACCAACACCCCCTACACGGTAGTCGACGGCCCGCCCACCTCCTGCCACGACACCTCCGTGATCCGCAAGCTGGGGATCCAGCTATACACCCTCTCCGGGTTCACCGTCACCGCAGAGGAAATTGGCCGGAAGTTGCTGGCGAGTCATGCGATTAGCGGGTGGGGCAATGCGCGCAATTATTGGCCGCGGGTGGATGTTTATTCTACGCCGATGGGGCGTGTGGGGGGGTGTGTGGAGCATCATCGGTTGGAGAAGGAGTTTAGGGCACGGGTGAAGAGGGAGATGGTTGAGGCTGTTGGGGAGGAGGATGTTAGGGTTAGATTTGGGGGGTTGGAGGGGGAGGTGCGGGGGGGAGGAGGAGGAGGAGGAGATTGAGGAGGTCAGGGCGCAGGCGATCGCGAAGTTACGTGGGAAAGAGCCCCTGCCGCATATTGTGCCGACGTGGTGTGCGGCGGCGAAGTACTGGACGGAACGGGATCTCTGTCGCTCACGGTATCGGAGTTGGGTGCTGGTTGTGCCGGAGGGGTGTGGGTGTTGGGAGGATGTGCTGGGGAAGGGGCTGTGGGTTGTCAAGTTTGATTTGGATGTCTCGCCGGCTATGGAGACGGTGATGGAGGATTGGCCGGTCGAGTGGGAGGAGGATGGCCTGGAGGGGAAGGGGTGGGTGTTTGTTGAGAAGAATGAGGTTGGAGAGGAGGTGAGTGTGCAGAGGGTGTCGGTGAGGAATGATTGGGATTGGAGTCGAGTTGGAGAGGGGGTGATGGGGCTGGGAGTGGGAGTGGGAGTGGGAGTGGGAAGCAGGTCTTCAGGACGAGCCTCTATCATGAGTGGGCGGTTTTTACGGGGCGTTGTGGGATTGTACGTATCGGATTCCGTGTTGTGATGGGTGCGATGAGGGGGTACAGCATGATTGTGAGGTTGAGATGTGAGCTTTTCCTTAATTGGGGGGTGTGATAGGTGTTTTATGCTGACGGTTTCTAGGGATGAGCATTATTTTGATGGTGAGGGGCAGTGTGTTGCTTGCCGGAGGGCGACTGAGTATCGACGGCGGAGTAAGAGGGTGGCTGCGAGGGAGAAAGTGGGTGGAAGTGGTAAGTAAATTGGCGTGGAAAGGTTGCAGTATTATATGAGGCTATGCTTTAGACGTATATATCACTCGTGTTGAATGTTTCATCTCTCTGCCATTATGGCAGATAATCTCGCTACCTGTGGGAAACAAAGAGAGCCGCATAATCTTCTCAAAAGGAAAAAGGGCCATTCAAAGGCAGGTTATATCACCTCCCAGCTACGCCTTCTGCAGCGCAGCGAAGCTCGGGTTACTCTTGAGCGATTCCTCGAGGGTAACCAAGGGTCCGGTCAGGAACTATGTCAATTAGGAGCGTCAGTGATACACACATAAAGGATCTATGATACTGCGGGCGAGAAAAAGCCACTCTAGGGACAAGGGCATACCTTCTTGGCCTCCTCGATCCCCGCGCCACCAAAAAACCCATACTCGGACAAAAACTGCACCATCTGTGTCATATCCTCCTGGAAGAACTCAGGCAGAGCTTGTTCCGCAAGTCCGGCCTTGTAGATATCTCTGTCCAAAGTCTTGAAGCTTATCTCGACACCAAGGTTCTTTGCAGCGTCAATGATCTCTTGGACGGTATAGAACTTCTCCCCAATATTGAACTGTTGGCCAAGTGACGCCTCCGGGTTGAGAAGGATGCCTTTGACGAATTTGCCCAGGTCAGCCGATGGGTCGATCAAAGGGATGTTCGTGTTGACGGTGGCTGGTTCGGGGAAGAACAATCCATAGCTGGGAGGTGTCGTGGGCAATAGTGCCAGCTGTTCACAGACCACTGAGGTGTAGACGGCTACATGGATGATGGTGTATGGGATTGATAGGGAGCGGATGTACTCGTCAACGTAGGCTTTGCCGTCGAAGTGGACGACTCCGGTGAATTTGTTGTTGGAAACTAGTTTATTATAAGCAAACTGTGTTTGTAATGATCTGAGGGATGTGCTTACGCTTCGAAACGTGTGGAAGACTGCTCCAGACAAGGTGCTTGACATCGAGTTCCTAGTTGCGTTAATACTCGCTGTCGCGATGGCTTCGATCGCCTCACCTTGGCAACATCGGCAACATTCTTGCCCTGTCTCGTCTCTGCAGCGGCATCAAAGCTTTCCATGAAATTGGTGAGCGCATAGACAGCGTAGGCATTGCTGAAGGCAAGTCGAAGAGAATCCTTATCCTCCATGTCAGCCTGTCGCATTGGTATTAGTGACTGCGATAACTATGGTTCAACTGGGGCTCACCTTGACTATCTCCGCGCCTTGCTGAGCGAGAGCCAATGCAGCTGGCTTGGACGGGTCTCTAGTAACTGCCCGGATCGTGAACTGCGCGGAAGCAACTGGATCTTTCAACATGGTTTGGGCGACGGAGCCGCCTTGTTTGCCGGTGGCACCGAACACGACGAGGATCTTCGTATCGGTTGTCATTTTGAATTGGTATGAAGAGAAATTATGATGAGCTTTAGACCTTGTGTTGAGGCAAGGGAAACAGAGCTTTCAAGGCAAAATGTTCGCGATGAGTTTTTTTGGGGTTTTGGAGTGGTGGGAGAGAAGCGTAGCATAAGTAGGTGGAAGTCATGGTTATATATTGCTGAGAATCATCCAACTGACCCGCGATGGTGAATATTCCGGTGGGCTTGGGTCAGTCAGGATTGGAAATCCACACACGGCATCCTCCATAAATGTCTCAACAACAGCTATCTCTCAACACTGGCTGGGGGGGTAATTGGGAGCAACACGAGGAGTGAATCCAGGGCTGGCCCGCGCGGAGCCCTGCTATTGGCCGGGCCGCAATACCTTCCAAAAGGGGCTAGCGCTGACTGACTGGGCCGTCAGCTGCCGGGGATTATTTCTCCTCCATCTCACTTCCCTTTGATTCAATTTCATTGATCCAAAGTTAATATCTTGCCGTTCTTTCCGCTGTGCTGTGACTATTGATAATTCCAGTTTCAGTGGGCGTGGACCGTGCCGACACATGATTCCGAAATGGTCCGTCATGGAAGATTGTCGAAAGGATGCCAGGTCTGTCGGAAGCGAAAGATCAAGGTAGTTATCGACGAACCATCCTGGTTTCCACTGAGCTAATATGAACAGTGTGATCAGAAGCTTCCGGCATGTAGTCAGTGCGTGAAAGCGGGCTGGAAGTGTCCCCAATATGCTGATTCGGTGGACCGGATGTTTCAATATCAGCCAACAAGAGACTCCAAATCGTCCCTACCGGCCACTACCATCAAATCTAACCTCACCGACACTCACGGGACCAAAGTCCATGAGTTGTCTCTCTGCAAGCTTCCAAAACAGATCATACAACCTGTACAATGTCGAGCGATCGATTTCTTCCTCCAGACACACACCTTCCAGGAGAATGGTGTCATCCGCGGCCACTACGAATACTTACCTGCATTCAGCCACGAGATCACGACCGACACGCAAGTCGTGACAAGCTTGACTGCCGTTGCCCTCGCCGCGTATGCGTATAAATTCCAGTACCCTGAACTCCTCGACGCAGCCCGGCGTCAGTATGTATACTCTCTTCGGTACATGAAAGACGCCCTATCATGTCATGAAAAAGCAGTAGAGGATAACACGCTCATCTCCGTGTTACTTCTCAACACCTACGAGGGTCTCACATGCGAAACCAAAGCGTCACTGCCCCATAGAGAGGCGCATCTGAAAGGCGCAATGACGATCCTAGCTCTCCGAGACAGGGGCTTGGTTCGGTCTCGTCGCGGATTGCAGCTCTTCCGGCAGACGTCGCTGTGTCTTACGCTGAGCTGTTTGATTCATTCACTTCGGGTCCCTGCGGGACTGATGGATCTTCATCTTGTCTCTGCGGGATACATGGATACGGGTGAACCGGCGTGGAGATTATCGGATGTGATGATCAAGCTGGCTGGTTTTCGTGCGGATATTAGGGAAGCGGTCCTCTGTGACCCTGGGAATATAATCCAAGCCGCTGGGGCGATAGATGCTGAGCTCCTCTGCCTGGAAGGTGACATGGTCGCAAAGATGCCGTTTCAGACGCTCTCGGCCGCAGAGAAGAGTGACCTTGTCTGGGACACCTATTACCATGTCTACCCCGATCTGTGGGCGGCAGCTGCGTGGAACCATGTGCATTCGTGTCGCATAGTCCTGCATAGCGAGATCAAATCCCAACTGGAGACCATCCTTGCTACGTCACCGGATTCCTTCTCCCCAGCAGATGCACAGCAATATGAGCAATGCAGGCTAACATTACAACATCTCACTTCGGAGATTTGCGCCTCGATGCCGCAATACTGTGACTATCTGCCACTTCTATCTGACGGGACGCAGCAACAGCCTAAGGCCCGGGAAAACGAGATAAGCTACGGTAACAACCAGTCTAGCGCTATACCCACAACCGCTGGAATATATCAATTTTTCTGGCCACTGCTGAATGCAGGACAGGTCACTCAATCGCAGAGCCAGCGGGACTGGATCATTGATCGCTGTCGCTATATGGGGAGGATGAGCGGTATTCAGCAAGCATATGCTCTGGCGGAGATCCTGGAAGATGGCACGGGGATGATGTGCTAGGTTGATTGCCTCTTGGATACTTGAACACAGAAAATGTGTCATGGGCTGCGAGAGATCATATGCTTGATTTGCCAGGATTCTTGCCAGGGCATGGATGGTGTCACTTGACCGCGGTGAGTATGCTTGACATTTTACATCCCGTCATGCCTTCCTAGGAAGACCGGGGGGTTAGCCTTCTTTAGGGGTACTGTGTTGTGAGACCCGGATGCTCCGTTTACACAGGATCTTAAGCAACCCTCACATGGCCGCCTCGAACATGTGGCATGTCCGCTGATATAGCGCTGTACCACGGTCGTACTTATGCTCGCAGCCATGAACCGGGATATCGATCATCTATATTCTTCCACGATAATCCCGATGTTCCAGGACCTAGGCCAGGCAACTCACCAGTTGTCAATCATCTACCGTTCACCATGATCAGCTTCATCTTCTGCTTGGCACTACTAGGAATCGCCCTGGGCGGCGATGCCTTCATGTTCACGCCCGATACATCGGAGGAAGTGATAGACGTGAGTGGTACCCTAACCTAACCTTACATATTAACCCTGTTACCACCCCTTCCCCGACAAGAATAGAACCCACCACTCACTAACTAGTTAATTTAACCATCCCAGCCGCGTCTCCCAACCCTCTACGACATCCCCTGGTCCCAAACCCTCTCCACCCCTTCGATCGGTACAAGCTCCTACTGGACAAGCTCGCACATCACCGCCACCAACGGGCACCAGTACCTGCTACTCTCACACATCGTAATCACCCTCTCACCCTCACCCTCCTCCTCACCCAACCCAGCATTCTACTGCGCCTCAATCCTCGACCTAACCAACACGAGTACGCCAAACTACCACTCCTACGTCTCCCACACCACCATCACCTCCACCCAACTCACCAACCTGAACCTCACCACCACTGCCCCCGACCCGGGGTCTGATTATGACTCCAATTCCGATTCTGATTCCGGTTCCTCATACGGCTTCGTCTCCCTCACCCCCGACAAACTCACCACCATGCAAACATGGACCTCGCACCCCAACGTCACATTCAACGTGACCTTCGAAGCCACCACCCCTGCCTTGATCAACGGCGGCACCGGGTCATTCACATACGGCGACGGCCCCACGCACGAATGGGCCCTTCCGGGCTGTCGCACGACAGGGTCCCTTGTTCTCGATGGTGGGGGTGGCGGTGATAGTGGCGGTGTCGGACGGGAAACCGTAACCATCATCCCTGAGCGCTCTGTGACCTGGTATGATCGGCAATGGGGGCGCGGGATGCCCGGCTCGGGGAACTGGACGTGGTTTGGACTGCATTTTCATTTCGGGGGCGAGGGCGAGGGCGAGGGCGAGGGTGATGCCTCGGCTACGGCTCCGGCCACGGCCACGAAGGCGAGTATCTGGGTGGTTGATAATGCGGAGCCGTGGAGACGGGATCGGTTCGCGACGGTGAGGGTCGGTGGGCGTGGTGGGCGGACGGAGGTTTTGGCGGTGGAGTGTGTCGCGAATATGGAGAGGGTGTGGAGGTCGAAGAGGACTGGGGTGGTGTATCCGCTTGAGTGGGATGTTGAATGGGCGGGCACTGGTGGTGGGCGGTTGAGGGTGAGGATCCCGGGGGGGGTGGAGGATCAGGAGATGGTCGGGGTGGGGAGGGGGGATACGGCGTATGAGGGGTTTGTGGTGGTCGAGGGGTGGATGGCGGGGAGAGAGGTGGTGGGGTTTGGGGTCGTGGAGATGGCGACGTTTGTTTGATGGGTTGGACTGGGTTGCTTGTCTTGCTAGAGGTGGGGATGGTTGTAGGGTTGTTGTGTTGTTGTTGTTGCTGTCGCTGGGTGGTATGGTGGTTTATTGTGATTCTGTGGGGACAGAGGGTTGAGCGTTGGGATAGATTTACTAGTCTCCCATGTTGCTGTTTGAAATCGTTTCTTCATTTTGGCTGGAATGGCCGATTTCGCCAAGACTTGTAGAGGAGATTTATTTGTCTTTAAGCCCTGAGTATCTCAAACAAGCTCTGTCGCCAAAGCTCTGTCACGGACTGCCAATCCAGCAGAATGCGGGAAGCAGACCGGACGCCGGATCGAACATCGCCTGGATCATATCGTCGGAGTCGGACAGATGGGTGGGTGGGACTGTGCGATGACAGCAGTAGCACGGGCCACGGATACGTCGGACAGCCCCAGATAGTCTCTCCACTTTGATTGGAGTGGCTGATAAACAGCTAGATGGAATGGGTTTAGCTTAGATAGGCACATATCCGGCGGGTCTCTCGCGGTCGGTGATCATTGATGGTTGGATTTGACATGATAAGGATATTTATATAGACAGAATTCAAAATTCATATGGACATTGTGCCAAACCAAGACACAGAAAATACAAACAAGCTCAACTGAAAAAAAATCACATACCCCTCCACCTGAAAAGAGCGTAAGTCATGCATGAGTCATGAGTCATATTTATCCACGCCCATCTCATCTTCCATGTATATATATATACACACCCTCCCCCCCCTCCCCGGCTTTTCTTCCCCCCTTAACAAAACACCCCCACCAACCAACCACCCAATACAACCTACAAACACAACCACAATCACCACAAATGAACCCGAAACGTTGTCCCGGGCCACCCCCTCGCCAAATCCTCCCCAGTCCACGCATGCGCATGAATCTCATGATCAGTATGGTTCTCCAACTCCAGCCTCGCGACGCGATGATTCGCACAGACCCATGGTCCAATGGAGCACGACCCCGGAGGTGCGGCGGAACATGTCCGTCTTTCTAGGCTTGTTAGCGCCTCCGCGGTGTGCAGCGCGACCTGGCTCTCGCAGGCGCATTCGCGACGCGGGTACTGCCGGAGTAGGGATAGGGCGGCCTGCTGGATGGATGGTTCGCGGCAGCGGGTGGCGATGAAGAAGAGCGGTTCGACGACGGTGGTGGTGAGGCAGAAGAATCGGCCGGATTGGGGGGGTGGGGTGGCGGGGGTAAAGATAAGGATGGGGATGGGGATGGGGATGGGGATGGGGATGGGGATGGGGATGGGGATGGGGATGGGGATGGGGCGTCGACGATGCGCGCGGCTAGGGCTACCATGTTGGTGTAGTCGGGGAGAAACTCGTCGTAGGCGAGCTCGCCTTTGGAGGCGTCGAGCGAGAGGGAGATTCGCGCGAGGCTGCGGCGGAGGTACAGCAGGTTGAGGGCTTTGTTGTCCTTCTCGTGCGGTGCGATGGCGAGGTACCCGGCGATGCGACGGTCCCAGTGCGCGAAGTCGTCGAGGCATGTTTGTTTGATGGATAGGGCGTGGCTGATTTGTTCCGGGCGGGAGAGGTCGGTGGATGGGTTTTGGAGGGAAGTGAAGAATTGGATCATGCGGTTGAAATGCACTTCCAGCGACACGTAGGCTTCCGGGAGGGAGCGGAAAGGGCGGTCGCTGGGGATCAGGGTGATGGTGTTGTCGGTCCAGGGGATGGCCGGCTGCTTACTGGGGAGGTGCGGCCGGGCGAGGCTGTCCAGCTGGGTGATGCAGGCGGTCATCATCCCCATTTCGATATCGTCTTCGTCGACTTGGATGCCCAGTTTCCAGTGGTGGAAGAGCTTGATGACGCTGCCGATGTGCTGGAAGGCCTGGTGGTGGTAGCTCTGCAGGATGGCCACCCCGATGTACATGATGCAGGTGCTCAGGATGGCGAGCTTGTCGACGCGGGTCAGATGCGCGCGGGACATCAGCTCTCGCATCGATTTCATGGATTTGTTGTACTGTTTCAGGGCAAAGGCGGCCTTCTGGGCGTCGCGCGTGCGGGAGACAGTCATGGGGGTGTTGTCCGTGGCGAAGTCGCGGTGCAGCCAGGCCAGGGCGGCGATGGCGTGCCACAGAGCCGGGTACTGGTGCGACATCTGCAGCAGGCGATACGACCAGAAGCCAAAGTCGAAAAGCCCCGCCAGGTTGATGGTCGTCACCGACCGGAAGAAGTGGAAACTCTCGTTCTCCACGGGCTCTCCCCCCAGGTAGTCCCACGCCGACGGCATCTGCATCACGTAGCTGACCATGGGGGGACGCCGGATGATCATGATCTGCAGGCCTGTCGGTTTCTTGGTCCGCCGGTTGTTTAGGGCTCTGGCGTTCGGGGTTTGGTAACCATCGCATGTCCGTCCAGTCGAGGTGCACTTGTTGCAACTAGCCCGGATGCAACGTGTCAATTCGCGAATCATCCATCCAGGGGAAGGACTTAGCCGCTTCCTGTGCACTCACCTCGGTTTAGTCTCGTCGCACCTGACGTGTCGGACCCTGGCCAGGTCAGTCAGGCAGGCAGCCCCTATCCATCTCGACCCAGACCGGGGACATCCCGGCCTACGTACCTGCAGGTGGCGCATCCGGTGTGGGCTCGGGGAGCCCACTTCCGGAGGCGCGGTTGGCCGGAGCGGTTCAGGCGTGATGCTTGCTCCCCGGTGGACTCTGAATGCATGGTGAATGTCTAGTGGGATTGGATTCGATGTGATGGGGGGTCACCATCCAGGGCGAATTCAAGCCTCGCGGTCGGTGCGTGGGGGCCGGACGTCACGTGGAGGCAGTGGCAGGGATTGCTATTGCGCCGCTCGTCTATTCATCTTCTAGCCGGTGCTAGCTGCACTAGTCTGGCCGGCCCATGCCCCCCAGTGATCACGATCCTGATCCTGATGGAGATAACGGAGGCCAATCTGTCGGGAGTTTGTGTCGGCCAGATTGACTGCCCCGAGCTGAGATGCTCGAATCGGGAGGGGATTCTGGGTCGCCGATGGTCCACGCTAGCCCTAACAGGATTCAGCAACGGTTTGGCTCCATCGCTACGACGCTAACAGACCCCGTAATGGGTCAGATACAGTGCTGGGGACAGGTGCCATGGAGGACGGGACCCCATCGCCATTTCCAGACCAATCGGAGCAACAATATGGAATGGTTGATTGCTTTGCAGCCGATGACCACAGAGGGCAGTACAATCGCACCGGATTTTCATGTGGTACAATGGATCTCCCGATCGCGACCCCCCACCTGTTCTCCACTCTGAAGGCTGGCATGCTTAATTCCACATCTCCCATTTTTTGCTTCATTAATCCAAGAACAGCTAACTTGCAGCCTGAACTCGACAGGCAGAGATGGAATATCACCTTCATCCGTCCGCAATATTACCAGACCTCAGCCAAGGCGTTCGGTACAACACAGAGACAATTTCATGCCCTTCTCAGATAATCTAAAACCCGCTAACTTTGGATTTCTTTCAGGCATATCTCCCCAAACCCCATGCCGATTGTTTGTATAGCAGACGAAGATCCCTCATTAATATGCCAGCCAAACCACCTCACATCCAGGGACAAAGAGTCCGATTGCCAACACGATGGCCCAAGAGTCCAGACAGAGCCATCAAACAGTGCAGCAAACTTCTCTGATTCCATCTCCATCCCTACAATATTCCGTATGATTCTGATCCCATTACCACTATAAAAGGGCAGTCAAAATAATTTCCGGCACCACGGCTGGACAACACTTCCCCAACTCTGCTTCGCGCGCATCAATCATCTCGCGAAACTTCCTCTCTCGCATCCCTCTCTCAACTCAGCAAAATGTCCCTAACAGGCATCATCTGCACTGCCCGCATCCCCCTCTCCGTACGTCCCCCATCCCCCTCGCTATTCCCCTTTCCCTGACAATCAAATCTTTAGACCCTAGCCACAATCCTCACAACCGCCTATGCCAAAAACCCCAACTACAACCCCACCCTCGTCATCCTGGCCAGCGATACCTGTCTCACCTTACAAACCCTCCAGTCCCTATCCTCAGACCCACCCTCACCCGAACCATTCATCTCCCCCTTCCTCGGCATGTCCAACGAGTCAGCCGTCTTCGCACTCCGAAAGATCGCTCGCGAGACAGCCGTCCAGACGGACCGGTTCTTCGTTGCGGATGAGCGGACCATACGCGACGGCACGCTGTTGTTGGTCGATACGGATCGCGATGAGAGGGGGGAGTTGAGGACGGTGAGGGTCGCGGGGGAGGAGGCGAACGTTGAGGCGGTTTGTAGAGGGGGTGGGGGGAGGAGTGTGGCGGATGTTGTGGTGGCTATGGGAGGTTGATGGGGGGTAGTGCTTTTTTTCGTGAACGTATGGGGTAAACTGTGGAGTGGGTGTTGGAATCGTGAATGATACGCAGTTATATGTTGGCCTTGATAGCGTGGAAACATGAATGGTTTGGAATGGATTGATGTATGATCCAAAGCACGATACACAACAGACGAGGGGTGATCTTCCCACCGCAAACTACAGTATCCACGACGACGTATCGTCGTATTCTCGGCCCTCCCCAACCCGCGCCAGGTTCCATTGGATGTAGTTGGTATCTCGCCCATACTTATCCCTTCCCTCCGGTGCGCCATAGATTTCAAAATTGACTATGTAGCTAGGATATCAGAGGTATCAGTTATCTGCCCAGCAAGGAATACGGGGAGTGGAAGAAAAAGGGCGAACCATCTTTGATTCGGCTTATCCCACAAGAGATTGTCCGCTCCAGTCTGGAAGATGATCACACCGAAAGACATACATTCCCTGTCAAAGAAAGAAATATCAGTATGTGGTAAGCATCTATTCGCGTCACGGATTTCAGGCAACCCACAGCCACGCCTTTCTCAAGGCCGCCCTGAGCTCGTCACGCTCTTCTCGGTCCAGGTGATGATAAACCGAAGATACATCTGCCCCCAGGAGCCCTCCATGATGATGTAGTAAATAAAGCCTCCTAGAACCCATTGATCCACTTCTCACCTGCCTCTCAGGGGAGCCTCGGGCGTGGCTTGTTGGGCCCTGATCGAGGGCTTTTTGGTGGCGGTTCCCCACCAAGGAATTCTGGAACATATAAATGCAGCCCGTGCCTGTGAGTCCGCAAATTTGTCCTGGTGCTCCCACTTGCCATATATATTTTAGCTCTCCTGGATCTTTCTCTGGACTTTCCAAGTAGACCCGTCGGGGGAAAAGGAATTCCGAGCCGATGTAGTTGTCGTCAAACCAGGTGATATTCGATGGGATCATCATTGTTTCAAAGGGTTGTTGAGTCAGGAAGGGATTTGCCGCGCGGGGAACTGAAGTCGATCTTTATGCGGGACAGACGGACAGTCATGACTTCGTGATGTCTATAGCCTTTACTGTGGTATTTTCGGGGCAATGAATAGGATGCTTAGTACTCTGTAGCAAAAGTCCGATTTGACAACCCATCCTATCACCCTAGGGCTGCCAACCATCCGTTGGTAGTGTCCGTGCCCAACACCACATCATCCGGACCACAGACCCCAGTCTGCCACCTCACCAGCCTGTGCGATTTGCTCCTTCCCCTCCTCCTGCTTCGACACCATGCATCCAACTCAGAAATCACGCCAGACAATCCAATCCATCCAATTAAGTACCCTCGACGTCCCCCCTGTTCATGCATCGCGGGTTGTATTAAGTACACCCTTGCGCGTGCGGCTGACGTGGTCGCGCGGGGCCATCAAGGGAGAGTTGTCTCTCGAGACATTAGACCCATTCACCAGCTGTTCTTTTTATGTCCGTGTGTAGTAGAAGCAGCTGTCTCACTGTCTATAAGTTGAAGCATCTCCCACTTCCAAGTCACAATCGGCTCTAGCTTCCTCGTTTTCATCAGACATATCGACCTCGGCCTCAACCATCTGGCCCGACAAGATGGCGAACAAGAAGAAAGCGAAGCTCAGGAAGCTAGCTTTGGCTCGTCCACCGAATGACCCAAAGCCAGCGATAACAGAATATCCCCAACCGCTGGCAAGGTAAGCCAACCTGTCCCCAACCCACCACGACAACCAATCCTTCCACGTATTAACACACCTTCCACCCATCCAGCCCCTACCTCACCCCCACTGCTACCCTGCGAATCGGCCAAAGCAGTTTCAAAGTCCCCGAATACTTTCTGCGCCCGTACCCCGTCTTCGCCGTCAACTCGCTCGACATGCGCCTCAACGTCCACGAAGACATCGGCCACACGGTCGTCCACTTCCTCTGCACGGGCGCCTATGAGACCATCAGACCGGACGATTCCGGCCCGTGGTCCTGTCCTTTTACGCGCGAGTTCGAGCGAAGCGTATATGCTTATCACGCGGCGAAGATATACGGTCTTCAAGGCTTGGAGAAGCACGCGAAGAGATACATGCAGCGGTTCGGGCACTATGTGACAACACTGCAGGTGCTAACTGTTGCTCGAAGCGTGTATGCGGACCATCCGGATAAGGATTTTTGGTTTCGGGATTTCGTGCGACAGAAACTCATCAACACCTTCCAGGCCGGTGAGGAAGATTTGATTGAATGTGTGTCGAATTATGGAGTCGGGACGGAGCAGCAGTTCGACCAGTTCTTGGTCAAGACTGTGCTGGAGATCTTCCGTGATCGGATGGTTGCGTTGCGCGATGCGACTTCGAATGGATATGGAGTGGCTAGTAGTCATTGTGATGCGCCGGATGAAGAGGAGGTCCCCGATCAAGCATCGGCTGTGGATTTCCAGGAGACGATGGAGGAGATTCCTGAACCTTCTGGCCCCGATGAGCTTTCTCCTCCTGCTGAGCTGCCGGTTGAATTTCCCCCAGACGAGCCTCCCGTCCCTCCTGAATCGCCTCCCCCCGACGAATACCCCGGTGAAGCTCCCCCGGCAGATCCCTATGAGACTGACCGCCACGACCAGTTCACATCCCCAAGCCCCCCTCCACCCGCTCAATACAGGAATGACCGGGGCGAATGGGGTGAATGGGGTGTATCACAACCCCTAGCCCGGCGCTCCCCATCTCCTCCTCCCCCCGAAGAACCGGCTGCATACGAGGAGCCTACACCACCCCCGGAGCCAGAAACGCAGTCCCATACACAGCCAGAAAGCTTTGACTGGAGTGCTTGGACCGTCGCCCCGCCAAAGAAGAAGATTGTCACGGTTGATATAAAATTGCGTTCTCTGCAGGAGCCGGTAGAGGGTATACCGGTGCCTGGTCCAGAGTTAGGGCCGGAGCCGGAGCCAGGGCCATCGCTCGAGGTTTTCTAGACAAGTGATTAGTATGACTAGGTGTCTCGGTCTGTTTATTGATTCCGTATGAGAATAATGCTATGAACCTGTTTTGCTTTCTCTTTAAAAATTGTTTTACGAATCTGCGAATGCGTGGCGCTGTTTGTGGTATCTGCGTCAGTGCATATTATCTCTGCTTCTGATGGTTTGCTATGTCTCACCTCTCTAATGCGATGCGATACCTTCATTTGAAACATTTGTCGTACGGGAAAATGTCGATTGTGGGCGACTTGGGTTGTACATCCCGAGTTGAAAGAAAGAAAAGAAAGACCAAGCCCCACTTCAATCTTGTCTCTTCTAAACAACTTACAGAGTGGAGCGCGAGATCTGGATGAGTGAGTCCCTCGCTTGACTTTTCAGCTCGATCCGGCTGGGAAAATAAATACTCCTCGTCATCGTCGTCCAATCAGGTGATGTTCGAGGGATAATCATGATAGCGGTGATGGTATATGTCGGAAGAAATTGAAAGCAATATGGCAGACACGGGCGTGTGGACTGGAGAGTTGGAAGGGGCGCGGGCTCAGGCGTCAAGTGTCAGGAGAGTGAATAAAGAGAGGTCCGGGGGTCGCTGGGGGTAGGGGAAGGACAGTTGAAGAGACCGCTCAATACTACCTTATTATTCGGAAATTCATATCAGGCTTACGGAAAGGCAATCAAAAGATTGTTTCAATATGGTTAGAATTTATAATATCACAAGACGGACTGATCCTATTACATGAATTCGATCAATAAATAGCTGGAAATTATTTACATCAGATACTGGTATGATATGGCACAGCCAACGGCAGCATAGCGACTTCGTCGCGAGGAGGTGCTAAGGGACTTGCTTGAATATCCGCTAGCGCTGTTACATGAAAAGTCGCAAGACAGGCATTCATTGCATCCCATACGGCTTTATTCCTGTGCATGCAATGGAAAAGAAGAAGATTGTTTATTTTGCTCTGACGCGTCAAAGTTGACTCCATCCCGCGCAATATTTGGAGCGTCCGTCTGCTCCACGTTCCAACCGCCATGCCTTTAAAGAGTTTGCAGTGTTGGGTGGTGAGTACGCCAGAAGACGCTTTCCGTTGGCAGATTGTGATACCGGTGGGCTAACGGGTCTTCCGATTTCAGAGTTGATAGCCCCCCTCCCCCCAGAGGGAGTTTGCCATGCATGGCTGGCGGAAGTTGGTGGTCTCCCTTGGAGATTTTAACGGTGTATCAAAAAAAACAAGACAGATTCTATGATCCCTATCGGAGTTGCTCTGCGGTCTGCGGGGATTCACCCATCTTTTGTATCCCGGACTCGGCCCACATGATCGTTTGAATTGTGGTAGGAGATTATATCGGGACGAGTTGTCAGTTAAACTGCTTTTTCGAGGTGAGCACCGCATGCCGTGCTGTGGCTGGTGGGCTGAGACCCGTTAAACTTCCATCATGGGGCCTCGGGGGGGGAGGATACAGCAGGTGAAGATACAGCAGAGGAATATGCTGGCGCTTGGGAAATTCATCATCAGAGGAAGGAAGATAGATTGTGGAGGAAGACGATCTTTTGTATCGCAGGATGGGTGCCTGTGGGGAGGAATACTCCCCTCATAGCAAGAAAGAGCCACACAGAGTCAAGTTTTGCGCCAGCAGGCAAGATACTGACTGTGTCGGCTGAGTGTAACCCCAGTTGTTTGGTGGTCTGTCTGGCATAGCGACGATAGTATGAGAATAATTATGCCAAAGCGAGGGATGGTGCTTCAGAGGCAGATGATTGTCATAATTTATCGGATTATTGCGTATCTGACCATTCTCCATTGAACGTATATCCATTGACGAGTTTCCCAAATCGAGGAATGTTCGCAGATCCATTATGCACGGCTTCGTTCCGTCAGTCCACTAGATCGTCTGGTAGTTCGGTATATCTTAGAGGGCAAGACGCCATTCGGCTGTGGCGCGGTTAAGGCCGAGTAGGATCTTTGGTTGATCCGTATTAGACTGCTTAGAAGGAGGTCTGCATATTGCATCAAGTCCATTCCCGCGTGGTAACAACGATTGTTATGAGCATCCTCATTGATAGTATGAAGGCCCAAGTCCCTTGTGGAAGAACAGGAGGTTGATGTCTTTGAAGGCATAACTTAAAGAAGGACTTCTGAATCACATCCGAAGTTGAAAAGGGCATCCTTTCGCTTTCCAGATTCAAACCATTCGGGATAGGAATTGCCGAACCATCAATTTCACTATGGTTCAACTTTCCTGAAAGTCGGAAGTCAAATTTGATCTTAGTATCGTCGCTGATGGGTTGATTTGCAGGAACGTCTTATTGGCAATCCGATGCAAGGTCGGGAATTCTGTGACTAAATCTTTCCCAGAGCAATTTTATTCTGTGTCTCACATGGCCTCCGGCAGATACATTAAAAGTGCTTGCGTAGCATTGTGAGACATGGTGAGGAAGGTAATACCACCATTATGGCAGACAGGCTGTTTGTCAGCGTGGTAGAGCATTCGGCGAGGGAACAGGCCCAGGATAGGGTCGATCTCAACGAGGTCATGACGCATGCTGTATTCCCCATTGGCGGCTCGACCGTTGAACATCTGGTGGCAGTCGAATAGCTTCGGGATGAATTACCGGCAGTTTTCCACAGCAGCATGCGTCATCTGGCTTGAAGAGTCGGGGGCACATCAACTTCCCAGGCCATGTGTCGCCCAAAGTCTTTGGACATGTATGGCCTCGGAGCGGTGTCGAGTGTCTTGTATGTGTCTGCAAGAAATGTTTTGTCCGTCGGGATCGCATTTCGCTCGTGGCATAGCTATCTATGTCCCATATAGAATAGGAATGTGAAATTCCTGACCTTGTTATCAAGCAATCGCTCGACAAGTCGCTTATCTGCGTGGGCGAGCAGTCGGGGCTCATAAGAGACCGAGTAGCAGGGAGCACTGAGAGAGTGGGACTTGGCCACTTTATAAAATGCTGGTAGATCGTGTCTTGTTTTCAGTCTTTGAAACTTTCGTCGCCAAGGTTTGCAGCGTGACCTTGCACCTTGATTGATGGAGTAAGTTCAGACGGATCTGATATGTTTTGTGGTCGATTTGCCTCTGTCGGAGAAGGAAACGGAGGCGTAGCCAACGAGTTTTGAGGCGACAATCCGGTTTGATATCGCGAAGTTGAAGTCGCAGAAAGTCTGCCCAGACGGATTTTTTCCTTGTATCGAGGCACTATATTGATGTTTAATCATGCGAAAGGGTCAGTAGCGGAATTGCTCTGATGTTGAGGTTGTAGTCGGGTCGCTGGAGGCTCGACCTTTCGATACACCGTGGCTAAACGTCCTCCTTCTCGTATCCCGCCCATTCTCCTTCGCATATTATTCCACTTGGATGTGCTGAGATGATCATAATAATTCTCTCCCTTCTTTTTTTTATTGATATGCTTTTCCGTTTTCCTCTTGGCTTTCATTATCTTCTTCTTTTTTTTTCGTTCTTTCCTTTTTATCTTTATTCTTGGTTTTCGCTTCTTTCTTTCTTCTTGTCCCAATATTCATTTTCATTCCTTATTCTGATCAATTCATTTCCCCCCACATAGGCATCTTCCACTTCATCAGCGAAAACCCCACCGGGCCATACCCGCAATCAAAACCGCCATTCTGAGCGCGTTTCGCAGTCCGCCTGATGCTGCGGACACGATAGCATCAAATTCCACCATCTCTTTCAATCACCAAGCGCCTTTTCAACACCATACCGCCGAAGTGCAGAACCGGAAGCAGAGCACGATTGAATACCCCGTCGGAACGCGGACAACCCAGTGTTGGGCCAGTAGATCAACCAAAACACCCGGCGATATGTGACCTGACTATCAGGCAAAGAAGTGTAATGTCTGGGGTAGCATGCGTTGTGCAATGAGGACCCCCTTCCCCCCCCCCCGAATGGGATACGCTTTATCGACTATTGATATTTTCGATCATACCGAAACAAATCAGTGGATTCTGTTGCGGCTCAGCTGAGACAAGAATATATTGTGGAAGGGCGCAGGATTGGCGTATACGTATACCAGCCTAGCCCGGCCGGGCCGGGGCTGCGGCCTTTTTCGTTTGTGCGTCTTGCAAAACAGCAGAGCGGTATGAAGATGGGTTTTTTGAAATCTATCTTGATGCCGACTGAGCTGAGTAATGATAGAATGGCTTCTCGCCTGAGATAGTTGGGGCTTATTGGCTTGCCTCCATGGGAATAATTGATCGGCGATTATAGGTGTCCGTTTATTAGTAGTCGGGAGGAATAGACCAAAGACAGCGTCGGTTGAGGCTCTGATACGAGGATCGGGCTTTTGGTTGCCGATTCTACCTCGTTCAGGTCTCTGACTGTGGTGCTTCATATATGAGTTTCTTCGGGGATAGAGGATGAAGGTGGAATTGAGAAATGAGTGAGTAGGTTTGTCGTGGATACGTTTGGTGTAGTATATGCGAGAGGCGAGATGTGAGAGGTGAGATAATCAAAGCTGACATGAGGTTGAGAGCGAGGCCATGATGCCTTGAGTAGATATGTGTGAGACGATTCTTCAACGTCGCCCATTACCGTACTCTGCGAACAGCAGCATGAGGAGCGAAAGCTTTTGAGAAACGCCCCTGCTATACTGAGCCTGGAATGGGAGACGGATCCCCGCCCAAAAGTATCAACACAAGCATCATCTTCCGCATTAGGGTCCAAACGGTAGATTGGAAATTAATTAGATGACATCGCCACGTGCGCGATGCCGAGGCTTTGGTCGATTCAAGATCAGATGCAAGCCCCGAAAAAAGGTAGAAAGGTCAGGTAGTCAATATCGGCGAGGCGTGTAGGTCGCCCCAGATATTTCTGGGTGGGAGACATTCCACTCTGGCTAGTCTGGTGATTCTGGTCATTCTTGTATACAAAGAAAGCCTCCTGCTGCGTAGACTCGGGCGAATAGTTCACAGCCAACATCACGACTTCCCATCTGTATAGAGGGATCCAAGAGATGTTTACATATTCGGGCGCCAACCACCCCTTTCACCATATAGTCAGGATAACGCCCGCCCCATGAGATGCTTGTGGTTATCGTGCCACGCCGTTTGTAAGGGTGTGGTCTAGCGAATATCGGGGATTGGTCATAACCCTCGATTCATCGGCAGTGGAAGATCCATGCGTTGAAAGGTTCGGTTGCGAAAGATAAGTTTCCCTGCAGACGTCACGCAGTGCTATAAATCCCGTGGATGCAACATTCTGGGAGTAGTAGGAAGAATGCCCTCGCTTGGGAGGCACGGCTGACCTCCCTGCTATGAACGTCTGCAAACCGCACGCCCTATATTGGCGGCGGGTCGAATCTGCCATGCTTTGGCACCGTTGATATCTTCAAATGATAGATGTCGAATACAAGGCCGAATTGGCAGCAGATCAATCCATCCTGCCCGTAGGGTAGAGACAGGGAATGCCGGGAATATTTTCGCGACATCACACCCTCTTTCCTGCTGGGGCATCCAGGCCGCAGAAATACCAAATTGGTCTGTCTTTCTTCGGACAGATTTCGGTTAAAAGGATGTCGTTTGACTGAAGAAATGGCAATAAAATGCCCTATATTTACCTCGCTTAGGTAGGACAGTGATTACCAACGAGACAGACGACAACACACGGTTGAGTGTCTTTGATTTAGGACCACCGTTCCATAACCACGCGATATCGTATAATATGCCCAAGGTACCGTTGAGCAGATCCTGGCGATCGATCGAGTGTTGGAATCCGTGATCCGACGTCTAATAGATAAATAGACCTGAAGGTCAAGATTTTCGCAGCCTTAGCCAGCCACCCCAGCTCATTTGAATGATATAGCTCAACAGAACGTATGGAATGTCTTTTTGCAGGTCCTGACACTTCCATCCTGCGATATCTTGTGTTTGGGTGGGCAATATTTTCAGAGTCGGTTAGATAGACTCGCAAACCTTGATTGATATTATCATCAATCCGATAATCTGCATTTCGACCCATTGGGAGTGACGTTTCAAGACAGGAAGACCCCAAACAGTCGGATGGTCGAGTTCCTCGTACTTGATGCTGTTTTTCATCATCGAAAATTGGCCACAGGCGCCGCAACGTATACTATCCAACGTAGGGTCTTTATAGCCCACCTAGCCGGAACACCATGTGTGTCGTGAGTGCCGTAAGGGAAAAAGAAACACTCCATGAGTGTGGAGTGTCAGACCATCGCATAGCGGGTATATCTTCGAGATACACGGTTTATCAGCGGTTTTGGGAATGTGCAGCTCATGCCGTGTCCAATTCAGCGCGCTGACACTGCTGCTGACGCCCGTGGTGCCCCATTGACGGCCATAACAGGTCATGAGTTATTGGTATCGATAGTCTTCTCTGCTCCGTGGATGGTCACAACAAGGGCCCGGTTAACCATGATGTTATCCAGCTTGTGAAAAATGAAACAACGGGTCATTCGACGATTATCAAGCCCAATCGCTGTGATGATTCAAGGACTGGCCTGTCCTATGGGCGCGAGCACAATAGCTGTTTGAATTCACACCTCATTTTTGGAAAGAGATCTCATTCGCAATCTGGAGCCCGGAATATCATCGAAGACGACGTCGCAGAAGCCATGATTGATGGGCAAATTAGGTCGGGATTCTGTCGCATGTGGTTGCGGATCCATCGATAAAGCTCACCCAATGTCCAGGGGTCGCATATTGGTCCCATCTATCGGATGGTAAAAAATTCCAGGCAGTCTCATGTAAGAAAGTGGCACGCACCGAAATGGCTCGGTTGCTGAATCATTGTCGCTGACTTTGCGGTTTGAATAGAATATAGATAGCCAGGCAGATTCCTCAGATGGTGGATGCAGTTCCAACGCTGATGAGAAGGAATCTCATGGCTCGCGCGAGTGTCTCCCCACTGCGTCTGGTCGGAGTGGCTTTCAGATCGATGTGTGATATTCACTGTGACAGCGAGGATGTTCTCGACCATCTCTTTTGTCGCTTTTCTTGCATCAACACACCGAAAGCATCGCACTGGGGATGTTCACCCCGTCAGCTTCGAAAAGTCATACCCTCCCGTACACGCAGCACCCTATGTCCAGGCGTAGTTATAAGAGGTCGGGGAGCCAATCCCACCAAACCTTCTCAATCTGATTTAACTTCCAAGATAGATAACACTGGCTGAAGCAGCATAGTCAACAACTGAGAATGGGTCGATGCCATCGCCCATCAAAGTCTGGAAAACAGGTGTCCGTCTATCGGATCGCGCCTGGGTGACTAGCGACCAAGATACATCGGCTTCTGCATGTATTGCATGACACCAGATATAACACCGTCCTGTTAATTATTACCCAACACTTAGGCAATTTTACCCTCGGAAACCGCACCTGCTCTGCGAATGTCATGGACGAGGCCATGACACATAGCTGGGCTGGGCTGCAGACCGGACAGGCTTCAGATGAAAGATTACACATCCTGCCTTTTGTCTAGTCGGAGTCCGCGACATATTGAGGACGGTCAAGCTGCTAGGCCATTGTTCGAAGTTCATTTTCGCGAACAAGACGTGTTGGTCGGGGACGTTTGGTCTGAACATAAAACAGACGAAACAATAATCCCGAAGGATCGAGACAGAAATAACATATCCAGACCATCATAGGGATACGCAGCCGGCATGATATCTGGTCCTGTTGACATATCTTGATAATTTAGATCCGCGGGCAACGGAGGTGGCCTTGGAATTG